TCCCAGCGAGTCCTAAAGGGCCTACTCGTAGCATCTTCGTGACACCGGTTAATAATCGGAACTGAGTTGGATAGGTATCGGGGTTGCAAGTCCCAGAGCAGGGCTTGCAGAATTCTGATACTCCCGCTTCAGAGGTTGCAGGCCCGCTCCAGAGGTGACCAGAGGTTGTACGTCCGCTTCGGAGGCGTGTAAGGATGCTGGGGATTTGGTGCGTACGGTCAGGGACAGTACGGAGCGGATCCGGATATTGTCAGGGGATCTGGAGAGGATACCGTGACATTGTGCCTCTGCACCAACGTAGACCAATCAATTCCCTTTGCTTCAGCAAACTTTGTATATGAAATGTCTTTGCATTGATTGTGCAAATCGAATTTTCTAACTGCCTCTTGAATTGAGTCCATAATGACTGAATTGTGAGGTATTGAAGGTGGGGTGCAATTTGTTTGGCGGGGCGTTATGCGATGGTGGGCATCACGCGCACGGACTCGGTATGCTCGTGCGTGATTTCAGGGCTGAGGTCGCGCTGCAAGTGGGGAGGCCTGAACTTCAAAACTCTCCAATTCTATTCTGTGTCTTTGTTTGACCTCTGTTCCATCCTTCTTGACTGCGTCAACTCGGCAGTGGATTGTTTATAGTACCTTACACAAAGACTCGAAACGTCGTGAAAGGGAATCTCACGACTCTTGAATAGACGCTGCACCCGGAGACCATATGACTAAATAATTCAAATCTGCGACTACCACTGGCTCTCACAAATAGCCACCAAGCCCCAATAAGCGCAGGGCTGGCCATTCAAATGCCGAGATGGTCGCGAAGGTGGTCAGCATGCGCCGGCTAAAGGCCAGTGCCAGGGTATGGCATAATTTCTGCATGTAATCAGCATCATCATCGCTCTTTGTGTGTACAAAGCCACAAATTAGATGAAACATTTGCATTGAGCATTGTTTGATCGCCAGTCGCACCGCTGAAGAGGCACATCCTGTGCGTTGATTCTTCTTGGGATGAGATATGCTTCCTTGTCGTCTCTTGTCATGTCTCGTAGCGACGAACGGGAAGCTTACATTCGAGGTGTTCAAAGATTCAAGGATCCGTCTAAAAATTGTTTGTAAGCGCTCTTCCGCAGGGCTGTGTGGGATGCCTGGGGTTCGCATACATCCGCTGTGTTGCCTAGGCCACCAATCTGGCAGAGGGACAAGATCATGTTCCGATCAATGTACCCGACCGTCTCGCAGTTCTCGAGTAGCGTGGTTACGAGGTTCAATTGCAGCACTTTATGCGCTGTAGCTGCAACGTTGGCAGCCAGGGTTGAGTCGCAAAGCAATGCGTCTTCCAAGGTTGTATCCAAACAACATGCAGGAGAACCTTGCAGAGCTCAGTTGTATGAGATGCTGAGAATTGAATTCCTTGGTCACCTAAGTCTCGACGAGTGCTCTTTCCCCGTTGGAGATAGCGCATGACACGTGGAGTCGAGCGCGGGGAAGTTGTTTTGGAACGTCTCCGTTGATCCATGTTTTTTGAAGATACGGTGAGAGAATTAAGGGGACATGGTCCCTGGTCAGGACCTTAAATCCTTCAAGACTTCGGAGTAGATACTGCAGAGCGTTCGCGTATCGTTCCTGCTGGCAATGACCCTGCATGCGCGTCGCAAGTGCCATATGCAACCTCGAGTATCCTCCGTGGGGAAGTGTTTGCCACGAGCGATACCAGACAAGAAGTCGTTGATGATCTGTTAAACATCGGGTCAACATGAGTTTGTTGTGCGCTATCGATCCTAGTGATCTAAAGGTGATATCTAATAGCTGATATTCAGATGCAACGGAGGATATATCAAACAATGATATCTTGGCTTACAATAGGCAGCTCAGCATCATTTCAGAAGGGCGCCCCTTGCTGAAGACGTCAGATAATGTCAAGTATGATATTTCACCATCGAGCATACCATTTCACTGATCGATCGCATTGTCCGGCGTGGAAAATTGTAGTAACTTATTGCGTTTGCGAATGCTGGGGTTGCTTCTACTTGTTCGCCTCTACCAAAAGTTCTTCTAGTATAGGACATCCGTTGCGCCTGCATTCACATAATCACGTATGATTCGCATTGCGATGTCAGTTTGGGGCGCCGTTCCTTTCTCCTTTCGCAATTGCCTTGCACTCTTCAGCTCTGTCAGAACAACGAGAACAACCTCGAATAATCGAGTGGTCAAAAACTTCCACGATTCATCCGGATTTTCCCCACCCATGCGTCCGTTACCCATGCGTTCGTCCATACGCTGACATGTCACGACAAGCAGCATCCAGTGTCATATAGTCTACTCGCAGAAAGACGATACTTCGTCTAAGGCCTCTGCAAGGGTTGGTAGGAAGCTACCGATATCTGGGTTATCTCTGAATGTCTTTTGAGTTCCCCTGCTTCTAGCGAGCTCGGCGTCTAGAGCATGTAGTGTTCGCACAAAGTCCTGCCAACCGTGTACGTACTCGCGCAACGCGATAGACACAATGGGAGACTGCAAATCCCAGGTCATGTCAGTATTGGGCAACGGCCTTGTATCTTGTCGGTATTGGTTTCCAGATTGAACTCTTTTAGCTGCCGCTACAGCAGCAAGTGACTTCCCAGCAGCCATCTAGATCTGTTGGGGCGTGGATCGTGAGTGATCAGTACGCTGTGGGAAGATTTGAAGGATTGAACTGAGGTTGTATTGTGTGAAGCTACGGACAGTATGTATAGGTGAGTAGCGGTAAACAACGCTAGTGTGATGTGGCAGTCACTCTCATGGCAGGTGAGGCTCGACAGGCAGGAGCACCCTGAACCGTGACACACCCCCCAGCTGGTGTAGACTCAAAGGCGGAGAGTCAACAACAGCTGATCAGTATTGGATAACACTGTCAAGGTTGTCCATGTTGACCTGATGTAGACCCTTGAGACGCTCTGTAATGTCTACCAGGCCAAGCTGGCGGATAAACTCTGCAAACTTTTGCTTTGGTAGTATCTTTGTGAGTCCGTCAGCAGGCATATGAGCAGTAGGAACCCATTGAACATTGATTTGTGAGGCAGTGACCTCCTGTCAAATCCAGAGCTGGTGGATATCTGATGAGGGGGTATATCCTGATAAGGGCGTTATGGTGTTGTTGTATTGGTGCTATCAGAGCGGGTCGATATCTACAGTGCGCTAGTGCGGGAGCTAATCAAACGAGCTGACTAATGAGAGCGCTGCCTGCGCGGACAATATCAACATGTTTGACTTTTGTGTGAAGCTTGTTGTGCTGCTTTGTGACAATACCAACAGTCTGTTGATTGTCACACCAGATTGTAGGTGTACAGTCAAGCGTGAGATTGATGCCAGCAAAGAATTGCATCCACTCCTCCATCTGTGAGGCAGTGAGCAACAGTGAGAGTAGTTCTGATTCTGTAGTAGATTTTGTGACTGTGCGTTGGACTGTTGACTTCCAGTTGATCATAAGTCCACCAAATTTGAACACGTACCCCTGAGAGCTCTGGTGAGTCTCAGGTTTGTCAGCATATGAGGCATCAAAGGATCCAAAGAAGAGAGGATTGCAATACGTTAGATCATCAGAGAGATATTCAGCCATCTCCTCTGTGCCAGCAGAGGCTTCAAGGGCAAGAGCATTTGTGCTGAGCAGGTAGCGCCAGGTCTGTTGGATCTTGGAGATGTGAGACTGTCCTGGATTGGTGAGGTGACAGGTGTAGACAACATGTGTTTGGGCAACATCAGGTCTACCCCAGACAGCAATATAAGCAAGAGAGCCAACAAGCTGCTGGTACAGCTTTGTGCAAGCAGTGTCAGGTTCCTTGGTAGACTGCAGCAGCCAGTTTTCTGTCAGTGGATGGGTCTGTGACGATTGTTTGTGTACGAGATCCACGTTGTATCCACTGCAGTCCTTTTCGTACAATCTCGGTTCGTATAACAGATATTGCGAGTGTTGATTATACTGGGTATCACTGACGCGGCTTCACAGCTTGGTCAATCGATACTGCAGTTCCTTGGCTGCTCTCGTCTCGTTGCGTAGTCCTGTTTGTTCAGTGTTGTTTTGCAAGTTGTTCATGGATCGTAACAGCCACTTGTGCCAGTCATTGGCTCGATCAAGGACAACAGTCACTTGGGTGACCACAGGGTCTGACTTGGTAGTCATTGTTGGTTGATGTGTTGGTGGCTCCATACAGTATGATCAATTGTTGATCCCAATTGTAGGTGCCGGCCGGTTGTTGTGAGTCAGTGAGTGAGTGAGTGAGCAAGCTTCTCAGTCGCAATCTGTTGTGGTGAGGAAGCTTCTCAGTCGCTGTTTGGGCTGTTGGCAAGCTTCAGTCGCTATCCAGGCTCATAACTGTTGCAGTAAATGCAATAAGTGAAGGTGTAACCGCGCAGGGCAGTAAGTCAGGGGTGACAGCGCAAAGCAGTAAAATCAGTATATTCTGTTGTTCTGTTGTTCTGTTGTTCTGTTGTTCTGTTGTTCTGTTGTTCTGTTGTTCAGTGTTCTGTCTCTCACTCAACCCCTAGCGGGGTCTGTTTACATGACATATCTGTCATTCAGACAGAAAGTGCTATTGGAACAGGCAAGAGCACTGCACCAGCACACGTGGCAGACATGACCGCTTCACTCCATAAACCGTCACATATCATGTGACACAGACCATGTGGTTACAACTTCTCACAATACCGCCCGCGTTGGGCTTAGTACTCAAGCAAGCACTCAGGAACACCACCGAAAGTTGCTGTGCAGGACCTTACCCTGTTTTCCCAACACTAGTGGTTTGCTGCCCGTCCCTTCATCCAACATCCTGCAGCAGTTCAACGTACAGCATGACTGTTGCAGTATGTTAATATGAGACTACTGCCCCAGAACTGCTTTATATCTGACTTGCAAGTGATAATTAAGCTGTGGGAAGACCTGATTTTTGTTCTGAGGCGGACGCGAACGCGCTGACGAAAGGGCTTGTCGTACGCAGCAAACAAACCCTTCACACTAACTCGAGAAGGACGAGAAACGAAATGTAACTGAAGTTTCCTTTGTTCCAGACACGGGAAGGTTTTTGGAAGTTCGCATAGGCTATGAACATATGCTGTCGCTTTCTGAGTCTTGACCTTTGCGGATAGCGAGTAGAGCTTATGAGGGAATTCATTGCCCAAAGCATGCGTTTTTCATATCAGCGTATCACCACATGACGCCACGTGACGTGCACGTTTGGCGAAAGTCTAGCGTGGTAGTGTGTCGGGTTGTGGTCGAGTCGCTGTTGTTGACTCGAGCAACTTTACACGACACCCCAATGCATGGACAGATATTCAGACACTCATCCAAGACTCGTGTCAGCAGGTCGCATTGGAGTCGATATCAGGCAGAAATAGGCTATGTGACGGTTACCCCGATAGATCTTGCACCCCAGATTTCTGATATGCTTATCCCGCAAAATGTGCGGGGGGGCGCGCTTGGCAGCTGGGGAAAATGCGAGTGTAGGATATGGCCAAGCCAGGCCATGCTGCATACAGCGCACAACCTTTGTTGTGATTCGACGACGGTCTGCCGACGGGACATTGTCGCCCCACAACATTGACATTCCACATTTTCTGGCGTCAGTGTCATGTCGGAAAAGACATCCTGTGATCCATGTCAATGGTACACTTGCCTCGTAATGGAGTAAGCAGGCTATTACACTCGTGGTGATGGAAAGTACAAAACTGAGGGCGATCCCTACCTCTGTGAAATCTGCTCTTGAACGTCCAACAAAACATCAACATCTTACATACTTCAAAGTGAGCCCCACGTATGACCATGCTTGTTGACGAGAAACATGACGTCGACCATGTCGAGAAGGCATATAATTCTCCATTACCCAGGGATCGGGATATCCATCCCGAGCAAGACTGGACGCAAGAAGAAGAGCGAGCGATCGTGAAGAAGGCCGACTGGCGCGTGTTCCCCATGCTGTGCATCGTGGTATTTTTCCTCAATCTGGCAGAGATTGCGTCCTTGTCCACTGACCAAGGTTGGTAGTTTGGTCTTTCGCTGCTCGACAGAACGAACATCTCTTCTGCATATATTGCTGGTCTGGGTGCAGATTTGCGACTCACTGGCCAGAGGTATAATATCGCCCTATTGGTGTTCTTCATCGGTAAATGATAGAACCTTCCAGCAAAGACTTGGACTGACTCGCCCCAGGTTACTGCATTTTCGAGCTTCCTTCGAACTATGTCATTCGCCGGCTGGGTGCTAGGATCTGGTTGCCTTTTCTCATCACCGCGTGGGGCGCCTGCGTCTTGGGTATGGGTTTTGTCCACAGCTGGGAGGCCCTGACCGCTCTGCGCGCATTGTTGGGTGTCTTTGAGGCTGGCCGTGAGTCGTATCTATTGATACCGACATCCCAAGCTCACCAAATTCAGTGTTCCCTGGTGCGGTATATATTATTGGGTCATGGTATCGACAGTTCGAGACAGCGAAGCGAGTATCGATCTTCTACATGGCAGCGTTGTTGGCTTCAGGTTTTGGACCGATCGTAAGTCGAGCAATAGTTTATACGCCCGCAGGATGACCTGACACCTTGCAGTTCGCGTATGCCTTGTCGCTCATCAGTGTTGGTGATGGCCTGTACAGCCAAGGCTGGCGCTGGGTAAGTCAGAAAAAGAACAACCTTGCACGCTTACTAAGAGGCGTCAGATTTTCATAATCGAAGGAATTGCCACCATAGTGACAGGCTTGGTTGCGCCATTCTTCTTAGTTGAATGTAAGCTTCGTGACCCTCGAAATCATCACACGACTGACAAGATACAGTTCCGGAGAAAGTTAGATTCTTGACCGATCGTCAGAAGCACATCGCCATTGCGCGAGTGTCAATGGAGAAGTCGGACAAGCAAATCGAGCATGCCACGATCAGAGAGACGCTGCGAATGATCTGTGACTGGAAATTGCTCATGTAGTCAGTAATCGCCAATTCGGAACCCTCTAACCTGCAATACTGACCTTTGCAGCTCCATCCAGTACTTTGTAGCTGCATCGAGCGTATACTCGTTGGCTTTCTTCCAGCCCATCATCCTACGACAAGGCATGGGCTTCAGCTACGCTAAATCGCAGTTGCTCTCGTCGCCGCCTTATATTTTTACCGTCTTTGCTTCGCTCGCGACCTCTTGGCTCTCAGATAAGATCCGTCTGCGATGGCCAATCCTCATAGGCCAGTCAGTCATCGCTATAATCGGACTTCTACTCGTTTTGTATCCCAAGCCTCCAGCTGCCAGGTATTTCGGTCTGTTTCTTGCCACATGGGGAACACAGGGCAACGTTCCGGCTTCTTTGGCGTACGGTAACAATCAGACCGCGCGAGTTCAGAAGCGTGCTGTTGTTGCCGCTGTGATGATATCCGTTGGCGCGGCTGGCGGAGTGACTGGCAGTACTATCTTCCAGGCTAAAGATGCACCGGCACGTATCTCGCAATATCCTTTGGGCGGCTCGATAGGTGCTAACCATCACAGCAATATCTTCCAGGAATGTGGGCGACCATAGCTATGCAGATTCTGTATTCGATCGTCACAATCTGCATGTCGATGTACTTCAAGCGCCAGAACAAGCTCGCAGATGAGGGAAAGAAGCCAGCGCTGGAGGGTGTTGAAGGATTCCGCTACGCCCCGTGAGCTTTGGGTGCTTGTCCAGAGAGCTCATGCAGCTGCGTCACGACAGCGTGTCAAACGGCCACTTCCATCTAGAATTTCAATGATTTATCAAGTCTGAGACCATAAATGCCACTGAATTCAGCTAAATTGGAAAACGATGAGATGGAAAGGATATGAACAACACTCGTACAGAGCGAGTGCGAGAACGAGACGTCATCACAAGCGAGCCACTAGCGCCATTGACCCCTGCCTCATCATCTTCTCTCCTCCATCCCAGGCAACAAACGCTTACATTGCGCGATCTAAAGCCGAACACCTGTAATTCTGCGAACGCAATGCCCAACATGGCAATGCGACATACCTCTAACTCGCCAAGCTTTTGCCAAGCTCATGCGTCCCGCTTCCCTTGTCTCCAATCCTGACGTCGAACGTGTCTCACAGCCTTGCATTTCAGGAACACTTCCACATCGAGCTGTCAACCCCACCAGATTGCGACGGGTAACGTCTGTAACAGGGCTGTCAGCGCCTGTAGTAACATGCTCACTCGTGTGGAAACTTCAGGCGACCTTTCGAGCATGCGCCTGAGGATGATATGCATGGAAGCTAGTACATCGTTCCCGTCTGAAGGTGTGCCTTGGAAGGCTTCAAGGCGCTCCGAGCCTAGTTTCGAGGGCTTGAACAGGACCTCACATTTTTATGCCAGAGGCAACACAATGTGCCTGAATCATGAGTACCACTGGGCATGAGTATAAGAATTCGGGCAAAGTCCATCTTAGTGTTTTTTTCTGTCATCAGGCATCAGCTCTTCTCTTCTAATCTACATCTTGTTCAGTTCTCAGCTTGACGCTGTAACGTTCAATCTTTGATACATCACTGCTGGACTGTACCACTACATTCACTATTGTCTTTGATATCCAATCACTTCCTTCACATATTCAACAACCGATATACGACCGAACATGCATTTTCAAATCACTACGATCACCGCTCTCGTAGCTCTCTCATCTGCCCTACCAACACTCAAGGTCCGCCAGTCCGGTCCCGTTCTTGCAGACACAACCTATGATGCCATCTCCATCTCCGGCGGACAAGCCGGCAATGCCGAGGCCGAAGCCCTCGCAGTTTTTTCCGCGCTCGACCTTAACAACCCTGCCAATATCGACGCCGCAGATCTCGACTTCCTCGGCCAGGTCAACGACGTAGCGAACGATGCCGAGACTGAGGCCTTCAACCCCGCCATCGAGGCTGCCACAGACGCCGAAGCTGACGCTCTGGCCGCCGGAAAGACGAAGAACAAAGTCCTGAAGTTGATGGCGACGAAGATCGAGCTCGAGGCCAAGCAGGCTCAAGGCGAGGATGTGGCCGCGAAGCTGGAGGATGAGTTGGCAAAGCTGAATAACAATATTGCAACCGATAAGGAGAATGCTGGCAACCCAAGCACAGCTTTGCCCTTCGATGCTACAATCTCAGGTGGAGGCAACGTTGCTGCTGGTGCGGGCGCGGCAAATAACAACAATGCTGCAACGGAGAACAACAATAACGCCAATGCAGGAAACGACGCGAACCAGGACGATGCGGCAGCTGATGACAATGCGAATGACGACAACGCTCAAGATGATGCTGCTCAAGACACCAACAACAACAACAACCAAAACGCGAACAACAATAGAAACAACAACGCCGGAAACAACAACGCCGGAAACAACAACGCCGGAAACAACAACGCCGGAAACAACAATGCTGGCGACAATGGCGGCGGTGCTACAGGAAACTTTTTATTCGGCGGGAACTAGATGTGAAGGTAGATTGGCTGGACCACTAAAGCAGCAGAGATGAGCGTGTTGACGAACTGGGGGGAGGAAGACGCCGGCTGGATACCAGGCACAGATGCCATTGTCATAAATTGACGTGTATACTCATGACATCCACATAAATCTCTTTATCATAATTTCACCCAGACGTCCCATCACCTTCAATGCAACCCCTTCTTCTCCTTACTCCCCACCTCACTACGAGCCCTCCTCAACCCCGTAAAACTATGCCTCTCAAAAATATCCCCCGTCTCGCCCCTCGTTCCAAAACAGCAATTCTCAACCCTCCCCAATGGTCCCCTCGCGCGGCTGATCCTTAACCAACCTATCAAACCTCAACTTCGTCTCCCTTAGTTCTCTCGGAAACGGGTCGCCGCCTAGACACGCACCGACACTGATATGATCCAGCATAGGGTTTCTTGTTGTAACCAAGATGCGCGAGAACAAGGTATCACTCGCAACAGCATTCTTATAAATCGCCTACGATCCAGTGAGTATAGAAGCAAGCGTGATAGCAACCGCAATCGCATACCCAATCCACAAACTCGACGGCAAATAAATATACACAATCATCGTCCTACTCTTCACACATTCTACAGGAACCATCTCAGCCGCTACAAGCGTCAGTTTCGATAGCAAAGTGAGCAACATATCTTCAAACAAGTCCTGGACTGCGTCCATGAGGTTGGACTGTGGGTACGATGTCCGGCCGTCCATGAGCCGCGTCTCGGGGATGTCGGAGCGTGTGATGATGAATGTGTCGAAGGTCTTTTCGATGTCGCCGCGCAGGAAGGTGTGCAGCATGGTGCCCATGGAGTGGTATGCTGCGGCGAGTTTGTAGGCGGTGGTGTTGGTGCGGGGATTAGTGAAGGCGGAGGGTAGGGTTGCAATGAATGGACTGTCGTTGTTTGGAGCGGATGTGAGGGTTGTATTGATAACGGGGTAGAGAAAGTAGCGTTGCTTGAGTGTTGCATTTTGCGCGGGGCGGTAGCGCATTTCGAAGGTATAGTTGGTGTGGTGCATCACGCACTTGAACATCTTGGGTTCGTGCACCCAAATCCAATTTTTAAGTGTATGGCGAGTCTTCTGGGTATTTCGTAGTAGTGTTTTCGGCATATCTAATCCATAATACTGGCTCGTCTTCGATGACGCCAAGCGATTCCGGATATCCTGGATCTGGTACGCCTTCAGTAGTCGACGTCTGAGGTCTCTTGTAGTCGTCTTCATCGACCTCAGCATGGTAAATAAAATTGCCCTGCGGTGCAATCTGATCGATCGTGAACGGCGCGTCGTTAGGTACAGCGTCGCTCACGTCGTCACATTTGTATCCCAGAGCCATGAAATTGATCATATACGTGCGATTCCAGCCTGTGCCGCAGAACTGAGCTCTACCTTCTGACGTGGCTGAGCCGTTTTCAAGTACGCGCTACTAAACGCCAGCCCCGGAGCAATTTTCGAAGGCTGATCATAGTAGTCGAAGTACCTATCTCGCAGCCCGCTTGGGTCTGTTTTGTTGTAGTAGATGAGCGAGTTGCCAAGCGAGTTACTATGTTGCTCTTCCCGAAAGTCGAATACAGCTTCACGCGTCAAGTTGAGTGTCGCAACAGCTGGGCAGATCATAGTCATGATTGTAGGTCTCCGCTGGGGTGTGAGTGAAGCTGGAGACAGGATGGAAGCTATCGGTATAAGCCTGCACGTTGCTTTAGTACATGGCTCCTAGGACTGCGCAACACTCGCGCTCACTAACTGCAGATCGCCATCAATGTGGCTAGCTTGCCATGCCTGACCATCTTCCAGTTCAGAAAGAACATCGTGGGGTCTTCTGTCGCAGACAAAAGGCCGTCGATGCCATGATAGTCATAGCCTTCTTTCGAAGGGTGTGCCATGTGCGTTGTCTATAGCAGACGATGACTGTGTTGACCAACATGCTCTTAGTGAAGAATGCCAGGGCCTTGCCGTACCGCACCATCATGAGTTGCTCTGTTGCTGGCTTGCCGTTCAGATGTGCATAGAAGAAGTGATGCTTCACAGCGCCTATAACTCCTGCCACAAACAAAGATGCTATGATCGCAGAGGTCGTCCAGTGTATGTGCCATTGTGCCAACTCTCCAACCCTCTTATCCACTAGAGCTTGTGTGCCAGCGTCCATTATCTTTGTCTGATATAGCGAGTTCATCGAGAACATCGACTCTCGTTCTGAGCGCACTGAGGGCGGAGGGCTCTCCTGTCGACCTGATATCGGCACATACTGGGTGTTGCTTTGTATTGGGAGAAGATATGCTCTAGAGCGCGAGCTTTCATGAGACCGTCTGCGTCGCTCATCTTTTAGAGGTTGTTCGTGCGAGCTGCGCGAATTCTGTGCATCCAAAGATGGTCGTGACCAGTAGGACAGCTCGATTGGATCGTGGAACGGGTCGCATGGTTCTGCGCGCAGACCTGGCGAGGCGTCGCGTGACGAGTACGCTGAGTGGGGACCTCGAAAGGTTATTGTGGGAGTCGAAAGGGCTCGATATGGGTGTGACGCAAGCTTCGAAGCTATTCTGCCATCTCGAACTTCTTGTTGGTCGTTTCGACTTATTTGTAAGAGGCCTGAGCCAGCAGAAAGTTGCCCGACGTGTGTTGGATATAGCTGTAGCTGTCCTGTGAGCACTCAGTAAAAACCAAAGGTATGGAGCAGGTAGAGCAGGTAGATTTGCGCCATCCTCGATATTGCTGCGGATATGAGCGCTACCATTGATATACTGCGGGCGAGACTTCAGCTCCAAATAGCACTAAGCACGAGGAGCGCTAGCTGCAGCCGGGTGGCTTTGAGCTGAGGCTGTCGCGTCGAATGAAGAGATGGTCTTCTGAGCTTGACTATTGTCGTGGAATGCTTTAAACAAGCTTTGTGGTCGTCATGCTGAAGCGTAGACATGCGGTGAGACAAAACTTGACTCTATACCCACCTTCTCCTCACTCTTCAGCTCCACCATCTCCAACTGCCACTAAAGCGGAGCCTGGCGGCCCCTAAACTCTATTGACTGGCAGGACTAAAGTCCATATTGCCGGCATGGCGAAGTTCGTGGCTGGCGGTAACACGCCAGCCAGCATCAACGCCCGCCTTATCGGGCTTCCAACGACATATCGACGCACACTCATCCACGTCGGGCCTGTCATCCTTCATAAGGAGCCTGTCTTGCCTCAAGACCAAGGATGGGGGGTGTCTGGCAGGCCTTGACACATGAACAACTTGTTCGAACCAGGACACACCCTCTGCATCTACACTTTGATTCTCAAAGCGAGCTCGACATTCATTCGCAAAGACTGATCAAGTGCAGCAGTCGAGCTTGCGTAATGACTGGAGAGCAGGAAAATATGTAGAAATTCGAGGGAGTCGAGGCGCAGCGATATTGGCAGCCAGCAAGTCCTCAAGCTTCGGCGGAAAATCGGGTGGGGCCCGCACTGACCAGTCACAGTTTTGCACTCGAAAACTGCACAGTACAAGATACTCATCACTTACCTTCGTAAGTCTGCGATAGGATACCAGGAAGAGGCCGTAAACTAATCGCAATTTCGAAGCACTCGTATTTAATAATGCAGATGTCCATGCCCGAACGATCTCCGCGTTAGCGCTAAGATAATAATCCTCCGTCACATGCAGCCGCATTCATCATCCCGCTTGATCGTCAGACTCCCAAACTGGCTATCTCCACACCGAAACGCACAGCACGAGGAAGGACTGTTTCTGGAAGCTTAGAAATGCACTCCACGGCACTTCCACTCGAACATCCTAATTGGCTTCTCGGCGGCTATGTGGGTCGAGCACGAGGCTGGCAGATCCCGGCCGTTATTGTTGCGTCACCACCGGTACTTTCAGGACCCACATTTTGTAAAGACGACTACATACATAAATTCGAGCCCCGCCATGATGGAGAATGCCATATTCGCACCTCCTGGTCTGCCTACAACTTGTGAACATTCAATTGCTGTTCAAAACCTACCAACTCTAATCACAACACTGCATATCTTACAATATGGCACCATCAACGACCAAGCAGTGGAAAGTCGGCGGAAAGAGCGGCTTCGACGCACTGAAACTTGATGAGAGCGCATCGATCCCCAAGGTTGGCGACAAGGACGTCCTTGTCAAGAGTATGCGCTCCCGACATACCACATTTGTATGCAGCGCCTGCTAACATATTGTAGTCAACGGAGCATCCCTCAACTACCGCGACCTCATCATCCCCAAGGGCAAGTACCCCTTCCCCGCGAAAGACGGCGTAGTCCCCGGCTCAGACGGCGCCGGTGTCGTCGAATCTGTCGGGAGCGGCGTAACACGCTTCAAGCCCGGTGATCGTGTTGTCACACTCTTCAACCAAGCCCACATCGCTGGCTCCCTCGACGGAGCCTCCCTTGCAACCGGCCTCGGCGGCGCCGTCGATGGCACACTGCGCGAGTATGGTGTCTTCGATGAGCAGGGCCTGGTCGCAGCGCCCAAGAACCTGAACGATCTCGAGGCGAGCACACTGAGTTGTGCGGGATTGACAGCGTGGAATGCGCTGTACGGCTTGGAGAGCAGGGCGCTGAAGCCAGGACACTGGGTCCTCACACAGGGGACTGGAGGTGTATCGATCTTTGCACTACAGTTCGCCAAGGCCGCAGGTGCGCGCGTCATTGCTACCACATCCTCGGCTTCGAAGGCCGAAACGCTCAAGAAGCTCGGCGCAGACCATGTCATCAACTACAAGGAGACACCCTCCTGGGGCGAGAAAGCCAAGGAGCTCACCGGCGGCGTGGGCGTGCAGCACGTCGTCGAAGTCGGTGGTCCTACAACTATGGCTCAGAGTCTGAAGGCCATCGCTATTGATGGTGTAATTACCATCATCGGCTTCATCGGCGGCATGGAGAAGAACCAGCCCACCTTCCTTGAGACTCTCAACAACATCTGCACAGTCCGTGGTATCCTGGTTGGTAGCAGGCTGCAGATGCAGGACATGGTCAACGCGATCGAGGCGAATGATATCCACCCCATTGTTGACGAGAAGGTCTTTGAGCTCAAGGACCTGAAGGAGGCGTATGAGTACATGTGGGACCAGAAGCACTTTGGCAAGCTTACCATCAAGGTCTCAGCATAGAAGAGAAGGTCGACTGAGGGGGGGGGGGGGGGGACGTACGTAATGACTTAGATTATGAGAACATACACATGTCGTAATGACATTTCATTAGATTTGACATTATGTCTCGTGCACGTCCAGCCAGAACGTCTGCCATGCTGAAGCCAACTTCTATTCGAGCCGAGCTACCAAGCTCGGTCGACCAAGATGTGGGTGAGACCTGCCCGGGCTCATCAGGACGATAGGTCGGTCCATGGCGATGGGAATGCGAAAATGCTATTCCTATTCTATTGTCCTTCGAGCCAGCGGTCTCGTTGCATTGGTGAGGACAGCACGCTTTACCGAATTCGATCTAGTCTCACTTTAGCTGGTATTCCGGCACCGACGTCTCTGATTCTCACAAACCCTCGTGAACTATCAGCATCGCAGTATGCTACTAAGATACTCATTGATCTTCAATCTCCTTGACTGGTTGGGGAATGTTCGTTTCCCCATCGTGCTTGAAGGCAAAGCCGAGTTTTTCTATCAGCTTTTTGACCAAAATAGCTTTCGTACACAATGTCGTCGTTCACCCAAGGCTTAACGCCCCCCTTGAAATAGGCACGATCTGCGACTTATCTAGCCGGACACGCTCCTCGTTCGAAAGTAGTGCGATAAGAGGGACCAGAGGTGGACGTGGGAGAGGGCTCTGTACCAGATCAAAGGTTCCTAAAGCCATTCACCTGAGCAGGGTTCCAAATAGCTCCTTGGATAGATGTGACTCTTCGAGAAAAAACTGCCCATTGCCCCGTCCGTGCACCGCTCGACCTGGCTCGACTTTCGTGACAATGTTCAAACCGCGAAAGCGACACGACCATCGATAGGGTGCCCAGTAATGGTCGTCGTCGCCAGCCGCCCCGAGTTTCCTGCATGCCACTGCATGTTACCACCTACTTCCTGTAGTCATCTCCACGCAGAAGCACGACGCGTGCAGGAAACTGCCGCAATCGCTCCCGTTCAACTGGCGCGAGCTGTGCTGCAACTCAACAACGGTCCATTCGTCCGGCTTGTAGAGCTCCTTGAGCTCATGCTTGACGTATTCGTGGAGCCTTTCGACAGAAGCGATGGAGGTGGCAGGAATGGCAGAGGTGGTGGAGGCTGTGAGATCCGTTGTCGAAAAGTGTGGTGAACTCTCCGGCGGCCGATACGGTGGTAGGTATATGCGGGAACTGTAGCTCGTTCCTTTCCCAGGTTTGCGGAATGGTAATTCCAACTTCCAAAGAATTGAGCACTAAACAGAAAGCCAGGACGGACTCGAGAACTTCGAGCAGGAACGCCCCTGAGCAAGAAGCAATTTTAGCATTCACGACTCTGCTAATCTAAAGCATCCGAAAGGGTGTCCAGCCAGTACTCAAGGGGTGATGGGCGTCTTCCAGAATTTCAAAAGTTCCAGATTCGAAAGTCTTACATTTGGGGTTTAAGATCACCTAGGTATTTAAAGAGGAACCCAGGAGCAAGAAAATAACAAAACATCCCAAGGGGAAGCCGGGATCGAAAGGACAGGTCGTTCCTCCACGGCTCGGCTGGGTGGGGTATCTTAACAACAGAACTCCAAAAATTCTTGAACTCGAAGCCAACCCCTGAGAAAAAAACGCCAATACTCTGAGTCTCTCTGCGCCCAATACTCCAGTTTGCAAAAAGGTTCTTAAAGTAGCTCTTTGGACATCTGTGGTGGTGATGGAAGCGGTTGTCATTAATTTTTATTTAGATTTGCGAGGTCCATTAAGCAAATTGGTAATTTGTGGGATTGGGAAGGTGTAAGATGGCGGGTGTCGCGATTTCCTACGGGATCAACCGCGCCTTCGTGCGCGGCACGATCGCCAGCACCATTACCAATGGGCATCCAGCGAAGTCTGAGTATTGAGCATGGAGGTGTTCGCGCGCTTACAGAATTATTTCCAACTCTCGACCTGCGACCACTCATTGCATCAAGAAAAGTTGGGCCTGACTTCGGGAAGGTACTCTCAAAGTCCTGCACCAATCCATACCATCAGAGAAGGAGGATTGTAGCTACTGACTGCTGAAGGAACGATAGTTTTACAAGGGGACATAGGAGATACAAAGGAAATACATGCGGGACTCGAGAATCGAAAACGGATGTTCTGGTCTTCGAGGAATGGGTCCTCAAGAAGTGGACAACTCAGAAGCCTAGAAGCATACAAATAAATACCTAAGTGACCCCTCGACTACGTTAATCGAATGATCTGATCTCAAGGGACATGGAGTCTCAAAAATGTGTGGGAGGTATTTGAGTCATCGACTTAAAGCCGGAATCAAAAAGTTAGAATCCCTGTTCTCTCGCTTTTGTGGAAAAGAGGAGATCCGGGAAGCAACACAAGTATTAGAAGAGTATGACAGCAGAAGTTATATGATCAAAATGGTATGCTAAATGGCTTCAGGGCCCTATGCTACTGTACAAACCTAGAGAATCATGCATCATGCTGCCCACACGGCAATCTGGGGTAAGCTCGATGACTGAGATCCCAAACCTAACCAGACTCAGACCCAAAAACAGCATTTAGAAGACGCCAGTTTCAAGTTAATCTTAATGTATCCATGCGCATTGATTCAACTCCCCAGGAGCACGACCATTGAGAATTGTAACTGCCATCCGCTCCCAAGCCTCGTGTCATTTCCTCATTCAGCGTGTTCCGTGTCAAAGATTTGCGCGGAAAAGAGACTTGAATGGCGAGGCGAAGAGAGCCATTGCAAATTGAGTAAAGGATGAACTCGACCTTGTAGTGTTCCTTCAACTTGTGCTGGAGATAGACGCGGAACGGTGTACTCTCCGCCATCCCAACCATGAGAATCGAGATATTCAGTGGCGCGCTCCGGAACTTTGACGCACACCAAGGCGTGTTGTTGTTGTATAGTAGAGGCTTCCTTTTTTTTCTTTGTTTCCTACGACCTCGACATCAAGGCGAAAAAATGCAGAAGGGCAGCCGAAACGAGGTAACTCCTAGAGCCCTTCCACGCTTAGGACTTCAGTTCCACTGCATGCCCCAAAATTTGCCCGACTGCGAATCCCAAGATTTCCGCCTACATGTATCAGGGGCTGAAAATCCGGGAAGCTTGGAGGTATTCTGTCAACTCCGACCTTTCGACATTCGCGCCTCACTCTTATGATCAGTGAGTTGAAACACTGGCCTTGGAGGCATTCAAGCATGGCATTCATGCATTCATTAAACTCCTCTTCACTGTAAGAGTTGACATCTCATTAGAGAGAACTCAACAAGCTGCAAACACTGGATCCTGGAGGTACTCACATGGACAATCTATTAACAAAGCTCGCACTCGCCCATTGCGAATAACCGAGAACCTCGTAGGGACCCTGGAGCAGTTCAGAGACTCGAACCCCACTAAAAATGCGAGGGTTGCAATCTGCGATTCTGCGACACCGAGCATCTGAAACTGGAGCCTGGAGGTACTCGCACATTCAACAGACCCATCTAGACTCCGAGAATTAGAATATTGAAAATCGCAACTGTGAGAATTCGGGGCTCCTATGAGGCACTCAGGAGGTATTCAGGTATCCTAACCAGGAATCGAGCAGCCAAAAATGCAAGAATTGCAAATCACAATTCTGGGAAATGGAGGGTCCGAAAATGTACCCCGGAGGTATGCACAGAGTCAAACTACCTCTAGAGAGCGAGAATCGTAAATCGCGATCTTGGAGAATTTAAGTGATGAAAGGGTACCTGGGAGATATTCAGAGTATTCGGATGTCGATCAAAGAGTCCAAGACTGGCAGAATCGCAAGTCCCAATCTTGGCAATATGGATGTTTGAAGTAGGAACCCCCGAGGCATTTAGAGTATTCAGACGCCGATCGAGAGTGCAGAATTGCCAAAATTGAGAATTGCGATTTTGGCAATCTGGAGGTCTGAAGTAGGACCCTGGAGGCAGTTAGGGTTTCCATCTCGGACACTAGACTGCCAAAACGTGGGAATTATAACCACCATTTTGCGAAATCGGAGCACCTGAAACTGGAGCCTGGAGGTATTCAGACGATGACAACAACACAATTCATTACTTCGTATAGCCTTTATGGCTGGGTGGGGTATCTTAATCGACTCAACTCCAAAATGCCCAAAACCAAAACCAACCCCCGCAAGAAACCATAACGCCCTGAATCCCTCCACGCTCAGTAATCCAACTCTACAGGATGCCCAGTAATAATCGTCATTGCCAGCCTCTCCCTGGCCTCCAGCATGCCATTGCATGCTATAACCTTCTTGCATTCATCGCCGCGCAGCAACACCAGAGCGTTGAGCAGCACAAACACGCCGCAGTCGCTGCCGTTGAGCTGCCGAGAGCTGCGCTGCAGCTCGACGACCGTCCACTCCTCTGCCTTCCACAAGTCCTTGAGCTCATTCTGGAGGTATTCGCGAAGTTTTGCGACGTACTTTGCGCCCTCCCAGCCCAGCGAGTCCAGGTATTCAATCGTCCGCTCCTGAGGCTTGACAGCGAGCAGTCGCCAGTGGGATCCGTCGCAGATGGGAAATAGGACGATCTTAGCGTCCAAAAATTGTGCGCCACCAAGGCCGACTCTACCAGCCCACCGTTCGACCTTCTTTACGCCACCCTTGATGGAGGTGTACCAGTGTGAAGAGAAAGCGTGGTATGGTGGAGCCGGACCACCACGCTTGTAGACGAAGCCGCAGTCATCATTCAGGGATTTCATGATAACGAAGAGGTACTGGTTGACGATTTCATCATTCAGCCATGCTTTTGCGCTGCCATTGAACTGATCAGGTAGCAGGGTGCCGAAGTCCCGGGCAGAGATCTTGTCGGGCAAGATGGGATACGACTCGTTGCGGCCATGTTTGGACTTGGTGGCGATATCCTGAAGCTGGGCGCGCTCCTTGTCTGTAAGTGGGGCGATGAGTGGCTTTGGCGGTGGCGGTGGCGGTGGCTGCCGCGCCAGGAGGTTCTTGAAGTCATCTTCAAGATCTTGAAGCAGCTCACTGGACAGCTGGGATTCTTCGAGAGAACCATCCAAGGATGGGCCATCAACGGAATCGTCCGAGTCAGAAGTGGGGCAAGGGTTCTTAAACGTAATACCCTGGAGGTCTTTGGCGTCCTCATCGTCGTCCTCATCATCTTCGAAGTTCGGCTTGGGAATAGGTAATCGAATCGAATCTAGGGTGGAGTCCAGCATATCGCTGATGCGCTCGTCGACGTAATAGGACTTGACGCGGCTCTGGGAAGCCCATCGAATGCTCCTTTTCTGGGAAGGTGAAGGTGATGGCGTACGCAAGGACTCGAAGCTGCTGCTGAGGTTGCTAGCGTCGGGGCGATATGAAAGGTCAATGTCGACGGTCTCGACAGGGTTGAGGAAGTTGTGCTCGGCTGTGGCCCGTGCTTCGGCGTCTCGGTTTTCCCGATCCTCGAGCTCAGCCTTGTATCGAGCGCTGGCTGCGACTGCAGGCGCGTTGATGCTAAGGACTGACGACTCCAGTGCCTTCTTCTTCAGCTCGGTGATGGTGAGGCTGGGTGAGATTGGTAAGGCCCAGGTGTGGTCGGGTTGGCGCAGGACTGGTGACGAGGTGACTGTGACTGCCTCCACAGCCCGCAACTGCTTCTTAAGGAGCTGCTTTCGCATCGGGGTGACGGAGGAGCGGCGAAGAATCGTGAACTGGGAGTTGGGGGAGATGACCCTCGTCTTGGGTGTGAGAGTCCCTCTCTCGGGTCGTCGAAGCCAGCTGATACCGGTGGAAGAGCCGGTTCGAGGGTTGTGAGGTGGTGTGCCGGAGTCGACATCGTCCATCGACCAGTCAAGGCTGTCGTCGATGCCGTCATCCTGGAGGCCTTCAGAGTGTTGAGGTAAGTTGGAGGTTGGGCTGGGAGGTATCTCGACCCAAAGGCCGGGAGTGCGCGTGACGTCAGGGCCTTGACGACCTGCAGAGTCGCGTCTGCGGGTTGGGGTAATGGGCGCAAGACCTGCATCGACTAGGCGTCTCTTCGATGCGCCGTCCTGTCTGATGATGGGGACTGCGACAATCTGCTGCGGACGCGTGAAGCGCTGCCTAAGGCGTCGGGGTGTCTTGCAGACCTCCAAGGTGATGGATGTCGCAAAGTGGGCGAGAGTGGTGAGGAAGGACGTGCTTGTGGCAGGAGCGGACGCCTCCTCGATGATTGAGTTATCCTCTGGCCATTGGCCAGGGACATAACGTGCTGGCGACGAGTAGATGTCCTGCCATGGTGTGAGCTCATTGTCAGACAAAGAGCAGAAATGAAAGACAAACCTGTGGCTCTGCAGCGAACACGTCGCCTTGGATGCCGGCAGGTTCGTCGAAGGCGCGACCGAAGTCACGCTTAGAGCAAGCCATCGCGAAGTGCGAGTAGCTGTGCGCGTGTTAAGTGTTGTACAAGTGCAGTTGCGACTGTTGCGACTGTTGCGACTGTTGCGACTGTTGCGACGGGTGGTGGAAGAACAGTACCTGGAAGTCGCGACGCATTTAAGTGGGGAGTGGAAGGGCGGGAGATCCTTCCGCGACATTTATCTAGCAGGAGCGGTAGGTTCGAGCGCGGAATAGTAGAGGCGGTCAGAGTTCAAAGCCGACGTTTAGCCGCTAGGCGCCCAGCCGGTGCGACGATCATGTGACTGTGTCACGGATACAAGTAACGCCGCCACCGATCGCGGCTGAAGCCAAGCACAGCGGCATCCGTGCAGTGTGGTACGCATGCCATTTCATGCTCCATTCTTCTGCTGAACCCTGTTACCGCTCGTGATATTCCTCGACTCGCTCAGAACACCTTTCGGTCTTACTGCCTGCCCCACGAACCCCACACTCTCTTCGAATCTGGTTGCCCGCCAGTGGCACGTCATCTGCCAAGTTTGAAAGGGCAAGAACCCCTCGACAGCTCGACCTCCACAACAAACGACCCCCACCTGCCCGTCACCGCACCCGCCGCGCCGCAACCATGGACACGAATATGGAGGACGTCAAGATGCCCGAGCCTATGCAGCTCTCGTCAGTTCCAGCATCTGAGCCCACCACAATCCCTACGCTGGACGGCTGGATTGAGAGCCTGATGACATGCAAGCAATTGGCGGAGAGCGATGTACAGAGGCTGTGCGACAAGGTATGCGACGACGCGCGCAAACAACTTGTGGAGAGCAAATGGATACTGATGTGCCGGGTGACAGGCTCGTGAGGTGCTTCAGGAAGAGTCAAATGTACAACCTGTGGTATGTGCCTTTCCCCTGATCCTGCGATGCTACGGCTTACATCTGCGCAGAAATGCCCCGTCACAGTCTGCGGTGATATCCATGGACAGTTCCACGACCTGATGGAGCTGTTCAAGATTGGTGGCCCCAACCCAGACACGAACTATCTCTTCATGGGTGCGTTCACCACATACGTTGCTGTGTCGCGTGCTGATCGTTTCTAGGTGACTACGTCGACCGAGGTTACTTCTCTGTCGAAACCGTGACCCTTCTCGTTGCACTTAAGATTCGATACCCCCAGCGCATCACCATTCTCCGCGGAAACCACGAGTCGAGACAGATTACCCAAGTGTACGGTTTCTACGACGAGTGCCTTCGCAAGTACGGCAACGCCAATGTCTGGAAATACTTCACAGACCTCTTCGACTACCTCCCTCTTACCGCCTTGATCGACAACCAGATCTTCTGTTTGCACGGTGGTCTCTCCCCTAGCATCGACACGCTCGACAACATCAGGGCGCTTGACCGCATCCAGGAAGTACCACACGAAGGGCCCATGTGCGACCTTCTCTGGTCAGACCCCGATGACAGGTGTGGTTGGGGAATATCTCCTCGCGGTGCCGGTTACACATTCGGCCAGGACATCTCGGAGGCGTTCAACCACAACAACGGCCTGACTCTGGTGGCGCGAGCCCATCAGCTGGTTATGGAGGGTTACAACTGGTCACAAGACAGGAATGTCGTGACCATCTTCTCCGGTAAGACACCCCTTCAATTGTCCGCTAATATCCTTACTCACAAACATAGCACCCAACTACTGCTACAGATGCGGTAACCAAGCGGCCATCATGGAGATTGATGAGCATCTCAAGTACACTTTGTATGTCAAACCCTTTATCGTACGCTTTCCCAACTGACCTAATAACAGCCTACAATTCGACCCCTGCCCGCGCGCTGGCGAACCGATGGTCTCGCGTAGGACACCAGACTACTTCTTGTAGAGAACACCAACGTCCCTCGATACATGGCTTGATAGAGCAAGGAAGCAGCATAATACGAACTATACACGACCACTCATGGCAACGTGCTGGTCTGTCTTTAGTGCACGCCTGATGACGACGCTACACGACGTCTCAGGGATATGACAGGGGCCTGCGAACCTAGAGCCCTGGCCCAGCTGGCCAACGATGATGATGAAGTCTATTGCTATTCAGGAAAATTGCGTACATATGTAGACTCGAAAGCCGTGTACTAGTAGGTACATGCAAATTTACGATGGGCAATGACTTCTGTGTTCTTAACGTTCTCCGCGTTTCGATTCATCGCGCCTTCTTATTTGAAGAGTGGTTCTACCCTTCTCAGATCCGCTGACCGTTAGCTCTTCCTTGACGTGCATAATTTATTTACTTACATGGTCATCTTGCCAGTTGTCGTTTTCCATTACACTACCCATCACAATCCCGATTGCTTCCACCACCGTCTCACATACGCAACGTTTTCACTCCTCATGGCACTATATCTATCTCTGCTACGCTTGGCGGCTAATGCCGACGATGCATGCCTGTAAGTCTGTCCATCACGTCCATCACACACTCTTCGCCAACCGTTGTCACGCATCTTACGCTTGCATTACTTATGTCATTAACCTTGAACAGGCGATTCAAATCGCGGCATATTTTCTGCACGCTGCATCCACGCCCTGTGTAATCAGAGCGCACGTCTACGGCTGACGATTAGTGACTGAATACCACACTGTGTATTCGCTCTGGCAAATGTCCTCATTCTTCAGTCGACAGTCGTATCAACAATCATATCTTTCTTACTGCGTGACACTTTACTGGATTGATGGCCAAGTAAGAGCACCGCAAACCGAAGTGGTGCATGGTTCTGAGCTCAAGTTCTATTACGCGCACAATCCACTACTTAGCAAATGACTCTGATAGACACCCCACTCAGTCATCACTATTCCCTTTATCATCCTTCCTCCCAATGAACAGCGCAGCCAACACGGCCGTAACCGCACACACTCCAGCCAATACTGCGTTCATGTTCCCGTACCCTATTCTCTCCCTCAGTGCACCAGCGAGAAGCGGTCCTATAGTCAACCCCCCACTAAACACCATATTGTTGATACCGTATAGCTGGGCCCACGGAGCCCCTTCGATGAAGATATCCTTGTTGGCATTTGAGTAGTTCTCCACCAAGCGTCCGGCCTCGACAATGCTGGGCGAGCCGATGATCGCGAATCCTGCGCCGTTGAGTGCGAGGATCGATGCGTAGAGTGCAATGAGATGGCCGTTGTCGAGCTTCTCGATGATTGAGGTCTCCTCTGGTAGACGAAGGAGGATAAGAGATGGAACGAGGAAAGCGAAACCGATAACAGAGAACAGCCGAGCTCCGTATCGATCGACTGCCCATCCGAACGCGGGGCCGAGGAAGAAGTCTGCGCCACCGAGAGGGAGGAATAGAAGGCCGGCCTTCAGGCTGTCGAAACCAAAGGATGATTTTGCGACGAGCGGGATGGTGGCGTCGAATGAGCCGAGGAGCGTGGCTTGCATGAACGCGATGAAAATAGCGGTTAGAAGACCTAGATCCCGGAGGAGCAGCAGAATGGGGAGTTCGCGGGTTATGCGGTTCTTTGGGAGGGATAGACGGAAACGCTCGTCGAAGGCTGATGTGTGAGAGTCTGGCAGGAGGGGGGTTTGCTCAGTGTCTTCAGTCTCGCTCGCGCCATTGCTCTGTTGTGTCTGCCCATTGGGATCGGAAGGGAGGTACTTATCGGCAACTCTCTTCTCAACCATCAAGATGCGCAGAATGAAGTCGATAGCTACAAGGCCGATGCCTACGCCGAAGACACCATTGTAGCCTGTCTTAGCGTACAGCAACCCGCCGCATATGGGTGAGAAGAGACCGGCGACGGAGATGAAGCTGAAGATCGTTCCCATCGTTCTGCCTAGGTTCTCTTGCCCGACGGTCTCGACGATGATGGCCAGGCCGAGTGTCCAGACCACGCCTATCACAGTCAGTACATCAATGTGTATGGAAAGGTTGAGGACTGCGCACCTCCTGACGCTCCCTGCAGTAGCCTCCCAACAATCAGCACCGCAATGCTCTGGCCGAAAGCAAACATGACCGTTGCAGCGACAAGCATCAACAAGCTGACTGTGAAAGGCAGCTGGCGTGAGGAAGCGAATTTGTCGGCCAGGACGCCAGTGATGGGCGAGGCGGCGCATGATGCTGCTGCATAGACGGCTAGAAGCATGGAGATGGTGCCTTGGATTTGCAATTCGGGAGTGTTGATGCGGTCTTTGAGGAGGAAAGGTAGGACTGGAACGATGAGACCGTAGAGGAAGAGATCTGTAAAGGCACCCATGCCGACGGTCGTGGCGATGAAGAGGGTGTGTGAGCGCCATTGTAGGCCTGCTGGAGGCTTGTCGCCGCCGAGACCTAGTGACTTGAACATTGTGGAGGTAGTGTCACTCAAGCTGTGCGATTAATTGAGGGTTCAAAAGTCCTAAGCTAGCTCTTTCCCCTATTGTGTCGGCTGTGTACAGGGAGTAGCCACGATTGAGACCACCTTCACGCGTCTCCAAGGTATCAGTAGAAGCACACAAACCAGAACGTACATATAATGCAACTGGACTTTAATCAACATACGGATGGTTCGGCATCCAAAAGTGATGTTGTTTTGCGACAGTGACGTCAGCTTAGGCTTCTCTGATGTCAGCTCATTCTCTTGTCTAAGTGCGCCATTCAAGCAGCTGTAAAGGCGATTTTCCTAAGCACGAGATAGCCGCATCAAGCAGCACTGCGTACAACTTCAGAATTAGGTGCTGCAACCACGATGGAGTATCAATTGAGTTGTGCGGTAATCAACTGAAGACCGCTGATACAGATCCATTGGCCATTCGTGCAGTGTACGTTTAGCAAACCTAAAGTACTCCAGGGAGAAAGATGTTCCGTCGGAGAAGGCAAGGCTGAGATATGCACTGTAAAGGAAGAAGTGAAGCCGCCTGCACGTGACATTTCACTAGCGCGATTCTGCCGCGACCTCGTCGGGATTCCAAAAGCACAGGCTTCCGACCTTCATATCTACGTGCCTCTCCACTCCACACCAATACCACAAGTGCACCAGTCGCTCAACATGGCAGACAGAATGGAGGGCGTAGTAATGAGCGGCGGAGTGCCCCAAATCGACGTCTCCAAATACCCCGTTCCCGTCGAAACGTAAGTCTTATACCGCAGTAGCTGTTCAAGGTAGGTCTTGCCATACTGACATCGTGATTTCAGAATATACGTAAGTCCAACCACATGAAATATGCGCACGCATTGCACACCGCGGCGCACTAACATCTCTCTAGGTCAACAACCTCGAAGAGCGCGTCAAGATCGACACCATGAAAGAGGCCCTCACACGAGTCTTCCAGTACTACGGCCCCATTCTCGATGTAATCGCCAAGTCCTCGTTGAAGCGTAAAGGTCAGGCATTCATCGTGTTCGACAGCGAGAAGAGCGCGCTCGATGCAGTAGAGGAGATGAATGGCTTCGAGCTCTACGGCAAAGTGATGAAGGTCTCGCGCGCAAAAACCCACAGCGACGAGACGGTGAAGCGGAAAGCGGCTGAGATGTTCGAAGAGCACAAGAGGAAGCGGTTGATGCTGAAGGGTACGTCCAACACTCCCAATCGCAATTGGGAACGGATGATGCTAAAATCCCACAGACTTCAAGCGCGCAGAAGAAGACGCCAAAGCTGCAACCCTTCCCCCCACAACAGAACCCACCAAACCCCGGCCCGCCAAATCCGGCGCCGCCGTCGTCCCCGACGAGTACGTGCGGCCCAACAAGACGCTGTTCCTGCAGAACATCCCGCGCGACGTCGACGAAGAGGCGCTGTCGGATATCTTCGAGCGGTTCGAGGGTTTCAAGGAAGTGCGTCTTGTGTCGGTCAGGGCGGTGGCGTTTGCAGAGTTCGAGAACGAGCAGTTTGCTATTACGGCCAAGGAGGCGACGAGTGGGACGCTGGTCGGCAAGGAGGGCGTGCCGATGAAGGTCACGTATCAAAGGCAGTAGATGGGGTCAAGATTGGAGATGGTGAAAGAGGGGTAATGATGTTTATGATACCTTGTTTAGATTATACATGGACGGTCAAAATGCAAGACTGTCGCTGCTTGTTGTGTTTGCGCTCTATGTGGTGTGCAATCATCTTGTGTTCAGATTGGCAGGATTTGAGATGCACTGAAAACCGCCAACGGCTGAGCGTCTCTGATAACTATGGAGAAATGCTTAGAAAATGACGTCCTGGTTGTCCTCGTCGCCCAGCAGGTCTTTGCTCTCGGTCACTTCCTCTGCAGCCTTTTTGGGCTCACCCTCTTTGGGCTCACCCTCTTCATTGGCCGCCTCTGCGGCTTTCTTCTCCTGTCTTATGGCCTCTTCAGCGGCAGCATCTCCCTTTTTCTTCGCGGACACTTTCTTCAGGCGGTAGAATTCCTCTCGGTCCAGTTCGTCGAGCTCGGAGTTGATGTACTTGATTGTGTTCTCGGTTCTGGGAATGATGACGTGCTCACTGGTGGACGTTAGCTGTAGCCCAGCTAGACGTACTGAGCGAACTCACATGGCGTTAACACGGCGGTTGACCACCTTGATGACCTCGTCCAGAATGACGAAAGCAGTCTGCAGACTTGCAAGCTCCACTAGTGTCTCCACTGCGCGCGCATATGTCTCTCTACACCTTTGGATCTGCTGTCCACCCTTACCCAGACCTGTCAGTGCGAAGTCGTTGTTGGCCTCGACTGTGAAGCTTTCAAACTGAGGCAGGAAGACACCAGAGACGTTCTCCTGCTTGGTTCGTACACGGAACCGTGCTTGCTTGGCTGACTCTTGGATCTGGTAGCCGATATCACCGCCAACGGCGTATGAGACTTCGGCGAGGGAGAAGGCGGCCACTTGCATGACCCTGCCCATCTTGCGCTTGGCCTCATCGATCCGGCGTGTGATTTCTGGACACGTCTTAGTATGGTAAAGTGTATGAAGGATATGACATAATCGCACCTCGGAAACGTCTGTGTACGGTCAGTCGGGGGTCAGGTAGAGATAGCACATGTCAATGCCTACTTTGTCAAGGCCTCACTCTTCCTCTTCAGCAGATCGTGCCCCTGCTGGGCGGCCTTGAGCTTCGTCTTCATCAACCCCAGCGACTGGCGCGTGGGGAAGACTGCTTCCCTGGCCTGGCAGTGGTGTTAGTGGGCCAACCACTGCATAGATAGCTGTGCGATAATCGAACATACCCCGCTGCCAGACATGACGGCGACTTGTACAGTGAATGAGCAAGGCTATAGAATCAACCGAAAAACAGCCGTACAATGGCCGGCGTGTGGTGCGATAGTCGGACGAGGAGGGTGCAGGCGCAGGCTGCTTGCATTCGTGAACACGAGCGGAACGTGACGCAGCTACGCCGGCAGGAAGCTCAGACGCACCTGCCAACTCTCTCGACGTGGGGCGGCTAGCTGCACGCTGATTGGCCCTGCAGCTGACCGCAAGACTCCGAGCCTCCGAGCGCAGCAATGTTCAGAACCTTAAACGCTGCACGTTGAGACGACGCTCGCCCAGCAGCCCTCGCACGCCCGACCTCACCGCGATCCCCGCCGCCCGACCGCGGGCAGTCGACCGCCCACCCTGGCGCAGCAATGCCCGCTCAGATCCTCCAGACCGTGACCGCGAGCCTCGCCCGGCCCGGCAGCAAGCGCAAGATGGAGCGCGCGCAGGACCTCTTTCTGATCACCGACCAGGACGTCGCCTACGAGCAGGATATCCAGCGCAACGCCGGCAGCGTCAAGCCATGGCTGGACTACTACAGCTTCAAGCGCAGCCGCGGCAGCATCCTCGAGCAGGCCTTCGTGCTGGAGCGCGCCGTCACCACCCTGCCGCGCTCCTACAAGCTGTGGAAGCTGTACCTGGAGCTGCGCACCCGCCATCTCGCGAAGAAGAACCCGGCCAAGTTTGCGCCGCACTTCCTCAAGGTCAATTCGCTGTTCGAGCGCGCCCTGGTCCTGCTGAACAAGATGCCGCGCATCTGGGAAATGTACCTGGCCTTCCTCATGCAGCAGCCCCTCGTCAGCACCACCCGTCGCACCTTCGACCGCGCCCTGCGAGCCCTGCCCCTCACTCAGCACAACCGCATATGGGCCCTCTACCGACCCTTCGCGACCTCTGCTTCTGGCGAGACGGCCGTCAGGATATGGCGGAGATACATGCAGATCCACCCCGAGGACGCCGAGGACTTCATCGAACTGCTCAAGGACATGCGCAAGTACACCGAGGCCGTCAAGAAGTACATGGAGCTTCTCAACAACCCGCATTTCAAGAGCAAGGAGGCCAAGGGACCCTTCCAGTTCTGGACTGAGATGATCGACCTGCTGATCGACCATGCCAAAGAGATCGACGCCAGCGACGACAGCGGCATCGATGTCGAGAAGATTATCCACAGCGGTATCGCCAAGTTCCCCGACCAGCGAGGTGTGCTTTGGGTCGGCCTGGCGCGGTACTGGATGCACAAGGGCGAGTACGAGAAGGCACGAGACGTGTTCGAGGAGGCCATCACCACTGTCATGACCGTTCGAGATTTCTCCATGGTCTTTGACACCTACGTCGAGGCCGAGGAAACCATGATTGGGGTCAAGATGAACGACGCAGCTGCTCGTTCAGACAAGGGCAAAGTGGACGCAGCTGCTGACGCGGATCTTGACATCCGGCTCGTTCGTTTCGAGTCGCTGATGCAACGGAGACCGTTCCTACTCAACGATGTCTTGCTGCGGCAGAACCCACACAATGTCATCGAATGGGAGAAGCGCGTGGCCTTGTGGGGCGACAACAAAAAGGAGGTGGTCCAAACTTACACAGATGCCATTGCCGCGATTCACCCGAAAAAAGCAGTGGGCAAGTTCCACGAGCTCTGGACAAACTACGCCAAATTCTACGAGGCTGGTGGTAGCTTACACAACGCTCGCGCCATCATGGAGAAGGCCGTCAAGGTTCCCTTCAAGTCGGTTGCCGAACTTGCCGAGATGTGGTGCGAGTGGGCAGAGATGGAGCTGCGCAACGAGAACTTTGACAAGGCGGTCGAGATCATGGCCAAGGCTACGCAGGCGCCTAAGCGATCGAACGTCGACTACTTTGATGAGTCCTTGACACCGCAGCAGCGTGTTCACAAGAGCTGGAAGCTGTGGAGTTTCTACGTCGACCTCGTAGAGAGTGTCAGCACGCTGGAAGAGACCAGGAAGGTGTACGAGAGAATCTTTGAGCTTCGCATCGCTACACCGCAAACCGTCGTCAACTACGCCAACCTGCTCGAGGAGAACAAATACTTCGAAGACTGCTTCAAGGTCTACGAGCGCGGTCTCGACCTCTTCAGCTACCCGGTCGCATTCGAGATCTGGAACTTGTACCTCACCAAAGCCGTCGACCGCAAGATCGGCATGGAGCGCCTGCGAGACCTTTTCGAACAAGCCGTCGAAGGCTGTCCACCCAAGTTCGCCAAGGTTCTATACCTCATGTACGGCGCCCTCGAAGAAGACCGCGGCCTCGCACGCCACGCAATGCGCATCTACGAGCGTGCAACCCGCGCCGTCGCCGACGAAGACCGCATGGACATGTTCAACTTCTACATCACCAAATCCGCATCTAACTTCGGCCTCACATCCACACGCCCGATCTACGAGCGCGCTATCGCCGCGCTACCAGACGCCGAAGCAAAGGAAATGTGCCTCAAGTTTGCAGATATGGAGAGACGGCTGGGGGAAATCGACCGCGCAAGAGCCATCTACGGTCACGCGTCGCAGTTCTGCGACCCCAGAACGAGCCCCGAGTTCTGGAAGAAGTGGGAGAGCTTCGAGGTCCAGCACGGAAACGAGGATACTTACAAGGAGATGCTGCGTATCAAGCGCAGTGTTCAGGCTCAGTACAAGTACGTTCCTTTCCCCTTCCGAACTTTTCCCCCGCTTTGAGCAACATACTAACACGCCACAGCACGGACGTCAACTTCATCGCCTCGCAAGCCGTCGCGCGCGGGCAAGCCAACGACAGCTCCGAAACTCTCGTGGACGACTCAGCGGCTGGCGAAGACGCCATGGCCGCGCTTGAGCGCCAGGCTCGCGCTCCTGCTGGTTTCGTCGCTGCCAGCACTGGTCTCAAGGGGAACATTGCCGCTGTGGAAGACACAGCTGCGAACCCAGACGCAATCGATCTTGATGACGACGATCTATGATCCACTCGCGGTGGACCACTTTAGGGATAGAAGGATTGGGGACGGATGGATATCTGGGGTGTGCATATCACGGCGTTTGGGTCGCCTCTCCACGAGATGGCGTTTGTGAATTTGTACGTGTATGGCCTAGAGCCATTGCATATTCGGCGCGTCTACTTTCCTTTATCGCTTTGCGTGTGGGAGATATCAAAATGAATTTGCGACTCCTTACCAGCCGGGAACCGGACTTTTCCTTTGTGTTGAACGAGATGGTGGATCTTTTCTTCTTTTCCTACACCCTTCAATTCGTATATATCAGATCGAAACTCATACAAAACATCTCACATATCAACCCGAGCTTCGTACTCCAAGCTAGCTATGAAATGGTCGATGCACGTTACACGACAACTCCCAGCGAGTTCTCGCGCGCTAGGACAAGAACATTGAAGCGATGAACAGAACGAATGTACAGCGATGAACATTATCGAATGTTTGATTGATATGATGTCCGTAGTATAGCAACACTCCATCATCTGCCCAACAGTAGAGAGCCGACGGTCCTTCCGCCGTCAAACAAGCGCCGAAGCGCCGTCAACACCATAGCAAAGAGAAACACGCCAAACCCCTACCTCATTCTACCGACTCCAACATAAACGCCATCGCAAATGCAAACATCCCGAACCTCTAGCCTCCGAGCTCGTGCGCTTTACTCATCCAGACTCCCCATCTTGCTCCTCGCCCTCTTCGGACTACTCGCCCTGCTCCTGATCCTCTCCCTGCTATCAGTCCTGGACAGCAATCCGCCCCGATCAATCGCATTCAGCGGCCCCAGCCCTAACCCTTGTCCCGCGCTCACCAGATCCGCCTGCCCGGATGTACCGAAGTAGCCAGGAGTGAGCGGCTCACTCGTCTTGATCTGCGGCGTCGCCCAGCCACTCGTTCGCCCGACTCTCGACCCCTCCGAATCGTCGGAGAAGTGGCGGTCATCATCTGAGGAATCGAGGTACGTTTCTTCGAGCTCGAAGCCGTTGTGCGACAGGCCGTCCTCGCCGGCGTCGACGCGCTCATAGTCCTGTCCTGCGCTCCCGCCCAGCCCGAAGAGCTTTGAGGGTAGGAAGCCGCGGCGCTTGCCTTTGAGGGGCGTGTGCGTTTTGCCTGGTTTCTTTTTGAGGAGGGAGACCGCGTACTGCCGGACGAGCGCGCGTTTCTCCTTGCCGAGGATGATGCTGAAGATTACGAGCACGATTACGAGAAAGACGAGGAGCGCGGGTATGCGAGACGGGTATTCAACGAAGAGCCTGTGCCAGTTGTCGTCGTCCAGTGGGTCGTGTTGCCATGGGAGGTACGAGCCGCCAGGGTATTGGAAGTCTTTCGGTATGCCGGGCTCATTGGAGCCGAAGCCTACTGCGAGCGCTTTCTCGTCTGGGGGTGGGACTTCAGACGATGCGTAGAGGACCATCTTGCCCAGAGTCCAGGATACTTCTACGTCGTTGATCTTGTTGACGGCTTGGAAGGGGTCGAGGAAGCCTTTCTCTTTCGCGTTGTCTAGAGCGGCTTTGGTGGTGTTCTTCGCGTCGGGGAGCGGTTCTATGCCCACGCGTGGCACGCCGATGCCGTCGTGGAGCATGTTGATTATCCATGATGCCTTGAAGCATACTTCGCGTGCTTTCTCTTCGTCGACCTTCTTGCCCCATTTGCCTTTGTCTATGCCGATCTTTATGTGTTTCCAGTCCTGGTTGCAGAACTCGCTCACGCGCTCTTGGTACGTCTTGAAGTCGTACGCTTTGTCCTCGTGCTTGTCCTTGAAGATGCCATGCGTTGTGTGCCAGTACTCCGATACGCCTACGAAGTGGTTGACATCGAAATCGATCGCGGGTACGTGCTGTCCCTTCAGCAGACAAGGCTCGTCTAAACACTCCTTCTCCTTCTCCAGCAAGGGGAACGTCTGGTGTAGACACTCCTGGAACTTTCCAGTCCCGTGTAGCTTCGCTGCGGCGGCTTTCTCATCCTCATCGTCGTCGTCGTCGCCGTCGTCCTCGTCGCTCTCAATGAGACTCCCATCTTTTGTGACCTCGACCTCTAAGCCAGCGGGTAGACAAGGGTCTGGCAGCTCGTTGGATGCCGTCGAGTCGAGAAGCGCCTTCACGTAGCGTTGCCGCGCCTGGTTGACACCGAAACCCAGCCATGTCGTGACAAAAACCCTGTACTCCAGCGGTGTCCCGTCGACGGTCCGCAGGCGCATAAGCGTCAAGTCGTTCGCATGTTTCTCAGCTTCCGTCGCATTCGGCGCGAACGCAATCTGCGCAGACGCCCCGCCCATATCCAAGAACCCGTACGTATTATGACCTTTCCCGTGCTCGTGGTCCTGCGGCTTGTCGAATCCGCCCAGCAGGTAGTTCGCCGCTATCCAGCCGTACAAGCCCTCTGTCTCGCCCGGGATGACCTGCACGTGGACGTCGCAGTCGGGCAGCTGGAATTTTGTATTCTTGTGCGCGTAGTCGCAGACCTCTTGGAGCACCGCTTTCCGCTGTGCGGCCGGCAGCATGCGCATGCCCGCCGTCGCGAGCAGGAAGAGCGGCGTATTCGACACTTCGTCGGGCGGCATGTGCTTGAGCGCATGGCTGAGCAGCTTGGCGAGGTGGTCGGGCCCGACATCGTGCGGGTGGTCGGCGAAGGTCGAGATGCCGGGATGGATCTTCTTAGTCCACTTCTTGTCTGTTTCTAGGACGGGCAGGGCGTGCGATTGTGCGTCTGTTGCGCCCTTGCGCGCGACGTCGCTGTTCAGCCAGCGGTAGATGTGGACGCGCGTCCCCTTTGCGCCGTTAGCCAGAGACCACGACTGCTGCACTGAATGTGTACGTACGGAAGACCCAGCGTCGAGGACGACGCCGTAGCGCCCTGCAGCCCAAGCCTCGTCAGCGTACTGCGGAATGTGCGGATTGCAGGGCGGATTGGGGTTGCGTACACTTTCCCATGGTGGAGGGCAGGGGTCCAGCAGCTACCAGCAAGAAACCATGCAGCAGCAGCGCAGTGTGTTACAATTCTACAGTGTCGAAGACGCTATGTGCGGCGCGGCCGGTGAAGGTGAAGCAAGGCGGAGGGAGGGTCTAACGAGCGTCGTGGCGGAATTGGTCGTCTTTCGAGGAACGTTCGAAGAGGCGTCGCAATCAATATCCTGGGGCCGCTTTCGACGATCCACCACACCGTTGGAGACAGACAGCTACCGGACTGCCTATCAAACTCTACGCTAGGGTTTCGTTGCCCTCGCTACAAGGGCACCTTTCACCAACAACCAAAACCTGCTCGTATCGTCCAGCTGATAACACGCCGGACTGACAGACTTGGAAGAGGCCACTCCACGTCACGCATCACGCATCACGCTGCACCCCACGCCCCCCCCCCCCTCCCACCCATTGTGAAAGCTTGTGACACGAGGGACGACAGCCTGGTAACACAAAGGGTCCTCCGGTGCTTCTTGGCCTATGCCGCTTTCTGCAGTACTTCCGTCTCCCCACCCGAAAAAAGTGCATGTTGTAGTGCCTTGATAGTGTTTCGTTATGCTAAGCAGCTGGGGTCCGGTCCTGCCATGACCTCACACTCCGACATCTGTCCTGGTCTCGTAAGCCTCGGACGTCACGTGTGTGGTTCTTGAACTTTCTGCACAAGCCCAATTGCAGCAATGCAGCTCAGTGTACAGCTCAGTCCTCCAGCAGGAACCTCAAGAATGCCTGCGCGATGATAACGCCGTCGTGCCTATCCCCCACCCTGCTCAGCGCATCCCTCGCCTGCTCGTCCTCAAAGATACCCTGCTCGGCCCTCATCTTGACGAGTCGGCTCACAATTCCCTCATGGAACTCCGGATGCCCTTGCACCGAGATCAATCTGCCTTTTTGGTACATGCCCTGCGTCAAGCAGCGCGGTGATGCGCCGAGCTTCTCCACGCCTTCTGGGTACTCGAACACAATGTCTTTGTGCATCTGATGAATCGCCTGTGGCAATCAGCATACAATACAAGCACGAGGGGATTTGACTTGCCAGGGTGTCTTGCTGAAAAACCTCCTTGCCCTTCGCTGTAAGCTCAACAGGCAGCACCGAGATCTCCCACCCGTTGTCGCTGCGACCGACCTTGACGCCCATAGCCCTTCCGAGGATCTGGTGCCCAAAACATACTCCTATGATGCGCACACGGTCCTGCTCCAACAACTTCTCTGTGAAGGAGACGAGCTTCAAGATCCAAGGCTCGTTGTCGAAGGAGTTGTGTTCTGTGCTCCATCAACAAACGCTCCTCGACACCCACACTCTGAACATGGCGCGTTGCACTCACTCGATCCACTAATGAGCACCGCATCGATATCCTCCACATTCGGATACTCCTGCTTGGTCACAACTTCAAACGCACTCAACTCCAGATCTCTCTTCGGATCTAAGCCGAGGCCCTCAGCGGCCTTCTCAAGCAGCGTGCTGAAGATGCGGTCATACGCTCCATACAGGGCGACCACGTCTGGCGGCGGGGTATCGCACTGGAGAATCGCTATCCGCAATGGTGTCTTCATGTTTGTGTGTGTGAAGTTTGAGAGCAGAAGTGTGAAGCACGTGGCCTTTGATAGTCGATAACGAGTCACGACTACGCAGGGCGGCGAAGCTCGGGAGAGTTAACTTGATGCGGGTCAAAGCGTCGGTAGAGGTGCCGCAAGGGCGGCTTGATCAACATTCAACGCCGATGACGCTCGTTGTGAGTCGTGCTTCCTCTTCACTCCTTTCGCAATCAGCCCTCGTCTTGGGTTGAACTTTGAACAGTCAAGTTGGTGACGTGCGTTATCGACATGCCATCCCCTGCGCATGCCGGTGCGACATCCGGCACTGGACCCTCGGAGCGAACACCCCTTCTCGCATCACCAGGACTGCGCCAAGAGGACCCTGTACCCATTCAAGAGGAGAATGTTCTGGCTGCGCAAGAAACAGGACAGGGTGGACAGGAGGTGCCGCAGTTTCCAGAGCTGGTCAAGACGATCTCCACTGCGGAAGCTGAGCATCTTGTGAAATTTCAGAAAAATGGATTGTTGGAGGGCGTGCCCGCTTGGCGGTTTAGATTCGTGTTTGGTGGTATATTGATGGGATATTTGGTAAGTCCAATGACGACTTTTAGACTCTGAGAGATGTGATGAACGTTTGTGAGTTTGGTGCTGATTTGTCAAAGGTTGCAATGTTCGACTCCACTCTCATGGCTTCCTCGCACCCAGTCATCACATCCTACTTCCACGCCTCTAACTCAGCATCATGGCTTTCCACAGCATTCCTGCTTACCTCCACATCGCTCCAACCACTCATGGGACGTCTCTCCGACACCATTGGTCGTCGGCCATTGTATCTTGGAGGACTTGTCCTAATCTCAGCAACGACGGCATGGTGTGCTTTCGCCCAATCCATCGGCTCCTTCATCGCCGCACGCGCCTTCTGCGGCATAGGTGCCGCCGGCGTTCTCTCGATGGGCAACGTCATGACCAACGACCTCGTCAGCATCGACGTCCGCGGCACGTATCAAGCGTACATCAATCTCTTCTACGGCGGCGGCTCGGCTTGCGGTGCAGCGTTCGGCGGCTTCTTGTGCGATAAGCTGGGCTGGCGTATGACCTTCGCCATCCAAATTCCCGTCTTCATTCTCCTCCTGATCAACGCCTTCTTCACCACGCCTTCCACCCTCGGCCCCAACCTGCATGCACGCTCAGGCCTAGGCATCCGCGATGCAATGCGCGGCTTCGATATTGCCGGGTCCATGCTCCTCACCGGCTCCGTTGCCGCTCTTATTCTGGGCCTGAACCTCGGAGGCAACGTCTATCCCTGGAAACATCCTTTCGTCATTACCTCGCTCGTTGTTGCTGGCGTTGCAGGCTCCGTCTTGATATATGTCGAAAAGCACGCTAAGAGAGCCGTCATGCCCCTCCCCATGCTTTTCAGTCGACCGCGCGGAAGTCTAGTATTTAACAATTTCTTCGCTGCGCTCGGCATAAACACCATCCTCTTCAACGCACCGCTCTACTTCCAGGCCGTCAAACTCGAATCCGCTTCCCTATCTGGGTTTCGGCTCGGTGGACCCTCTGTTGCGCTGACGATCTGCGGCGTAAGCTGTGGATTCATCATGACTGCCACCGGACGGATGAAGTGGCTCATCATCGTTGGGACCTTGTCGATGCTTGTCGGGAGTGTGTGTTTGAGCGCTATGTGGGACGGCATCCCAGCGTGGGTGGCGACTGTCTTCCTCATTCCGTCGAGCGTTGGGCAGGGTTTGTCATTCCCAGCAACATCACTCGCTGTGCTCGCGACGAGCACGCAGGAAGACCAGGCGGTCATGACGAGCACGTTGCTTCTGTGGCGCAGTTTGGGCGTTGTGATGGGCGTCTCATTCAGTAGTTTGATCTTGCAGAATGCGTTGACTGCGTATTTGAACGCGCTCGTTACTGGAAAGCATAAGGATGAGGTACGCAACCGCTGGTCCAACGACACTCAAAAGCCGACGCTAACATGGCCGTAGATTATCCTTACTGTCCGCAAATCGGTACGAAGTATTATCGATCTCAACCCAAAGCATCAAGCTCAAGTCATCGAAGCATACGACCGCAGTCTGAAGGTTACTTTCGTCTCCACGATCGTAGTCTTCGTCATCGCAAACATCCTCGTCCTAGCCATCAAACTCCCAACCCTAAAGAAGAAAGACGTAGACGAACAAGTAGAGGAAGCTGAACAGCAGTGAAGCATACCCCGCTACATACCTTTGTCCTCAAAATACAACAGAGGTGGCGCCAATGCACAAATAACATCGTAGACAACGTAACACAAATCGGACGTGATCGTTACATACACAACCCACATTCACGCCTTCCACCTTCCACCTTCCACCTTCCACCCCCTACCAATCACTCGCCGTCTCAGTAACCCATTGCACTGCACACTCCCCATGGCAATACCCCCTACACTCCCTACTCTTCGTCACCCTCGGCGTAGCACTACACCCCTCCACCGTGTCCAGCGGCACCGTCGTCGTACTCAAGACAATACAATCCGGGCTCGCACACCCCAACGTATCCTCGGGACAAGCATTCGTCCCGCTCACAGTGTGCGTATAGCACGGTCTGCTGGGCGTCGGTTTAGAGCTCGGCGGCGGGGTGAGCGTGGTCGTTGACAGAGACGGTGGACCGGCGCAGGATGACACGACGGTCCAGGAGGTAGCGCATCCCGTGGGACACGCGGTTGGACAGGGCGCATACACCGTATCCGTTGCCGTCCGGGTGCAGCAGCTATCCGTGATGCACGGCTGCGTGATGGTGGAGAGTTGGAGACAGGCTGGGCGGATGCAGGTCGCGGCGTTGAAGGTGCAGGATGACCATGGTGCGGGCGTGTCGACTTGGGTGCTGAAGGATGGGCAGTGACGGGGGGCGAGCGTGGTGGTGGTGATTGTTGTGCGGATCACGGTTTTGTAGGTGCGAGTAACTGGAGTAGAGGCGGGGCAGGTTTTAGAGGAGAAGGGGGGCGTGTAGGGTGGGATGGCGAGGGTCAGTGTGCTGGTGGTTGTCAGTGACGGGATTGAGTCTTCTTTGATCTTGTGTTGCCCTATGAGCGTGCGAAGCCTGGCCGAACAAGACGTGTTACGATAATAAGAAAGGACGTACCAAAAGCTCAGGAGCAGAAATGAGATATACATCATGAACTGTTCGTTATGAAGCGACCGTCTGTATGCATCGTGAGCGTTTGTCCAGCGTCCATCTTTATGCTCTACCACCTCGTATGAATATTCTCTTCCTAGACTACAACATTGCTGATCCGAGGGATGCGAAGTACGGTTATGGTCACGAGCTTGGAGTGAGGGGTTCACGTCGCTGGCTTGGCAAGTTTGTGTCACACTCATTCGTTTGCACCCTTGGGATGTATGAAGGGTCTCTTGGAGGTCGAGCTGAGCTAGGATGCAACCAATCGGCTGTTGGGTGGCTTTCCAACGGCCATACAGAGGATGACGCTTCCCTAAAGACTATTGTTACTATTTCGAGCGCCTCGTGGGTTGGTTTTTGAACTCGACGTTGTGAGGGTCCTTGTTCCTATTATCACTGCTGTGACGCAATCTCGAGTGCAGTAGCGTTTGAAGCTCATTCCATGAAAGTATCAGCGCAGCGCGTAGCCGCTTTAGATTCGAACGCCTTTGATGCCAAACATATATTACACGAATATACACTTCTGTATGCAGCTCGACTATGCCGCGGCGGCCTTTGGCTTCTTCGTTCCGTACTTCGATCTCGATGTGATCCTGCTACCGACACCTCCCTATGCTGCGTTAGCCAGGACAAACGTCCAACCTCTGACGTAACACGCACCAAATCCAATGCTCCTCTAACCAGGTGGTACTTCACACCGGGACAATCCTGCGCACGCCCTCCTCGTACCATGACGACCGAATGCTGCTGCACATTGTGACCTGCCCTCCTGTCAGCTTATAGTCCTCATACCTCCCAATCCTGGCTATGACGTACCCTCTCCAGGAATGTATGCTGTGATGACCTTTCCTGTGCTCAATCGCACCCTAGCAATCTTCCTCTCGCCAGAGTTGGGCTTCTTGGGCTTCGTTGTGCCGACCTTCAAGCATACGCCCTTCAGCTCTGGTCTGTTGGCAAGTTGTGGCGATCGCAGCTTTCTCGCCCTCTGTGCTATCCTTCCTTGTCGCAGGACCTGGATCAATGTGCATTTGTTGGCTCGTGACGCAGGTGTAGGGCCGAGGGAGAGGCCAGCGAAGGCATTGTGAAGGGGTGTGGCGACGATGGAAGGTCGCGCAGCGATCAGGGGTGATTGCGCGAAGACTGAAGGCCGTATGAGGCGTCGAAGGAACTGGACAGGCATGGCGGCGGCGATGTTGTGGTTCAATTGTCGCGGTTGACAAAAGTTCGAGATGCAGCGCGATTGAACGGAAGGTGGTGGTCTGTGCACTTCACACTTCCTCCTCGCTGCACGAGGCAAGTGCATAAGCCATCCTTCACAATCCTCAATTACTCAACATATTCACGGTAGAAACGACGGCCATAATCGTTCAGATTCACGATTCTACTTAGTGCGCTGTCGTTTTGCATTCTCACTGCCATCATCCTCGGTCGCTTCCAGCGTCACCGTGTTGTTGAGTGTCTTTTTACGCTGATCAAGCTCTTGCCTGATGCGACCTTCTCTGTTGAGACCTTCGTACAAAGCCCAAGCAGCCAGTGTCTTTGCGTCTCTGGCGCCTTCTTTCCAAAGATCTTCATAGTCGACTACCCGCAGTGTGATCATCTCTCCCTGTCGCTTCTCTCCAGTCAACTTGCCTCGAAGATCTTCGATTTCTTGACGATCCAACTCCTAACACATTGTCAGTCATTACTTGGGTAAGAAAGATCTTTCGTAACCATCTCACCTTTTCCCACAAAAATATTGGCATGAACTCATCCGAGCCACCAGGGCTGGGATACATTGCGTCTTTCAACGACGGTTCCGCCATATCAGAGCGACTTAGCGCGAGCTTCGTCAAATCAATCAATTCAGATCTCGGCAGCGTGAACCCCGTCTCTTCGAAAATCTCTTTCGCAGCCGCTCCACTGAACTCTTTCTCATCGTCTATCATACCAGCTGGTATCTCGACAAACTTCAGGCTGCCTGCGGGCACCCGCGGTTGCTCTGTCAAAACCACCCATCTCTCGTCTCTTGAATCCTTGGGACGCAGGATCATCAACATTGCCACGCTTCCTCCACGTAAAAAGGCAATGCCAGGAAGCTCTATGCCTTTGGCGTTCCGGATGACAGCCTTCAGCTTCAGGAAGCCTATTCTTTGGCCAAACCAATCGACTGATTGTATTGTAACCGACTTCAGAAGATACGGATCATTTCTGAAGTCATGGTCTGGATCCGTGTATTGAAGTTCCAGATTGGACTGCAGCGTACTCCTCCAAGTCTTGAAGGCGGTCCACTCCAGAAGCTGTTTCTCTGTAATGTTCGGAGCAAGTGTAACGTCGACTTGCTCTCGAAATCCGGCGAGCTTAAACGTTGCCATGGTCCCCAAAACTCAGATAGATTTGCAAGGAATGTCTCCACTACCCAGGATTGGAGATGTCGTCGTTTGTCGTTGAGAATTTCGTTGATCAGAGGTCCGATGTTGACATTTACAAGGTTGGAAACCAGCACCTCGAAGCCTGCACGACCGAAACATTAGCTGTAAGCGCTAGGGTTGGGGGCCGATCCGGTTTACTTATGTTGCACCGCATGGGTTATGGCGTTGGCGCTCACTGTGCATATCGACGAGACCGTGATAGGCTAAACACCCTAGCTTCGCCTCCACACCTACCATGTTAGACCAATCTTGCAGCGCCCGTAGCTTCCAAACCAGCTGGGCGGCGGCAGGTTCGTCATCGATAATTCCGCTTTGAATGAAGCAAATCTTTCGCCCTGCATTTGGAGAGCTCATAAGATCAGGCAGGGTGGGTCTCCAGTCAATTTACCGTTCATCCTTTCATCCCGAACTTACAGGCCTTTGCACGCTACTCGCGATCGATTGTTGCTTTCTTTAGCAGAACTCGTTACAATGCTTTGCGATGTCTGTTTTCGCATGCTTCGAGGACAGGACGGCAGGGTGTGGAAAGGCACCTATGACCTGAATTTCAACCATCATCCAGACTGGAGCTCCCTTCATCGCTCCGCAGAAATGAATTGTGGCATCTGCCGGGTTCTGCACGAAGAACTACGATCGAAGTTGGACGCAATGGTAGCGACCTCGACCGTGGACATCAAATCCGCACACACACCGAGTCCACAAAGTCAAGGAGCGCAAGATGCCACGATCAAGGATGACACCATCAAAACTCCCCTTTCGAGCAGTGTGGGACCAAGATTGTTTACTGCAGGCTCGAGGGACCCGCAGTTCAAGATCGAAGCGATGCTATCAGTGCTCCACCACGCAAGAGTAAAGGACCTCTATCGCTTGGATTTCAAAATGCGATACGACCGTACCCGATGCAAACGAACGTTCATTTTGCAAAAGAATGGTAGGTCCTCCTTTGTTTTGCATAACCTTAAGCTCACCTTACCATCAAGCTTCCAGTGATCCACCTTTCCGAACACAACTTTCTCACAACACATCTTCCGATGAAGTGTACACTTTGGTGCTGAACTGGATGGCAAGGTGCACTCGAGAGTGCAAATCACACTGCAGATATGTCGGGCAAGAGGCACCTAGATGGTATCCTGCGCGGCTTATCAGTCTGAAACAGCTCAAGAAAGCGGACTTATTCAATTCCAATGCCAAAGACAAGAGCACAGAGGCTCCGGATGTGAAAGTCAACCTGGTCGAGACTAAGGAGTGGCCAAATCAGAGACCTTCAGACAATGTCCGATACGTGACACTCTCTCACTGCTGGGGCCAGGGCGTTACGGACCAACACAAGCTAACATCGCGCAATATCGACACCTTAAAAGAGGGCATAAGGCTCAGCGACCTCCCTCAAACCTTTCAGGACGTGATCACTTTTTCAGCGCGGTTACCTCGAGTAGGCTATATTTGGATCGACTCCCTTTGCATCAAACAAGGGCCCGATGAGCAGGACGACTGGCTAAAGCAATCAGCATCCATGGACAGAGTCTACAGTGAAACATTCCTCAACATCTCTGCTACTCATGCATCGGATAGTCAAAAGGGGCTGTTCAGACCTAGGATACCAGAGCTCCTGTTAGAAGATGAGATCACGCTCAATATCGAAGGCCTGCCTGGCGCACATCCTCCACCCCCAGAAAATGTTGTACGAACAGCTGCGCCGCACAGTCTGTCCATGGGCCAGAAAATCATACATCTCTTGGGAGTGCGCTGGCTTTTCCGCTATGTGTTCATACTGCTTCAATCTCTCCGAGGCAGACTGGGAGTCTTGTTGAGTTTGGTACAACGATTCTCTGTCCGAACAAAAGCACGGGCTCAGGCCGGTAGTCACAATGAGGTAGGTGCACCGCACCGATCAACTCTTGGAGCAGGCATTAGCGCTCTCAGACGATCCAGTACGAAAGTCGGGGTTCTCAACGCGTTGAAGCGTTCTGGTACCGGAATAAGCGATGACAGCGACACAACGACACCAAAGGCCGAGGCCGAACGCCACAATTTGAAGCGCTGTACGATTCTGGATGCATCCTTCTGGTCCAACCGTGTCGACAATGCGCCCGTGAATCGAAGAGGCTGGGTACTGCAGGAACGACTTTTGTCGCCTAGAGTCCTCCATTTTTGTCACGACCAGGTGGCTTGGGAGTGTTGTGGGTTCGATGCTGCAGAAGGTCTGCCTGAAGGCATGCCGAACTTCCAGCTCACATCCGGGGGAATTATTGAAGAAAGTCGCTTAAAAGGACTCGACATTAAGGACGGCGCGCGTCTGCGCAACATCCGTTTGAATGATTACAAGGAACCGGATCCACAATTGCGTCCTGAAATCTACGCCCTAGAGCTCTGGCGCCGTATTGTGGAAGTGTACACCAGAACCGCCATCACGAACTCGGAGGACAAGCTCATCGCTCTATCCGGTATGGCGAAGCTGATGGATGAGAAAATGGGCTCGAAAGATGCTTCTTTCAAATATGCCGCCGGTCTTTGGAATGTGCACATTGAAAGTCAGCTGCTCTGGCAAGTGGAGCCGGTTTGGCGAGAAGTCGACGAGACATTCGACAACGTGTCCACATCTCCCGCAACATACCGTGCCCCATCATGGTCCTGGGCCTCTGTAGATGCACATAGAGACCACGGCATCACGTACGGTGATATCACTGACAAAGATCTATATATCAAGGTCGAAAAAGTTTCGATCAATCCTCGCACCATGGACAACGTTTTTGGTATCGTGGAAAGCGCACGCACCTATATCGACATGTGGTGTAAGCTGCGCAGAGCTGTACTGTATCGCAAGAACCCGATCTCCAAAGGCAGATTCGGCTGGCGCCTGGTCGATCGCAAGGGGCTTGACACCAAAGAACATACGAACGTGTACCTTGACTGTCCATCTGACAACGCCCACAACAACATGTTTGGTACCGACCATGAGATCTCGCGCGTCTTCGTCATTCCTGCTGCTAAAGGCCCTCGTATTGCGTCTGAAGAGAGCAAGTATCTGACATGCCTACTTGTGCAATGGCTGCCAGGTCATGAGGCGGGAGCTGCTGTCTTTAGGCGTATCGGAATCACGAAGCTGAGCCCTTGGGCGGACAGTGAGGCACTGGCGAGACGCAAAGATGAACAGGGTAAGCTCGTGGGTGATTTCAAGATTTTGGAGATGCTGGAAAGTGATGTGAACATGCCATATGAGAACTACGATCCTGTGAACGGCAAGCACATGATTCGTCTCATTTGAGCTGGCTGCCGAGGGTTGACAGAGGCTTGCTCCCATATTAGGATCAAACGACGCTGTCAGATTGGAGAGATTGGGACTCATTACCTGCAAGTTGGATAGGGCACACAGCGAGCCCAGTCTCCAGAAAGCTCGTCACGGGCCCAGCCGCTTGGAAACACTAAATATTAGTGGATGACAGCCTAGTTGCGGTTGACATGCATCACCGCACATTATCCTCGAACCAGTAATCAAGCCCGGCAAGTGACCTCCGCTTCAAGTCACTTATCATAGGCTATTTTCTTGGATCATCTTCCCACTCCCACCATCTCGTCCGGGCTCGCCGACGCCAGTTCCTTGTGCAACAGGGTACCTTGTGCGTCAACATTGTAATCGATATAGTTCTCGTAAAGAAATCTTCCTGTACCATCCTCTTCGTCATACAACATGGTCTGCGGGGTCTGCCATGACATGCTCCGCTGGCAAGCTGGTCGAGCCTGGAGAGGAGCTTACGACCTGATATACAACTTTCCTACGCAAATTGAAAATCTACATCAACAATCTATCCGACAAAATTGTGGCATCTGCCGCGCTCTGTGCGAAGGGATCCAGGAACTCGAGCTCAATGCAACGGACGAAGTCACAGGCCGGCTAGACTTGTTTGCATTAGTTCCATGAGATTCGGAAGTGCCTCTAGGGAGCAATCGTATCGCAGACCTTGCTGGAGCCAACTGAGAAGTCGCGGCCACCCTGTCTATTCATCAAGCCGACACCGATTCAGCCGACTATCTTTATCGCTTCGATGTCATATTACTGGAGCGGAAGCAGAGGCAGCTCATAGACCGACAGCAGGAATGAGAGCGACAGCGCATCCGTGTTCAGCGTACTTTCCTTCTTGAGTACCCAAGTAAGGGCTTCCATGTCTCCACTACCACGCTCATGTGCTTCTTCAGAATCCAAAATCCCCACGTTCCGTCCGCGCATTTCGGATAGTACATATTCTAAAGAAACATTCGAGATGGCTGTGCGCTGGATGGAGGATTGCAAGTGCAAGAGTGGCCAGTCGCGGCAGGCCTAATCTGTCCGTCTCATCAGTCTAGGGAGGTTGAAGCAAAGATTTCAATTCTCGACTGACCCAGCTTAAGATGCCGATCACGATGACGTTTACGTCAACCTTGTGGAAACAAGGATGGTTTTTATTAGATCATACGCGACCGAAACAGAGGTACAACAATGGCATTACAAAATACCCGACTTTTGTCACATTGTAAGGGTCCGGCTGTCAACGACAACCAGAGGTTGACCTCACAGAACTACGCAGAATTTCCTGTCTGGCATACCTGTCATGCGCCTGTTCAGAACATTTCGGGATGCGATCCGCTTCGCGGCTAGGCTGAAATATGTGGGTTATATGTGGATTTACTCTATCTGCATCAAGCATGACGATGGAGCAGATTGGCTACTCCGTTCAGTAGAGATGGATCGAGTGTACAACGAGACCTACCTCAACATGTCCGCTACTGCTTCTTCAAATAGCAAAGGAGGGCTCTTCATGCCCTGAGATCCTGCATCACTGAACGAGGAAAGAGTGTTGCTTAACATTGAGCGCCTTCCAGGTGCCTACATTGGACCAGTTCCTACTGCTGTAGACGTACGGTGAAATCCACCCTTCGGATCAGCCGGTAGGCGAAGCGGAGCGGCCATTCTTGAGACCTTGTTCTGTGTTTCATGCTTCCTACTGGTCGGATCAAGTGAATCAGGCGCCAATTAACAAGCGAGGTGGGTGTTTCGAGAGCCTCATGTCACCAAGCATATTACATCTATGTCAAGATCAGGTAGCATGGTAATGTCAAGGCCTCAGGGGTTGCCGTGGCTTCGTAGTTTTCGAAAAGCACATAACCGGACTGGCAAATGATCACCTCACCAAGCGCAATACTATCGAAATCAATACAGGAAGAGCTTGGAAAAGTGACAGCTGCACGGTCGATGCCAACGACCCGCCATCACAGTCTGAGCGCAATCCAAGCGTCACGAACCAGGAGCCACAAACTCTGTTTACAGACTCTGCTTTGAGGAGCTGGGCTCGCACTGTCGAGACATATACCAAGAAAGCTCTCACTTAGCTTCGTGACAGACTGAATGCCATAGCTGGCTTAGCCAGGGCAATGGCACAGAAGCTCAGCTTCGAGCTGCTTGAGGCTGAGTATGTAGCGGGTCTTTGGCGCATACGCCGCGAATGCCAGCTGTATGGCGTGTGGAATCCATCTTCAACCTTACACCCGTGCATTTTCGCTGTGGCGACGGCATGTTCTGTCTGATCTTGCGGCTGAAGGACCGAGAAAGTGGCACTTTCCAAAGAATCAGCGTTACGAAACTAAGCTTTTCATGGAAAAGATAGCGATGGACAAGGCCGCAGATGCGGAGTATAAGATACTGGAGGTCCTCCCAGCGGATGTCGATCTGCCACATGAAGGCAGCTACGGTGTGGAGAGTGGGAGGCATAGGATATCTCTCGTCGAATTGTAATGGACACTTCATCTCTGCTTCTTGATTAGCCCCTTCCAAAGGAAATACAAACAACTGTATTAACAGGAGCAAAATGACATTTAAGTTGACGAAGGTAACTTCGTGTTGTGCATTGACGGATGAGAGACGACGTGCAGCTTCCCCGCAGCCGAGGCACGGGGAAGTTCAGGGTCGAAAGCTTGACGCCATCGGAACGCGCTTCAACACCAGACTCCTGGTGATCTGCTCCACGATGTCATGACACACTGCATTTTCAATATACTCTTGTCTGTATAGTTCCTTATGCTTGCACATAGCGACACGCCGCCAATCACATTTGGTCCATGAAGCTTCCGCGTTGAACACCACCATCGATCGGTGTACCTACCTTAAGACTGGCGCACAGCTACTTCCTCGCCCACGATGACCGCCTCCAAGGACCGCAAGGCACGCCCTTCGCGTGCCACAACGTCCGAGTATGCGCCCGATCTCAGTATCACCGCCGCCGATGATGTCCACCTCCACGCCGTCGGCTACAACGAATCGCCCGACCGAGGCCTCATAAACAGCTATGCGCGCTTTCGCTCTTCGCCCCTCGACTTCATCCGCGAAGTATCGCTGCAATTCTCTGGCACGGGATGGCGCTCGTTTGACAATCACGTTGGCCAGCCCGAGTTCTATCCCGGCTTCTCGGAGGATATGAAGACGCGGGTGCTCAACAACCCTATGCTTGTCGCCAAAGTACGAGAGTTGGCAGAAAGAAGAGTTGAAGCAGAAGCTAAGGAGGGCTTGTTGGGAGTTGAGGCGCAGAACGGCGGCGGTGTAGGGGAGAAGGACAGGAAGGCGAAGAGGAAAACGCAGATTGAAGAGTCGCTCCTGGAGGTCAGCGAGACATGGACAGACGGCATGATCTGTAAGATGGAGAGCAAAAACTTTATTCGCGGCGCATACTATCTGGCAACCCAGCTCTTGACAAGAGCATACCACCAGGGTGTGCATGTTTCCAGTGAGGAGGTACTGCGACTGCGTACTGTGGCCGCTGAAGCAGCGCGGAAGAAGCATTCGATTATCTTCTTGCCATGTCATCGCTCCCACGTCGACTACGTCTCACTGCAGATCATCTGCTACCGCCTAGGCCTCGCCCTACCTACTGTTGTCGCTGGCGATAATCTGAACTTCCCCGTTGTGGGCTCCTTTCTACAACATGCAGGAGCTATGTGGATACGGCGGAGCTTTGGAGATGATCAGCTGTATACAACCCTCGTGCAAGCCTACATCGACACGCTGCTACAATGCGGATACAACCTCGAGTGCTTCGTGGAAGGAGGCAGGAGTCGCACAGGCAAGCTTCTACCTCCCAAATTCGGCATCTTGAGCTACATGCTGGACAGTGTGGCGAGCGGGCGCGTTGACGATGCCATCATCTGCCCAGTATCGACGCAGTATGACAAAGTGATTGAAGTCGACTCTTACATCAGCGAGCTCCTCGGTCAGCCGAAACCAAAGGAGAATCTCATGGATTTCCTATCTTCATCTTCAGTGCTGTCGCTCAAGCTTGGACGTGTGGACGTCCGCTTCCACGAGCCTTGGTCGCTACGAACGTTCATCGATCAACAACGCGAACGAGCTAGCAAGCTCCCTCAGCAGCTTGACGTAAAAGAAAATCGCATTCGGCTACTCAGAACGCTTGGGTACAAGGTGTTGTCCGAGATCAACGATGTATCAGTGGTCATGCCTACTGCCCTAGTTGGCACAGTACTACTCACGCTTCGAGGGCGCGGTGTAGGTAAGACTGAACTCATCAGGAGAGTCGAATGGCTGTGCGATCGTGTACGTGTTCAGAGTGGTAGAGTCGCGCACTTCGGAAACCTACCTACGAGTGTTGTGGTGGATCGAGCGCTCGAAGTACTTGGCCCAGGGCTTGTGGGCCTTGTGCCTGGGTTGCCGGAGGACACTTACTACGCAGTCGACCGGTATGTCTGCTACTCACGTGCCCACTGATACACTGACACCTACTAACAATCCTCCTCAGCTTTCAGCTCTCCTTCTACCGCAACATGACTATCCACCTCTTCATCCTCCAGTCCCTTGTCTCCGCCGCCCTCTACAGCACCGTCAAACGCGGCGGCGCCCCCGAATCTCAACGCATGCCCTACACCGATCTGCACGCCCAAGTCGGCTTCCTGTCCCAGCTCTTCCGCGGCGAATTCATCTTCCCCACGGAAGGCCTCGACTTCAATCTCGCGCGCACAATCGCCGGTCTTGAAACCGACGATGTTATCAAAGTGACCCGCAACGCCGAGGGCGTTATTGAGTTCGTTGAGCTCAGTGACACAGAGCACGAAACCGGCCGCGAAAACTTCGACTTCTACTGCTTCCTAATCTGGCCCTTCATCGAAGCTGCCTGGCTCGGTTCCATCTCGCTCATGATGCTCACACCGCCTCTCACCCACAGCACCTCCACATCAACCGCGGATGAGAGGTGGCTCGACATGAAGCGCGTCCAAGACCGATCTCAACTCTTAGGCAAAACTCTGTATCACCAAGGCGACCTCTCCTACTACGAAGCCGTCAACAAAGAAACGCTCAAGAACTCATACACGCGCTTCGAAGAAGAAGGCATGATCGTCGTAGCAAAATCCAAGAACCCAAAAACACCCACGACTATACGGCTCGTAGACGAGTGGACGCCTGTGAGGGGCGCCAAAGGGATTATTGCCGATGGACCGCTGTGGCGGTTTGCTGAACGCATCAGTGCGAGTCGCCGCGAGGGAAAGAATAGGAGAGATGGTGCGACGGTGCAAACCAGGGTGCTTAGTCTGGTGGACGTTGTAGGTGAGGGGCTGTGGCAGGATGCGGCGTTCGACAAGAAGAGCGTTGGGGTTGAGGAGATTGGGCTGGCGAAGAAGAAGGCTAAGGGGAGGGCGAAGAGGGGGACGATGGCGCGCCTTTAAGTAACTATCTGGCCGGGAAGAAGAGAAGACTCATGCATTCTGTTCGAGCGACTTTGAAGCAAAGAGGCTCGACACATAGGTATCAAGCGCGGCATTTGATCCATCGAAGAAATTCGCGATATTTCAATGAAGTAGGGAAGTGGAGTCACAGTGCAGCATCACACCGCGCCCACAACGACACGCAACATGTTCAGTCTGTCTTGACCTTTTCAACGTCATGCTTGCAAAAATTCCAGCTCTATGCCACACTCGCCCACTACTTTTCGGAGCAAGGGGATTCTTCAATGTGATGAGGTTGTCGCGATGTACGCAGTGTCGCCACACGGACTCCATATAGCTTCTACATATCCCATTTTTGGAAAGCAGAGCACAAGCCATGTGCCAAAGTGTCAGTCACTTGTGCTCCGCAGAAGACATTCGGCGGTATTTCCACGTTTTGATTTCCAGATAAATGGTTGTGTGACAAAGGTTGGAGAGACCGGCGCACAAGCAGACTCCATAGCCAGCGAGAGTCTCAGCAAATGTCGCGTTATAAATAATACATTTAAGGCGAACGGGCCAGACATACAAGTGTCGCGCACGAGGTTTGGTAATCAGATATTTACGGGTGACAGCAAGGAAGAGTCGCGAAGCACAGAACATCGAACACAGCATGCCCACTACGCTCCACACGACATGTCAAACAATTTTCGAGCAAAGCAGTCACTATGAAAAATTCTCTTGTCACAACCATCAAGCGCTGTTCAATCTTCCATCCCGCAGTTTCCCCACAGCATTCATCTTTCTTGATTTGAAGGGTAGAGCGCAAGTCGTGTCGATAGAGGAAGGCATTTTCGAGGCAGCAGACGCTCGATGTTCTCCTCTTGGTTTTGTTATCAAAGAAATTAACAGTGGAACATGAAAGGACAAGCAGATTTTACAGACAGCGAACGTCCCTGCACGCAGCATGAGTTGATCCAGTCTTGAGTTTGGAGTGATCTCCACGTCGCTCCATGCGATGAGGTCTATGGGGATTGGGAGGCAGAGCAGTCCTGTCACATACTTGGATAGGCGTACCTTTTTCGCAATGTGCACAACAGTACTCCAGAACTTTCCATGGCGGGAGCAGCGACTTTTTGAGTGGCAGAGCGCATATCATGGCCGGTGGGAGCTCTCTTCTCTGGACAGCAGAGGACACTGGGGGCTGGGCAGCAATTTTCGGTTTCCGGAACTTGGCTTGTGTGATAGCAGGTTAGAAAAGGAGACGAAGCAGAATTTATGTGTGGGGAGACAGTCCTGATCGCACCACCAAGCTCTGGCTGCAGAATTTGAGATAATGACTAGAGGCATTCAGCACATCAGGCCCTTTTGTTTCTTGATCTTCATCAAACCAGAAAGAGTGCGCAGAAGCAGCAAAATTGCCAGCATTTTCTTGATCTTTTCGACACGAGTCAACAATCCCACTGATCCAGCTTTATGAGACAAGGCTCAATAGAACTTGAAGACAGAGCATTTATTCACATATATCGATTTGTGCGCTCCTTTGAGTAATGTTGACTTTCCCGTTTAAGAGACTCTCCATCATCCGGTCAATCCGTGTTCTCTGAAGAGCACAGCGCAAGTCATGTAGCTAGGTCCCAATCTTTTCGAACGGCAGAGAGAGCAGAGCGCAGAGGGCATGAGTCGTTATCAACTGCATTTTTGGATTTTCGAAAAATCAATTGTGTGATGGTAGAGAAGACAGAAGATACAGAACAGGTCATAAGGTTACTTATGCGTGAGATTTGCAGGTATACAGCCATGTTCACGCTGCTTTGAAGTTCCAACAGCATTTTCATAGAGATATACTTCACCGATGTGGTGGGCTTGAGCATGCAAGGTTGGCGCAGGTATCTCAGGTTGGAAGATCGTGACATCGAAGTCCAAAGACTTTGTTCCATCGCAGAGCTTTGCCCACAAAAGAGTTGCAGAGTTTCTGATCGTTCTGAATTCCGAGCAGGAAGGGCTTCGGCCATTGCTTTTGGCTGAGCGGAAATACACATAATGTCTTGTTGCGGTACCAGCTGGTCTGTACGAGACTTGATTTACCCTTGGTTAGACTTTTCAGGACTAGCACGTTCCGGCGCCAGTATATGTCGACTTCTCTTAGCTAGATAGCAACTCAGCGCAGTATTCCATCGACCTGATGGTTCTACGTTATCGTTTACCGTAACTATCAGTATACTACAGTGGCCCACGCCGCTACATGTCTGAGGAGCTACAGTTTGAGCAAAAGATCACATCAGTCATTTCTCTTGTGATTTTGGGAAGGAGGAAGTCGGTAGTGGTTGTCGCTGGAGAAGAGAAGTGGAAAAAGGAGACCGGTTATGTACTTTCAATTCAAGTGCTTACCTGGGCACAGTCATGCTTTTGGTGCCATGTTGTCTTGAACAGCAAGCCTACAATGTCCGAGACTAGGACTCTCTGGACAGTGGTGTTGGCTGGCAGAGAGATCGTCATGAAAATTTGTGACTGGGTTCTTTGAACGGCAGAAGACACCGCAAATTCGGAGAGCGGATTTCGAGCCTTGATGGGTTGGTTAGATGATAATAGTCCAGGGGGAAAGAGCCACAACCAAGTTTAAATATGCGAAGAAGTTCTCCAACAAAGGACATGGAAAGCCGAGTGCAACAGGACCTTAGGAACAAGGTCAAAGACTTTTATTCATACCCACAGGTGAAGGCAGGGCAGGACATGCCACACTTGAGGACGGCTTTTCGATTGATAAAGTGCCTTGTTGAAGTGGTAAAACACAGAGAGGATCGTGGAATGAATTATGGCTGAACAGAGACAAGGCTCGGGAGATGTGTATGCATAATTTTTCAGTCTCAGTGGATAATAACAGTCATGTCGATGTCCTGCAGGCACCAGCTGAGGTTCCATGGTTACTCTCAACGTTCTGCCTGTTGCGTGCTTTCAGACTCATCGGGGAGCCACCGTTTGCATCATTTTCCGGCGATGCATCAAACTTTTCCATCACAGGCACTGCATTTCCCGTCATCATCATACGCTGCTAAGAAGTCGCAGCACGCTCATTGGGCGAAGTCCGTGGTCATGGCAGGCAGAGATCCACTGTTCGGCAAGATGCTACCTCACGCCGTCGGTGTAGGTGCTCACCACGCCGAAAACGAGCACGCGAGCACCTTGCGCCCAAGATGTATAAAACCCCACCTGCCCAGTACTCTGCAATGGATAACGATACCATAATTCGCTTTATAGTTTCAAAATGCCTTCCATCGACCCCGAAAAAGCGGTCTCTGCGCCCACCGAACCGACAGGCTCGCCCGAAGCCGCTGTATCCCAACCGGAAAACACGCTTGATCGAGTCGAGACGCGCGCATCGATATTGTACGACAGTATACCGCTGTGGAGGAAATGTATTATCGTGTTTGCTTGTAGTTGGAGTACGCTAGCGGCATGCTTCTCGAGCACGAGTCTGCTGTGGGCGAGCAAGGAGATCAGTGAAGACTTGAACACGACGAGTCAGGTGGTGACATTCTCGACGGCAGGACTGATTCTGGCAATGGGGATGAGTGCATTGGTGTGGAGCCCGATCGCGAGTGTAAGTAGCAGTTCTATTATAGAGAGTGAGTGCGATGCTGATTCAGACTAGATTGTCGGCCGAAGAGTCGCGTATATCGCATGCACTACTATCTTGCTTGCGTTCACTATCGGCGCTGCGATCGCACCGACAATTGAAGTATTCGTCGCCATGCGTGTATTGTCTGGCCTGCAAGGCTGCTTCTACCATGTCGCGGGCCAGACTATCATTGCCGAGTACTTCCCTCCAATGCAGCGTGGGAGAGCGAATAGCTTTTTCCTTGTGGGCACGGTCGCAGGACCTCCATTAGGTTCGTAGAGTCTCGTATGAGCTTATGTCGTGGATTTCGCTAACACCTGGACAGGGCCATTGATTGCTGGCATCATGGTTCAGTACACATGCTGGCGTAATTTGCTCTGGTTGCAGGTCTCGATGATTGGTCTCTCGCTTGTACTCGCATTCTTTTTCGTACCGGCAAGCAGGTTGGATAAGCCTGGACTTGCGTTGAACATCCGAGGTTGGCATGCTGTTGCGCAGTTCAACCCGCTACCTGTATTCAAGCAGATGCAGTACCCGAACATCTCCTTTACAGTCAGTCGTCCCACCCCTTTTACTTCTGTTGATGACTTGTAGCTGATATTGACCGCAGCACTTGAGTTGTGGCTTCCTCAGCTGGACACAGTATTCGCTTCTCGCAACTCCGAGACACGTCCTGAGCACCCGCTTCGGTCTGACATCCACGATGACGATCGGTCTCTTCTACATCGCACCTGCTACAGGCTTCCTCCTCGGTACTGTGATTGGCGGGTGGTTCTCGGACAAGACGGTGCGCAAGTGGATAGCGATGCGTGGCGAGCGACTTCCACAGGATCGCCTGAACGCAGGCATGTTCGCGTTCTGGGTCGTAATACCTTTCTTTATGCTGTTGCAGGGCTGGGGTCTGCAATGCAGCAACTGCTCGACTGCAGTAGGCGGGCTGGCTCTACCGATCGTGACAAGCTTCTCTACTGCCGCTGGCCTGCTTGCCGCCTTTGCTAGCCTAAACACGTACTGTGCCGGTAAGTGTCGCCTCTTGTTCCGCACTGCAGATGACTGACAGACTCGTAGAAGCAATACCGAAGAAGCGTTGCGAGATCATAGCCGGGAAATACATGGTTCAGTACACCTTCTCCGCAATTTCAAGTGCGTCTGCTGTCCCTTTGATTGAAGCTGTTGGTACTGGACCAGCAGGAACAATAGGTACGTTCGTTGTCTGGCGGTGCCCGTTACTCTTTCTGACTATAAACAGGTGCAATTTTAGCAGTCCTTGCTGGACTCCTGACGTTCACTACCGCCAAGCAAGGTCGGTCGATGCAAGAATGGGCGGAAGAGCGGCTTGGCCCGAGATCGTCAAAAGAGCTTCCAGTGTAATCGCATATAGTTCAGTCATGCACCATATCAACCATTCGCCCACTCATCGCCACCCCATATGCCCGGCCAGTAAGGCGTTTGCAGTGGATCGAAACTCGGGTTGTCGATATCACTTATCGCAAGGTCTGTCTCTGCCAAGAACTCTTGAAGGGAAGGTTCAGCAAGCGCCATGCCCGCAGTCATGATAGGTGCAGTGAACGGCATGGAAGCCTCGTCGTTAACGATTGGTATACGTGGTGCGGGGTCTTGAATCAAGCTGTTGCTGCGGACCTTTCCTATGCTCTCCTCCATTGCATCAAGGTGCTCAAGGAACTCCTGTGCTGCAAAGTTTCCACTTTGGCTTAATTGGCGGATGATATCTGCTGCAGTGTTGAAGTTGTCGCCATCGCTTTGGCTCTGTGCAGACCCTAGGAGGCTTGACAATGCCAGATTTGTAGCAGCAGAGAACAGATACTGTGTGTAGAAGTAGTCGAAGATAGCGAACGACCCATGGATCCATGCTTCACTCAGAAGTCGGTATGAGTGTCGGGAACACTGGATGCAGGTTTCAGCAAGCGTCAATGCACTTTCCGGAAGGCTTGTTCTAGGGTTGATGGGAGGATCTGTCCAGGATTTGCAGTGTGCTCGCAGAACATGGAGTAGGATAGGTCGCGTCGCAATGATACAACACTGCGAAGATCAATACACAAGTCATTCGAAATTATACGAAACTTACCTGGTTGAACCTCAAATGAAGATAGACGATGCTGTTGGGCTGCGCAGATCCCTTGCCACTCTCCAACTGTAGTTGAGGAGGGAGGGTCTCCATCCACTTTGTGATCTTCTTTAGAGTCGTCTGCACTCTTTGAGAGAATGGAACGTGATGCTTTCGTCGGGAATAAAGCTGCTGACGTGTTTGCTGTGACAGACCGGCTAGTTCAATGCTCTTCAGGGTATACTCCACGTGTTCAAAGTCTGTCGAGCCTTCCAGATTGTCGCTGCTTGGATAATCGACAATAATGTCCTCGTCAGCTATGCTTGCAGGGTGACCAAGCTTGGAGCAACAAGTCCGATCCAGTACATATGCTGTCCACCACAATCTCTTTCGATGCTCTCTTGCAAGCCGGTTCGAGTACAAACCGTCAGGCACGTTCATATTGAGGCCCATGACAATGCCGAGTCTAACAGCGGAACTTGCAAGAAGATACGCCGTATGCCTTCGATTGAGGTTGTATGAGTAGAGCGTAAGAAGAAGTGCAATCTCGACTGCATGCAATGTTGGCCTCTCCGCAGGTATGCTGACTATTCTCCTGGCCTGCGCGAAGTATGGCAACCCAGGGAACGTTGCTTCCTGGGCCGTGACACGGCTGGAGTACACTTCACCCAAGGCAAACAGCGCCAGTAGCTTGCACCTCATCAATCTTTCGACATCATTGTTGTTCTTGATCGCCTTTTCTAGTGCTTCCGTAATCGACGACTTGAGCACAATGTGATAGTACTGGCAAACAGTGCTCAAAGCAACTTTGACTAGGAAACGTGCTCTTGCTGGAGTCGGCCAGTTGAACTGGGACTCTGAAAGTAGCATGAGGGCCTCATCCCGCACATAGCTTGTTCTTGGAATGTGTACACTGTGCGGAGTCAATGTTTCGCGGAATCGGGTTGCGAAAGCTGCATCTGCAGCTTCGCTGATATGTATGGGCATGTCGAGAGACGACATGGGAAAGAACCATCCTTGAGGTCGGTCCTCTACGAGGGGATTCTGCACGGTCTCCTGGTTTTCCGTGGTTGGGGTTTGACGAGTACCGACGGAACTAGATGGGGCGACTGAGCCCGCATCGCGTAGTCGTTCATTCTCCCGCAAGAGATCTTCAACATATCTAGACTTGTCAATGTCCCTCTTTTTGAAGAGGTCTTCGCGCTTACTGTTGACTAAACTTGACCTGACGATCACGCGTAGGGTAGACGCAAGCGCCGATAGCATCCGCATCACGACAGTTCGAGCATGGTTGCCCCCCTGAGCACTTCACCTTGCGCGAGTGGCATCGTTGGCAGCTGTTGTATCAAGATCAGGCGCCGTTAGTAGAAGCTTGACCATCATTGCTTACGCGACAGATTTAGCAGGTTTCCTTTGAAGAGAAATCGGAATTTTTGCTTGACTAATTGAAGTGCTTCTTCGAGTATGCGTAGATTTTGGCATGGTGAAGCCAGGTAAAGAGGCAGGAAAGGAAGTATTCGACGAATTAGAGAACACGCTAGCGACGGGTGGCTTCGGGGAAAGCTCGGTCAACGCGTTCCTGACGCGTCGCTCCTGCCACATTCACTTCACTCTCGAGACGTCATCACGACTGTCCAGTTCTTCATGATGACTACAGCAGTATTTCATGAGGCGTTTTGTGTTTTATGATGCTAAGAGGCCTGTAGTTCGTATGCCAGATTCAGCTGCATAACTCTTAGACTTGTCAACAATCAAATCAAATCTGATAACTCCTGACCTTGGCGACCACAGAAGCTCCATATCTCCAGAGGCTCCAGGGCAGTCATTTGAGGGATTACGATAGTTCACAACAGTCCTTTATATTTAGGTGGTTTCTGTGTGTTCCGGAGACCGCGAGTCTTGCGATGAATCAAACTCAAAGCAACGCAAAACCAAGAAGTCGCGCGCTTCAACTCAGAAGACGGAGAGCTTGTTCAGATCCTCATCACCGCCACCGGGTCGAGCACGGATCGTTTGGAACTTGCTGTGGCACTGACGAGCTTTTTGTAGGCCTCTCGGTATAGACTACTAAGTGCCACTTCGTCCGCATACTAAACCCAGTTATTGTCCTTGCCCGACCGTCTAGCACAAATCAGTACAGTCTCGTCTGACCCCAGACCCATTCTACGAAGCGGCAAGGACCGCACGAGCGGACCTGTCGAAGAAAGTGTGGTGGCGCGCCAACAGTAGAGCCGCAGGCAGAAGCACATCCTCCCCAAATTAGTCACTCCGTCTGCTTTTGCCCCAAGCCTGGGCATGCCAGTACGAAATGTTTCAGGTGTACCAATGACCGTGAGATGAGTGGGAAATGAGAGCCTATACCAGAGTCCAATATAAATCTTGGCTTGAGGACCAGATCCATCTCCACCGGTTAATTTGTTTGAACTCAATCGTGCTGCCCCAAAACGGCCCGGTACGGCTTTCCGAGGATCCTAGACGCACCCAAACCAACACCCTTGCTGTCGCTCATTATCCATAAACAGATTGTTCGAGGTATCAGAAGGCACCTCAGATGTGCTGGTCGATGATAGATCCTTGAGTGTTGGCCGTCCCATTTGATCAGTGACCAGGCACACGCAGCTTCCAGGGTAGATGATCAGTCTTGGTTACGCATCCAAGCTCACACGTGGTGCCTCATATACCCGTTGCCTTGCTATGTACTGGCATGCTTCCTGGGTTCCACCTCAAACATAGTTCTGTAATGGCGGCTGGACCTGGCTCTGCGTGGCGCCGACAAGTTCTATGGAAGCGCAGGAACGACTGCAGGACTTCGACTCTACGATCTAGTGGGTGCCCCGATCACAGTGGTGCACAACCCTCCGCATGGCGACATAGCTAGTGCAATCTGCCCGTTGACCTTGCGTTATCTCACGACGATCTTCATAATCTTCGATCTCTGGTCTTTTTTCCTGAAGAGATGAGTCTCATCGGACCTTTTGATTCTGTAATTATCGCTGGAAGACAGAAGATACTCATGAGTTCTGTCAGTTGTAGTGACATGGCGACCTGATGTGACGTCGCCTGACCATCGGCTGGGAGGTAGCAACACTGACCCACACCATCGTCGGCACATGCTCACGCAGCATCACTCACTGCGCGTTGATTGGCATGTTTGCTAGTATGTACGATACTCAAATCATCGCAAGGAGCTTTGGACTACCAACCGTTGCGCGAGCCGCCATATCTAGGGTAAGTAAGCAGATCTGCAAGAGATACCAGCTAACAGCTGTGCTACCAATGGCTCGTGAGAGCTGGACGAAGCGTACGCCAGTGTGACTGATTGATAAGATTTCCAACATTGCCTCTGCGTCCTGAATGGATATCGACTCCCACTAGCCCCAGGAGCAGTAACGAATAACTGCTTCGAATCCAGCAATGCGCGACTAACGGCGCTTTCGAGACGGACTCCAGATGTAGAAGCGTGGCGCAAACTGTTGAAGAGCGTGCGGGGCTGCGCGATCTTGTGACAGCAACAGTGGATCAGCGAAGACCTGTTACAGACACCCCGAGTCTACTCCTGGCTCCATTGAGGGTGATCTTGCAATGATCGATGCTACCTTAGCTGACCACTCCTGAGAGCCCAGAGTCAGTGTCTTGTGTCAATCCTAGGCTAAATCTCAGTGCATGGCCGAGCGTCAAGGTCGCAGCCGGATGGCGCTGCCGCACACTCAAAGGCAGCTCCCAAGTCACCTCAAGCTGATTCTGATGTACGAAATGATCAAGTCGAGTAATGAACAACGGATGAGTTTTCGGTTCGGATCGTGACGCACCACCGGATAAAGAAGAACGCTCTGACCTGCGCTCGTTCAACGATAAGATCGATAGCTATACCTGTGTCTAAGCTCGTGAGAACACAAGGACCAGCAAAGACCCACTGGCCAGGAAAGTATGTTCGCGCCGCAAGTCCGAGACCAAGCTGATCGGCATCCAGCTGTGATACCTCAATCAACAAGTGCGTGGCCAACAAACCCTGATCCCGTCAAGCCCAACCTAATGGTTCACACGCAGTCACCCTTTCATTATAATGCGGAGAGAGCGACGGTGGAGCCGAAGATGAGCTTCGAAGCCTTGGAAGAGGTAGTGTTATGACGCACAGTCTTTGATAGTTGCACCTAAACACAGTCTCATAGGGCGAGCCCAGTTCCATCGCCCCACCGGTACAAGCTCAGCATCTCCCGGCGGCGCTCGATGGAAGCTTGCAGGCCTCTTCCACGCATCTGCTGCAGGGCCGAGAGCATTATGTTACGGAAATTTCTCTGCAGTCACCCAGTTAGCCCTGATGACGCCACTCGTGATCGTGAGGAAACGGCTTCCATGCACTTAGCGGTACATACCTGGTATTCCGTATTCAAAGTGACAATGCAAGCTTCGTGCGCACGCACTATCACTTCGCATGCGCGCACGATGTTGGGGCTCGCTTCGCCCTGCAGCTTATCTGCGATTAACAGAAGCAGGAAGCTTCCCTGCAGAAGGTATATTCCAAAGAAGAATGGCATGAAGCTTAGGTCTGGGTCAAGTTCAAGTATCTCATTTAATGCCTCAGCTGCGGATACTGCGTGGCCGGTGGCGGTAATGAAGCTCGGCGATGATATCCAAAGGTCGTTGTCATCCAACAACGAGATTGGATCCCACTTCCCGTTCAATAGAACATGGAGTGTATGCATAAGATATGTGCCATACTTCATTACAATTCGAGCGTGCATGATTGACTCTTGCGCCATTGAGTTTGAGGTGCCAGATGGCGTACCTGATAGGGCAGAGTCATGCGTGTCGGGTTTGTTTTCCATGACGGTGCGCTGTTGCATCTCTTGTAGCGATCGGCCGTAAGCATCAAGCCGTTGACTGATTTCCATACCATATTCATCCCAGTCGGTCTTCGTACCAAATCTGGGGTGGTTTCTTGCATGTGTGAGGTCCACAATTTCGCCGAGAATTGTCATCAATGGTAGGAAAAATTCGAATATGGAGGTGTGACCGGTGCATTCGAAGGCAGGACCTCTTCGGCGAAATGTGGGATCTGGTAATAATTGAGCGGAATCCTCGAAGAAGTCGCCAGATTGCCATACGTGATCGTCAAAGGGTTGCAGAAGGCCTGAGCATTCTACATCCGTGAAGGAAAGAGGTCGATTGTAGCATAAAGCTAGGTGTCTGTATTGCGGTTAGTGCTTGAGTATCGGTCGAATGGTATGAACGTACCGATCCATCGTGTACAAGAGCCACCACATGCGTCTGCGCTCCTCGCGTTGCTCTTCTGTCGCCTCCAGAATAGTGTTGCAACTGTCGAAATCACCGGAGGTGTTCTCGTTATACACGTCGGGCGACGGCGTAACTATCTCTTTGCCCAGCCTCATCTCCCTAGCTAGTGACCACGCCGCATTCCACCAACGTAGTGATGCTGCTTTGTATTCACTGGCGGATGTCACCACTCCGAGATTGACATACGTTGCTACATCGTCCAGATTACCGAAGTGCATATCAAGGCCGATACCCTCTTCAGAAATCTGTGGCGGCATCCCAAAACCGCCCATGGTGACACCATGAACCATACTAGAATTGTTGTACATGGCTGTCTCTTGATCGGATATTCCTGGCGTTTGGTGTACCAGCGGCTTGAGAAGTCCAATGGTGAGGTTGATCAACTTCTCCGACATCTGACTCCTAGCCATTGGTGAAGAGGCCAGATACGAAGACTCGCTGGTCAGACACCCGATCCAAAGCATACTTGCTAATAACGCTGGCCTGCAAACTCGAGGGTTGTCTCTCCTAAGAAACGAGCCTGTTCTGAATACATGGCCAAGGACGTACGGAGAGACTGGCTGCATGTACAACGACGATGAGCTCTCAAAGTAAAGCTCCAAGAGATCGCATGCCAGTGAAAGTGGCATGATGTTCGTAAGATATGGGACTACAGGCTCAAGAACAGGGTATCGAAGGAACTGAGAGGATCTCGGGCGGGTTCCACCAGAGTACAATGTTGCAGACGGCGAAGGGAGCATCCAATTTGGCGAGCCGGACAAAGGCGAGTGGGCCGCAAAGTCCAGATGGGGAGTATCCTCAGGGAGAGACTGCGCCATGTATGCAATTGGAGGATGGCCTGGGTAATCCATAGAATGGTCGTTGGAGGCAACGGTCGGATGCATCGTAGGTTGTATCATAGCATGTGGTGATTGGTATGCGAGGCTTTGCTGAAAGTCGTGCATAGACGTAAATTCGGTTTGTGGTAGCCCATGGGTTCGGATTCGAGGTGGCTGTGGCGGATGTAGACCATCGCCGGCTGGTTGCAAAACATCTCCCGTGGCGGAGTCAACAGCGCCCAAACTCATAGTGCGACCTGGGTAAGCCTGCGCAGGTTTCCTTACTCTGGTCGTTGCCAGGCTGTTGGATCGACTGGGTACGAAGGACGCCGGAAAGGTTGGCTGATTGCTAGATGGTGTAGGACTCACGTTTCGTGCTCGTTCAGAAGCAGTTTCTTGTGATTGTGGGGTTGCGATAGCTGGCTCCTCAATTGACTGTGTTCCCTTGTCAGACAATGCCGTTGCGGCGGCTTGTTGCTGGGCAATCTCCTTGCGTGAGGCCTTGCCGCGTTTCTTGCGTTCACGCAAGTATGCGCATGTCAAACCAAACTCTGGAGCAGTGTTAGCCCAGCTCTACGCTTGTATTTGGCATCGATGCTACGGAAACCCAAAGGCCTGGTAACAGTGGTAATTACCTATACAGTGTGAACAAGCTATTTCCAGTCAGCTCATGTATTTTGGATGGTTTGGGAGTAAGGTACATTTCTGTCCATCGCACTTAGTTCTCAGTTGATTGCATTGATCGCATGCTCGGCTGATTCTGCGTCGCACAGTTCCCGATGTACGGCTTGATTGTTCGTGGAGCATTGTGCCTCGATGGGTGCGGGGAGCTGCAGCTAACGGTCCGTTGGCGTATGGCAAGCGATGAGGCTTACCCACGGCATTGCCACTCAAAGTAACATCCGGACGCTGATGGAACTGCAGTGTTTCGTACTTCAATGAATTTGTTCGTGAAGGTCCCGTGTGCTGTGCGATCAAAACGTGATGTTGTTGCGGATCGACAGTGTTCGGTGTGTGGAGAAGGCTGAACCCCGGCGGGTATTGATGGAGACTGGTGGACATATTGTTCCTAGCGCCCGTCGAATGGCTGCACTACAAAGTCCGACCCGACGACAGCAAATTCAAGGTACGAGTGTCAATATGTAAGCGTAGAAAATGTCGAGATCTCAAGCTGAGAAATGTCGAGGCGGTGTGTGGCGAAAAGTGCGCTGAGGTGTTATTCAAATTCCCAAGTCCCGCGGCACAGGGTGAGAACTTTTGCCGTCAAAACATGGCATAAACGTATGCAGGTCGACCGTTCCCGTTCAAACGGGTATTGCGGTGTACCTCAGTACATTATAGATGTCGGGCAGCCTTCCGTCTCCACAACGGGCCTTAAGTCGCAGGGCATTATGACTTCCTTGGTGCTTGGGGAGCTACCTGTCCAGTACTGATCAAGGATAGATAGACTTGCCCCTTCTCTGGAAACAGCTGCATCGTGCGTTAGGAATGTCTCTGGACCACATGCTGCAGTAGCTTTGGGAAAGCAGTGTGCGCAGGTCTGCGCGTGCGTCTGCTTGAAAGTCGCCTCCGTCCCGTCTCTCAAGTCGCTAGTGTAAGTCCCCCTATAAATGACCAGGGTCCCGCTGCACACCATCAGTTCCATGTTGAGCACAGTCCACAAAACCGCTGGATCATCCGTGATGCGAGCTTGAACAATTGCAATCCGGACTGCTCGCCACGAGCTAGGCAGTGCAGCTTGTTAGCAGTAAATCATTGGTGGATCAGAGCCACTCCGACCCTATATGCGGCCTGCTCTAAGCAGTGTGACGCCGCACGCTTTCGTATCAACGCCAGTGACTACCACGTTCTCCGAGCTGGGTTTTGAGAAGAACAACCCGAACCGTGATCGGCGACCGTATCCCGTAGCCGTAGTGGACCTGACGGCACGGGACCTGCTGGTCTGTATTCGCACCTGCTGTCGTGCTCAAAACGCGATGATCTTGGCTTCAATGGTGAGTCGTGACATTCGGGTTATGTTGTTGAACGCCACAACAACTCTCTTGAGCAAACTTGATCCAGACTGTTCGGGCAATGTTGTGAGATCGTGGTTTCAATCCTGCCGCGGTTTGTTGCTGCGAGGCGTACATCGAACAAGGATGATGCTGTGCGGTGCAATGGACTCACTTCAGTACCTTTCCTATCGACTCCACATCTTCAGGAACCGGTGGCCAGAGGCACGCTCGCAGGGTCACCCCAACGTTAAGAGATTGGTGCCGGAACTGTATGCAGTTGACGCGATAGCGTTTTCTAAGACTTAGCTTGGTAATGACCGCCTTGGACTGGATGTCACTCGCAATAGCAACCGTGTCAGAGCCAAATGGGACTAGGTAAAAGTAAAGCGATGCAATGGCATCGGTTCGGAGTCGTCCTGTGGCAGCAGAAACACCTACTGACGTCTGGACCCGATTTTGACACGCCGCACATGCAGCGGCTTATGGTAAAGCAGGTCGCGCTTGGAAGCTACACTCGTGTGACTTGCAGATTTGATCACTCCGGGCTGCTTTGTCCTGAACGGAATGTGGCCCTCCGCTTAGATATGTAAGTTCATGATGGTTCTGGTCCCCGATGCAACAGACCTCCGTGTCATCGAAGTCCTAGATGGCGTTAGCTAGTCGATCTCAACTTCCACACATCGCACGATACTGCAGCCGGCGGATCGCTCCGCGTCTTAACGGTTAGCGTATGCTATGCTAGTGACAGCTTGGCTAAACCTCGCTAGCAGAGGCTGCTTGGCACACCATTCCGAATTCGAGATTCCTTGTTGCATGTGAAGCATGCTTTCGCACTTCGACATCGATGCACTTGTGTACGAGAGGGCCGCTGAATTCATAATGGAGGCAATCACCGAGCCTGACGGGTACTTACAACCTCCTGTAACTTCATTACAACGATCGAGTGTCTGCCAGCAGCTGCACCCTGCTACATGATACCGTGTGTCCTAGCCAAGACTTCAGTAAAACGATACTCTTCGGAGCCTGGACCGTACGTCGACGTAGTCACTGTCCAGCACATGTGCCATGTTTGGTCCATACGGGCCTGTGGAGGCGAACATGAGCTCCAGAAAAAATCAACATTGCCATTACTGACGTGTGTAGCCAAAGCAGGTGAGTACCTGCATCTGTGTTCTCAAAGATGAAGACTAAATAGATGACACCATCAAGAAATAGAGCTGCGTGTTGGTCAAATGTTGGTAACGTTACCCTTCTGGCTGCGTAAGGACGTTGTTTGTAGGACCATATGGGGAGATGCGTTATGCAGGTCTGAATGGTTAGGTCAAACAGGGCGGTTGGGACAGGGCTATATCCCAAGAGCGGCCGTATCAGTGTGAGAGTAAATTCTGCGTCTTTCTCGGAGCCTAATTGCGTTCAAAGGAACTGCGAAAGTTTCCATGGTTATACAAGTCGCCGTCGGTATTATGTGTGAAGTGTTGTGGGTAAGTTTGATAACCTTGGAAGGGTGAGGCTGAGAGGAAAGAACGCCGAGCGTTTGGTACCCACTTGTTTCCAAATCGGGTAAAGGGCGCTACGTCACCGACATCGGCGGTCGGACGGCGGGCAACATTGAAAGCTTCTCCATACCCAATCTGACTACCCTAACTGTTACCAACGTTTGATGCTCAGACGTACCTTGAACACTTCAATTCGAAAAGCCAACATCAACAACATCATGTCGGTCGAAAAGATCACAACAATCTCGCCAATCACCAACAGGCCAATTCTCACCCGCAATGGCCTGTCAGATGCAGATATTCAGTCGATACCTGAGACAGCCACTCGCGCTTTCGAATCTTTTAGGCGTACCTCACTAGCTGAGAGACAGCAAATCGTTAAAAAGGCCTTGAAGTTGCTCGACGAACGCCAGGATGCATTGGGCAAGGAGCTTACCGAGCAGATGGGCCGCCCAATCGCATATACGCCAAAGGAAGTCATCACAGCCGTTATGCGTGGCGAGTACTTGCTCAGGATCAGTGATGAAACACTCAAGGACACAGCGGGTGAACCTGAGAAAGGTTTCAAGCGCTACGTCAGGAAGGTCCCATTGGGTCCTGTTCTGATTCTCTTCCCCTGGAACGTACGTAAAGCATGCTCTACTCACGGACGACTGCTGACATACAACAAGTACCCTTATTTGACTCTTATCAACTCTCTTGTACCTGCTATTCTATCTGGAAACTCAGTCATCCTGAAACCCTCTCCCCAAACGCCAACCAGCGCAGAGCAGATCCAGAAGATTTTCTCGGATGCTGGACTGCCGGACGGTGTACTTCAGGTCTTTCACAGCGGATCAATCACCCAGATTGAAGCCATTGCCAGGTCACCGCAAATCCAGCTTGTTTGTTTCACCGGCTCCGTGGCTAACGGACTCGCCGTACAGAGCGCTGCAAACGACAGAGTGCCTCTTCGCGTAGGGCTCGAGCTAGGAGGTAAAGACCCTGCTTATGTGCGGTCAGATGTCGACATCGAATGGGCTGCGGAAGAGATTGTTGATGGAGCAATCTTCAACTCTGGTCAGAGCTGCTGTAGTGTTGAGCGGGTGTATGTGGACGAAAAGATTCACGATGAATTCGTATCGGCGGTGCAGGATGTTCTCAAAGGCTACAAGCTCGGCGATCCATTCGATAAGGATACACAAATTGGTCCAGTGGTGTCCAAGCGGTCAGCGGAGACTGTGCAGGCACACATCAAGGATGCTGTCGAGAAAGGTGCGAAGAATGCCACCCCCGAGAACGAGAGCTTCAAGAACCCACCTGCGGATGGCAACTTTGTGGCTCCCACTCTGCTTACTGGCGTCAACCATAGCATGACCGTCATGACCGAAGAGACATTCGGACCTATCATCCCTGTGATGAAGGTAAAAGATGACGCGGAGGCTATCAAGCTCATGAACGACAGCCAGTTCGGTTTGACAGCAAGCATCTGGACCAAAGACACCGAGAAGGGACATGAGCTTGTCGATGATGTCGAGGCTGGAACTGTCTTCGTCAACCGATGCGACTATCCCGCACCTGTAAGTTCATCGTGCTCCTGTCCCGCTTCCTTGCTAACATACTTAGGATCTTGCATGGGTCGGCTGGAAGGACTCAGGCAAAGGACAGACGCTAAGCAAGTTCGGCTTCGACCAGTTCGTCAAGCTCAAGAGCTACCACGTCAAGGACTACCCGAAATAGATGGTACTGCATGAAAGCAGCTCGCACGACAGGCCATGCTGAAATGAGACATGTGGTTTCTCCCTGCGATCAGTCAACGTAGCGTCATTGTGATCAGTGGAGCACAAGCTAACATGGCAGATGATAGATGCCGGAGTACAAGCCCAACGCTACAGAAAGTCTCGTTACTCTAACATTCGCCAACCCGATGCTTCGCGATGGGCATACTTGTAGACCAGCACTGCATGAAGAATTGATCTTCAATCGATGGCCAACGATTGAGTCGTGACACGCATTCGCGTGTTCACCTGACATGGCGTTCTATGCTGTGCTACATGCGGTACGACCTGCATACGCCAAACTGGTGGTTCCCAGCAATGTTCGTCCGCGGATGTGAAGCGGCCTGTCCTACCCATGCAGGTCCACTACAACTCACAGCAAGACGGAACATTGACAGCGCAATCGAGTACATGCGTTTCTGGTGCCTAACTGAAGAATGCGACCCTGTATGCAAGGTGTGGTTGCACAAGTGCGATGCTGCCGATATTCCGAATGCGGGCCTAGATGTCTGACCCTACTGCATCATGTTCGGTCAACGGCGTTCGTGTATGTTCACAGGCGGTAAAACCGTTTCTCCTCCAGTCTGGGCTTCTATCTTGGACTCACTCTTATCCACCTTCCAACCGGGTTTGACAAGACTCTTTGGGGGTCATCCGACTCGTGTATAGTCCTGAAGGCATCTTCCCTTGTCAGCATTCCAAGGCGCACCGGCCCGCATCCTTTCGCTTCACTCATGGAATGTCTATACACGTAATGACTGTAGCGAGCAAGGGATGTTCCAGAGCCACGCGGCAAAAAATTCTGTTCAACGAGTCGCTTGGGAAACCAATCTCACGCCTTTCTCTTACATGTCCTGAGGCAATCGGCCCTTTTATTCCTGCCCTACTCTGGCTTCCATGATCGCTCGATATAGTGATCATCCCGTCTTCTGGCACCTTTGTCTGTACTGTTGACTTGCATCATCTTGCTCTCTTTACTTGTTCTGCTTCTTTCACTTTTCTATCATTGTGTCCTTGCCGGCTTCGTTACCCATATACCCTCATTTGCTCTTGAGCTTCGATATACCCACACTCATTCCACAAATCCAAAAAAAAACCCCCACCCTCCCTCTCCACGGAATACATCACTATCCCATCACTTCCACGTCACGGTAACCAAACGGAACCATGACCTTCAAGGACGTTATTTCGAAGATCCAACGATCTATCCTTTGCTATAGCAAGCGTGAGCGAAAGTGTTCACTGGACATTGTGAGTCTTCCAAAGTTCTTGTAGCTGTGTCAGAAGAATACATATGCTAACCCATTACCAGAGCTCACCAACCAACGTCCGCCGCGTCGACGTCTCCAACGCCCTCCCCGGCCTCACCGACGCCGAACGAAAGTACATCCGCGAGAAAGCCTCCAGCAATGCCATCCACCTCCTCGGTCTACAATTCCATCCTCCATCGCACCCTCCTTCCCAGCCAACAACAACGCCGCCTTCAGCCGAACACTTCCTTCGACATGAGTCAAACTCGGCAATGTCATCTCGAGAGCCATCCATGGCCCTTCTAAACGCTGCCTCCAAGGACCTGCCCGACGCTATCCCAACGCCCCCACGCCAGACTCACCCACCCACCTCCCCGCCTTCAGCCAGAATGAAAAGCATGTGGGACGGTGCGAGGAGACTGAGCAGCTCGTCGAGCTGCAGGGACAGTCTTTACTCGAAGATCGGTGACGGCGAGAAGCCGAGAGACGCATCTTTCATGACGCTGAACCTTGAGTTCGAGTTCGAGAGTCCCGGTGCTAAGAAGCGTTCTGACAGCCCGAGGACGCTGAGTGTGGCGTCGGGGTTTGAGACACAGGACACCGTTGGCGAGCACGCCGACACCAATATACCGATCATAAAGAATGAGAAAGTCAACGCCGCCATCAAGGAGACGGAGGTCGTGGATAGTGGTGGTGATGAGGATCCGTTCGTTGCTGCTGAGGGGAAGTTGTTGAAAAGATCTGAGTTTTGTTCCGATGAGTTTGTTGAAGGGTAATTGATCAGTGATCATTGGGCCCAGGTTACGACCGCATATGTATTTGTACGATGTTATGACACACAGGATGGCAGGATAATCATGGATCCAAGGATGGGCAAAGACGTATACTCGTCCACTGTACTGGAATTAATAGTCAGTATTGACAGGACATATAACTCAAAATCAAAAAGAGCTTGCAGCAGATTGCAAGTATTGCTCGACGCTGTTTCCAAGCTTGCACAATAGCAATCACGCTGTGAACTCTGTCAGGACGGCAGGTTGTTCGTCTGATCCGTTGATGAGTAATACATCTACGAATTTTTTGATATTATTCATCTTGGCTGCTTCCGTGCTACGAAGAATGCCAAAGTCGTTGGTTAGACATGCAATAGCTCTGGCTCTGAGACTCTGATGCAGTGTGACCTAAGGCTGCTCCTTGTGCATTGGTTCAAAGGTGCCCCAGCAGATGGTCTAAGACCTGTGTCCCTGTGGTGCTCCAACGGTATACGTCTCCAATCTGCATCGTACGTGGGTGCGTTTCGTCTTGCGTCGGCCCAAGTCAGACAGCGAAAGGTCGCTACCAGATGTACGCTCGTTGAATCTGGTGGTGGCTGGCTTTGTAGGTGCCTTCATCCTGTCATCTCTACATCTTGAGCCTTCCTCTTCTGCGCGCCCTGGCTGCTTTCGATCTGGCCCTGGAACTTCGCCTGTAGGGCCTCAAGGAGAACCTCTTTGACGACTGCCAGGCTCCCGACAGAGGCGTGTGTCGCACCCTCAATGAGAGCATCTGGATCAGGGCCAACATCTCCCTTCATCCAAATCTCTGTAACTTCATCTCTTGAAGCCAGGTATCCCACTGCGCACGCCGCAACGACCTGTTTGTGTTCTGCCGGGCAAGGGTCCAGTACTCTGACAAGATCCTCCTCGTCCCTTGAATCTGGGTTCCGAATGATCGCCGCGACACCTCCACATACCATGTCCACACAGTCGATCCCTGCGTCTGTGATCGCTGCGCTAGCCACCGTGATGCAGCCCGCCAGAACGTTCAGCAAGCCCCAGCCACTTCCACTGGCGTGTGCATCGCCCCACCAGCCATCCTCGTCTCCCTCGAGAATCGTGACTACAACCTCAACCCCGCTCTTTGGCCAACGCTCTCCGATTATTACGGCCCTCAATGCGGTTTCCAGATGTACGCCGAGGTCGCGCTCAGTATTGTCGCGTATGTAGCCTCTCCTGTGCCGTGTTGCGAATGGCGCAAACTTGACTGTGGTAGTGAGGAGAAGAGAGGGACTGAAAGGCGCGCTGCGGGGCAATGGCTTAGGTCCTTGTATCGAGGCGGTGATTTTGAGGGAGGATGTAGGCGGGATAAGAGTTGAGGATGAATTTGCAGAGGAAGAGGGTATTTCGAGGTATGCGGAGCCTGAGGCGGAGGGTATGATGGAGGTTTGCAAGACTGAAGTACACAATTAGTCTTTGTTTGCGCCAGTATGCTGCCGCATATGCTCGATTTACGCCAACATTGCATACTCCGCTGCAGAATCCAAACGGACAAACAAATATAGGTCTTTGTAAAGCCTTGATGTAAACTTACAGATCCTGCGAAGCTCATTTGGTCCTCTTGTTCTTGTCGGCCTCAATGTTTGAAGATACTCGGGCTCTCGAAGCGTCCGAGCAAATACTGGTGCATGAGTGCCTCCGCTGGGCGGATTGTTCCTTCTCCTATCTGTGTTCGTTGCCATTATGCGTATTGGAGGTGCTTCGAGCTTTCTACGAATGATCAGTGGAGTTTGAGAAATATGGATGACATAATGATGCCAAGATTTCGTGTGTCCGAGCGCGGCTGCCTCTTCATTTTTCTTTCGCGAGCTGCAGTTTCCTTTCTCACCACACTCGCGCACAAGGTACGTTCACACCAAATCTCCCCTGCACACCCTTTTATGATTGATACCCCCTGAATTACGTTCGCTGTGATCATCAATGAACATGGAACACATGCACCACCGTCTGATTTCGACTTGTACCCGCAGCTTTCGCACTCATATATTGAGCCTTAGCTGACTTGTATAGCACCTGCGTTTTCTGCGATAACACGGACTGGATCCGACATGTAGTGCGACGCGCCGCACTTGGTCCTTGGAAGACATGCTGACCCGGACTTTCAACCTCTCGTTACGCTTCGATCGCGACCTCTCGACCACAAGACCTAGCGTTCAATCTGTCGCAAGCTTGTGTATCGACATGCATGTTTCAGTGGTGGTGATGCCTGCGTCTGGCCTACGATGTTACGGCAGGCGTGGGCTTCCGTATGCACTGTAAGTGTCTACCATTTCTCACATCTCAAGCTCTCCGGAGCTCACTCCAATGATGACGTGTATTCAATTTCAGTTCTGCTACAGAATTCAATGTCGACAAACCCATACCACAAGCTTACCTTTGTCTGATCTTATCAACCTTGCACCAATGTATCAACATACGTTGAAGCGGACATTCACTGACATGCCGCACAGAACAACTCATTTAGTCTTACCCGGAGCTCCTCGCCCCAATCAAAGGTAAGCGCATCAACCCACTCGTTCTGTACCCTATCACTCTTTGTTATGAAGAAAATTCCTAAGTTATATCCATTCTATGAATGTCTGCCGTTGGGTCACCCTCCCGCACGCTACCAGCTTCGGCTGGGAGGATGCGTTGTGGAGTTGCGCTGGATCTCTACCAAGTGAAGGCGCGTTATTGTGGTCTTAGCACCGAAGATCATGGTGGTTCGTCTTGAACTGCTACGAAGGGAGGTCAATGGCGGGCGCAGGTTTTCAACGGCTTTCTGAACTTGAGGACTCACATCTTGGTTCTGCTCTCACAGGCTTGTCAGTGGCTAACCATTTCTCAGGTAGGTTCCGTTCATGCAACCCTCTTTTTGCTCTTAGGATGGGCAATGTGCTGAGGCTTTTACATGGATTGTGAATGACGATGTGGTGATGAGCTGGCGAAGGCTCTGCCACAGTCTTATGATCTCGTAGACTTTTAGTAGCAATACTATTTTTCGTTGCATCTTATCACATTTTGAACATCTGCATGCGTGAACATTCCATATTGGTACTGACATATTGTTGGTGATATCAGTAAGCATGGAGCTGAGATCGCTCCTGCTAAATTTGGATGTCAACACGAGATCTGTTTGCAGCATGTACTTCAGTTCACAACTGCCTTGCGCGTCCAAGTGAAGCACTCCATTTCACTTTCAGCGTCGCATTCATTTCGGCAGCAATCTTACGGTTCCTGCACTTGAGTTCTGAAACGTCGATGCTAGTTTCTTGGCACGCTGGCATCATCTCAAGCAAGCAAAGGAAAGCTCTCCGTAGAGATCTCACCCCCTCCCGCAGCCTTGCGTCCCTAATTCCCTTGCGTCGGTATTGCCGCTCTGGTAGGCGCCACCAATCCGTCCGGGACTTGTCTCAACGCCAACGGTGGCCTTAGCGAAATCATCATCAGCCAAGGAGCGACACAAGGAGGCCCTTACGACGCGCAACCAGCCAGAAGAACTCCGAATCCTCCAGTTGGACCCTCGCCGACCCTACCAGCATACCCTCTCCGCCTGACGTCGCCAAAGATTGGCATTTTCTCTCACCCAACCCTCCGCGCCCGCTTTGGAGGTGCTGCGCTACGTTCTGCGACTCGGTGATCTGGCGGGTCGAAGGTCGACCGGGGTGTTCAAGGGATACTGCAGAGCAACCCGAATCTGCAGAGCCGCTATCTGAATGTTGCCCTTACATTCATCATCGCCGAAAGGGAAGATGCATCGCCATGCATATTCCAACGGGGCGTATCCTTCGCAGGGAAGCACCTTTTCAATTCAACCCCACAAGTACGTTCAGCCGCCGCAATGCCTAACACGGCGCCCCCGTCGCCTCTACCCGCCATTCTGCACGACGATAAGTCCTGGAAGCCAGATGCTAACCACCAGTGCTACCGCAGATTCCAGCCTCGATCACAACCCGCGCTTAGGCGGCGGAGGCAACTAATTCAGCGCCTGCTCCTTGTAGGCTCGCTCTTCCTCACAGCATTCTACTTCATCTTTCCCGATCTACGACCGAACCTAGGCTCCGGCCCCCTCAGTTACTTGACCTCGAGCGAGGATTCGCAACTCGAGACCGTCCGCTACTACGACCTCAACAATGTACAGGGTACTGCGCGAGGGTGGGAGCGGGAAGAGAGGATATTGATTTGCGCTCCTCTGCGAGATGCGTCGCCGCATTTGCCCATGTTCTTTAGCCATCTGCAGAACTTGACGTACCCGCACAACCTCATCGATCTGGCCTTCCTCGTTGGAGACTCAAAGGACAATACCATCGCCCTGTTGACAGAGAAGCTGGAGGAGCTGCAGGCCAACCCGGATCCCAAGAAGACATTTGGCGAGATATCGGTCATGGAGAAAGATTTTGGGCAGAAGGTCAACCAGGATGTCGAGTCGCGTCACGGTTTCGCAGCGCAGGCTGGCCGTCGTAAGTCGATGGCTCAGGCGCGCAACTGGCTTCTCAGTGCGGCTCTGCGACCCACCCACAGCTGGGTGTACTGGAGAGATGTCGACGTTGAAACAGCGCCATTCACCATTCTCGAGGACCTTATGCGACACAACAAGGACGTCATTGTACCAAGTGAGTTCAACTGCGCTTCAAAAACGGTCAACGGTTAACATATCTTCACAGACGTTTGGCGTCCGCTACCTGACTGGCTTGGCGGAGAGCAGCCCTACGATCTGAATTCCTGGCAGGAATCTGAGACCGCCCTCGCGCTCGCCGACACCCTCGACGAAGATGCCGTTATTGTCGAAGGTTACGCAGAGTACGCTACCTGGAGACCGCATTTGGCCTACCTCCGCGATCCCTATGGTGACCCAGACATGGAGATGGAGATCGACGGTGTTGGTGGTGTCAGTATCCTGGCTAAGGCAAAGGTTTTCCGCTCCGGTGTCCACTTCCCTGCTTTCAGTTTCGAGAAGCACGCTGAGACCGAGGGCTTCGGCAAGGTATGTTGCAGCAAATCTAGATGTCCTCCAGACGCTAATCGTGTGCTAGATGGCCAAGCGCATGAAGTTCTCCGTTGTCGGTCTGCCCCACTACACGATCTGGCATCTGTACGAGCCCAGTGTCGATGATATTCGACACATGGAAGAGATGGAAAAAGAGCGCAAAAAGAAGGAGGAAGAAGAAAAGGCAAAGAAAGAGAAAGAAGAGAAGATGCACGCGACATTCGACACAAAATCGTCTGAATGGGAGAAGGAGAAGTCTGCGGTCCAGGACCTCGTCCAAAAGGCCAAGAACGAAGAGAAGGCCCGCGCTGAGAAGGAGCAAGCCGAGAAGGAAGGCGCCAAGGCTGAGACGAAAGAGGAGAAGAAAGAAGAGAAGGAGGGCTCATAAAAGTTGATTGTACGTCCATTTGTTGCATTTTCAAGCGAAGCACCCATCTAATCGAAAGCAGAAGCGCTCTCTCGAAAGCTGCGAACATCAGAACCGGCTGGCTCTGCTTCATGTCATTTTCTTGCCTGCGAGATGATATCTCTGGAGGCCTATTGAACGCTACGTACGGCTTGAGTAGAATCTGCTCAGGCAACAACGACCGTCACGATTTTGGCTGGACTATGTGCGAACACATCTTATCCGCCAATTTTCACTTTCTGTGGTGGGATCGCATTGCTACTGCGAGCTGCTTGAAGTGTACCAGGCCATTTTCTTTGATATTTCGGCCACGTACACGACTCGGCAAGCCGGTCTCTTGTTGGAAGATTTAGAGCGTTTGATGTCGGTAATGGACGTTCCGTCTCACATCGAAATTTTGTACATATTAGACAATTGTTGCATTTGTGGCGTTCTGAGCTCGATGGTAAGATCTGAGTGGTGAATATCATCATGTTTCGAAACATCTGAGTTGTTCCCAAAATTTGTGTTGATAATGCTCGAAGCTCAGCGTGGACAGCCTGGCCTCTGCGGAGAGCGTTGGAGACCTCCGAGCGGCGCGCTTGGCGTGAGCTTCAATGTCAAGTGCACCTGGAATCCGTGCTCATTAATATTGATGCTTGCTACTTTTGCTTGACGTGTTCAAGTTAGAAGGTTTGCATTTCCCGACACTGTATACATCTCTCGATCTCACAGGCAACCGTGCCACGAATGATGCGTGTTCTTTTCTGAGCTTTCTGAACGGGACATGTAGCTATATCTCCACCTTCACCCTACATCCACGTCGCGCCAACCACACCTTTGTCGCGCGATACACACGAATACACATAGACCGTCGCAATGTCGAGCAGCGACAGCGAACTCGATGCCGCAACCCTTCACCAAGATGCGCCTGCAAGCTTGGATTCACGACCCATCACCGTTGCAGTCAACCCGGTAGCGCTGGTGGTCACAGAATGTATTACGGTCACATCTGCTATGCGGAAGCATGCCCGTTGGGCACATTCATCAGTCTCGGCGATTCTGGGTGGGTCATCGAATAAGACGCCTGCTGTCCAACGGCGGGACCGTACAGGACAGGGGATAATCAGCGGCGGGGAGCAAGAGGAGGCCGTACCCAGCAGATGGGGACTACGAGGAAAGAAGGGGAAGAGCTTGCAGGACAATCCTCTCATGTCTGCATTTGCGCGCTTAAGAAATGATCTGAAGGGTTGCAAAGGTGGGTGCTACTTTCGAACGCTGCATAGAGCTATGCTAATGCTGTTATAGACATCAGGACCTTCGATACCCCCTCGATGCTTCACCCCTTCCTCCAAGTCATTCGCTCTTCGTCTACGTCTGCGCCGATTACTTCGCTCGCCCTCATCGCTATCACCAAGTTCCTGTCCTACGGCGTCATTGGCCATGACTCTCCTCGTCTGCCAGAAGCTATGCAGCAGCTCTCCTCCGCCATCACACATTGCCGCTTCGAAGCGAGTGACTCGGCCGCCGATGAAATAGTACTCCTTCGTATTCTGAAGCTTATGGAGGGTATGATATCAGGGCCTGGTGGGCAAGTTCTTGGAGACGAGAGTGTCTGCGAAATGATGGAGACAGGACTGAGCATGTGCTGTCAGGCAAGACTGTCCGAGCTGCTTCGCCGCTCCGCAGAGATCGCTATGGTGTCTATGTGCCAGGTCATATTCCGGAGGCTGAAGACACTGGAGATCGAGACACCAGAGGAGCTTGATGCGTTGGACGAAGAGCTGGAAGGGAAGATTGAGCCAGATGGTCTCAAGATGGACCCATCCGCGAGCGGTCAGGGCGACGTTGCGCAGTCTAAGGTCGAATCACCCCAGCAGCCTAGCAACTCTGAGGGAGGCCAGGAGGACCGTGAGGATACAGCCAATCCAGCGACCAGTACACTCGATCTACCCGCCATGGCGGAGGGCGAACAACCACCTGCTGAGATCAGACCATATTCATTACCATCCATACGAGAGCTCTTTAGAGTACTAGTCGATTTGCTGGATCCACATGACCGTCAGCATACCGATACCATGCGTGTAATGGCGCTACGCATCGTAGATGTTGCGCTCGAAGTTGCCGGACCCTCAATAGCGAGCCACCCGAGTCTTGCGAACCTGGCAAAGGATACGCTCTGCAGACACCTGTTCCAGCTCGTCAGGTCAGATAATATGGCCGTTCTGAACGAGTCACTACGCGTCGCAGGAACCCTCCTTGCTACGTGCAGAAATGTCCTTCAGCTACAACAAGAGCTCTACCTCTCTTACGTGGTTGCATGTCTCTTCCCGCGGGTCGAAATACCCCAGGAACCTGGCATCGACCAATCCCTGTACGAGGGTGTCCCTCAAGCTCCAAGCTTGATTAAATCATCACCACAACAAGCACCTAGTAGTGGTCGGTCAACGCCAGTACCTGTCAAGGATAGACGGCAGCTTGGTCTAGAGGGCGGCGCCCGGAAGCCTGACGCCAGAGAAGCTATGGTCGAGAATCTTGGTGGACTTGTCAGGATACCTTCATTCATGGCTGAACTCTTCGTCAACTACGACTGCGAGATCGATCGTGGCGATGTCTGCATGGACATCGTTGGTCTTCTCTCGCGTAACGCGTTTCCTGATTCAGCGACATGGAGCACCGTCAACGTGCCCCCGCTATGCTTGGATGCGTTGCTAGGATTCGTACAGTCAATAGCGGACCGCTTAGACGATGAGCCTGTGACTGAGGGTTTCCCAAGCGCTCAAGCACTACGTGAGCAGCGATTGCGAAAGAAGATCATCATCCGTGGAGCAACGAAGTTCAATGAGAAGCCAAAGGCTGGTATCGCGTTCTTAACGTCGCAAGGCATCATCTCGGATCCAGATGATCCTAAAGCTATCGCCGAATTTGTCAAGGGTACGACTCGAGTTGACAAGAAAGTATTAGGAGAATTTCTCTCTAAGCGTGATAACGAACCCATACTAAAGGCTTTCATGAAGCTGTTCGACTTCCGAGGACTACGTCTCGACGAAGCGTTGAGATTGCTCCTGCACACCTTCCGTCTTCCTGGTGAATCAGCACTCATTGAGAGGATTATCACAGACTTCTCAGAGGAATACTATAACGCAGCACAGCCAGAGGAGATTGCCAACAAGGACGCCATCTTTGTGCTTACCTACGCTGTGATTATGTTGAACACAGATCAGCACAATCCCAATCTCAAGGGCGACAAGCGAATGAAGGTGGAAGACTTCGCAAAGAACCTCCGTGGCGTCAACGACGGCAAGAACTTTGATCCCGACTATTTGCAGGCTATCTACGACTCCATCAGGACGCGCGAGATTATCCTTCCCGAAGAGCACAATGACCGGAACGCCTACGACCATGCCTGGAAGGAGCTACTGGTCAAAGTCCAGTCAACCCCAAATATGGTCATCTGCGACACCAACATCTTCGATGCCGATATGTTTGCAGCGACATGGAAGCCGATCGTGGCAACGCTGTCGTATGTTTTCATGTCGGCAACAGACGATGCTGTCTTCTCACGTGTCGTGCTGGGCTTCGACCAATGCGCGCAGATAGCCGCGAAGTATGACTTAAGCGATGCACTAGACCGTATCATTTCCAGTCTTTCATACATCAGCACATTGGCACCTGACGTGCCACCCAGCACGTCACTCAATACCGAGGTCCAGGCTGACAAGAAGAGCGTAATGGTTAGCGAGACCGCCGTGCGCTTCGGCCGAGATGGCAGAGCGCAGCTGGCAACTGTCGTTTTATTCCAGGTCATCAAGGGCAATGAAGCCGGCATACGAGATGGGTGGAATCATCTCATCCGCATTATGGTCAACCTCTTCATCAACTCACTCATTCCGCCCTACTTCCTTTCGTTCCAGAAGACACTCGCTCTGCCTCCAATACCTCTTCAGAATCCCGCACAGGTCATCGATCGAGCCGAACGCCCGGCTGATGCAGGCATCTTCTCCGCTTTCACCTCGTACGTGTCGAGCTTTGCCAACGATGAGCCACCAGAGCCCTCGGACCAGGAGATCGAGTATACGCTTTGCACTGTCGACACAGTCAAGGAGTGCCATTTCGAAGACATACTCGCCAATATCAGTCAGCTCCCTGTTGCAGCGTTGCGGTCCCTGCTCGAGTCACTGCTTGAGCACATCCCCGAAGATGGTGAGCCAAGAGTGATCGTGGTCAAGTCAGAGGTGTCTGGGCAAGCTGCTCGACCGAATGGCAGCAAGACCAAGGGCAAAGGTCCGGTCTATGATCCTAGCCTCGTCTTCGTTCTTGAACTGGCCACCGTGCTTGCACAGCGTGACGAAGAGACCGTCAAGGAGCTTGCGAAGGATGTCACAGATGCTCTGTCGAGCGTCATCCGCGACGCATCAAAGCACCATCCCGTCGTTATTGCACGATCGGTCTACTACCTTCTGGGACTTCTCAAGGCCAGCAATGACTATGACTTCATCCGCGCCCCTGTACTTCTGCATACATTCTCTAGCTTCAATGAGGCTCTGCTCAAGGAATGCTCGCAGCCACTCCTCCACGGCTTGTCAGAATGTTGCAAGGGCCCAGTCGCTCTTCGCAGTGAGCTAGCAGGTTCGCCGGACTTCTGGACCATCTTGAGTCGACTATGTGGTGTGCCAGAAGCCGCTGGTGACGTCTTTCAGCTTGTCGAAGATCTCACTACCTCACCTCAACCTTGCATCACCGCAGACAATTATGAAGCTACGATCGCGCTGCTTAATGAGTTCGCTACGCAAGCGCAGGTTGGTGCACGCGAAGAACAACTCCACGACCAGGCTGCGCGACGCGGCAAAGGCCAGAGGCCCAAGAAGCCTGAGAGCACCGAAGTCGTTGTTCGTGGCAGCAAAGCTATGACAATCGTCTTCCAGTTGTCGACCAAGGTACCAGCGTTCATCGAGCACTCGCACCTCGAGACAACCGAAGGTAAGCCTTCCCACCATCCACATTCCAACCTCGGAAGAGTCTCAAGCTAACACAACACAGCATGGACAGCATACTGGTCCCCAATCCTCAAAACCCTCGCCCACCAATGTCTCAACCCCTGCCGCGAAATCCGCTCCAACGCCTTCTCTTCCCTCCAACGGACCCTGCTCTCCACCTCCCTCGCATCTCCCGACCACAAAGAATGGACCGCAATCTTCTCCTCGATCCTCATGCCGCTCATCACGCAGCTTCTGAAACCTGAAGTCTACCAATCCGACCCTCTCGGCATGTCGGAAACACGCGTCCGCGCCGCCACCCTCCTCTCAAAAGTGTTCCTGCACTACCTAGTCCTCCTGAGCGAAGTCGAAGCAGACAAAGAGTTCTTAGATTTGTGGCTGAAGATCATTAGTATTATGGACAGGCTGGTCAACAGCGGGCAGGGCGATATGGAAGAAGCGGTCGGCGAGAACTTGAAGAATATGCTGCTGGTGCTGAGTAATGGAGGGTATCTTGTGACGCCGGATGAGCAGCCAGAGAAAGAGCAGCTGTGGAATGAGACGTGGAAGAGGATCAATAGGTTCCAACCTGATTTGTTCAAGGAGCTATTCCCTGAGGAAGCGGGGAAGCCGAAGCGGTCGAGGGATGAGAGGAGGAGTAGGGATGAGCGGCCGAAGGACGTTGTGGAGCCTGCGGGGGCAGAGCCGCAAGGTGAGACGAAGGAGTTGGTGATCGGTGAGGGCAAGAAGGAGGCTGAGAAGGAGAGTTAGGTGCTATTGCTTTCCAGCAAGCGATGAGCTGAGGGCGGATGTGTAATGTGTGTCTTTACTTAACCAACAAAGAGGATAGAAACCTTCCTGCACGGCCATTGTCTTGCCCTCCAATCGAGCAAATGCTATTTGAGCAGTATTACTTCTCTAGAAAAGTGTGCCCGCCACCGGTCACTCATCCCAAGTTCGTCTGGCTTTGTTTCTTTTACTCAAACTCCTTTGTTATCCCGATTGTAAATCCGGTCACCACCCATGTAGATCTTTCATGCCGAGGACCGCTCCAACCGTTCATAACGTGAACCATGTGCTCGCAACAGTATGATACAACAACTCGCACGGTGTGCTGACGGAAGGAGAACGCCTTTAATGTGATGATGGTCAATCAGCTTGAGTGGATCGACATCCCATGCAGTCTCCAGTGTAGCATATGTATCGCTGTCGTACCGCAGTGCAGTCACTATGCAGCCGTCCCCCTGAAGTTGGAGAAGATCAAGGCGAAGAATATCAAGGTCTGCGGTCAACAACTCCAGCTCAAGTTGCTGACTACATCTCAATGAGAGGACAGTAGGACCTGTCACAAGCTCTTTGAGATCTTCCTTGCCCATGTCACTTAGCACGGAAATTCCACAGATATCATCTGACATCTTGCCGAGTTTGTCGTCGTGATACGAAATTGAACCCTCAGCCTATCGGAGACCAGCTTGTAAAAAAGAAAAAAAAAAAAAAAAAAAAAAAAAAAAAAAAAGTCCGCCGACGAAGTGGCTTGATGCTTGCGTTGAACCACGGTAATGAAATCTCACCAGGACGACCGTCATCGACAGAGTCAAGTGCGTTGTTAGGCTCGCAGAATGGGACGCCGAATATGTGAAATAAAACGAGTTCAACGCTCCCCTGATGGCATCCAGTGCATCTGTATCGAATCTCAGAGTGCGCTTGCTGTACGTCTCAAGGTAACTCAGCGCTTGTTCCATTGGGGATTGATCGAGAGTGAAACTTTCCACACGTTTTCGCCTTGGCAAGCGCGTTGCCGAATAGATGTCGCCCATCTGTGCTATCTGCGTTTGCTTTTCAACGGGGTTTTGTTGACGTATGCACTGCTATCGTTAGCCTCTCGAAACAGATCACAAGTCGTAAAATCAACTCACATATTGATCAACCCGGAGATACCGATACCCCAAGTCACGTGTAATCTTTATAGACCGCTGAATAGTCTTCGGCAAGGATTTTAGTGGTCTAAGATCATCGTGATGATGACATGCGGTCTAGATAAGTAATTGGGATCGAACCCTTGCGAAACGATGCAGAACTGTTTCTGAACCGAGCTCCAAGCTCTTGAAGCATTGGTGATGTTTGATTTGGCTGACTGTCAGCGCGCTGTGTTCCAATGAGCGTTTGAGTGACCGGAATGCTCCAAAGAAGCGGCAAATGTGACGTTGATCCCTTCAGTACTCTAGAGCTTGCCCCATGCATGAATGACCCACGGATGAAAAGGCACACTGGAGCCCCCCAGACATGATACACGTTCTCTTCATCAAGCGTGTTCAGAGCACCAGCTATCGCGTTCAGAGCATCTGTCTCGTACGACAATGTGCGACCACTGTATATCGAGAGACACTTCTGGGCCCGCAGCAATGGCCCCACCCTGTTCGTCCGGTCGTCTCTCCACGACTGTCGAGGTACCCAACCCTCTATATTCAATTTATCAGAGTGTGGAGAGAGGCTTCTGATAGATGATCAAGATACGATATCGTCAAAGCCTCGTAATATGTAGTGGTATTACAGACGTAAGTGACCTGTCGCTCGGTGAAGATAATCCGTCTCCTAGACATATAATGGTTGCTGGAATGTACAGACCCCCCCTGGACTTGGTTCACTCCTGCGACAGGCTTACATTATGTAAGAATGAAGGCTTCTAAGTGGCTGTTTCTATCTTGGTTGACAGAACCGACAATCCGGTACTTGTCCTGCAGGGCAACTATGTGGTGAACAGCCACTCACAAGGCTGTCCGCCCTCATGAACCACGGTACGTACCTACTGTACGCATCACTGTACCAAGGTCAGGGGAGTCTGCACATTTTTGCAATTCACTGTACCAGAACCAGAAGGTTCATGCCTCCACAATCAAACCCATACGGCAAGCCTTGTGAGTGACAACATGCAGCAATATCTTCGAGAAGCACCTTATCTGACTTCTTTGCCGACAAGCTACTTCTAGTTCGCAGCATTCCTGACCTTCGCCTGTTCAACCGCCTTCTCCCAACTTGTCCTATAAATGAACACACTCTCAATCAAACTCACAACACCAAGCGCAACAGCCGGGCCAGCCCATAGACCATATAACCCCCACCCTGCCCCAAAGCCCGTTCCAAAACTAATCGGCATACCAATAACATAGTATGCAAAGAGCCCTACATACCCACCAATCTCCTGCCTCCCCAGACCACGCAAGATACCATTACAATTCGCCGCCAGCGCATCAAAGACCTGGAACGTCGCGCACAGCGGGAGCAGTTTAGCGACGAGATCGATGACTTCCTCATCGGGCGTGAAGAGGCGAGGGATCTGCTCTCTCAACAAACTCAACAGCAGCAGATTCCCAAAGCCAACAATAATACTCGCTACAACAGCGACCTTGGCCGCCGTCTTCGCAGGCACCGCGAGCGTCGCGCCGATTAGGTTAGCGATGCGCGTCGACGCAGCCACACTCATCGGGAACGGGATCTGAAACGTGATACCCGTGATACTTCCCAGCACAGATTGGGCCGCGAGTTCAGTCTCGCCGAGCCATGAGGAGGAGAGCGTGAGGACTTCGAAAGCGAGGAACTCGGCTAACACCATGACCAAGCCCGGGAGCGCGAGTTTAATCATCGGCGTCCAGTTCTTGAGTGCGCGGCGGTCGAAGCCGCCCCAGCACTGATACCCGTCGATAAAGCGAACGTACAGGAATAGCATGATAGGCAAAATGTTCTCGGTGATAGCCACAGCGATCGGCGCGCCGATGAAGCCCCAGCCCAGATGCCATACGAACAGCCAGTTCAGGAAAGCGTTGAGCGGGGCGCAGATAAGCAGGATGTACATGTTCACGCTGAACAGGCCTTGGGCCTGGACGTAGCGTTTTCCAGACTCGAAGGCCGCGTAGCCTGGCGCGCCGAAGATCAAGACGCGCAGGTAGAGACCTGCGAGGCGTGCGGTTTCTTGCTCGGGGACGATGAGCGAGAGGAGTTGTGTTCCGAAGGCCCAGATTATGGCGATTGGGATCGTGATGAGCAGCAGGAAGGCGAGCATGCGCTGCAGTTGCAGGCCTACGAGATGTGGGCGGCCGGAGCCGTAGGCTTGGGCGCAGAGAGTATCGAGGGAAGTTGCGAGGCCTTGATAGACGGCGTATCCGGTAATGGAGGCAGTCATAGACGCCAGTGACACGGCGCCCAACTCAGTCTTGCCGATGTGGCCAACGGTGAAGATACTGGCTACGGGAAGACTGTACTGCAGTAAGAAGGTCAGGATCATGGGTGCAGAGCTCTTGGTCAAGACTTTGGTCTCTCGCTTCCAGCTTGTGTTGATCTTGCCCGCTGCAACTGCTTCATTCCACTTCTTATTGATAGTCTTCGGCGTATCGAGACCACCATATGGCTGATCCGGATCGCCTCCAGCACCTCCAAGAAGAGCATCACGTTCTGACGCATCGTCGTGGCCACCAGACTCCTCATCAGGCGTGCTGCGGACCTTTCGCAGGATCGAGAAAGAGGTCTTCGGTCCTATCCTGGTAGCTGGTCCCACACTGCCTGATCGAGGGTGCTTTGGCAGCAACAGATTGTTATCGCGGAGCAAGCTCCGCTCATCTTCTCTCACAGATTCTCGCTCTTTCTTCGACAAGTAATTGTGCTTCTTTGCCGACGTGGATAAGAAAGAACTTTCCGGTACACTGGATGATACAATGGCTAATCCTCGAGGTCCAGGGTTGACGTAGGATGGTCGGCGGTAGGAGTTGATCATGGAATACTGTCGAATGGTCGAGGATCCTGAGGACGATTCATCGTCGCCATCGGTATCTTCAGGCTCGGATTTCGAGTTGTCCTCTTCCAGATCCCGAGCAATTGCTTCCTCGGCAATGTCCGTGGCGTGCGCAAAGCCCTCCATTTGCGCGGCGACATGGTTCGCAAATTCATTGATTTCAGTTGGTTGGCCGGTCTGTGCGGAGGACAAAGGTGGGGCCATCGTTCTTTCGCCCGCCGGGCTCTTTCTCGCGCCGCTTGAAGCTCGACTGAAGGCGCGCCGAGATGCGATTGATCGGAAGTGAAGTTAGCAGGCGGAACAGGGTCTTTAAGAGTCCGAATCCGCAGTGGAGACTAGACTGATGTCAAAGAGCCTGTTCGCATTGACCCGCTAATCACCGAGAGCGGTAGCTCCAAGCGGTACCGACTTAGCGCGATGAAGTTAGCCTCGCGCCCTTCTCGGTCGTCCCTACAGCAATTGGCTGGTGGTGGCTTCATGGTGCTCGACGTGCTGCTGCGAGTGTGACTGTTCTGAGGTCGCAGATCTCAGCTGAGGCGGTGAGTCAAGACGAGTGGAAGATTGCAGGACATCATGGCAGAGGTTTGGATCGCTTGTGCGAGCGTTGCGATTGCAGTGTTACAATTGAAGACGGGTTGAGAAGTGACTGGCTGCAGTCGTTGTACGTTGATGTGGACAGGGCAAGCACGTTAATGTGAACAGGGCAGGCACGTTAATGTGAACAGGACAGGCACGTCGCTTCACAGATACACACGCTCGTGCAACGCTGGGGCACAGACTCGGCAGATGCGAGCATCAAGGACTGCGAAAGAACTCCAATGTGCTGGTGGACGGTAAAACTACACGTCTAGCTAACATCCTCACTCACCAACAGCGGCGTCCGCTCACTGTTACCGTTCGCCGCCGCCTCCTGCTCGAGCCTCTTCTGCTCCTTCCTGTCCCTCCACAAGAATGCCAGACTCATCGCCAACAAGCACCCCTGCAAACAACCAGTGAAGATGAACAGTCCCCATGCGCTCCATCCTCCCCTTCCGAGCCTAGCATACAGACTCGCCGCGAACACAAAGCTGCCCGGCGTCTGAATGCACATCATCAGCACGGATAAGCTGGCCGTCTCCTGCAAGCGCCACGTGGTGATGATTTGCGGAATGTACTGTATAGCAGCCAGGCCGGTGGCTAGCAGACCGAGGAAGTTGGCCCAGCCACGGACGTGGGAAGGGACTGCGTACACGAAGACGACGGAGCCGATGAAGGCGACTATGAAGAAGGCGAGGGAGATGGCCAGCACGAGGACGGCTTCTTTCCAGGTCGGCATGTTGGACGAGTCGGTCTCTTCGGCGTCCTGGTCGATGCCGGGGATGGGTGCGCGGGGGAAAAAGATGAGGAAGAGGAGCATGCTGGGGGCCGTCAGTTGGTGTGAAAGGGCAGAGACAGGGGAAGGTGTACATGAAGAAGAAGCAGGTCCACTGCACGCCGATTTGTGCAATACCAAGCAGGGCGGCTGCGCAGGGGAACTTGCCAATCTCCTTGCAACAGGCCATGTCTGCAGTGCTCTCAGGCAGAGTGAGTATGTTGGCGATGCTCGCAGTGCCCGACACGGTGCCGAGGAGGACGAACAGCGGGCTCAGGCCGCGAGACGAGCGCCGCGATATGATCTTGTAGTGCTGCGGCAGGTACGAGACGAGAATGCCCACGACGAGGAGGCTCGGCGGCGATTAGCCATGCACAGTAGACAGAGGCAAGCTGTAGCTTACACTGAGACGGCGAAGTTGACGATGTCGGGATGGGCCAGCGCCCGACATCTCGCATGGTCTATCGGCTTCATCATGGCGTCCATGGTGCTGGTGTTGAGGTGTTGTGGTGTTGGGGTGGTGTTGGGGTGTTGGAGCGTGACGCAGACGCGACGACGGCAGCTGTACGCGACCCACTCGTGGCATGCCTCGGCCCGCCATCGCAACCCCGACATTCACACCCCATACAATCCCAACACACACACACACACACACACACACACACCCACACACACACTCACTCGACACTCCAACCACCACTCTCACATGAACCAATGCGCCTCGCCCAATAACACGCAGCCGCCACGATGGAGTTCCTCCCGACCCTCCAATCCGGCATCGACGACCTCAAACCCTCGCTCTTCGAGCTCCTCTCCGAGCAGCAACTCTCCGCCCTCCTCCCCCCATCACTACGCTACCTCCTCGCCGTCGCTACCCCACGATACCCGCGCTACCTGCTCCCCGTGCTAAACTCGTTCGATGAAGTCTACGCGCTCGTCATGCTGCTGGTGGAGCGGCACTTCCTGCGCACCTACGGCGGCTCCTTCACCGAGAACTTCTACAGCATGAAGCGCGCGCGCATCTTACGAGTCAAAGGCGGCCAAGTCCCCCGAGCGCAACTCGGCGCCTCGGACAGCGTGCGCGAGGCCAGCCGGCTAAACACAGGGGACGTGTGGAAGAACCTCGCGGTGCTCGTCGGGTTGCCGTGGCTGAAGCGCAAACTCGACGAATCCTACGACATCCACGCCGCACACTCGGGCCTGCTGGGTCCCGGGTACAGCCGCGAACGAGAAGGTGTCCAGAGTGGAGCGAGTATAAAGCAGAGACTGATGTTCTGGTACAAGTGGTTCCTGCGTCGCATCTACCCCAGCATAAACGCCGCCTACTATTTCTCGCTCCTCATGTTCAACATGGCATACCTCTTCGACAGCACAAAGTACCACTCCCCGTTCCTCTGGATGATAGGGACGCGCATACGGCGCCTGGGCGCTGCGGACCACGCTGCCATCGAAGCACTCACACTGCCAAAGAAAGTCGGGCCCGCGAGGCCGGGCGAGGGAGGGAGTGTCTTCAGTCCGAGGAATCTGGCGAGGAGCGTGCAGCCACGGCTGTTGAGCAGCCTGAAGATCCTACTCCCGACCAGCATCTTCGCGCTCAAATTCCTCGAATGGTGGCACGCGAGCGATTTCGCGCGCCAACTCTCACGCAAAGCGGCGGAGAACATCGAGCTTCCACCACCGGTCCTCCCCTCATTGCCTCCGAGCACGAACTCGCAGAGCGCCGGGACCGAGAACAAGGAGATGGAGAAGGACGAGAAGCTAAACGCGGCTGACCCCCCGATCTCCGCTTCGACTTTCTTACCCATCCTCACCGTCCCCCTCCCGTCCGACTCCGCGCTGTGCCCCATCTGCAGCACACCCGTCACCAACCCCACCGCCAGCCCGACGGGCTTCGTTTACTGCTACACATGCATACACCGCTGGGTCGAAGGTGCGCATGAGCGGCAAGTCGCGTTCATGGAGGGCGTAGCGGGCTTTGCGCGGGAAGGCAGTGATGCGGAGGTCGAAGAGTGGAGTAAAGAGGAGGGGAGTCGCGAGGGAAGGTGGGAAAGTGGGAAAGGACGGGATGCGGTGACGGGGAGGAAAGTGTTAGGGGGAACGGAGGGGCTGAGGAGGGTCGTTGTATAGTAAAGATACCATGATAATCAGCTGAGCATGGAGTGCTACGAGATCAGATCACAGACTTTTGCATCACTATCTTTGCATTACTATCTTTTGCATCACTATCTTTGCATCACTATCTACGTAACGTGATACGCACCAGCGTATGCGCTGCATTGATGGTAGTCCTCCCTCTCTCGATTGGTGTCAACATATCCCCTATTTTCAAGCCACTTAATCTTCCTCTCTGCCCTCTTACTCTCAATCCGCCTCGGCACAGCCATCGCTTTCTTGCCCACCTCCTCCACGCCCTGCTTCACCCCAAAAGCAACTTTGGCCGCCATCCGATCCGTCGCGAATGCCGCTTTATTCAGCAGCTCGCCCTCGGGCACAAACGGGTACAGCACTACGCGCGACCAGATACTGGGCTTCCTTTCCTTGGTCTTGAACAGCGGGTACGGATCGCGTGGAGCATACGGCGGGGGGAGGTCGTATGCTTCGGAAACCAGGGCACGGAATTGTGTGCGCTCTGTTTCGCAAGTTGGGTGCGTGCGGCGGCGTACGTTCCATTGGCGTTGGAGTTCACGGAGCTCGCGCTGGCGTGACTGTCGGTTGCGGACAGTTCTGGCGTCGAGGGGTTCCGAAAGCGTGCCGTCGTCGGTCACCCGGCGGAAGGGGGTGTATGGAACGGGGCTATAGGAGGGTAATGTGTCAGGGTGCGTAGTGACTCGGTCCTCGGTGTCCTCGAGGATCATGCCGTGGCGCCGCGTGTCGTCTGGTTCAAGTGGTGTTGTGGCTGTTGCGCCGCGTCTGTAGAAGGCGCGCCGAGAAGGTAGGGTTCCTGTCGGTGGTGGTGTTGATGAGCGTGTCATTGAGAGAGGACGTCGAACAACTCGTGCTGTTCGACGTAGCGGCTGTGGAGGAGCTGGTGTTAATTCCTCATCCGAGCTTGATTGCTCTCGCATTTGTGTTGCGATATGATCCGGGTTCAAAGGTAGCCTGGAGCTGTTCAATTGCATGTTGATATTGCCGTAAAATCGACGGCGATTGTTGTCGTTGGTCTCATGTCGTTCGGGTCTTTCATCTCTACTCCCAGGACTCAACTGGCAAATATGGATAGTAGATGGAAACAACGGACATAACGAAGGTGAAGAAATCATTGTGAACAATAGTGCACGCTCACTCAATCATTGCGTGATAGAAGTAAGGAAAAGGAAATGGATGTGAAAGAGAGCAGAGCATCTGGAAAAGGATGATATGACGACAACCTTCTATGGCGCAATAATGATCGTAGATCTTTGCTGCTGTCGGTTCCATGGTGCTGGGGATGCAGATAGTGGTCCAGCCCGTCAGTTCTCTAATCTGTCGTCAGTCGAGGGGTTGGACGGTTGTACCGTAAAATCGTGCATTAGGTACTTCTGTGTCCAGTAGTAACGCGCTACTAGAAGGCCGCTAAAGCTTGTTCGCTGTTTTGTATTGCATCGAGCATCAGTTTCTAGAACATTGGCCGCTTGCGACGATGGAGTTGTTATTGGGGAGATGCGGGGGAGGAAGTAGAGAGGGACCCGTGGGGATGTCGTCGATGGTCAGCTTGGCACCGACCGGCTAATCCTTCCTCGGCCCATCGCTCCTTCTCTCCTTCCTATGTTGCTGCGCAGGGAAAGTTGTGCATCGGATTACTTATATTTCCGAGCAGGTTCGATTCGTATATAGCGCGAGTCTAAATATATGGCTTGCTTTGAAAGCGGTGTCGACCCGACATCTGAAGTTCCCGAATGCGTGCATTTGCATGCTGGCCTAAGCCCAAGGTCGCCATCAAGACAGTATTCAGTATGCTGGGTACCGATGGGTGATAACAGAACCTCAAGCAAAGAAGCTTTCAGGAACACACCACTAGCAGTGCAGGTCACCATACCGAGGGTCTATATCTTGAAGGTTTATGCCCAAACAACTTCATCCAATGTGAATGAGGCAGCATCAGTCAAGCTGAGTGGCCTTCATCCTGACTGATTTTTACGCTCAAAGAGCTGGTCTCTCAATCAACCATCACTCACCCTCCTCGACTCCCCCATCAACTCCTTCACCAGCCCCTCAAATCTCCCCCATCTCCGTGCCCACCACGGTCCTCGCCCACCCCTGCCCGACCATCAACACCGGAATCGGGAGCTGATTCGGTACAAACTAGAATATGAAACTCGTTTCATGCGTGTAATTCATCTTTGCGTATTGAATCCTATTACCGTTGTGAGAAGAATCACCCTTAGCTCCAGGATTCGAATTTGGATAGGAAGAATTGGCAGCGTGGGACGGACGAGTTGTACACGTGGAGAACGGTGGGAGTGTTGTGTCTTGTGCATTGGTTGACCAGGAGGTCGTGCGTGTCTTTGTTGGTGATGGTGCGGAGGGACTAGTTGTAGTCTCTGTTGGGGTCGGACATGTTGAAGTTTGGTGAGTGAGATGGGATGATGGGCTTGTGGTCAGAGATGCACTATACAGAATGTCTTCGAGGGCTTCGAGGGTTTCCAGTACATAACTTGCCTTTTGTAGATGTGATGTTGAAGTTAGGCATCCGTTGCTCCGGAGTGGAGGAAACTAGTGCAAGCTACACATGCATTGCTTGAAGATCACCAGCTAACTTGAGTGTATGCGCTTGGCGTGCTTTAAACGAAGCGCACTACAAGCCCAAGCTCAAGTTGTAGAATCGCGACTATGTGATGTATCTGACTGATGTGTGTCCTTTCGGTCCAAGTGAAAACCGAAGGAATAGCCACACCGGCGACAAATGAAAAGGATGCTGAGGTGTATGAATTAATTGCTATCAACGTGACCTCGACAATCTGTCAAGGCACGAGGCTGACGTTGCGAAATCCTTGGATCAAGACTTCTTCAACCGCCTACCGGTGTAGCGAGACTACTCAGCCTTAACAGCACCCATGTACGGGTGTCTCTCCGTTGGTAGTTCTGAAAAAAGACAGGAGTATACCCTTGCGCCGTTACGATATACATGCTCATCGGAAACACCATGCCACCCGCCGTGTCTAGGTATCGCTTTTCGTGATTCGTCATATTGCTCCCAAAATCATAAGGCCGACCCGTTTTGTCTTTGCCTGTCCTAAAACGCCTGGACATTTTCAATCGTGTCCCAAATCAGCCAGCTCCTGCTCTATTCTCGCTTGTTCCTTCTTCATAGCCTCTTGCTCGCGTATCAATCGTTCCCTTCTAGCTGCCTTGTCTTCCTGTGTCACAGTCGGATTCGGTGGAGGACCTCCGGATGGTCGCAATGATACAGATAGTAATGGGTCGATGTTGGATTCTTCGGCGCGTGGGTGGTTTAAGATCGATGATATAGCGTTCGGTCGGTGCGGTACGGGGTTTGCGGTTTTCGCAAGCAACTCGTCTGGGTCCATGGTAGCGCTAAGACTACGCTTTCGAGGCGAGGGTGCGCCTGGCTGTACAGAAGGGTTGGATGTAACGTTGAGCTTGTTGTTGTTGTGGTAGTGAGTGAAGTCGACCGCCAGAGGCCCTCTGGGCTCCGGAGTGTACTGTTCGCGCGATTCGATAGGATCAGGGGATGCTGATCCGTCCAGAGCAGGTGTTTGCGAGGTGCGCTGAGGTGGGGAGTAATTGGCGACAGATGGCGCAGCTTGCGAACTGGTCTCGCCAGCGGGAACGACTCGTTTTCGACGCTTGATCTCTTGTTTCTTCATTGCAACGGGCCGGTGGGTACCATGGAGCTTGTAGTAAAGGCCTATCCAACATCGTTAGTTGACGTTCATATGGCAATAACCACAATGTACTACGTACCACATGCATTGCAGATGATATGGCCAACGTCATCCCTTCTCCAGAGCGGTGTGATAGTCGTGCCGCAATTTTGACATGCCGGAATCGCGTTCGTGGATGCCGATCCTGAACAAGGACCGGGTGTGCTGCCCTCATTCGTGCCATCTGCAGGCTTCGGTGTGGCATTTGCCTGTTGCAACGCAAACTTGGCCGTCTTTGATACGCGGTTGTTAAAAGCAGGACACCCACTGCAACCTTGCTGGCCTCCAGTGCCATTACATCTGCCTCCTCCTGGACAAGTCCCTGGCACCATCTGGTCTGCTGCAATATAAGTCGCAACTCGAGGCGACGCAGCAAGATTTCCAGGAGAGACATCTCGGTTGGCGGTAGCATTAGGTGTCGGGCTTTGTTGCACTGGTACAGTTGGTTGCGAAGGAGTGTTACGCTTCAAATTGACTGGGCGTTGCTGGTTTCTTGCTTTGATGTAGAGCCCACACGCATTGCAGACAGTCTCGCCAGTTGGCGAACGACGCCATAGCGGCGTTTGGGTTGTTCTGCAGTTGCTTTGCTCTGTCAGTATACTCCATACCCACGTGGTGGACGCCTGAGATCTGAGCATCTACCGACACACGGTTTCGAACAAGCCAGGCGACATACCTGCAGACCTGCCCAATTATAGGCGCGCTACTTCCGCCGACACTTCGTGGTGGTAACGATAACGATGTCGTGGGCGCCGGTGAAGCCGGTGCGCCCGCAATAGGTACAGCATCCTCGAGTGAGTGGTAGATCTCAGGTTTTTGGTCGTCCTGCGGTGTGCCTGGTTGTTGCTCCTTCGACAGTGAATCCGTGTTTGACATGTGAGCATCTTGAACCTGATTCAGACGTCGGAGACTTTCGGCCATTTCCAGTTCTTCTCTGCTTGACTCCCGCGATAAGTTATGTGGGTGAGTAGGCGTCGGAGCAAGTGACGTGCCTCCGTTGCCTGAAGGATGCGCCATTGTGGCAGTGGCCTTGCCACTAGAAGCCCGGCTTAAGGAATACGCGCGGTCTGGTGATGCGATAACGCAGTGTTGCCTGGAAGGAAGAGGGGGGATTTTGAGGCTGAGAGAATGTGCTTCGGCACGACGGACACAAACTCCTCTGTCGATCTGATCATCAAAAAAGTATAGGTACCAGGCGTAGTGGTGCAAGCGTTACCTTGGAACGATATGCGGGTGACCCTGGGGTTTGGTTCACGGTGTTAGGTGTGCGTGGCACGCTGTAAGGATGAAATATTGCTTTATGGGGGTTTGTGATCAGCAAGGGAGGTTGTCATGCGGTTCGGTATTGCTCCCCGTCATAAGTCGGCCTACGATAGTCATTGGAGAAGCCTCGTTGGTGCCGTGAGTTGTGCATAGCCAGATTTGATTCACCGCCTTATGCTCTGCAGCCAATCGCGCTCCGCCCAAAGTAAGCGGATCTTAGCGCCATGCGACCCTTGGACAAGGAACACGACCCATCATCACAAGAGATTCCATTCCGACACCGAAACTCAATTTTGCCTGTACCCGTACATTGCTGGCACCTGTGTTCAAGTGGAAGCACTTCTGAAGATCTCTTCCACATTGCCACCGCCTGCACAGCTCGGCTGTGGCAACACAAGAAAAGAAAATCTCGAACCTGTCAAGCTGCCTTTTGCAGATCTCGCAAGCCTTGCAGTTCGGCCACCTGTCAGCGGATCTGGAGCCGTTTGCCTTAGGATCCCCTATTTGAAATGCATGCAAACCCCGTCAAGAGTGTTGTAGACATTAGTTCAGTCACTGCGATCGATAAGTTTGTCCACGGGGTCCATATTGGGGTCCAACGACAGCACAAAAGTACGGATACGATAATCTTGTACCATATTGCGTCAGATCTTATCGCGACTCAGGGATCTTCGACACGGTTCGAAGGGATGCGAAATCCGATCGAGTAATTTCCGTGGGCCAATGCGCTAAGAACCAGAGCCGTAGCCTGGGCCCGTTTCATGCGAGCGCGGACACTAAGACAAGCGAGCACGTGTGGATGATTGTGTATGCTTGGATGTGTAGCAGTTATTGATGGTATACAAGAGCTCCAGGCTGTAGACCCTGTGATTAACAAGAGTCTTCCAAGCCAGCTTTCCATGCTTCCTTGAACCCTGAAATGGATCACTTACGCTGCACTAGACTATGCCGGCAGCATCTTGCCGATATCAATGGCAGTTCGCCTGGCCAGACCGGCCGCCCCATGCAACGCGTATTTTAGTACAAGAAGAAAATAACGGACAATTGCCGAGGCTCAAATGCTAGAACTTGAACGTGCATTCGAGGATTCATCGACCGCCGTCCTCGAGCACGGATTTAGGGGTTTAGACTTGCTCAGCACCCCAGCCAGCATCAGCATCGCTGTTGTTGTGTCAGTACACACCTGTCAAATTCGTCCACTACTTAGACGTACCGCATGTTCGCCGGGGGCTCGATCGAGGGAATGTACTCCAGGACGGCGTAGGCAAGACCAATAATGCCAACAATGGTACCTGGGACGATGCGGTACCAGCCGTTGCCGACGATTACGGAACCGATGAAAACGTAAACTACAAGCGGTCAGCGTGGGATGCGTAAAAGAAGTTGTGATTCACGTACATATTCCACGGCCGAGGAAGGAGAACATGAACGAGGCATAGCGAGCGACTTGCTGAGGGATCTGGAACTCTAGCAGAGCTGTGCCTGTCGAACTGTAAGCTGATAGGTCCTGTCTTGCGCTTCATGATAGCTCTTACCGGCACCGAAGATGATCAGGTAAACACCGAGAATGATGTTCGAGCTACGCAGCCTGTCAGCTTTGTCCTGCCAGTCATTGTCTCAGTCTATCTTGCAAGGTTCCACTCCTTCTTCTTGCAACTACACTGCGCAACCGTTCGCAGAGGCTATCTCTTGCTTTTGTGCATTTCCAGAGACGTCATTCGTTGGCTGCTTTACGTTGGTGAAAGGTTGCAATCCCTCGCACACCTTGCCAAGTCGATCAACCACCCCTCAATTCTGATTGCCTTCCCAGCTCTCTATATCCTATGTCTAGGAACCAGAAGCGCAATTTGCGGCGGTGCGGTTTGGACGTGCGGTTGGCGTAGGCGCGATTGTTGGGATGAAACCTTCTGAACAGGTGTACTCACAAATCGTTGAAAGGGAACAATTTCGCAACACCGCCAAGAACAATGAAGGCGGCGACGGCGAAGTTCACCATGCGACTGCTAAGTGTCAGTTGTGCGATGCTCAAAGCCAATGGCAGTAGAAGATACTGCTGCCTGGCACAGAGCTCAAGCATGGTCGAGCTCAAGTTTGGTCGAGCTCCAGGGTCGCAGTACATACAAGATATCGGAGAAGTCCATGTTGGAGCTGGAGAGGTGTGGATACCGCAGTTTGGCGACCGGTTATAGAAGCTTCGCGGAGAGATGACGGGGTGTCTGGAGATGGGATGGGTGATGCTTGACTGCTGTTAAGGTTGCGACGCTGCGCGCGGAGCTGTGATGTGGAAAGCCAAGCTTCCTCCGAAACGGACGTCATTGCTGCCACGACGCCTCATTGGCTGCACATTACCAGACCGAATCTCCTCATCTGCGTCCCTACCATCCCACTACAATATTATGGATTGTCTATGACCTGGCAAAGGGACGTATAACGGTACGTTATCATTGATGGTCTCCAACATGACGGGTTGAGGCCCAGTTGTATTGCGCTGGCGGTTAGCAGGCTGCATCGTCGGCCGCACTTGCGAATGCCTGCATCGGCGTCGCAGCAGCCATGGTCTGCTGTCTCCAAGGTCTTAAAGACACACGCTGAACACTAACACTTTCGCATACGAGTCACTATGGAGGAACTGTCGTCGTTTTGTGCAATAACCCTCTCACAGGAGACTGCCCATCAATTTGATCACCGACTTTGGTTTCCCGCGTCGCCTCAACCGCAGACTGTCAAGCAAGTTTCCAGAATGTTATTCTGCCTACACACTCTGCCGCCCAGGTCTATGGCTGCTCATTCTGCCGCTTCATATATTCAGCGATACTCGATGGCAATGTTAAGGAACAACATGATCTGCGAGCCGAGGATATCGAATCTGACCTGGAATGGGTGAAGAATAGGCGTATACTCCCGAAAGAAGACGCTGATACATCATCGACCCGACGATTGCGCATTTTTTCTGTCAACGACAGACTGAAGGATGCGTACTTGGTGCTTATGGCTCCTACAAATTCAAGCGAGCAATTCCTCAAAAGGAGGGTCGATCTTTCTTCAATCGATATGCGAAGAGCCCGTTCATGGCTTATCGAGTGTGAGGAGCACCACGAGGGATGTTATGAGAACCTATATTTTTCCGTTGTGGAAGCCCTGTACCAAAACCCTTCGTTCCGGGTGACTGACGTGGAGAACGAATGTGTTGTATAATCTGGATGATAGCCATTCTTCGCCCTGCGCTACTGCTTGGGAAGTACAGCGCAGGACACAACTACAAGATCGACATTCGCTGAAGTATCAACCCCCGGTGGACTCGGCCCAACAAATTCAAATATACCTCAAACTGTCAAAGATGCCATGTAATTAACCAAACGCTTAGGTTATAGATATCTCCGGGTCGACCGCTACTGCATCGTGCAAGATGACAAAGATGATTGGGCCGCGATGGTCACAGCTATGGACAGTGTCTACAATCTCGCAATATTGACGATATGCGCTGCAGATGGCGAAACACGGTTTGGGATACCCGTAACTACGGAGCATAGTAGGAACTTTCGTCAGTCTATCAGAAGGTATGACAGGAGCATGGAACTGATGGTCTCTTTACCCGCTGAACACTTCATCAAAGAAAGTCAGTGGAACACCTGAGCCTGGACTTTTCAGGAACGCCTTTGCGTCCGGAGATGCCTGATCTCTGTCAGCGGTCGCGATTTCTACCAATGCCGGTATTCGATCATGTGTGAGGACCTCCACACGGAAGACAGCTCGACTTCCAGAGGTCCACAGACATAGTCTCTGAATCTGAAAGACGCCCCAGGTTGAATTTTCTCAGGAACCCGGTACGACAATATACTAAGAGTGCGGAACTCTTCACACAGAGGAAGACAACGTTCCTTAGGGACAAGATGCCTGCGTTCTCCGCCATAGAGACCCTGTTGAGCGAAAATATGAACTCTGACTTCAGAGCCGGCTTACCAAGTTCGTGTTTCGATTTCGCCCTGCTCTGGACTCCGAGAGTGCCTCTAGTTACAAACCCTGAATAACTATCATGGTCATGGTGTGGTTGGAATGAGGCCATGGAATATTCCTATTCGACATTGGAAGGTGTACTTGTCAACCTCCAGGAATGGCTCTCATCACGCACCTGGATTGCCTGGCACGCCAGAGCCGTTTCTAGTGCACACGGTCCCATCTGGGATGGAAGAAGAAATGGCATTCCGGGTCGTTGGGGAGGGTACACACAATCCAAGAACGGCGTTTTCGGTAACCGCATATCGATTACGAATGCCTATCCGAAACCTTCGCAACTGCTAAAGCAACTGGGACGAGATTTCGATCAACGCTTGGTCTTACAATTCTCCACCCATGCGGTCTACTTCGCGATCGACCCCGCCCCGCGCGTCAGAACCTCGAGTACGGAGATGCATCCGAAACCACACTAGTATAGTCTCTCAGATGTAGAGGGAGACTGGTGTGGGACAGCATTACTATCGCAAGACTGGGTTTCCGAGATGAACGACAGGGCATACCAACTCATCGCGATATCTGAAGCCAGGAATTTTAGTTCCGAAGAACACGACAGCTGGACATTCTATGGGCTCAGAGATCGAGTCGACTCGCATTGAGGCCTCTACTACGTTCTATTCATTGTCACTGATAAGCACGGGGTGTCCGAGCGAATAGGGCTTGGGAAGGCTTTCAAAGACGCTTTTAAGAAACCTCACCAGCCAGGCTACTTCTGGAAAGAGTTCTTACTGAAATAAGAGGTCACTTCTTGTATGTATTTCAACATGTACTTCAAATAGTAAGATCCTACGCTCACATCCACACCTCATAGTCTACCATAAATGGAGACACGGGGTGCAATGCTGGCAAAAGAGGTGGGAAACTTGGCACCACCATCTCTTCGCAGAAAAACCTATCTGCAGCCCGCCGAACAGGTTGTGAAGAGTTGCGCGCACCACGGTTACAAGCGCGACGAAACTGCAAAACGCTGGCAAGTATTGATCTGCGACGCGATCAAGTCTCCGAGAATAAGAGAACAGCGGGCTGAGGAAAAGAAGCCAAGTTCTGGACAGTAGCTGGCAAAGCCGCCGGCAAATCCGTGGGTTGGTCAAGGTGTGCAGAGCGCTTGCAGTACGAACAAGCTGCAGCGTCATGGTCGAAACAACTGTGCTAAAGGAACTCTTTCCAATCAAGTATGTGCTCGGATCCGGGTGTTGGAGAAGAGACGTCGCTGATCCATGTTGTGCGCTCTACGATAAGACTGTTGTATGGCTCTATTATTGGGGTTGGTTTGGTGTCTTTGAGAAGTTGGTGGTAAGTTTGTTCGTGTTCGTGCATTGTAGTGGTCGGACTCATTGTGTCAGTGCTGTTCTGCTTGGCAAAGTCCTCGGAGGGACATCTGCTGGGTTGTCGTTTATACAGTAAGAGTTGTTGAGTGTCATCACGTATATGTATTCCTTGAATGTTGGTATTTCCATAATCTCATTGAAGTACTGCTGGGTATCTTGCGTCATCATAGCCATAAACGTAACCTGCCGTCACCGTAGCGCCCTACTACTCGCTCAGCGCGTCCTCTACACTCGGTCGTTTGCGTGGCAGCGCCTCCACCTCTATGGCTGGTCGAGCGCATCGCCGTCCCAAACATGACTCTTCTCCTCGGTGCTGCTGCGATTCTTGCTGTGCGGGCACCGAGTGCTCGGGCGCGGGAATGCATTATTGAGCGGCCTACATGACATGTGAGTACTTATCAGCAGCATCGGGCATGACGGATGCGAAGGGGTAAGAAATCAATGCAAGTCAGGAAGTCTGTGCTCAGGGAGGGCTCAGAACCAGATCTTGATCAACTCTTCCGAGACTGCGGACGGTGTGAGTACGCCAGACTCTGTGATGATTCCAGAGATCAGGTCAGGAGGCTAATCGAAGTGTCAGCAAAGCGCCTATTGTGGAAACATCATACGTACCGTAAAGTCAACAGCGTCCTGAGCGTTCAACCCTGTCGACGCGTGCTTCAGGGTCATGTCTGCGATTCCCTCGTCCACTGCGTCCTTGCCATCGGACTTGCTCGTCTTTGGGTCATCCGTGACCTTGAAGTCAAGTACCTTCTGCTCAATCGGCAGATCGAACTGGCTCAGCGGGTACAGCCTGACGAACTTATGGCTTTCGGCGACCACGTAGAATGGCTTGCCCTTGCTCTTGGCCAACAGACCCATCTGGTATGTTCCCATGCGTGAGATGATACCTCCGTTCTCGACGACGCCTTCTGCACCCACAATAACCATATCGACCTTGCCCAGCGAGTATGCTACTGCTGAATTCGAAATAGTAGCAACAGGGACGTTGTGTGCGCGCAAATCGGATACAGTTTGGTCGCCCTCATTTGCGTCAGACGAGCGTGACGACGGTACTACATAGACCACTCTAAAGCGAATAGTGCTGGACTCGGCTGCCCTTCTCAGCAGTGCACCCACAACACGCGATCCACCGTTTGTAAGCACGGTGGCCCCATCACGAATGAAGTGCTTGCCAAAGCTGGCAATCTTCTCTCGGCTCTGCTTGGCCCGCTCTACGAACAGCTTGCCGTTGGAGAGTAGGTGGTTGCGTATCGCACGGAAATCGTCGTCAGGGCCGAGGTTCAGGCTTGCTGGGCGGTTGAGAGTGGTGATGAGGTAACGTTGGAACAGATCGGTGCCAGCAGAGAGCGAGATAGGGTTCGCGATCGAGGCCTTCAGGGCGGCGGTATGGCGTTCGAGAAGGTCGAGGGTTTCGGCGACGGTCGATACTGAGCTCTGTGCGATAGCTTCCACGAGGGCTTCAATAGCCGCGACGGGCATAGTAAGCTCTGGGTCGTCATTGAGAATGCGACGATATGTCAACACGATGTCGAAGTCTGAGTTTGCAGTCATTTTGGCAGGTTGTCGAATGTGAACGTTTACTATCACACCTTCCAAAAGTTTTGGAGGGGTCTTACGATGAGAGTCATTGCCAAGCATTCTCCCCACATCCACCCATGCACCGCTCGAGTCCTCCCACCATGACTAACGGTCGACGCACTGAAACAATGCTCGCGAAACCCAGCAATGGTTCCAGAAGGCTGCACTGTACTTACCCATGACCAACTGAAGGCATGCACTGCGCGTTGAGCTTTAGGCAGACAGCATTCGAACCCACTCATTGCGCCAACGACCACACGTGGCTGGAGGCATTCACGCCGAACCTCTGCTCATCCACGCGTGGGGCACAACGGAGTACGAGGCATAGCAAAGAGCTTGGCTACCACCTCCATGTTTCGAAAATAATCAGTATGGAGATTTACTTACTTCTCCAGGTATGCCAAGTTGCTTCTTCACATATTGCGTCGCACAATGGCTCCCCACGGGATTTGCGACATGTCATTTCAGACACCTCAAGTACTTAAGAGCCAGGCACATACAACCCTATCGGCGAACCTGCATGCATGTTGTTGAGCCTCACCCACCGACTACTCCGGTTACAATTGCGCTAGTTCACCGTATACCCACAATTCGGCGCGCTTGCTTCACTTTCGAAACTACGTAACTTGCGAGAATCTGCACAAAGCCCCTCACTTCGATAAGAACACTCTCTGTTGACTTCTCTTGACTCACTCAGCCCATCACCTTCACCCTCAAACTCAACTATCCACCACAAAATCACCTCTCCAACTACAAGACAACAACGACACTCCACCAAGACTATCTTCAGACCTTCCGGAACCATGCCGTACATCATCAACGTACCAGAAATGCCCCGCCCCTACATCACCAACAACCCCGCAATCTACATGGACTGTCTTTCCTGGGGCTGGCACTGCGAGTCGCGGCCGTTCTCAGACTCTTACTGCAAAGCAACCATCAAGCGAGAGGAAGCGAGGTACGAACTCGACAGGAGAGCTGAACAGCTGGAGAAGTATTGGTCAGAGGGTGTCGCTCGCCGAGAACACGCCAAAAGATCGATGTCCATCGCCAACCTGGGAATCATGAAGTCGCTCAAGCCGTTCCAGGGATTCGGGAGACACACGAAGCACGACTCAGTGGTTAGCGTGGCGGTGGTGGAACTGTGTTCAGATGTCGAGGATGTTGAGTTGAGCGACTAAGCACATTCATCAGGTGTTGGGGACTTTCCATTCGAGTGACGATATTTGCAACGACGAACGAAATGATTTACGATACCTCCTCTTCTCTAGATCTAGACTTCACCAACAACCTTCTTCCTTTACCTCACAACTTCTCTCCTTGCGTGCAGAGCAAACTTATTCGGTTTGATAAGTGATTCCTTGAAGGGTCCACATTTACCATGGTACGCAAGAGGTACCTCCTCACTATAATCACAAATGCAATAGCACCCCCCAGGAGCGTGCAAGAGCTGTTCGAGAGCCAGCAGCACTCACTTCCTTGTGCATGAGCGGCACTTATACTTGCAGGATACACAAAACTTCCCAGGCTTCCACCTCACCTACTGACAGGTTTGGGCTCGCTGAGCGACCATGAAGACAGCGACAGACTACACGGACGCCGAGATGATACCAGCTCCTCTGCGAATATCAAAATCTGGACTGAAGACCACAGCACAGGTGGCGCAACCCCCAGAGAACAGCAAACACCACGGCAAAACAGCAAGCTTCGACATCGATGCACTTATGGAGGGTGTAAACAAGCTGGACATAGAACTCCGTGACTCCATGGTACAGATTATCAATACTGCCAGGGCACCAACCAACTTCGAGCGTTCTATTGCAGAAGCGCAACCACGCACCACACCAGCCCTGACAGCTTCGTCTGGAGGCACGCACGATCTCGAAGTTGACACACACATCGAAGTCATCACAAGATTGAACCCAGAGCTTTGCGATTCGGTATACCAGTTCATTAGCGATATCTGCCCAGCAGCAGACAATGAACTTGCCAAGAGTTTCAACCAAGCAAAGATACAAGCCATGATCATACTCGACAAATTGCAATACCCAAACCCGGACGTAGGCATGAACAGTGAGCACCAGGTACAATGCGTTGGAATACTGGATGAACTGGTGAGGCTTTCCACACACAGTCCTGCCATCATTACTGTTTCCACGGGTTGCTGACCGAGAGCAAGATCGCCCTAATGTCTACGGGATCCATTGAAAATCCAAAAGAGCACAACGATGTTGTTGGAGATATAAGGAATTCGTCTTGTCGGAACGGCGTGGAGATGACCGGTGAGTCGAACGGTTCCAAGAAGCAGACCTCGATCAACCCTCACTACACTCGTTATTCTCAAGAAACCGATCTAACGGGCGGTCAAAGCCGTTCTTATACCAATGAAGATGAAGACTTCACAACTCAGGTACCTCATCCGATTGTGTATAGGATGCCAGGCCCTGACATCTTCGCAAGCTTCACTCTACGCAGCGAGGTCATGGAAGCAACAGCCCCTCCATCCACGGTCAACAACCTCCCTCGCACATTTACAAGCCCTGGAGGTACTCTACGCTCAGTCAACCTCCAAGAACTGGAGACTAGAACAGACCACTTGACAAATAGTTACTCTGCCCACCCGATATCCACCCAGCCATCTTGGCCAACAGCGAAGAGCCTGTCTGCTCCGCAAGTCGAGCTGTTGCAGTACTGGGCGCCCGCAGATATCGTCTTCGAAGATGGAAACGACGATGTCACCCGTGACCATTTGAACAACTCTCGATCCGATGCTTCTCAACCCCTACTCAGTACTATTACTACACTCAAGAAGCCACAGCGACTTCTCCGTGCACGAAAACTGGAGCCATCGACGAAGCTGCCGGGGAACAGGGACGCGTGGTGGGAGGCTGAGAGCTCCCCAAAAAAGGTTTAGGAAGCAATTGAGTCGACTGAGGACCTCCAGCAGCGAAGTTGTCAATACGATGATCAGGTGCCAGGACAAGCACTGCGGTTCATGAGACTCGGGGTCCTTGAATATTAGATGTACTTTTGAAGGCGGTTTGATCCCTGTTCTCTGATGGAAAAGTAATTTCTTCGTGTGCTGCGCCTCACTCTGTCGATGTCAATATCCCGTCTTCATGGCTCGAAAATGGCTCAATCGGGAAGACCATGCATCCTTGCATGTGCGATACGAGGTGTGTGAACCGGTGGGGAGCCAGCTGGGCATCTGCACAGCATTCAAACCTGCGCACAGCTCTGCGAGATGGGGTCTCTTGACAAGATATGCATCACACACTGAAGTAAACAAAGAGCGCAAAATTTAACGTGCAGTCGTCAACCTCATGACGGAAATAAACATCGCGTCCCCAAAACGGCAACGTCGGCCGCGCTATCGACAAACCGGTCGGTCCAGCCCCGCAATTGCATTCTAGTCCTCGTCATCCAGCAACAACCACATACCAACGCGTACGCCACCCCGGCAAGCTGGTGTCAGCGGAGCCATGCGATGAGCGTATTGACAGATAGTACCTGCAGCCACCGCGCGGCCGGCAGAACACGCGAGTGTACAAAGTCCCGGAACTTCCGGTTTCCTCCCTTGCTTCATCCTCTCCACAGCCAAGCCTCATCTTGAATACCAAGCTTGAGCTATAAAGCTTCATCCCTCGTTTGACAGCTTGCTATCGCTTATTTTATGGCAACATGAAGTTTGCTGGTGGTTTTGTAGGCCTTGGTGCCGTCGCTGCGACGCTGTTGGGCAGTGTTTCGGCGGCGAGCTACGACGACATTCCTGAGATTGAGGTCTATGGACAGCACTTCTTCTACACGAACAACGGTTCGCAATTGTACGCTTAAACTTCTTGAGATGACCGGAAACAACGCTAACAATGCTTCAGCTACCTCAAAGGTGTCGCGTACCAGCAGAACTACTCGCCCAATGGTTCTACCAGCTCCAACACCACCTACACTGACCCGTTGGCCGATGGCGATGCTTGCAGGCGAGACATCCCCTACCTGAAACAGATCTACACCAACATTCTGCGAGTGTATGCCATTGATCCGACTAAGGACCACGATGACTGCATGGCGCAATTGGCCTCGGCGGACATTTATGTTGTAGCTGACCTGGGCGAGCCCGGCACATCGATCGAGTCGAACGACCCTGAGTGGGATGTCACCATGTACCAGCGCTACACCAGCGTCATCGATGCACTTTCTAAGTACAAGAACGTCGTCGGCTTCTTCGCTGGTAATGAGAACGTCAGCTCAGCCAACCAGACGGCCGCCGCAGCTTTCGTTAAGGCAGCCGTACGCGATGCTAAGGGTTACATCTCTGCGCAGAACTACCGCAAGACGCTCGGTGTAGGCTATGCAACAGCTGATGTGCCCACTCGCGATGAGCTGGCACACTACTTCGCCTGCGAGCCTGGTAACACTGGCAATTCTACTCAGATCGACTTCTGGGGCTACAACGTTTATTCGTGGTGCGGAGACAGCAGCTACTCAGCCTCTTCGTATGGCGAGCGTGTTGACTTCTTCTCCGACTACCCGGTCCCCGTCTTCTTCGCTGAGTACGGTTGTATCGAGGGCGTCGACGGTGGCGCCACGCACCGCCCTTTCACAGAGGTGCAAGTCCTCTTCGGCAACATGACGAGTGTCTTCTCTGGAGGTATCGTCTACGAATGGTTCATGGGCGCTAACGACTATGGTCTTGTCGAGCTCACCTCGAACGATGCCTCCGTATCCCCCTACCCCGATTTCACCTCCCTGCAATCTCAGCTCGCCTCCGTCAGCCCAACAATCACCCAGCGCAGCGCCTACACGCCTTCCAACTCCGCGCCCGCATGCCCCACCGTCGGATCCAGCTGGCAAGCCTCAGCCTCGCCCCTTCCTCCCAGCCCGAACAGCCAGCTCTGCTCCTGCATGGCCGCCTCACTGCAGTGCAACATCAAATCCACCAACGAGGATGACTACGCCGATGTCTTCGACTACATCTGCGGCGCGAACGAAGACTTCTGCGCCGGCATCTCCCGCAACGCTACTACCGGCACCTACGGCGGCTACTCTGGCTGCGACCCCAAGGACCAGCTTGCCTGGGTCGCCAACCAGTACTACCTTGGCAACGACAAGAGCAGCTCTGCATGCGGCTTCAGCGGTATGGCGACAATCCAGACTGCTGCGACGGCGAGCACGTGCTCGAGTCTTTTGCAGGCGGTTGGTACGGCGGGGACTGGGACTGCTGCTAGTCCGACTGGAAAGGGAACCGCGGGTGCTACGGGTGCGTCCGGCTCGTCGTCGAAGGGTGCGGCTGCTGGGTTCAATGGACCGAAGGCGGTTGAGCATGGTGGGTTGGTTATGGGGATTTGGAGTGTTGTTGCGGCGGGTAGCTTGCTTGGTATGCTTGCGTTGTAAGCAATGGAGGAGCATTATGTGAGGGTGGAATGTAGATCTAGACACAATTTGTAGAATTTGAACAGCATATTGCGTCCCTAAGAAACATGATGCATTTTGTGTTTTTCCTACTACTCTTACATGTTATACAACATCTCCTCCTGTGGGTATCGTGCATATTGTGCAGTAAATGTAACTCACCTCGAAGCTTCTATCGTCCCAGGCCAACAGTGTGCAACCTCCGCATCTGCCCTCGCATCTGCCCTCGCATCTGCTTAGCAGTGCCAACCTCAGCTGCATCCGGGAACACATCTCCAGCCGAAGCTTTCGGTCTGCGAAACTGCTGCACCGGCGATGCAGGCTCCTGCGCTGGCGGCGCCGCCTCACTTCCCTTTACCTCTCTGACATTCTTCGCCCTCTCTTCCGCGTCCTCCCCGTCCAAATCCTCCAAATCCTCCAAATCCCTCTCCACCTCCCTCAACACCTCATCCGCCGACCTCTCCTCCCTCTTCTTCGTCCGCAATACCCCGCCCCACAGCGTCTCCAGATCGGTCTCCGCCCGCTTCTCCTCGGTGAACATCTGCACCACGATATTAACACCAGGCTTGACCTCCCTAAACCCAACAAACTCCTGCACGTCATCGCCCGGCATGTGCAGATCGTCCGGATGCGCCTCGACTTTGCTCAGCGTGCAGCATATCCAGCCCGTGCGGATGCCGTCGTCTATGTTGCCTTCGGGCATCGCGCCGCCGACGTTGGCGAGCATGCGCATCCGCTTTGCCTTCCGCCTCAACTTGATTTTCAACTCGTTGCGGCCGAGCAGGCCGGCTGCGTTCGCTTTGAGCCCGTGTTCGCGCCGCAGCCAGCGCGCGAATCGGTCCGCTGCGACGTGCAAGTGCCGTTCTGAGCGCGCGGTTGCGATGATCATGATCAGTTTGGGGCCGAGTGCGGGCGGGGGGTCGAGGTCGCGTAGGTCGAGCAGGCTGAGGTCGTCGAGGCCGGCTGTGACGGCGATGTATTCGAGGAGTTCTGGCAGGATGGGCGGGGGGTTGACGGGCAGGTCTGGGATCTCGGCGGCTTGGACGGGGGCGCGCGGGACGGATTGCTGCTTCAGATACCATGGGATGGTCGCAGCTGCTGTGGACGGTGTGGAAGGTGTGGAAGGTGTGGGATGTGCATCGCCTGGGGACTCGGTGATTGCGCCTGAGGCGCGTGGGGGCTCGATGGCGTCTTCTGCCGCAACAACGGGTTCTTGTGTGTTGACTTTGGTTTCGACGGGGTCTTTGGCGTCTAGGAAAGCGAATTCTGGGTCGGGGTTTGCCGGGTCTTGCTTGTCCTTCCGGCGTGGTATGCTTGTGCTGAAGGTGCTTCTCGAGGCTCTCTGCGAAGCCGTGCTGGCGGTCCAAGCGGCGCGAGTCTTCAGGCCATTGGAGGCTGACAAGGGCGTGCGTGTCCTCCGCACAGCACCTCTGCAAGCATTGCAAACAAATCTTGACGGTCCCGACATACTGACGCTCAATGGATGTGATCGTCGACGCTGGCGAACGCACGAGACTTTCTTGAACTCAATCGGCGTTTGACGCGCAAACCGCCGACGATGCGCCTGGGCACGTGATGATAAGATAGCGGGAGGGGCGACAGTCATCACCGAAGCGGCTCGAAAAAAGTTGGTGGGGGGTTTGGTGCATTTGAAAGCAGACATTTGCCCCAGGACGCTTTTCTACGAGCAGTGTCTCCACGCCACACACACACACACACACACACACATCCGACAACCTCCCGGAGAGGACACCATAAAGAGACGTTCTTTCTGCCACGACCATCCACAAACTCACACGCAGAACACGCAGCTCGAGCTACCCGCAGCAATGGAGATGGACAGCGGCATGGCCTTTGCGCCTCAGCAAAAGAACGCAGCGACGATTCTCTGCGCAGACTGCGGTGCGCCCGTCGACGGCACTATCTCCGGCGCCTTCTGCTACGACTGCATCAAGCTCAAGACCGATGTCACAACCGGCGTCCAGCGCGAGGCCATCCTGCTCATGTGCCGCGACTGCGATCGATGGCTCTCACCACCTACTTCCTGGGTCGTCGCCGCTCCCGAGTCGCGCGAGCTGCTCGCCCTGTGCCTGCGTAAACTGCGAGGCCTCAACAAGCTGAGGATCATCGACGCCAGCTTCATCTGGACGGAACCCCACAGCAGAAGGATCAAGGTCAAGATCACAGCACAGTCGGAGATCAACGAGGGCGCGATCATGCAGCAGACCTTCGAAGTCGAGTACAAGCAGAACTACCACCAGTGCCCCGATTGCGCCAAGAGCTACACACACAACACATGGAGGGCTTGCGTGCAGGTGCGACAGAAGGTGCCGCACAAGAGGACGTTCCTCTACCTGGAGCAGTTGATTCTGAAGCACGGCGCACACAAGGACACCATCAACATCAAAGAGGTCCACGACGGCATCGACTTCTTCTTCGCCCAGCGCAACCACGCCACCGCCTTCTGCGACTTCCTCAAGGCAGTCGTACCAGTCAACATCAAGGACTCGCAAGAGCTGATCTCCCACGACATCCACACCTCGACCAAGAACTACAAATTCTCCTACTCGTGCGAAATCGTCCCCATCTGCAAAGACGACCTCGTCGTCATCCCCATCCCCCTAGCCAAGAAAATCGGCAACATCGCCCCCCTCGGCCTCTGCTCGCGCATCGGCACATCCGTCCAAATCCTCGACCCGCAGACGCTGCAAACGGCCGACATCGACCAGAAGCTGTACTGGCGCACGCCCTTCCGGCCGCTCGCCGACGTCCAAGAACTAACCGAGTTCATCGTGCTGGATATCGAGCCCTTGGGAAAGCAAGCCGGGCGGCACTTCCTCGCAGAAGCGACCATCGCGCGCGCCTCGGACATGGGCGCAAACGACCAGACGTACTACTGCCGCACACATCTCGGCGGCATTCTGCATGTTGGAGATAGTGTAATGGGCTACCTCCTCAGCAACACAAACTTCAACAACGAGCTCTTCGACGTGCTCGAGCAGTCCAACAAATACAGCGCCACAATCCCCGACGTCATCCTCGTCAAGAAGTTCTACCAGCGCGCCAAGAAGAACAAGAACAAGCGCACCTGGCGCGTCAAGCGCATGGGCAAGGAGGAGAGCGAGATGCTGCCCCGCAAACAGGATCAGGAGAAGATGGAGCGCGATTTTGAAATGTTTTTGCAGGATGTTGAGGAGGATCCGGAGCTTAGGGCGACCATGGCGCTGTACAAGGCGCAGCAGGAACAGCAGCAGCGCGATGAGGATGCCATGGAGACCGAGGACGAAGGGGAGGATGATGAGGGGTTGGAGATTCCGATGGAGCAGTTGTTGGATGATTTTGAGGACATGACTATGAAAGATTAGGAGGCTGCGGTTCTGCCGCAATGGCTGTTAGTGTGAACGTTCTGCTGCATTTCGAGGCGTTAGCGGTCTAAAAAGGGCATGATTGACAGTGGGTTGGTGGATGATCAGGCGCATATGGTATTGTAGATACTCTGCTAGCTATAGGCCCCAATGGGCTACATGCTCGAAAGAAACCCTTTTAACCTGGCACCTGTTCGTCCCACCTGTCATCTATGTGTTCCCACGAAATATTCCCGCTGACGTGTAGTGCCGCGCACTCACTCACCTGCTCCACATTGCGACGTTTCAGATTGATGTTGTCGAATGCATGCTTCCCTTGTTGAGAAATCCCTTGTGGCCTGTCCAACTTCATAGCAAGGAAGTGCTTGCAATGTAGGGATGCTGCAGTTCTGCACGCCAATGTCGCGACATGCCTCTCAACTATCCCGTGCATCACATCTGATATTGATCACAACACGAGAACTGATGGCATTTTGAACCGTCTTGATTTTGCCAGAGACGTCTTCACTACTCCCCGATCTCCAGCGCGTACCATACTCGTCACACAGCCTGAAGCTCAAGACGATGATCCGCCCGCTGGCGGATGGCTTGATCCCAAGATCTCGTCAGTGGCTTCTAGAAAGCATCATCTCACGTACTTCGATTCGTGCAAGACTTTCGAATGTCGGACTCGAAGAGAGACTAGTAATGGTACCGCTTGTCGAGCATACTCTTCACTACTTCGAAAATGCTGTAAAGTGCATCTTTTCGATAAGGCCTCTCGAGCCCCAGAAGGATTTCAAGTAGCAGTGGTGGTGAGTTTGACCGTGGTCCAGTGATCTGAGCCCGATGCTGCTGTTGAGAAGGTGTCGCGTAGGGCATCCCAGATAGACGCTGCCGATGTGAGCATAGCCAAACGTGGCGCTGTACTTGCTGTACATATTGGGGGGGCACAACAACTCGCTCGTTCGTGAGGTACAGTGACCGGAACTATGTTCAAACAGTGCAGTAGCATTGCGTGAAGCCGAGGTATTTTCGGTGTGCGTAGACAGCTGCTCACCGCGTCGTCGAGTCAGGATAGTAGATGAGTATGGGCACTGCTGACATTTCCCTTTTCTGTGGTCCCCATCACAACGTTTGAGATCGAGGCGGATCAGTTCATATATCTGGTTACGAACTTCTGGAGATATGCGTCTGCTGCGCCTGCTGTGCTCTGAAGATGTGGAAAAGCTACCACCAGGAAGGTCGACAAGGGATAGCTTCCGAAGGTGGGTCTTTTCTTTACTGAGATTGTGCAACTACGTTGCGCGGATGCGAGCTCTCGTTGCAGGACATTTGTTGGAGCCTTGGTTGGCCGAGGCGTATTCGACAGCGTCGTGCTTTCTCTTGGTGGACCTAAGAATCCTTCGTGTCAGTGCTTCAGATTACAGAGATGAGTGTGGAGTCATGAGGACGCACCCGCAGCAACATTCCGATGTCTCGCAATCACGTTCGAGGTTCACCACGGGAGAGAAGTGGATGCGCGCACGGTGAGAGAATCGCGAGGCGGAAAGACGAAGGAAGGCGCCAACGTTTCTCGTGACATCATGTTCCTTCGCGCGGAAAGCACGCTCTCATGTGACTGCATCTACATCGTGAGACAGCGACACCAACAACACGAAATTCCGTCCAGCCTCTCACATGATCTTCACAAGCACGTTCTCAGCCCTGATCGGTCCTCAGCTCCTTCGGCGTTTCCGCAGGCATGTCATCAGCCGGCCCAGATCAAGGGGTACCTGCCTAAAACAGACGTTTTTAACCTTCCACTTCAAGGTTTAGCGACGCATTTGACACATGGCACCGAACGGCTGCCACCACAACGCCATTTGGCTTTCTCCGAAGCAAATTGCGAACAGTAATTCGACGATTCCTATATGATGAGCAGCTATGGTCCCCAATGGCAATTGGTGCGAGCGGTTCACTCCCCTTGTGCTGATCAAATGTGCAAAGATACAGCCCGTGTTCTCGCTCCTTTGGGCGCCTGGAAAACTGAACCTTCCAATGGCCCGATAGAATTGCAGAAGCATCCTAGAATCTTGATGTCGCACCATATCGCAAATTATCTGATTGCCACGCACCCTTCACGTTGTAGGATAGCACATCGTTGTCCACGGAACGGGCCATGTCCCAATCCAGCCAGCGACCGAACGTTCACACCTGTTCTACGGACTCACCATGTCTCGCTACCCGTCGATCCTAGAAAGGTGAAGCATCCCGGTAAGATTCCTCGAGGATGCCCCATGTCTCTCTACGCAGTTCACCCGAGTCATGTAGGTCTTAGCCTTTGGGGGTATCCACATATGCCATGTGGTACATCAACTTAAGTGTAGAACGGCCTCTAGGCCATGAGACTGAGAGATTTGGCCGTCTTCGTTCGTGTTCTGCACCGCATGTTTTCCGCCCTAGGAGTTTCCTATCAATCTCTTCCGGCATTCTGGTGATTAAAGACTCCTCGGAGCTGTCACTTCTCGGCACTCACAGCAGGCCCCTCAGAGGAGACCGTCACTATGGATCAACTCAGCGCTACCATCAGCGAGATGCTGAAGGCATACCCGGATCCCAATGGTGCGCGACCAGTTGCGAACTACCCTGCAACGATGTATGGAGTCACAATCACATTCCATGTAGGCTGCTCAACGTTTAACACAAAGTCTGAACTTTGACTCACAAATGTAGGTTCTGAGTTGGGTAGCAGTAGGCTTCCGTCTTCACACACGCTTGAGAGTCGTGCGTGAACCTTGGTGGGATGACCTCTTCGTCTTCTTGGCGGCGATAGTCAACTTGGTGTCTGTAATCGCATTCCTTGGAGGTAATTGATCCTCTCCGCACTTACACGCACACACTAAGCTAATCATATCTCAGGCATCAAATATGGTCTTGGCCATCACCTTGTCTACATCATCAACACCCTCCCGATCATGATGAAGTACCTCTATGTCACCAATGCTGCCTACCACACGACTACCGCCCTCATCAAAGTGTCACTACTATTGCAGTACCTCCGCCTCTTTCGACAAGGAACCCTCCGTTGGGTCTGCATAATCCTATTGGCCACCGTAGCGGGCTGGGGTCTTGCCTTCTCCTTCCTCGCTTGGTTCCCTTGCCTACCAGTCTCTGGGTTTTGGCACCGAACTGCCAGCTCCAAGTGCTATGGCTTTGGCTACCGAACAATGGACGAAGCAAGGATGACACTGTTCATATTTGCGGGCACAAATATGTTCTTCGACGCCGTTATCTTCATGATCCCCCTCACGGAGTACTTCAGGCCAGGACTTAGGAAGAAGCAGGTTTTGGCAATGACTGGTTTATTCGCCATGGGTTCGCTGGTCGTGCTGATGGCTATTCTTCGTCTTTGGAGTACGTTCAAGCACAGCTCAGACGCCATCAAGAGCTTTGACTTCACTTGGTGGTACCCCGAGGTACTTATCATCTCATGTTTGGAAGTCGACTTCGCCATCATGTGCGCATCGATGCCCATCTTTTGGCCTACTGTTGTTGCCAACTTCAATGCCATCTTCGTCACGAAGGAGGTTCACATCACACACCAGGACCGAGTACAGGATTTTGAGATGGGTCGACCAACCTCCTTGAAGAGCACTGCTAGTCAGGAGGGTTTGACGAAGTTACCGAGCGGCGAGCAAAAGTCGTATTACTATAACGACTTCGGCGAAGATGCAAGTATAGGGAGAACTCCAGCCTTGACGGTCAACGAGCAAGAAGCTCCGCAAAGACGCATGCTTTAAATAGCCGCCAAAATCAAAGTTCACTGCCGTTTACCAACAGACTGTTCCAATACTCGTTCCTTGAAGGTCGTGATGAATTGACAGATGACATCTACCACCTTGCAGCAGTTCGCAGCTTGCTTGATCCTGAAACGTCTGTGCGCGGATGCCATTCTTTTCGCACCACAACCCCGGCCCAGCCCGCCCTCACTCCCTCACTCCGCCTCTCACCCCACCGCAATGCCATCCTTTGCCCTCACACTTGCCGTGCAACCACTGAGAAGCCAGAAGTGGTCTACAGTTCATCTATTGGTGCTTGCGAATATGAAGTCAAGAAGCGGTGTCTCTTGGGAGCCCACATGGCAGCGCAGCGGTGCCCAGCGGGCAATAGCAGGGCGCTTAATGCACCATGTGACTTGAGACACGTACAGGCTCGAAATCACCACATCAAGCAATCCACGTCGCAGTGCAGCATGAGCATGAACGATCCAATCCGTGGCAGCCTCATATAGTCCTGAGCTGTGGCCTGATTTTTTTGGTCCTTATTTTCGCCTTTACTTTTGTCCCGGTTGCCTTGGGCAAATACAGACATTTGCAAAGTCATCGTTTGTTCAAGTGCAAGTGCTGGTACACTTGCTCCAACTTAATACCATATCCTACATCTGAGGAAGAGAATAGTCAGGCAAGATGCTATCCACACTCCTCACAAACGTCCTCCTCTTCCTCTCCCTCCTTCACCTCTCGGCTGCTGTACCCGGCCCCAAACCCTCCATCGCTCAAGTCCAAGTCCGACAAGTTTCCGCGACGCCATCCCAAGCAGACCTCTGTCTCGACTACGAGCGCACAGCCAACATGTCGACCATCGGCGCCAACGGTACCTACCGCACAGTTCTCTTGCAGAGGTCTGGCACAGGCACCATCTACAATGCGCGCATGATGGATGCTGCGATTGCCAAGCTGCCGAAGTTGACGGCGGATACTATTTTGAACATGGCATGTGGCAATTGGACGGAGATTGCGCTCAGGGAGGCTGAGAGGAACTTTACGCAGGGTGTGGTTGCACAGTTTACGACGGAGGGGTTACCGGTGGGGATTAGGGCAGGACCGGAGGTACTGGGGATTGTGGGGGCTATTGCTACGTTGTTCAGCATAGTGTGGGTTAGCGGATAGGAGGTTTGGGGAAGGAGCCTCGAGATGTCGGCTTGTGGTTGCTGAAAGTTTGAGCTTTCATTATACCAATCGTGGAGGAATACCGAAGTGCTATTTTCGTTGTTTCAAGACATAAGTCCTGCTCAACAGCGGCTGACCGACACTGTTTAATGCCGTTATGAAGACGTGCATCAAAATCGGCGACCATCTGCTCGGAGCGTCAAGAAGGTCCTCGAAGATTTTGCAAATATATGTAACATCAGGCTCAATCGTACATGGTTAACGAATGCCGGGGTTTTTGACATGCAGACTTCGCTCTTTTTGCACGACACACGCTATGCCTGTACAACACTTTTGAGTTCAGAACACCCGGCGTTCAACAAGTAACAGGGGCTAAGAAGACATCCTTGAAAAAAGTTTTGAATTTTCATATATTGCCGAGTCCATAGAAGATCCCGATGCAACAAACATGTCTTGAGACATGTTCTTCTTCACAGAGTACGCCATTTGCCGGAGCAACATGAGAGAATGCCAACTGTGATCTCAAAGACGGAAGGACATAAGAGCGCCTGCTCATCACTTTTGAGTCCCTCCAACCCCATCCGCACACATTGGGGAAAATTGAATTTCTGGATACTGGAAGGAATGAGATGGTGGTGGCAAGGAAGAAACGAAAGAACGCTTCCACCATGATGATGCTGTGGTCGAGTTTTGAAGGCAGAAGTCGGTTCAGATGATCTAGGTCGAGACTTCAAGGAAGAAATAAAACAGTGTTTATACTCGTTAAGACGTTGAAGGGCCAAAAATCCTCCGCCAAACAACTAACCAGATCGGCCCAAAACATAGTGAGCCGGCTCATGTCTCAGCTACCAATTTGTTTTGCTTTCGTCCGTCGCAGAAAAACGTGTATTTATATGCGTTCGCACAATCCGTATTCTGGCGCTCGCTTCAAGACAGAAAGACTTGAAATTAAGCTGCTTGTGTTATATCATCGGCGGTGGAACCTGAGTCGCGGGTCTTTTGGACTGGAAAAGAGAAATTTTGGTGTGACTATATTCGTGGAGGCACTTAGTCATGCGGCGAGGGATAGATGATTTTGACAACAGAGACAGGAGCAGACAGGAGCCAAACATTCCTTGAGTCGTTGACGTTTTTGGTGATTCTATCAAGCGTGACTTGATGCTTCTTGACAAGGTGTAATATTATCTAGTTTTTTTTGGTTTGAGGAAGGCAGGAACGGACCTCCGCACATAAAGGTTCTATTGCTTGATTTTTGTAGAGAACTGAAAGTAGGCAGTTGTGTAGGGCGAAGGAGAGCTGGTAACCGTGTCTTTGTATGTGTTTTCAACGTGCACTGCCCTCTCACATGGTATCAATTGTCCATACGCCCCAAGGCGCCACAAATGCACCCAACTAACCCCAAGTCCCACCACCACCCCGTCCAGCTCTCCTCTGCGCACTCAATCTCCAATCGTCCTCACCCTGGAACTTATTATGCAACGGCTGAATCCTCTCGGCCTTCTTCCTCTTACTCAGTCTATCCGTGGGCGCAACCTTGAAAAACGTGGGCGCCGCCTCAACCAACCACTTCGGCTCAATCGCACTGCACACATGCATATACTCTTTCGTCGTCTCGACCAAGGAGTGATACACCACATGCTCGCTCGGCTTGCCGAACAGCGCAGATGACGGGTGCAGGTACACCGGCGTCCCTTCGACGAGCGTTTTGTAGCCTTCGGCGGGATCTTTGCGTGCAGAATTGCGGAAGAAGCCAGAGCAGAGAGCTTGACGCACTTTGATGGTATTGCGCCCGCAGGAGACGACGGAGTGTTTATGGCGCGCCATGATCTGCAACAATTGATTTCGCACATCCTTCACTCTCTGCATATTCCTCGGAATCACAAAATTCTCGTGACACCAAGGTGTGCTGAATCCGCCTTGCTTCCAGCCATTGTACACGTTGAGCAGGGTGATGTGGTCGCCAGATGGATCGTTGAACTTTTGCTTCTTCTGGTCGGCTTGTTGTTGCTTGTCGCGCGGGCGGTGGAAGACAGATTGTGTAGCGCTGATCATGGCGACGATGGTGAGGATCTCGTCGGAGCATTGCAGGTCTACACTCTTGATGAGAGCCTTGGAGAGCGTGGGGTCCATGGGGAAGTCGGCCATTTGGCGGCCGAGACGGGTAAGCAAGCCTTCGTCGTCGAGGGAGCCGAGTTGGTAGAGTTCTTCGAGGGCCGTGAGCATAGTATTTGTGGGTGGTGGGTCCATGAAATCGAAGTGGAGGAGGTCGTTGATGCCCATGGCCTTCAACATCAGGATGGTATTAGACAGGTTCTGCCGTTGAATTTCGGGGATGGTTGTGGGCAGCATTTCGTTTTGGAAGGCGGCTTCGGTGTACAGGCGGAAGCACTTTCCTGGACCTGTTCTTCCGGCTCTTCCACTTCTTTGGCGGGCTTGAGCTTGCGAGATAGGTGTGATCTGCAGTCGGTCCATACCAAGCTTGCCGTCGTAGGAGCTCTGCTTGACGAATCCAGGATCCACGACGTAGTAGATGCCGTCGATAGTAAGACTAGTCTCGGCAATGTTGGTCGCGATGACGACCTTACGAGTACCGTTGGGTGCAGGCTCGAAGATACGGGATGCGACTTCTGAAGGCAGAGCTCCGTAGATCGGTAGGATCATAAGCTCAGGCACATTCGGCCCAAGAGCCTTCATACGTTCTGATAGGACCTCGCAGGACGAGTCGATCTCTTCCTTACCCGTCAAGAAAAGTAGGATGTCTCCCGCAGGCTCTGTCAAGTGGATCTGCATGACTGTGACCAAAGCAGCGTCCAGGTAGTCCGATTCGGGCTCTCGGCTGTACATGACTTCGACAGGGACTAAGAGCATGTTAGTGAATGTATATAGTGACCGTACAATGGGTTGACTTACACGTTCGTCCAGGAATTGAGAAAATAGGACACTTGTAAAAGTACTCAGAGAACTTATCGGCATCCAATGTGGCACTTGTGACGATGAGCTTCATGTCTGGTCGTCGCTTGAGGGTCTTTTTCAAGAGTCCGAAAAGAACGTCAGTAGCAATGGTACGCTCGTGGGCCTCGTCCAGCATGATGCAGCTGTACTTGTTCAGCATCGGGTCTAGCAAGATCTCTCTCTGTAGAATACCGTCTGTCATGTACTTGATACGTGTCTCTGGCGATGTGTTGTCCTCGAATCGAATGGTATAACCAACTTCGTTACCGAGCTTACAGCCAACTTCTTCAGCGACACGCTTAGCCACACTCATTGCTGCAACACGTCGAGGCTGTGTGCAGCCGATTACAAGCTCGTTGGCGTACCCTGCCTCCGCTAGGTACTGAGTCATCTGTGTGGTCTTACCAGATCCTGTGTCGCCAACGACGATCAGGATCTGATGAGCCGCAACGGCCTCGAGCAGCTGCTTCCTGAACTTGTAGACAGGCAGAGATTCCCGTTGTTCCTTGATGCTCATGTTGGTGCGCTTACCAAACGAAGCGTCCTTACTGTTGGTCGAAATCTTCTTCCACTCAGGCATGGCTTCGGTAGGCTGGTCTCTTCGTGTGTTGCGTAGCTCACTTGCGAATTGTCGTTGCTGAGCCATCGGGTCGTTCCACTGACTGCTGAGATCCACGTTTGCAGCTTCTTTCGCAGCTTTCTCTTGAGCCTCCTGTTGCCGCAGGTCTCGTCGTTCCTTCGCCAAAGTATCTCCAGACATGGCTGCTCGGTTGAGCGAGCCATCAGGTGCCTTTATGATTCGAATGGGTGACAGCTCAAGAGACTGCTTGGTCTGGCCAGCCAAAAAGGGCGGTTCCTCTTCGCGTACCTCGATATCGACGTCCTCCTCTTCTTCGAAGCCTCCTTCGCCAGCGATGTGTGCGTTGTAGTCTTCGTCGATGTCCGGGTAGTCTGACTTTGGAATGACACCAGATGCGATGAGCTGTTTGATCTCCCATCTCTCAGGTGAGGTCATTCGCTTTCGCATGCCGTTCTTTCGACTGTTGAAGCCATCTTCAACCACAGGCACGTTGCCGTCCATCAGGCCGGGTATGCCTCCCAGCGCTTGGGAATTTGCACCCGATCCGAAGGACTCGATACGTCTCGAGGGCGCGAGGTCGCGCCCTGTCTGTTGATCTACCTCCTTCATCGACAAAGACAGCCTGCCGTTTTCCATTTTGACGACCTTGACCTTGACTTCCTGCCATCTTGAGAGGAGGTCAGATGGGTGGTTGACACGTCCTCCCTCCTGTATCTGAGAGACGTGCACAAGCCCATCGACCTTGCCCTTCACGCCCTGCAGATTGACGAACGCGCCGAAATCCTTGACACCAGTGACCTTGCCATTGTAGACCTTGTAGAGCACAGGCTCATCGTCCAGCTCAGGGGTCGGCGGTCGGCGGAACTCATCGAGGTCTTCGTCTCTGTACTTCTTGCGACTCCGCTGCTTGTCGTGTCGCTTGACGGTCCTTGTGCGCCCAAACTCATCCTCGAAGACCAATTCTTCGTGATCCTGCTGCCGCCTCCCGCGACTGCGCGATCTCGATTGTGACGTGTCCCTGCGCCTGTGCCTCTTGCTGCCCCTATCGTCGTCGCTGTCGTATGGACTCATGCTGCGCTTGCGCGACCGCTCCTTAGGCCTTCCTGCCCCAGCACCCTTCCCAGCGAGGCCTTCCAGCATAGCAAATGTGTCGTCCAGCACGTCTGGCTCCGGCGCATTGTTCGCAGGCGTCTCTTCCGGGTCGCTGAAGTCAACCTCCTTGTCCGCGATTGCCAGGCCTTTGAATACACGCGTCTTGCGGTCGCGGCTGTCGTCTTCGTCCTCAGCTGCTTTGGCTCCATTTGCGCCCTTGTTCTTGTACTTGGGATGCAGCGTCAAGATCAGGCGGTCGATGCTCTCCACCAAGCTCTGCGGGAACTCGGCGCCCATGGCCTCCAGCTGCTCCTTGAAGTCGGCGACGCCCTTTGCGCTGGCATGCTGGTCGATGACGAACTCGGCGAGCGTCTTGTCGGACACGCCCAAGTGGTTCTGAATTTCTGACGTGACCTTGGACACGAGCGACAGGAACTCGAGGTTTTCGAGGTCATCCATTGTTGCGGTTGAAGCCCGAATGGGCGTGACGTTTGTTGCTCACAAAGTTTTGGGAAGATGCGCGATACGGCTCAACTTAGCCAAGTTGTCGCCCCCGCAGGCGGCAGCCAGTCACGTTCGAGCACCTCCGCAATCACCACCACTCTCACCTGGAGTGCTGCATCCACTGCGGTTACACACACAATCACCACCAGGCAGCCTTCACAATGAGTCATGTACGGTCTACACGTGCTGCACAGCGGTTCCGCCTCATCACCTCCATCCTCGTCCTCGGCATTGGCAACTATGAGTTGTGGCGCATTCACAAAGGCATCCATCCTTATTGGACCCCACGATTAGAAGAGGCGGGCATAGTGAGGCAGCGCAACAAGCTGGCAAAGGACGGCAGTATCAAACCAGAGGCTGTTGCCTCAGGAGAGCCTGCGCCCAAGGCCTGGATCAAGTGGACAGATCTCAACGGCGTCCCTATACCTACGCTCGAGACTAGTATTCAGCCGACACGGAAGAATTGAGGCTTGACCGTCATCTCGAAGTGTCGCATACGAGAGGCGTATTGAGATTATCCTTCACTTTATGCTAGCGATGGCGCGTCGCTGGTCGCACTCTTGAAGAGATGGAGCGGTCACAGACAGAACGGAATTTACAGCATATTGTACGGCGTTCTGCGCATGCTACACGGCGTTATGGCGAAGAGTTGGAGTTCGAAAACTTCATATATCGATTCGAATGCATGGTATGAGCGACCGGTTGTTGCTGCTCTCGACCAAGTCAGCCATTGACATCCCCTCCTTGCATGTGATCGCTGTACCGTTCGACGCCCAAGCGACATATCAATCGGTCAGAGAGGCCTGAGATCCCAGAGCAACAATATAGGCAGAGCATACGACAGCGCTGCATATCCACTGCATCGCACGTCCGATATCGAACAATTGAGAGCGAGAACGGAAGTGGGCGAAGGCGCCATAGCACGCCGGCGCCCACTTCTGACCGGAAAAATCTTATCTGATCGAAGAATTCCAGATCGTTCCTGTTCAGATTACGAAGTGATATGGCCTTTGCGCTGGGTTATGTTTGAAGACGAATGAAGGCGTGATGTCCCCAGAAAATGGTGCAATCACTCGACACCTTACCGAATTCGAACTAGTGGCAGCCACTCCGTCGACTTCAGCACTGAATAGTTACAGCGTTTCAAGATCTCAGGTCATGGACAGGACCGACCTGCCATTTTTTGAAATCGCGTTTCAAAGGAAGAGGTCGTCGCAAGCACCGAAACATGAGGTTGACGGTGACACGCTGAGACAGGGGCCTCCTGGACTCGAGATGAGGCTGCGCAAGCTGCTCAATCTAAGCTTTACAGTTGTTGTCATCACCACGCGACAAGACAATCGACACGGTGTCTTCCAGATCCGCCTCCGCGGTCTCAAGGAGCGAATGCGGCTACATGCCTGAATTGATATCACCCGGCGGTCAGAAATGTGGAGAAAACGGCTGGACTATATTTGGCAGGAGTCGTGATTGCGAGCGATTGCGCAATTCGCCATGTAAACCTCTTGACATGAGTCTACGTACTACTCAATGGGTATACCTATAAGTACTGCAATCGTTTTTCTTTGCTTTTCCATCTTCATTACAAGTCTCAACAACGTCAGCCAAGCGCCTCTATCGCTGATTACTGCTCCTTTGAGACTACAAGCCCTCTAAGTGCTCATTGAAGCTATACATCCACAGAATCATCACCTCACCCCACCACTACGACCGGGTACCTTGCTTAGAGGATCGCCACCAATCACTTCCTAGTTCACATCACCACTACCGTCAAGATGGCACCAGGACTCGTGGAGCCAGCCTTCCAATCAACTGACGCAGCACCCAATGCACCTATCAAGCAAGCAATCAAGTCTGCCAACACACACAACTACATTCCAGGACGCACAACAGTCACAAAGCACGACGATACATACGAGTTCGAGCACCTCCGACCACGGTTCCCTGAAATCTCATGGCCTGCACTTGAGGAGATCCCGTACGCTGACAAGGGTTGCCTTGGCGATGTCAATTTCAAGAACCTCCTTTCATCCGCCACAGAAGTCTTCGACTACAATCCCAAGATCGGCACAGAAGTCCACGGCGTCGACCTTGCCAACCTCACAGATCTTCAGAAGAACGACCTCGCAAGGCTGATCGCGACACGAGGTGTCGTCTTCTTCCGCAACCAGAAGAACTTTGGCATCGAGGAGCAGCGTGCGCTTGGTCAGTACTTCGGTCAACTGCACAAGCACGCAACCACCGCCGTTCCCCGTCAAGAAGGTCTCGAAGATGTCCATGTTGTATACACTGGCGAGGGCTCACCTGACCTCCGTTCTCTGTTCTCTCCCACTTTTCTCTGGCACTCAGACGTAAGTACTTTCCGACGCCCCTCTCCTTCTATCACACTAACATGGCGTAGGTCACATACGAGCTCCAGCCTCCGTCCTACACCTCCCTGAAGGTCCTCACCGGTCCGCCTCGCGGCGGTGGCGGCGACACTCTCTGGTCCTCCCAGTACGCAGCCTACGACATGCTCAGCCCCCACATGCAGAAGTACCTCGAGTCTCTCACCGCTCTGCACTCCGCAGACCTACAAGCACAAGGCTCCCGCGACCTCGGCCGCACCGTACGCCGTGAGCCAGTCACAACCGAACACCCACTCGTCCGCACACACCCCGTCACAGGCTGGAAGAGCATCTTCTTCAACCCCGGCTTCGTCACTAAGATCGTCGGCGTTCCCAAGACTGAGAGTGACCACATCATCTCGCTTCTCAACGAGATTGTCGCTACCTCCCCAGAGTTCCACGCACGCTTCCAGTGGCAGGCTGGCGATGTTGCGTTCTGGGATAACCGTGTCACCAACCACAGCGCGACATATGGCTTTGCGCCTCACCGACGCCACGCTGTGCGCGTCTGCAACCAGGCTGAGAGACCGTACCTTGATCCTAATGGCAGGTCGCAGGAGGAGGACCTGAGCGAGCGCTATGGTATTCCTAAGGCGAACAAGGATGGGGCGGGTGTTGTCAACTACAACGACTGAGCCTGGCTTGGCTTGTGATCCTATTTTGCATCTGAAGACCTGAAAGGTCGAAAAGGATATGGCGTCTGAATTTCTGTAGCGTTTTAGCGAGCACATTTGAGCTGTCGACCACCCTATTGTGAGGGGCGACTATGATACGACAAGTACAAACAACAATAACTTAAATCCCTATATCAGTCTTCACAAGTTGTAACGCATCGCTAACCCACGCTTATGTAGGATCGACAAACGACACCATCATGTGTAGCCATGTTTTTGCGCTAACTTGTCACAGAACTAGTATAAAATCGAGGCTTGGTGCTTACCTACCACGTCAGCATCTCGCATCGTTTTCTTGTTTATAAACGCAGAGAAGTGTCAGTCATGTCTCCACTCTGCTCTGGAAAGACTATTTACAAGTACATGTTGGACTTTCGTCTTACCATTGAAAATGCCGTTCATCACCAACCATGGTGATTACCACTGGGTATTCAAAGCACACATTCGCTGACCTCGTGCTCAAAACTCATATCGAAATTCCTCTTCAACTTTTCTTCGCCATCATCTCTTGCTTCAAAGTCTTGAAATCACTTATCTGGAGAACTGTCCCACTCCGATCGAAAATCCACATACTTCAGGATCATGGCCACCTTCTCCCATTTTCCTTTTTTTTTCCAGATCTCTGTCTTCTTGCATCGAAGGCTCGTCTGATACGTGCCATGTCTCGGCTGCTCCTGCAAAACCAAGAAACGTGGCACACATTTTCATTGTGTCTTCATTCGGAAATTCCTCTGGTCGACTTATATGTTGTGTGCCTCTTGCTTCTTGCAAACGCCTCGTCCCAGAGTTTCCCATGGCTGTGGCCCAAGCGAAAGGCCTCACAAGCCTCGAGTCTTTGGTTCGTCCGTTAGGCACCAGCGATCAGGCCGAACTGATATTTGAGTCTGCTCTGACGGGTGCTGTGTGTCTCTTGCTCATGAAGAGTGGCTTCGTCAACCAGAAGAGAAGAAAGGTGTTCATGTCTCTGCGATGACTGCGGCCAAAACAAGGCTGCTATATGTTCATGTGGAGTCGAGCGCTCAGGCATATCAGTCTCTGCCTGGTGGTTGCTACTTCTCTTCCGCCACGCTCAATGTTCTCTACTAAAAAAGCACAAACAATCTGACCAATGTCTGTTCTGTCCAAAAGGTCTGCAACTACCCGTTCACGTGGGCGTGGAGGACTGTCCCTCTTGAAAGTCTTCTTCGCGCTCTACACGATTGTGTTTGGACATTTTTACTTGTGCCTGGACATTTTTACTTGTGTCTGGACATTTTTACTTGTGTTTGGACATTTTTACGAAAGGTTGCCTACCAAATTCGGTTTGTCCATCCATAAAGCATGGGAGGGTATGTCATATTTGTTTCTGGAATGTCTTTGTCTAGCCGTTAACGGCAGGCTCGTGTGGAGCCGTTATTGTCGGGCATGAAAGCTTTTTGAGAGGGTGGTTGCTGCTTTGCTCACCCACTGCATCCCCGCCCTGTGTGTCAACACACACAACCAAGCTTTGCAGGTTTGCGTGTTTTGCGCTGCCCTTGAACCATAAAGCTCCATGCTCGTGTGTGAGTCGAGGGCTATCCTTTTCAAACTCTACTTCGCAGAGAACATGACTGTGTTTGAGACGTTGCTTCGAAGATTTGTTCGTATGAATACAGTTCTGCATACATGATCCATCAACAATGTTCCACAAGAAAGATTCCACTCTCAAGCTTTTCCCACACAGCGGACAGCCGAAGCCAGAGATCAAACGCCAAAATAGTGCACCTTTCCCTAAAGAGCCAAAAACAGGCATGTTATGAAGTTCGTCCTTTTCCCCTAGTCTAGTCGTAGTTGAAGCGATTCTGCCGCCGCCTCCCAAAATAAATGCCCAGGACAGTTGTAATGGCGATGCCAATGGCAGTCCACTTTAGGACTATCCAAGTAATGTCCCATATGTCGAGTGGTGCACTTCGGAGAGAAGTCAGATGTGTGTGTGTGTGTGTGCTGAAGAAGAATCGATCGCGGTGCGGAGAGTGGTGGCGGTGGAACAGAAATGGGGGTTGGAAGCTTATTGCTCCTTCTCGTACCCTTCTGGCTTCTTCATGTTGTTGATTTCGTAGAAGCGTGCTGTGCCTGTGGAAATTGTCAGTATCATCTCGGGCAGGACGTGCGAGGTGTGCTTACAGCTGTACCCGTTCCAGTCAAAGTTGTCCTTGGGGTTGCAGTGGCACTTGTGGTCAAGACGGTACTGCTCGCCGGTGGGGCAGTGGGTGAAGGGAACGTGGTAGTAGGCGATGTCGTTGAAGAAGTGGATCTCGTCCTTGTTGAGCATCAGAGCTGCGGCCAGGGAGTGAACTGGCGCATCACCCCAGCGCTCGTAGAAGAAGCCACCGGCGTGGTCCAGGGACTCGAAGTAGTCGATGTAGGCCTTGGACCTGAGCCAGTTGAGGTTACCGATCTCGAAGTTGGACCAGAAGTGGCAGTGGTTGTAGGTCTCGCCGTTGTCGTCACTGATGAACTTCAGGGAATTGTCCTTGGCGATGTGCTCGGGGAAGGTCTTGGTGAAGTTCTTGGTGGCCTGCCAAAGGGTGGGGATGGTCTCGACGTATTCGTAGAGACTGAGGGTGAAGCTGTACTTCTTCTTGTTGTCGGCCATGAACTTGAAGGTGTCGTAGTTGATGTCGCAGTGCATCTCGATGCTGGGCTCAACGCGCCAGTACCACTCGTAGTCGAGCATCAAGGGGTGGCGGAAGAAGAAGCCGGACTCGTAGCGGCACATGTGCCTGTAGCTGATGGAGTCGCCGTAGATGATCTTCTTCTCCTTCATCTCCTCGCGAACCCTCGCGGCCTTGTCCTGGTCGATGAAGTCGGGAAAGGACCAGTGCTCCTTGGGGATCTTACCGTACTTTGTCTTGCCGGACACCAAAGCAGTTGTGACCTTCTTGAACTCGTCGTTGAAGTCGTCGTCGTTCAGGAAGACCCAGTCGTAGTTGAACTTGCGGTTGAAGCGGTCCTCGACATGGCGAATGGACTTGGCGATCTCCCAGATGTCCTGGTTGCGGGCGAGGGTGACGAAGGTAGCGTTCATGCGGTCGCCGGGCATAGTCGCAGGCGGCAGCTCGTGGTCATTGGGGGTAGTCGGAGGCTGCGCGGCAGCAGGAGCGTGCGATGCGTGCGGGCTCGGAACGGCATCGTGGGTGTCAGATGTGCCGGGTGTGCCGGGTGTGAGGGTGTCCTTGGTGCCAGAGCCGTAGCTTGGCCAGCTCGGCGCCGAAGGGACCGACGACGATGAGCCGATAAAGTAGAGGAGGACCAGCGCCTGCAAAGGGTCAATGCATGATGCTGATAGCGATCTTCAAACGGCCGGCCTTACGAAGAGCGCGAAGACAATGTAGCGGAGATAGCGCTGAGTGCCCGCCATGCTGGGGGATTGGTGGACTGAAGGGCGCGCTGCTGGCGTTCAGGTGGTGGCTTTGCTATGTCGTGGCCAGTGCCTGGTTGCGACGGGTGTGGGTGCGGAGGTGGTCGAGGGCGCCGCTTCCGTATATTGTATACGCGTGTTCTGGAATTCGGGGACTATGGGGTAGCGAGCGGACAGACACGTCGAGTCGTGCGCATCGGCTGTAGATGAGAGGAAGAGTGAAAAGACACTGGGTGCAGACTCTTTGCCGGGACACGAGGTCAAAAAGGAGAAGGAGACGTCGTCGCACTCGCATGCGCCTTAGTGTGGCTGACCTCTGCAGGCCACTTGTTCAGGGTGCACGTCTGGGCGCTCGGCGCAGGCGAAGCGGGAAATGCCGGTGGAGCACTCGAGGCGCCATGCAGCTCTGATGGGCGTCACCACCCAAAGCTCGACACCCCGACTGCGTGTATTCTTTCACAGTCGCATTGCATATTTACTATCGCTGCGACACGTGCGCACTTTTTTGTTAGTGCGCCCAGTTCGAGAGACGCGGCCGCCGCCCGCCGTGTGTACATTTGCCCTCGCTCAACGTCATCCACTTCGGAACAGAAAACACCCACATTCGCGCGTAACCTCACATACTATCAGCCACCCGGGCGTCGCCCACCATGTCTTTCTTCGGCTTTGACACCAACCTGCCCCGGGACCGCGGCCATCAGACCAACGCCCCTGGCTTTGGACAGCACGATGCCTTTGCTGGCTTCAGTGGAGGGGCAGCCGATGACGACGTGTAGGTTGCGCTGATGCGGCCAATTGACTTCTGCTCACACACCTGTACAGCATCGACTTTGAAGAGACGTATCAAGGTCTGGGCGGGCAGCTCGACGACACCGATGATGCCTTCAACGATGACACCTTCGGCGCCGATGGACCTGCCACGCAGCAGAGTGTGGGTAAGGACTTCGATTTCGCCGGTCAGACTTCGAAGATCTCGAGCACGATACAGGAGGAGCAGATGCTGTACCAGGCTCGTCAGGGCTTCTCTCGCCCTGCCCCTCAGCAGCAGCAACAGCAGCAGCAGCAGCAGCAGCAGCAGCAGCAGCAGCAGCAGCAGCGACCGCCCGTCCCCCAGGCCGCGAAGCCCACCAGAACCGGCTATGAAAGCTACAAGGATCCTGAGTATATCCCTCAACTGGAGGCGCGTGCCGATATATGGGGCTTGAAGCCGAAGCAGCCTGCAGCCCAACGCCAGCAACAACAAGAGTACCAGCCGTCGCCTGTTCAGTACTCTAGCAGCCCCGCTCAGCCGTCTGACGCCTCGAGGAAGATGATGAGCTTGGACGAGGTTGAGGCTATGATGCGCGGCCATAGCATTGGCAACGAGGCTCGAGCTACGCCTCCGGTTCAGCCGCCTCCAGGCATGGGTTACTCCCAACACTACCCTCAACAGCACCAGCAGCAGTTCTACCAGGGACAGCCGCCGTTCCTCGGTATGCCCGGTATGCCCGGTATGCCCGGTATGCAGGGAATGCAGGGCATGCCACCTGGTATGCCTCCCGGCTTCCCTGGCCAGCATGCTCCGCAGATCTTGCAGCGGCCCCAGCAACAGCAATTCCAGCAGCCACCGCAGCAGCAGTTCCAGCACAGGCAGGGCCCGCCTCAGCAGCAGCAGCAGCAGTTCCATGCCGAACTACCTGGGCAGTCCGCACAAACCCCAACACCTCAGCAGCCTACCATTCTCCAGCGCCAGAAGCCTGAGCCGGCTGCGCAGCAACAAAGGGGTGTCTCGCCTGCGACCCAACCGCAAGGCCCACCGACCCAGCCTCGACAGATCCTACAGAATCCCAACCGCCTGTCTGGCCAGGGCCAGCCAATGGCTCAGCCTGGTCAGCCCGCTCACCGACAGATGGCTGGAAACGCTCCCGGGCAGCATAACAGGGGCCCTTCCTTTCCAATCATCACGCACCCGGAGCAGCTGCTCAACCTGTCTGAGGCTGAGCGTGCAGCTTTCCTCGAGGAGGACGCCAAACGTGCGAAGCGCAACCACAAGATTGCGCAGTTGGCTAAAGACAATGGTCTGATGACACCTCAAGACAAGAACTTCATCACCCGCATTCAACTGCAGCAGCTCATGACAGCGACCGGCAACCTGGACGAGAGAGGGCCCGAGGCTGCTATTGCCGAGGACTTCTACTACCAGGTCTTCAGCCAGATTCGGGGTGCTCCTCGCCAGAACCCTCAGCAACCAGCCAACCAGTTCGCTCAGACTTATCTCTTCCAGACCAACAACAGGTTTGGCAACCGAAGGCACGGCCGAGGTGGTGACAACCACATGCAGCGCATGGAGCAGCAGATCCAGCGCGCGGTCGAAGCTGCAAAGGCTAGGCCGAAGGCGAAGCAACTCGTTGTGGAGGGCAGTTTGGGCAAGATTGCTTTCAGCAACTCCAAAACCCCGCGACCGCTTCTTAACATCAAGCGTCCGGAGACAGGCGACAAGCCTAAGCCCAAGACATCGATCGCCGATCGTAAAGACGCTCTGCGCAACATTGAGGCTGTCTACCTGACCCTGATGCAGATGGAGGACCATGAGCGAACCATGCCACCACCTATCAACGAGAACAGCGATCCCGAGGCCATCCAAGCCCACATGGAGTGGCGCTCGAAGATTGAGGCGCTGCACCAGAAGCTCTGGCAGGCTACCAAGATCATGGAGCCTATCAACCCTCACGCACACGCACAGCATCCCTTCATTCAAATCTTGTCGCACGCCAAGGGAAAGAAGGTCATTCCTCGTCTCTTCCGTCACATCGATGAACAGGAGCGCATAACGGTTGTCACTATGATTGTCGTTCATCTCGACGGCCTGAACGTAGTTGGCCATGCCATCGCAACACCGGACGAGCCGTTGAGTCCTGCTATCCGCGAAGACGTCGAGCTGTTCTCGCAGACCGTGATGCCACCGCTTTTCGCGCACATCTCTGAGTCGCCTCTCAACATCATCATCGGCCTTCTCGGACTCATCTTGGACCGCACCAACCTCCACGTCGTCGCACGCACTAAGATCGGCCTGTCTCTCCTGACAATCTTGATCTCTCGTGCGGAGCTTCTGAAGCAATCGGCTCCTGAGATTGACGCCGGCGATTGGGACCAGTGGACGATACTGTACAACCGCCTCTTCGATACCATCGAGCCCGTGTTGCCTTACCTGTTCCCTGGCTCCATCAACGACACCGACGACATGTACATCTGGCAGTTCCTGGCTGCCATGGGCGTTGGTGCTAGCCCCGAGCAGCAGCAGAGGCTGGTCATTGGTGTCAAGGATCGTGTCATGGAGACTGTCTCCGTCAGCAAGGCTCTGCCTGTGGAGATGGCTGGAGCTCGCTTGGCCAACGTGAACCTGTTCATGAGGGCTATCGGTCTTGACGTCGAACTGCTTGGATGAAGCTGCCACAGCAGTCATTAATTGGAGCCTGTTGAACGGAAGCCACTGCCTACTGCAGGCCACCTCGTGTGACTCAAGCAGAGCAACCAAGTAGCCACACCTCTCGCTACTCAGTCTCACCGACACGATGCAGCACTTCACCGACCACTGCGACATCAGTAAGCAGTCGACTAAGGTCGAAGGAGGCAGGCATGCACTCAACTGTAGAGTGGATGTCCGCCACACAGTACTCCCCTATTTATAAAGGATGCTGACTACCCTGAAGTAGTGCAGGGATTTTATGCATTGCGATAGATATTCAACAGCCATGTTACTCAGCATTCAAATTCAAGCATTGTTTTCTATGCATCTTCCAGACACTGCCGTGCCTTCCGTCACCGTGATAATACTGTAGCAGTTGCCCGTGCACCGCCCACAACACGAAATGGCTCAACGAACAGCCGCAAAATCGTGAGCGACTCGACAACGCAACCAGCGCCTCCCGTGCCCAGCTTCGAAACAACCTCAACCGTTTTAAACAGTTGCCGACAGCACCCCTCGATTTGCGAAACCGCAGTCCTGTTCCTTCAGGCTATCAAACACCGCAGCTACAGCTTAACGGCCGATGTCAACACTCATTCTGTTCCTCGCAGCCGGGCATCAAGCGATGGTGGCGCGACCCCCACACGTGTCTACCCTCAAACGTGTTTCGAGCAGGGAGATGACAGCTAAGCTTTGCGGTGATGCTTGGCTCGAGGCCTGGGGGACGGGGGTGGTGAAGCTCGCGTAATGGTCGCTCCGACCCAGGAAGATTCAGATTCCAAGGCCAGAGAACACCACCACCACCGCTGCGCCATCGACGACGGAGCACCCACCCTGGCGGTTTCAGAGTCGCGACAACCTTCCGCGTAGCTTCGCCAGGAGCTTGGCATTGCGAAACGCCGCACCCTGGCCTCGTCAGCTTTGATGTTCATGCGTGTCGGAGGCATGCGCAGCGCGTCGTCAGCCGCTACGAGCTGTGGTTGAGAGCGCCTGCGAGCATGAAGACGCTTCACGACAACGAATACCACTGTGGAGAACCAGGCAACTAACAAGAGCAGAGATCTGTCGACACTCGACACGCTCAACCCATGTCCTCTCGTTGCTTCTTCAAGGACGAGTCTTGCAACGGTGACGGCATTCGCAGTGCCGCGGGCCTGAAACGCTCTCGCTAGACTCCGCAACCCATGTCCGCGCGCTAGTTTCCTCCACATTTCCTCAACACCACCCGGGCAAACTCAGGCAGTACGCGTAAGAGCTCCACGGGCTATCGATAACTGGCCGGCAACGTGCCAGGCGCGCTCCTACCCAATGATGCTTCACTTTTTGAGCCTCTTTAGTCTGCAAGTGGCAAAAGGCTAGCTCCGTTCGGTCGGCTTCCAGACTGTGTGCCTGCGTCCTGACAGCAACTAGGCCTGATGCCCACATGGATCATCACGCATGTGGTACACGCAGCATCTGATCTGCTGCGGCAGGAATTTCAGTCATGTCTTGGGGTAAGGCTTAGCGCTGTCAACCAAATCTTGACCTCTGTGAGTTTCATCGGATTCTCAGGTTTCCATTGCAACTGTCCTTACTTGTTTCGACGACATTCTTTAAAAGAACCCTCATTACCGGCTGCTTGAGCGCTGTGTGGACTTCCCATCATCAGGCCGAGCCTTTGATCTATCTTTCGAGCGAGTTGTGGTGCTTTCGATTCTTTCCTTCGGTTTATTCAACAGACCATTTCACTTCTTTTCAGACGACAGGTTTAATCGTCGCCGCTGCCGGTCAGCATTCATACAATCAACATGCCTTCATCACGCCTCTTCTTCGTTTTCGCTCTTTTGGCAGCCCTTGCGCTCGCCGCACCATCACAAGTTCGGAGACGAGGTCTCGCAAAACGCTCTTTCAAGGTCCCCCGCCAGTTGAACAAGGCCCACCCCACTGGACCCAATGGCGCTGCTGCTATGAGGAAGGTGTTTAGGAAGTACAACTTCGTGGTTAAGGAGGACTTTGGAGGATACAGCAGGGCAGCGGCAGGCATGAACGCGACTACCACAGCTGCTGGTGGTAACAAGACCGGAACCGTCGCCGCCAACCCCGAGCAGAACGCTGCTCTCTTCCTTTCGCCAGTCGATGTTGGCGGTCAGATGCTGAACTTGGACTTCGACTCTGGCTCTTCCGATCTGTAAGTAGTTATGTCGGTCATCTTGACTCGGTCACTAACTTTGCTTAGGTGGATGTTCAGCACTGACCTTGACGCCGCTTCCATCGGCCAGCACGCTGCCTTCGATGCCTCCAAGTCGACTACCTTCAAGAAGACCGAGGGTGCACAGTGGAAGATCAGTTACGGTGACGGTTCTGGTGCTGCTGGAACTGTCGGCACGGACACTGTCACTATCGGAGGCGTCAAGGTTGAGGGCCAGACCGTTGAGTTGGCCAACCAGGTTTCGCAGTCTTTCGTTCAGGACACCAACACCGATGGTCTTGTCGGTCTTGCTTTCTCCAACCTCAACACTGTCAACGACGGCACCAAGAAGACCCCCCAGAAGACCTTCTTCGACAACGTCATGAACGATCTCGACATGCCCGTCTTCACGGCCGACCTTGACCCCGATGGCACAGGTGTCTACGAGTTCGGCAAGATCGATGCCACCAAGTTCGAGGGCGAGATGGCCTGGATCCCCGTCAAGGCTGAGACCGGTTTCTGGCAGTTCCCCTCTACCAAGTTCGCCGTCGGTGACCAGCTCTTCGAGAACCCCCAGGGCTCTGACGCCATTGCCGACACCGGTACATCTCTCCTCCTCGTCGACCAGCAGGTTGCCGACGCCTACTACTCCAAGGTCCAGGGCGCTCAGCTCAACGCTCAGGTCGGCGGTTACATCTACCCCTGCGCCGCTACCCTCCCCGACATGTCTGTCGCTATCGGCGACACCTACATGGCCAAGATCCCTGGTAACCAGATCACCTTCGCCACAGTCGACAAGGCCAACACTACCTGCTTCGGCGGTGTTCAGGGTAACCAGGGTGCTGGTCTTCAGATCTACGGTGATACCATGTTCAAGGCTCAGCTCGTTGCCTTCAACGGTGGCAACCAGTCGCTCGGCTTCGGCCAGAAGCCTGCTGTACAGTAAACGCAGATACCCACTCGTTCTCTCATTCGCTTGAGCGCTTGTTGATTGATAAAACATGGACGTATACTGGTCTGTACATAATGATAGTTTTCTTGTGTTGGCAATCATGGGTTGGGATATGGGAATGCATAACGGCTTGCATTCATCACAAAATCACAGCATATACAGCACGAACAGATAGCGAATAGATCGACTATCACCAGAAACTTCTTCTCAGTATTCGTGTGCACATTCCATCTCCGCAAGCATGGTTGCTTCCGGAGGTCATCATGCAGGTCGTCTCACTGTCCGTCCGAGACACGCCTTGAAACGCCTTGGCGGTCTTCTCGGCACCCAGGGAGGGACGTCAAGTCCGTGACGAGAAATGCGAGGGGGTACTTCGACCTCACACAGTTCAAGCGCTGTGCAGCCGTCAGCATCTGCTGCAATGATGTACTACCGAACACGCTAACATCTTCAGATCTGAAAATCACCATTTTATCAACGCCTTCCGCGCCTGGTCTCAATAGAGGCTCCATCCGTCGCAAAACTGACCTTCCGCAACATCAGACTACTGACAAGCTCGCTCGGTCATCGAAACACACGCAAGTGCCCTACCTTATACCAGCAGTCTTGCTGTAGTCCTCGCAAGTCAACAGCAGCGCTATGTTGGATGCTATGTGAAGATTCATGCAAGGTTGCCACCCGAGCGACTACTAATCCGAGCTAGCAAAGCACGACTCAAGTTCAAGCTGCCTCTGAAGCAGAGCTGGCGACAGCTAGATCATGTCTCACAGACAGAGCGCCATCTAGCTGGCGGCAGATCGCGCGTACCAAGTACATAGACGTCTGAGAGGCTTGTTCTGTCTGTCGCTACCTCTGGCCTCCAGCATCTAGGTGTAAAGAAGCTGCACCTGGCCGAGCTTGGAGCACGTGCGAGTTCCGCAGCCAGCCTGCTTCATGTCCGCTCTCAGCTCAGCTTCCTCAGTACCCTATGCCACCTTGAAGTTGGTTTAGGCTGTGAGTGACCGGGGCCCATAACACCCTGGCTATGCACTTGCTCCTGCACTACTGTCTCGCATGGAATGTTACCATCCTCCTCTCTCCTTTCCAGAGCGACGAGTTTGCCCCGCAATGGCTGACACTTGGGATGATCTTCCCCAAACACCTTCTCGTAGCCCCAGAGCGCTTTCGAGTACCACGCTCTGGCCATGTCCACACGGCCTAAGATGTCAGATAGCGAACCAAGGGACCACATTGTGCTGAGAGCTGGCACATAGGTAGAGATGCTTTCAAGTCCGATTGCCTTCTCGTATCCGTGCAGCGCCTGCGTGAACATCTCCTCTGCCTTGTCGAGCTTTCCCTGGTACCTGTAGAGGGTGCCCAAGTTGCCGACTGTTCTGAGCGTCGACGTATGATCTTTCCCTAACGCCTTCGTGTAGCCTTCCAGCGCCTGCGTGAACATCTCCTCTGCCTTGTCGAGCTTTCCCTGGTCCCTGTAGAGGGTGCCCAGGTTGCCAACTATGCTGAGTGTCGACGTGTGATCTTCCCCTAGCGCCTTCGTGTAGCCTTCCAGCGCCTGCGTGTACATCTTCTCTGCCTTATCGAGCTTTCCCTGGTCCCTGTAGAGGGTGCCCAAGTTGCCGACTATGCTGAGTGTCGACGTGTGATCCTCCCCTAGCGCCTTCGCATAGCCTCTCAGCGCTTGCGTGTACATCTTCTCTGCCTTGTCGAGCTTTCCCTGGGTGTTGTAGAGGTTGCCCAAGTTGTTGACTATGCTGAGCGTCGACGTGTGATCTTCCCCTAGCGCCTTCGTTTGCCCTCGCAGCGCCTGCGTGAACATCCCCTCTGCCTTGTCGGGCTTTCCCTGGTCCTGGTAGAGGATGCCCAAGTTGTTGACTGCCCACAGCTGTGTCTCATCCTCCTCCTCCTCCTCCTCCCACGCATCAGCTCCCTGCTCTGCCCCCTGATCGACCACAGCCCCTCCTATGTGCTTCCCGCACCGCTCTGCATGCTGAAGAAGTCGCGCTTGCGTCTCCCAGTAGTTCTTCTCGTCACTCTTTGGCACCGCTAGCCCAACAAGCACAACTGCCAGCCGCGACAGCGCGGTCTGTTGCCTGCTGTCTTGCATGTGCAGCGCCCACTGGTGCACCACCGGGTGCGTCGAGTAGCCTGTCTGGTCCCCCACCTCCTCCACCAGAGAGTAGCTCCGGAGCGTCCTGACAGCCTCAATGAACTTCACTTCGCTGCGCGCCGTCTCTCCAAACCATGCCGCTGTTTGCTCTGCAGCGACAGCCGACTTCCGCGATGCAGCTGTTAGCAGTCCATGCCACAGGCTCTTGTTGTCCAGATGCGCCCACAGAAGCAGCAGGTTCGAGGCAGCCACGTTCCTTGCCCTGACAGCCGTGTACGATATCGTCCAGGTCGTCGCCACGCTGCCGTTCGCGTAGCTCCGCAGCGGTATGTGCCTGCCGTCGTGCGGCTCCATCAACTGCCGCCACTGCTTCTTGTACAGCCGAGTGTAGATGCTGAAGCTCGTACCTGTCTCGCTCATGTACGCAGCAGCCTGTGCCAGGGCCAGCGGCAGCCCATCGAGCAGCCTTAGCAGCTCGTCGCCCTCCTGATCTGTGATGGGGTTAGCATCGCTGTATCGCCTGCTGCTGCTGCTGCTGCTGCTGCTGCTGCTGCTGCTGCTACAGTCCAAGATGCTCACCCACGCCTCTCCCGTACCACGTCTTGAAGATGGCCTGCGCCTGCTCCTTGTCCACTTTCCTCACTTCCCACCGCTCTCCAAGCTGGCCCAGATGCCAAAGACGTGTCGTGATCAGCACCGATCCATGGTCAGCCTCCGGCAGGTACTCCTCTACGTTGTACGCCTCCGCGTCTTCTTCGCGCCGTTGATTGTCTCGGTCGACGTTGTCGACTACCAGCAGCCAGTCACTGTTGTCCGCTATGCTCAGCCAGCCTAGCACGTCCCTCACTACTGCGTCGACGTCGCTGCCGCCCTGGCTTGCGGCATACAGCCTGCTGGCCTCGGGAATCTGGCCTGCTGGTATGCGGCTCGCAAATGCCGCAAAGCTCTGCTTGAGGCTGCTCTCACTGCTCCCGTCTAGCCACAGCACTGACGAGAAGCTGTTTTGGCGTCGCCGGGCAAAGTTGACTGCAAGCTGTGTCTTCCCCACGCCGCCCAGTCCGTAGACTGCTAGCAACTGCCGTTCTTTCACGTTCTCTTGCGGCAGAAGCGCTTGCTCTAGCGCTTGCGTGTCTCTTGGCCGCTCTGCAAACTTCCCTACAGGCACACCCTTGAGGCTGAAAGGGACGCGGTACTTGCAAGCTTCTCCTACTGCTGCGACCTTTACCACCTCTACTGAGGGGATGAGCGATAAGATTGCTTTTGCACACGCTGCTGCCGTCGCTGCCGCATACGGCTGCCACGCCTTGTTCTTGTGCGAGTCGGCATAGTCGCAGATTCCTCGCACCACCAGGCACGGGAAGTCGTTCATCAGGCCCGCCGCTTCCATCTCAAAGCACAGTACCCCACCCAGCTCTTCGCTCAGCCGGTCCCGAGTTGGCCCATCCTTGATTACCTGGTTGCCAGACGCTATTGTGCCGTAGTGGATGGCCACTTCCTCGTCAGCTCTTCGCGCCGTCCGATGTACTACACTGTCCTTGTTGCACCGCTCGCACGTCGCTCCATCACTGTGATGGTATGTCGCCTCGAACAGAATATCAGGCCCAGCTTTCTTGCGGCTGAAGTACGGGCGTTGGTCAAAGGCCGACAAATGCGTTGCAAGAGAACCTCTGTCCTGCCTGTCCTGGTAGCGGTACGCCCTCAGCTGAGTGACGGCGTGGAGCAGCGCCTTGGGCGGCGCGTTCAGCGATCCAGTCCGCGTCATTCGTCCGCCTGATCCTGTCTTGCCAAAGTCATACTGCACCACTCCACCGTGCTGTCGGACCGGCTGGCTGACCACGACGTCTCCCAGTCGCACGTCTGCCTCCGCGCTCGGGGCTCCGCCGCCGATGCCCACCATCAGTCCGAAGCGGATCGATGTGAAGTTGGACATGGCTTGCCCGGCGCTGAACGCAGCAGCGCCGATGCCCATCTGGCCAGCCGGCAGGCATGCCAGGACGACGTTGTGGCTACCTATGCGGCCCAGCGTGTACTGGGTCGAGCTGACGTCGTCGTGAGGCAGATATTCCTCGTCGAGCATCACCTGCGCCGCCGCCAGCTCGACGGGCAGCGCACATATCCATCCCACTGTGTACGCTGCAGCATCGAGCCGGCGCCGATCCATGGGTAGCGCGTCAGCGCGCGGGCGATGGGCGCGCTAGATGGACAGACGTGCGCGCTTGGGCTGGAGCGGATCGAGACAGCTTTCGTCGCGCTAAAGGCATGGAGGCATGGACTCAGGAGATCGCTGTTTTGTTTCAGGTATGAGATGCGTATGCACCAGCCATAACACTAGCCACAGCTACCAACAGAACAAAATTAGTACAGCAGCACAACCAACTTGAGGTGCACATAAAGTTTGAGTGGTGTGAAGTCAAAGTACCCCTCGTGTTTCTCGGCAGGGCGGTGTTCTCGGCTCACAGGTGGGGACGTTAAGACTTGTCTGAGGTATAAGCCTTGTCAACCTGACGGAACGCAATCAAGCAGATTCCATGTGATGATCAGAACACCAATGTTCTTTTCGAGATTGTGAAACGTCGCAGGATTGAGCCTTTGAGCGGATAAGTATATGCACGTGATGACGCGCGCTAGCGCGGCGAGGAAGGTGCGACTTTCGTGTCGACCTCACCATCGTTCTGCAGCCGATGTGCGACCAGACCATCACAACGCTTCACTCATCATTTTTCCTCACACATCTATAATATGAAGAACTGAGATCAATGCTTGTAGCGCGATGGAGCTAGACCTCCCATTCTCTGACCCAGAACCCGTTATCGAGGAAGAAGAGCCTAGCGTCCTCGAGTACGCGCGAGAGCAAGGCATCTGCATTGACTACACGACAGAGCTGCCGCGACTCGTCGACATCTGTCTCTCGCTCAAAGATGCAATTGATCAGGATCTTCGGGATCCTTTTGGTGATGACCTCACTAACGCAGTCACCGCTGCTCACGAGCTAACAAAGCAAAAACTCGCAGTCACCAAGGATGTCGCATTACTCTTGAAGTCAGTCTTGGGATTGCGAGAACCTCCAACTGGCGATCCGCTTGCGACAGATGGGCAGCAACGTGTTCGCGATATGAAGCATGAACTTCCGGTCTTGCAGACGGATGCTGAGCTTGATATGTTAAACTTTGGGACGAGAGTCGAGCCTGACCTCAGAGACCTGAGAACGCGACTACCGTCTGAAGACCTGGATGAAGAGAACGATGAAGGGTTCGGGTGGCCTGCAAAGTACTTTGCGTATCCGGCGCAATGCGATGCGAAAATCAAAAGCGAGAAGCTTGCGGTAACGAGGGATGTTCTGACATTTCTGCAAAGCGCGGTGTGGGACGACTTCACGCCCGAAGATGATGAAAAGGTCATGAGAGAAGAACTGGAGACCAGAAGGGTAGGTGCATTCCAATTGAGTGTCGAATATGAGTGCTAACAGGCTCAGAAAATGGTACCTCGACATCTGACACCACCGTTGCTACTGCTGTCACCACCAATGACGCCTTACATTCCCTCATCACCGGCGAATCGTCTACCACTTGTCCCTGAGAGCAGCGACTCGGTCGTGGCCGAAGCCAAAGCCCTAGAACAACAGACAATGGCCAGAGACTCCCTCATACGACACCACTCTGGCAGTAGTGACTCGATGTTACTCGACATAGCGGACCTCGACGCACTTTTCGATACTGAAGAGGCTATCGGCCCTCACTTCTCAGACCGCATCCCGACAATCTTAAAGCGAAGGGCAGACGATCTCAAAGTGGAAGGACCGTTGACGCCACCGATCTTATCAGATTCACCTATGAAGAAACTGAAGTCGGTCTCGTTCTCAAATATGATACAGGTTGGCGACATTTTGGAGCCATGGACTGGTGACCATCGCCCTGGAACATCTGACTCCCAGAATACCATAGACGAACTGTTCAAGGAGATCGAGCCAATTGCCAACGAAGCACGAAGGAAGATCGAGAACGAGAAGCTGACCGGAGCCGACACGATTTCTCGAGTAGAAGTACCTGCTCTCGATTTCACGGTCCCAGTGGCGCCTTGGAACGAGTTCAGTCAGCGAAAGCACGGCAAGCATCGCTCAGGAGCAGCAGAGCTAGATGCACAGATGCGGTTTCTGCAGCGCGTAATGCGCGACGTTCTTAAATCAGCAACTGCATGGCGTGGCGTCTCCGATCTCGACTTGAGCTGGGGGTGGTTCGCGTCGCCAATTTCCTCGATCAAGCTGAATGAGAAGCTACACGGCGAAACAGAATTCAACAAGATTCAGGCCGAGCTTAACACGGGTAGCATTGCGGCTAGCGCAAACGAGGTGTGGAAGAGGGATGGCTTCCGCATCCTCGATGAGGATGAAGACGATGAAGGAGAGGAGATCGAACCGGCTGAGTTTGAAGAACGTAATGATACGGAGGCTCTGGTTCGCAAACGAAAGCTAGAGTTGGAAGAACAGGAAGAGCTCATGGAGGCGCAGCGCAAACGCAAGGAGATCGCAGCAGCACAGTTGAGATCTCACATCCGCTTACAGCCACAGCGAGAAGCAGGTGGATGTCACCGCTGGCAAAACGGACTAGATGCCTCTCACGACCCTTGCAAGGCCCACCAAACCTTGGCCAACTTACGGTTGCAGCAGTCGCAATCGCCCGTATCTCAACATAAGCCTATTGGAGAGCAGAAAGAGGCACCTGTCGAGCTGATATTTGGCGGATTTTCGGCATCTACAGCGCTGCACAAGTTCATGGAGACACAAGGCAAAGCAATCAAGTCTGCAAAGCCCACCACACAGACGAACGTCTCTTCCGCACCTCCTCTTCACAGCTTGCAGGTCCGTGAAAACGAGCCATCTGCCGAGTCGAGGCTATTCATCGCCCAAGCACCAGGACATACCCCAAACCTACAAGGCAAGAGTGCAGGACATCCATCACGCTTCTTAGCAGATCCGCCACCTCCCGTCGACCTCCCACCCAGCTCCTTCATTGTCTCATCAACCCTCCTCCAACGACGCTCACTCATAAAACAAATCGAACATCTCCACCAGGAAGTTGAGCTCATATACCGCGACCACACCCTCCCGCACTCCGTCTCCACTGAAGCAGACATAGTCCTCTCCCCCTCAACTGGCATGATCCTTACCACCCTGCAACAAATCAAACAAGCGCCTCTTCCTGGGCAGGTGGCCCGCTCACCAGTCAAAGAGCGCATGGCGATGCTGCAAGAGCGCTATGAGAGACTCGTGGTTCTTGTCAGTGAGGGCTTGAGAGAGGAGAACGGGTGCAGTAGGCCCGAGGACGTGAGGGATCAGGAGACATTGAAGGGTCTTGAGGTCTTCGCAGCACAGCTCGAGGGCGACGTGGTTGTCGAGTATATCCGAGGAGGCGAGCAGAAGCTTGCGAGGGCTGTGGTGGAGAGTATGGGGATATATGGGCTGCCGCATGGTGGGAAAGATATGGGTGATGCGAGGTTGTTTGCGGTGGAAACTACTGCAAGGCTTCCTCAACTCCTCGCACGCTGAGAAACGTTGCTGACAGAGTAGTAGTGGGAGGTTTTCCTCCGCCGCGCAGGTATCAACCCCTTTGCCGCACAGGTAATCCTTGCCTCCCTCAAGGTTCCTACGATAATTGCCTTACCTCCCGTCTTGAGTTCGCCGACTTCGTACGTACCACAGAGGGCTGTGGAGGCCGCTGGGTTGTCTTTGTTCTTGTTGATGGAGCGAGAAGACAGGGCTAAGCACTTCCAGGCCATCATGGGAGGAAGGCGAATACTAGACAGAGTAAGTGGGTTGTTGGATCAGCGATGGCTTAGCGCCGCGCATGGATTCAGGATGTAGGAGGATGTAGTCGCGATGTCGAGAACACATAGCTGAGACTCGAATAATAACATATAACCCCTGTCTAGCGCACCAAGCGATGTGTATGTTTCTTAGACAAAGATCTTATCGAGCTAGGTATCAACCTTCTTCCCCTCCTCCAGCATCGTCATGGATACCACAGACCTGTCAAACCTAAGAACTGTTTGCATTCACTCCTGGAGATTCACCTTGTCCTGTACAAATCCTGCGTAGTGTGCAGAATAGGTCCGGTGTTTAGGCTGATGATACATGCTTCTCATTGGCTGCGTATCCCAGACATGGACACGAGCAATACAAACTCGGTCATCGACCGTTTAATGCGGGGAACCTGGGGAAAGTGCCAGTTGATTATGCTTGGTCTGTATAGTTCGGAAGCGTTCACCGCCATCTGTATCATCATCCATTCAGCGAGTATGCGGTTGCTTTTAGCCCTTGCGGCAGCGATAGGTGTCGCGCCGTTGGTGGCTATGCTAGCGACCTTCACTGAGCTTAGGAAGGCCCCCAGTCTCCCGAGTAGTTTTACATGGAGTTTGAGTGGTGCTCTTGTTGGGGCCTAAGAATGACGGTCGAAACATCGCCGGTATCAAGGATCCATCGATTGTCTACTATATCATGTCTTTGTCAGTACAGCGCAAGCCTCGGGCTACAACCTCATATATTTCTACTTCACCGACTTCTCGAAAGCCAATGCCTCAACGTTCTACTCCCTGGACCAGTCAGCCATAGGCACCGGCTACCATGCCGCACCCTGGAGTCTTCTAATTCGCGCCTCAGAAGCTCTGGTACCTGATCTTCCAGAATGGCAACGCGGCTCATTCGACGAATAAGGACATCAGCAATACTGTTGGCTGAACAGCACAAAAGAACTTCTACTCTGACACATCGCAAATCATCACTGGCAATACTGATAACGGGTACTGAGTAGATATGTGGGTAATCTATTAGCAACCATCTTAGGGTGTTTTCCTATATCCGTTTAGTAGCGAAAGTCTATATTTGTGTTGATGACTATCGATTGGAGCTCGCGGTGTCGGACGCAATCGCGTATTGAGTGATGATCGGGCAGATGCTATCAAGAGTGCGATGAGTATCAGTCAGACCGAGACGATCGTGTGAAGGCACGTTGTTTGGACTGACAGAGCATTGGCGGTAGTGCACAGTAGGAAAGCGCAAGCGCTAACGCACAGACATCATTGCACCTCCTTCTTTCCACAACTCAAGCCCATCTGAGACCCAATGCAGCAACTCTGACACTACAACCTCGGGCACTCCGTTCTAGTATCGCTGTGCCTCAACACTGGAGCACTTTACGTACGTAATTGTGGCTTACAACTCTTGAAAGAGTTCTTCTGCCCTTTCGGAGTCCGCGGACGGGTCGGAAGGTTTCGACCAATCACAGCAGTCCTATGATCAGCCCTACCGCTGCCCGCGCGACAACTTAAGCATTCAATTACCCTCTCCAACTCTCCACATTCCTGTGGCGTACGACAAGCAAGATCCTTAGCATGGAAGGTGCCACAGCTTCCAGCGATAGCCAAGCAGGCTTACGTGCTGTATGTGTGGCTTGTGAAAGTCTTGGTATCAAATCGAATGCTGACTTTGGCCTAGTGTGACCAATGCCGGACTCGTAAGGTACGAACAATCGGTAGAGCATCCGGTAAATATGCTACGAGGCTAACCCCTATACGTGACAGATCCGTTGTGACAAAGGCAGGCCCTGTGCGAGCTGTCGTGCTTCCGATCTGATCTGCCAGGCATCTGGCAACAGGCCTAAGGAGCAACGGCAACGAGTACTCATCTCCAGCAAATAGTGAGTGATCCCTCTTCCGGTCGATGTTCATCCGCTTTTACGCCTGTTCAACAAACCACTTTTTATGCACATGAACTAGTCGTTATGCACAAATGCGCAGTCCTAACATGGGTCAACTCCCATCACTGAACCCCAGTCCTGTCAGAAGCAATCATCTGATCTCATGTTCTTAGTGAGTCGAAGATCGATGCAATTGGAGACCGGCTTGCTGGTATTGAAAGAGCCTTGCGAGACATGAAGATGGCTTCGCCACAGTTGGCTACACCACCCAGTCACGTACAGCCGTCACCGTCTCCATTAATAGGGAACTCAGTCAGCGCCACACCTGTCGCTACGCCGGCATCCAACATCCAACATTTCGAAGGTGATACGTCTCTTAGCGCCTATACCACCTCCACCAACGATCAATTGCAACGGGCACTTCGCAACACTCAGTTATTGCAACAGGACCCAGACCTTGCCGCTGCTTTGAAATCCCTCAGTCAGATAGTATCGACCCAGAATGTGTACCCTGGTGAGCATGAGGTATCTAGCACCGAGAGAGCCGTTAAGAACAACCGAAGGTACGGCGTTCCTCCAGCAGAGGTGGTCTCCGGGGTGCTTCGAGAGTGCGAAGACATCTACGATACGGTCATCGGACTGTTCTATCCCGTCAGACCGTACAAAGAGGTTGTGGCTCTTTGTAAAGAGCTATACTTCAATATTGATGACATTCCAGTGGCAAGCCTGATAGTAGCATTCGGTAGTCTCTACTTCATCTTCAGATGCTACCAGTTCGGATTTGCGAAAGACGATCCACGTATAGAAGAGTTCCACGGATATACCGATATGTTTGTGCGAAATATGATGGATTTGATCGGTCTGCTTCCGATACTCATGGCACCTACGGTTGACAACTTTGAAGCCCTATTACTTGGTGTAAGTACAGAGATCGCGTGATCATCTACACCTAAGCAAGGTGCTAACTTCAAATCAGGCTTACTATGCTGTCGAAGCCTCTAAACCTTCGCTGTGCTCCGCACTCATATCGAAAGCAAGCCACCTCTGCCTCACCCTAGGCTATCATCGTGCAGACTCCATGGTCAAAGACTCACCCGAGACGCGCGGACGAAAGATCAATCTTTTCTGGTTTCTGTACAGCATGGACAAAGGCCTTTGTCTTCGCCTTGGTCGCGCATCGTGTATACAAGACTACGATATTGCTGTTCCTATGCCTATTCTGGGAACCGAAGAGAGCTTTTCTGCTGGCAACGGTCTGGTCCGATTCTGGTGCAAGCTTGCAGGGATACAAGGGCGTATCTACGAGGATCTTTACAGTCCTCGCGCATTGAAACAGCCCAAAGCATCCAGAGCAGCTAAGGCTGATTTGCTCGTCACCGACATCAGACAAATGTGGACCGAACACAACCACATTGGATATATACCCGGCACACCCGAAGAGACGCACGAAGTGTTCATGCTAGGAGATAAAGTCACAATGTCTACGACACTTACACTAGTACTCCGGGCCGTGCCATCAACAGACGGTCAGCCATTGTCGTGCAGCCAAGATTGTATCGCTGCAGCTCGACAAGCATTACAACTTCACCAGACCTGTACCGCCAAGTTCGCAGACATGTCCGATAGACACGTGTTCGCAGAGTATCTGCATTGGACTTTGCTGCATACACCTTTCACTCCGTTCCTGGTCATCTTTTGTCATATCATCGAGACACAGTCCACGAGCGATCTGGCGATGCTTGGCGACTTTCTGCAAACCCTGCAGCCTGCTCGTGGCACATCGAGTGCCATCGAGAAGATGTTCCTTGTGTGTGATGTCTTTCATCGCGTCGCTAAGCTCTTCATTGGAGCTGCCGCGAGAGACCCCACTTTCTCCAACCCTACGACGTCCGACCAGCCAACACAAACACAGTTGAGGAAGGAGCTCGACCCATTCATGACCAGGATCGGTATCAACAACACGTACGATGCCGGATTCAATGGCACTGAGTTCGATTCTTACACAGCTTCTACTCAGCCGAACGCAACGTACGACATGAACACCTTTGCTCCAAGCGGGAATATGGGCGAGTGGTTCTCAGAAGATCAACTGATCACAACGTTACTAGGCAACGACTTCAACTTTATGGATCCAAACGCAGCGCCTATGATGAACAATGGCGGGCAATTCATGTGAAGCTTACACGACCGAGTCGCTGTTACTGGCTCGTGGTAATCTTCATACAATGACTCCGCTCAACAGTTCCTCAAAACATCTTGTTCACACCACTCCACTCTGGCTCCACAAGATGCGCCTTGTACATCACTCCAGGCCACGATGCCATCGGCGCCTTTTCTGGACGTCTCTTAGCTTGCTCTACCACTACATCGCCAAGGACTTTCTCGATCTCGGCTCTTGCCAGCTCTTTCTCCAATTGCTCTCTCAACGGTACCAATACATCCCAGGCGGAGCTCTTGAGACCGAAGTCTGTAATCACAGCAACCCTGACCAGTTTCGATAACTCCCCGATTCTCTCCGCAATTTGGGGCGAGGTGTGGCACGCAATCGCGGTCCAGACATCGTGCTTGTCCATTTCGCTGATGTCGAAGCGGCTCAGATGCTTCACCGCCGCATCGCCTCCCTCTACCTCAAAACGTTGAGATCCATCATACTCGTCTGTTGTTCCAATGTCGTGGAAAAGACATGCAGTGAACAGGAGGTCGTGCTTCGTGAGGTTTGTCGCATAGATAGATCCAGAGTGTTCAGCAAGTGCTTTAGCGTACAGGTACACTCGCATACTATGGCTGAGTATTGATGGGGCTAATATACTTGAGGCATGGTCGAACGCGGCTTGGGAGACTGGACTTTGCGGGACGTTTTCGTTGTAGACTCGGCTCGAGGGCGCTGGTCCGCTTGTCGATGTAAGCTGAGATGGCGGGCACATGATGGGCTTATAAGAAATCAATCGTTCCAAGTAGTTTCAATGAGCAATTGCAGTAAGATGGCCAACAGATATGGAGTATTGCTGATGCAAGTCATGATCAAGGAATGATTGTTCGCTGTTTTATGACATCCTCCGCGCCTTATCGCTCAATCGGGCCAGACAAGGGCAAACTTCGGCAACTCTCTTTCCCTGCAACCTCCACATCCAAACTTCACGACGGCGCAAAAAAATTGCTGCGTGTTCACAAGTCCGCAATGGTAGTAAAAAGATGGTCACTACGAGGGTCGAACTCGCGACCTTGGCGTATCAAGGATGAAAGCTATTAGCACCACGCTCTAACCAACTGAGCTAAGCGACCTGTTTTATCATGTGATTGATGGAAGCACTAACTGTACAATATTTATATACTCAATTATCGTTTTGATTCATTGCTTTTTACCCTCACGGCATGGGCAGACTCTTGGCAAAAGCCCCCGCAATCTCCTCATTGCTCCATCCCACCGTGATCCCTAACTGCAACAAGATCCTTGCCTTTTGCGGGTTGTAGAAGCCACTCGAGATAATAAAGTCGCCGGAGCTGCTCGGTGGTACCATGCCATCTGTGCTCCTGTGCGAAGCAACAATCGGGATGCTGGTTGCGTTGTAAAGTTCCTCGGCCGCAAAGTTGGCCTTGCTTGACATACCACCCGCACCTACACCCGCGTAGACAATGCCCTCGGCACCAGCGGCGACGGATGCGTTGAAGAGCGCGGGATCCATGTCCTGGTGCGCGTACAGGATGTCGACTTGAGCGAGGTCGGTGACGTTGGATACGTCGAAGACGACGCGGCCCACTGGCTCGGAGGGCGCAAAGAAGAAGTACGGAACCTGGTTGACGAAGGTGCCAAGCTGGCCGGATTCAGTGCTGAAGAAAGTGTCGAGGCTATTGGCGTTGTTCTTCGTGGTGTAGAAGGCTGAGCCGATCCGGTCGTTGAGTACGATCATGGTGCCGCGGTCACGGCCAGCGGGTGAGCCGGCTAAGACGACGGCTTGGTACAAGTTGAGGGGTCCATCGGCGGACAGGGCAGTTGCTGGCCGCATGGCACCGACGCATACAACGGGCTTGGCCGAGTTGACGGTTGATTCGAGAAAGAAAGCCGTCTCTTCAAGTGTGTCTGTGCCGTGGGTGATCACAACACCGGAGATCTCGGGCTTTGCCAACTCTTCATTAATCATGTGTGCCAACTTCAGGCTGATGGTCTCATTGATGCTGCCAGATCCGACATTGGAGGTTTGGTAGCCGGCGATGTTGGAGATGTTAAGAAGCTCAGGGACCGCGTCGACTAATTGCTGGACACCGAGGCCGACTGAGTAGCCAGTAGTCTGAGTATTGCTAGAGCCTTGTGAGGCTATAGTGCCTCCTGTTGCGAAGATTGTGATATTTGGTAGTGATACATTGACAGGTGTCTGGATGTCCTGACGAACAAACAGCTTGTGCAGCCCCGACTTGGTCAGGTCGATGGGTGAGGCCAGGGCCAGGGAGGCGAAGAGTGGGAGAAGCTGTGTGAAGCTCTTCATCTTGATAGCTTGAGGAGTGAAGCCAGAGTGGTCTACAACTGATATCGTCGTAATATACAGCTCTTTATAGTTCCCAATACACGGCTCTTCTTACTCAGCCAGCTTGCCTGCCTTGCCCATTACCAAGGCCCTTATCTTGCACCATCGTGAACGGTCAGCAAGGTACCGTCAGCTTCCTGCTGTCACCACTGCCAAGTGAGTCCGTTGACACGCGAGATTCAGGTACTCAAGAGACGTTTATGTAAAGCCGCCGGGGAAACGTCGAGGCTGTACACCGTTATCTGATATCAGTGGAGAAGATAACCCACTTTGCAAGGGCGCTAGAACGTGAAGAGAAAGAGTGCCAAGTATAACCTAACCATTTCATGGGGGAACCCATGTCCCGGGGCCTTTGATGTGTAGATAGCGGTCAACTTTGCGGAGAAGTATGGTGGTCGTCGGAAAGTTCATGTCGGTCAGGTTGTGAGTGCAAATCCTTGGGTCCGATATGAGCCGAAAGGGTGGCTCTTCGTTGCGCCGAGAAGAGACGGAGATAGCTTGGCTGCATCTTCACGACTGCTTGTTAGCAACGTGGGATGCGACTGCTAAGCTTTCCTAATATGGTAGGCTACACACTTTGCGTCCGATGATGTACCTCTCGGGGTCCTTCGGGGAGCTGAAGATCCTGGGACCTACATATTGTCCGTTGAATCTGCCCTGTCTCTGATTTTCTACGAAAGCCTACAATACTCCTGTGTTAGCACCAGACTTGGAGCCGCTGACCGCTGACCCTTCCAGAACAACGCAGATCCAATTGATCGATTCGTATGAGCAAGTCCGCTGGTCAACAGTTTCACGAGCTTCACGTCGATAGGCCGAGTGGAATGGCTTGGGACGCGTGTATTTGGATGTGAATGAGCATTGAGGGGAGGCGGGGTTGTCGTCCCCTTTCAGTCAGAATGTCGTTTCTCACAATGGACCCTCGCCAAATAACAAACATTGCGCGCATCAAGTTCGAGCGTGTATCGAGTTCGATGAGTTGGATCGTGGTCGCCTGGTCAATTTGGTGGAAGACTGGCTTCGTAGCGCAACGAAGGCGTGCAGCAACTTGCAACGTCGGCGTCGACCGGCCGAACGACGTCATCGACCAACCAAATAGAGGGCTATCTGCGACAACACCTATACATTAGTGACGATGTAGCCAACATTGCCCTTGCTTCAGGGTCCAAAGCGTGAGAAACCAAAAACAAGAATCTTTCGATACTCAAACTGCCAGGGATCCATCATGGGAGACACCTCAATCGCTGCGAACAGGTCCGCCCTGAAGGACTTCCTCGCGTCGATCGCAACAATATCTGGAGACCTTTCGAACATCACGGCCCCTCCCTTCCTCTTGGCTGAGAACTCCACTGTCGAGATTCCGCAATACTGGTGTGATCATGCACATCTGTTCGTTCGACAAGCCTGGGGAGAGACCGAGGAGCAAAGAGCATTGAACGTGCTAGAGTCATTCATGGGTGCTCTTCGTAACCAACAATATGCTGGAAGGGACGAGGGTGAAGGAGTGAAGAAGCCATTGAACGCGTTCTTGGGCGAGCTGTTCCTAGGCAAGTGGGAAGATGAAGAGCTTGGAGAAACGAAACTTGTATCTGAACAGGTCAGCCACCACCCGCCCATTACGGCTTGCTACATCTGGAACGATAAGCACGGCGTCCGTGCGGAGGGCTTCACAGAGCAAGAGATCACTTTTTCTGGAAGCGTTAGCATAAAGCAGAAAGGCTACGCTATCTTACATATCGACGAGTATGACGAGGACTACCTAATGCCAGTCCCAAATGTCAAAGTCAAGGGAATATTGGGTGGCAGGCCGTATCCGGAACTCCAGGGCAGCTATTCGCTTATCTCGTCTACTGGGTATGTGTCGGAGATCAAGTTTGAAGGCAAGTCCTTCTTCGGCGGTGGTCAAAAGAATGGATTTGAGGCGAAGATGTTTCACGTCAGCCGTCCAGATGAGATCCTGTACGAGGCCAAAGGAACGTGGAATGGTGAATCTACATTTGAAGACGCGCGAACAGGGAAGGCGGTTCAGAAACTCGACTTCGCGACGCTCAAGTCATTACCATTGCAGATTGAGGACACAGCAGAGCAAGACCCATGGGAATCGCGAAGGGCGTGGGGCGACGTCATCGCAGCGCTCAAGCGAGGTGATATGAAGGCAGCTGCAGATGCGAAGTCAATAGTCGAACAGGGTCAGCGGCAGATGAGGAAAGACGAGATTGCCAATGGGACGAGTTGGAAGAACCGCTTCTTCAAATCCGTCGGACGTGATGAAGTTTTCGACACATTGTCAAAGCACGATACTAGCTCCTTCACCGTCGATCGCAAAGGTGGTATCTGGAAAGTAGACAAGGAAGCGATCCATACCGCACAAAAGCCTTATCATGGAGACCTGCTGCCGACGAACGAGCGAACGGGAGCGTCCGGAGGTCAACGAGACGCTGCTAGTGGAGGTCAAACACGGTCGCAAAGTGAGGCCACAGCGGCAGTTCCCACAAACGGTGTGTCTCAACAACAAAAATTTCAAGCATCTGGGGAAGAAGCGCCGACCCAGCACTCTATTGATCCTCTGGCGCAAGCAGATCTACCTGTGCGGCCAAGGACCGAACTACCGGACACAAGAGTCACCGAAACTCCAAAAGGCCCGACTGACGCCCAGGTCGAGGAGTTCCTCCGGAACAAGTACAGCGCAAGCCCACGATGAGCTCGAACTCTATTTCGACGTCTAGACCGTGCACTGAAAGATGTGAAGCGAAGGTTGTTCATGAGGTTGAATTAGTGATTGATTAATTATATGCCTAATGTACGCCTTTTCCAGATCCGGGTATCGTCGCAATGAAAGACTGTTCCAACGCTGTTTGGCGTACTGTGTCTCAGTGTACTGTGTTCTCATCTCTTTCGATGGTCCTTATGATTTCTGGTGATCAGAAAGATCGCCTTTCTGACTCCTGGACCACGTCCTTTTGCATCGTGATATGCCCTGACGGTACAGCGGGCACGGCATGCTCCTCGTCGAAGCTCTTACCGCCGGCTGACACTGTCCACGTACTGAAACCCTTCTCGCTTTTCTCGACTTGACTGTCGTCAACAAGGTCGTCCCTCAGGCGTATGGGCTGCAGGTTTCCCATACCGTAGTTTTCCTCCTTATCCCTCACTGTGCCCTTCTCGGTCCGCATCAAGATGCCAAAGTTGAACAAACTCTTCCTTTTCGACTCTTTGGCTGTGGATCGTCCACCGTACCATTGTGGTGTGTTCTTGCCACTCTCGCCCTGACCTGTTGTGTTGATGCCGAGGTGTGCCGCAATCTTTCGGTATAGTGGGCGGAGTGTTGCGAGACTACCGGCGGTGATCGCGAGACCTTGTTCGACGTCACTCCAGATAGCGATATCGAGGGTGGCCCATAGGAAGTCGGGGTTCTTGAAATCCATAACGTATGCCATGCGACACAGGACTGCAACACTTGCTACGCAAGCCATTCCCAGAATGGGAATCAGCAGGACCCTTGTCTTGACAGACATGTTCAGGTTCCATACAAGGAAGATGGGTAGGAGAGCGAATGTGAAGTCGCAAATAACGGAAACGGCGCTATAAAGAAATGTGAGGGCGATGATTACGTCGGCATCGACGCACCATCCCGTTTGTGACTTCTTGTCCCAGAAGTAGGAGAGCGGCGCGCACTGGAGGAGAGTGACGAAAAAGAAGACCAGTCCGGTCAAAACGGTGAGGCCCATGACGATATAGATGATCCATCGGTGGATAGGTTTGATCGTAACGCGTAGCAAGAACAGTCCGATAGAGGTTTTGACCGCGATCATGGCCCAGCAATAGGCAATGTAGCAATACCACCAGTACTTCGCTCAAGTCAGACACAGCCGCAAATTTAGTATACCAGCGTACTTACTCGCATAGCCTTCAAGACCCCTTCATCGCTCAGGTCTTTCATATGCCGACCAGTGCCATAGTGGATGCCACCGATTGCACAAGTTGCGAACATTATATGAAAGAGCTGTCCAAGTCAGTCTCCGACTCGTTCTTGGTAATGATTCGAACCAGCTTACAAGAGCCCACACCATAAAGAAGTCATCCCACCCAAAAGCCTTCACGATACGAGTTCGAACGTAGACTCGAAGCACCACTGAAATGAACGACAGCGACACCATCGTCGAACATACCGCCTGTAGCTCTGGCCCTCGGTTCTCAACCATGTTGGACAGTACGAAATGAATAGCACCGACGTGCGAACCTCAGTTCACCCCAGATTCTCAAGAAAATCAGGCGCAGTCCCGGAAGGAATACCAAAACGTTGAGTGTGAGAAACGTTCATGATCGATACGCGAGTCTCGACTCTGGATATACACGAGCAGGAACAGGGGCAAGGCGGCACAAGAGCCCTGTATACGCCAATGCCCAATGCTAAAAACGAAGCACGCCCGAGCGTGGGCACAGAGCTTTTGCTGCAACCTCGAAGGTGATGTACCGAGGAACACGAGTCGTTAGGAAGAAAGGGACCGGGTCTAACGTCCCTGCCGCTGGTGATCTTTACCGAGAAGTCGTTGACGTCTTGACAAATGAAAGCTGATCCCAAGACTTCAGCACTTGCCAGGGCTTGGAGAAGCCCCCGCGGATTCTGGATACCCGTGGAGCGAGTCGTCCCGCACGTCGATGATGGGGAAGACGCGTTGAGTTCGACCATCACGGGCGCTCGCGCGCGGAGGCGGCCGTGCCTGACGAGTTTTCGGTCCCAGAGAAAGTCCACACTTCATGCCCGTTGCCACGTCTTGATTGGACGCCGTCACGCAATTCACAGGCGAGTTTAAGATGGCGTAAACCGGCAGTTGAAAGGCTCAGTCGCATAGCGACAGGGACGGGAAGGACCCGCAAGCCATTCAGGAACCGTCGCGGAAGATCTTTAGACATGTTGGACTTCTGCCGCCTTGCGTGTTTTGACTGTTACGTACGAATGACTGGGTCCCTGGTCTGTTGCCTTGTGTTGATTGCACGCAAAAAGCGAGCCTGTTCAAGCACGGTATATGATCAACAGGCACTTCTAGTTGATGCGACTGAGGGTTGAAAAGTGACAAAAACATACAACAGCGGGTATTCGCTAGTGGTCACCCACCTAACTACTAATCCGCCGGTACGTTGCTTAAATAGGGCTGAGCGAACGGGAAGCCTTGTTTTCAACGTCCTATGGTCGTATGTGGAAAAAGTGCTTCTTTTCATAACATAGATTTGAGCAAATTGACAAGATGGCGCAAAAGTATTAACGGAAGCAAAAAGACAAAAACATACAACAGCGGGTATTTGCTAGTGGTCACCCACCTAACTACTAATCCGCCGGTACGTTGCTTAAATAGGGCTGAGCGAACGGGAAGCCTTGCTTTCAACGTCCTATGGTCGTATGTAGTAATTTTGCTTGGCATTATTGTAAATATCTCCAATAAATATTTGCACAGATTAGATCAGCATTCGCATGATCAATCACAATCTAGTCAGCACAATCTGGAACCCACTTGTTACACCCCTGCTCTTCAAGCACTTACTCTCTATCTGGTACGGTGCTGTTGCCCTATCCATCCTCAACGTCGCCTGCATTCTCATCATCTCCCTCTGGAGGTATGCACAGCAACTCTACCTGGAAATAATCCGCTTCTTCCTCACTTCTCTTCACCTCTTACGACACCTTCCTCATCGACCTCCCAATCATCGGCCACGACCATTGGGCCCCAGTTTGACAATACCGCCTCCAATGACGTCCCATGAGCAGGCAGGGATGACCCGTAGCAGCCGTATTCATAGAGCACGGACATGGCCGCTGCGTCCAATGGGGAAAGGTAGCAGCATGGTTACGGTATTGGTCATAACGTCAGGGGAGATGTACAGACCTGCACGGTCGTCCAGTAGTCTTCGATTGCGCACCCATCGATCTTCGTCGTCTCGAGAAACGAAAGGGACACCGTGTGTTTTCCAAGGGAAGAGCAGGAAATTTGCTGTGAGATGTCGCAATTGCAATGGATCCGTTGCTGCTGGGTAGTGCTGACCAAGCTGGAAGCCCACACGGTGGATGAACTCTTCATCTGGAACCTGAAGCTCTGGGGCAATCATGTTTCCTTGCTCGAGATAAGAACTCCCTTGCGAATAATGGGATCGGTTGGTAGCGATCGAGGACGAACAGAGGAATCAAGACTTCGTCCGTTTCTGTTGTCGGTGAGCCAGGCATCCTAGAAGCGATGCTGTCGACGACTTGGTTCCAGAGATCCAACGTGTTTTCCATTTCGAATGGAATATAGCCTTGGTACCGCCAACCTTGAATAGACATTGTATCTCCCCAACTTCCGAGCTGAGGAGAGGTGTCGACGAAGAATTTCCCAGCATCAATGTAACTGAGATGGCGCCTCAACGTGCCTTCAAAGGGGCCATAGCCAACTCCTCCCGGCTCATCCTCACTTGTCTCAAGAAAGGACACAGTGTGCTCATCGAGATACATAACAAGACCACCTGGATCTTCTCCATTGTTTCTGTATAATCGAACCATATCCTGGGAACATTTCCCAGATATAAGGCACCATCTCAGAGGGGCTAGAAACACCGACCAGAAACGGCGTGAAGGCTACGCGACGGCCATGACTGCGGGGCTTGACAATGTCGATACCGGACAAGAACTCTTTGAGGGGCACCGTCAGCTGAACAGGAAGGCCAGGATTCGATGCCTTGACGTTGTACGCAGTGAACCAGTTCCTGATAATGGTGAGTTGCAAATCCTCGGAAAGCTGAGCGATGGCACGTGAAACAACAGTGTTGTGCAGTGAAATACACCGCGCAACGTCGAAAGACATGACGAGTAACGAGGTGAGAGACGCACGACTCTTCAGAGGTTGAGGTGGGGTTCCAGTACTTTTGTACACACTCACTTTCCGGATACAGCGTCCGTGCACGCGATCACCACCATTTAAGGCAGGAATGAGGTTATTGAGCCACACACAAAACGTTTTATCGTGAGATTTCTGGTGGAGTACTCTGTAGACCTATGCGATAAAATCTGCCTACTCATATTTGCGCGGTACCTTGGTGTTGCGGCCAATTCGTGTGGTTCTTGTCCGGATAATTGGGGAGGGAGCTGTGGGTGTTCTATGAGCGGACCAGCTCAATATCTTTGTAAAGCAGTCCTTCATTGGTTTGATACCACGCATTCTGACTCAACAACTTCTCTAGGCCGGATGCCCACAAAAAGTAGAAGCTGGATAGCAAAAGCCATCTGATTACATATGCGGGGGTGTAGATGCTTGTACTCATTGCTGGCAAAGAGGAACCTGATGATGTCTTTGGCAACTTTGATAGGTACAAGCGGCTTTGGGCGAGCAGTGGTTGATAGGAGACCTTGTGGGATGAGATCCTTCATGACAAAGCTGACAATCTCCTGATTCTGGAATGGTGTGTATTGGTAACGTGTGTGGATCTTGATGGCACGCTTAAGACTATTTGAGCGGTTAAGAAGGGTCGTACCTGTAACACATTCCTCCAAGAGCCTGGTGCGGGATTGAGCGAACCACTCCAGAAAAAGCTTGATCTGAAAGGTTGTGGGTGCTTCTTCAAAACGCTGCTCAGCCATCGGCTTCTCTAGGACACTCTCTGAAAAACTTAGCAAGGGGTTAGCTATTGTTTGTCCACTCGCAGCACTTAGCTCACCTTGGCCATTGTTCCATCGTAAATTTGAACAAATCATGACTAGAATTTATCAGAGCCTTCTTGATATCTTCAGAGCTGAGAGGCTGTGGCGCTATCTCTTGTCGAGCGCGCTTCTTGAATTCCTCGAGATTAATCGTTCTACCCGCTTTCCTCTTGGTCATGTCTGTGAAGGAGTCGGGTGTTGTTCAGTTCTTGCTATTGCGCAGCTCGTCGTTGTTCGATGCTAAGGCGGCCGGCGGGGAGCGGACAAGGATGTGCGAGAAGGCGCGTGCCAACGGAGGGTAGTCAATAGCATGTCGGAGGTCAGCATGTTGTGTTTTTTCACAGACCAAATTCTTGCTTCCAGTTTGGTGTTTATGTCGTGAAGCTCACGAAGGAGCAAATTGATCCAAATAGAGCGGGGTTCCCGAAAACAGGAAGGCGCACAACGGCGTACTCAAAACAGTACCACGACAGACGGCGACCCGGGCAGGAGAACTTGTTTTCAATGTCCTATGGTCGTATGTGAAATTACACTTTATTTAACTGTAAATATGCCCCTACCCATCCAATTGACATGCCACCACAAGCTCGTAACACCTAGACCCTCCCAACAGCAGTATCCCGCCGAACACATCTGAAGAAGGGGCGCAGCACATTCGTCATCTTGTGATGGATGATTTGGCTCGTCATCAATCCTGCAAAACTGTCCAATGCGCGCCTCTATAGCAGCACTTGACGTACGAGTCCGCCAACCATCGCGTTGCGTGCTGTGCGACACGTTTGTCGCCCCGATTCCTGTCCTTCCCCTCTCTTTGAATGCAGCGAGTACATGCGCTTGTTTTGTGCCTGACAAGTCTCTCTTTCAGTCAATTTCCCTCCTTCGAAATCTTTCAACCGCCATCACTCCTCTCCAAGAACCCAGGGTCCCTCTCAATCTTGCCCTCAAACTTCGTCCACCACGCCTGAAACGCCTTAAGCGGAACTGTATCCCCACTCCCCCAGCTCGTCAAGAAATCATAGCAGTTCTTAATAATCCTCTGCGCAAGTACCTTCTGATTGACCGCACTTTGCCCTCTTACAACCAGCTCGTTCCCTGCTCCTGCACCAGCATTGGATGCGGCAACGTCCTGCGCTTTCTTCTGCTCCAGCGCACTCGCAACCTGAGCCGCAGGCTCGACACTTATACCCAACGCCAGCGGCGCAGCCACACCATTCGCCGCCCATTCATCTACCATGGCATCTTCATCGCCTAAACCACCGCCTGCAGCATTTCCATTTCTTACTTTGAAGATAGCGCTGGGTTTCTCGTTTGCGATTGCGCCAAGCAGCTTGAAGTCTGGTGTGCCGGGTAGTTGCGCGTAGACGGCGGCCGCGGTGCCGTCTGGCAGTGTTGTGCCCGGGAGCAGGAAGACAACGATGTGCGAAAATGAGGGTGTAGAGGGGATTTGGTATGCGACTTGTGTTGGCGAAATTATTTGCGCGTCGGTGAGGACGGGGCGCCCGGAGACGATGACGCCGAAGGATGACATTGTGGGGTCGTTTGTGTATACTTGTATGCGTTGCTGGTGGTTTCTGGTGCTATTGAGGTGCGCGTAGTTGCATGTTAGCTGCGAAACTGACGTCTGTAAGTAGCCGTGAAGATTCAAAGTACTCAAAGTTGAAGTAAGATGCTTGAAGCTTCGAGAGATTTCGAAGGGCTGCGGCGGCCCAAGCTTCACCCCACCTCCCGAGGCTGAAGTTCATTGCACTGAAAGCATGGCTGCATTAGAGCATTGCTGAACAGTGCTGCATGAAACGTAGTTCTAGAGCAGAAAGGCAGCGTTAAAAATAAGGGCCGTAGAAGTTGTGTGACTCGCCCTCATTAATGGCAAAGTGGTGACATATGCAGCAATTGAGAGTGTTGACTGGAGTAAGCAATGTCCTTTGATTATGCTATTTGTCTCTCCCCAATCGTTCCTCGTAGTCATCAATGAGTTCGTATGCTGGTCTAAACTTTGGTTTCGACGTGCCATTCGCCTGACTGGTTTGTGGGACTTGACTTGTCGAAGGCTGTCGTGCGAGCACCGGATTTGGATGCGTATCCGTAGTCCCACCCAAGGAGGTATATCCGAGGTCGTATAGAGAACAATATGGTATGTTCAAGTATCGTATGAACTGATTCAGTCAGAATAAATGCAACATGAAGACAGCCGAGAGCACTTACTGTCCAAATATCTACGTAGTGCCAGTCTATCACGGGGTGTACACGCACAAATGCTGGCCACCCCTTGTCCGTAGGATCGAAATGCTTCAAGTGTTCTCCATGGGGGTCTGTCCGCCGTGTCCCTACCAATATGGCCTTGACAGATGGTGTGTCGCGCAAATAGTCCGTAAATGCCTCCTTCATAGGCTTTGCATACTCGAGAAGGGACAGTGAGTATGTCTTGATACTCGTTGCCACAAACTCTTCTACCTCTTTGAAGGGGTGCTTATCCTGGATGTAGACACATTGTACGGCGGTTTCGATGTTCGAGGAGGTGGTCGAGGTGGTCGAGGATGTGAGACCGCGTTTATGTAGAGCACACAGGTACAATATCAACAGCACAAGGCAGTCTTTCCCGCCATTGTATGCAAGAGACAGCTCAGGCAAACTGGTATTGTTGTCAGTACTTCATTGACCATGCCACCATACCCCACATCGAGCAGTGTCACCTACCTATATTGATCCAATGCCTTCTCTATCACATCCAGCGCAGTCCTTGTCTGCTCCTGCACGCTCTTGACACGGCCCGAGACATCTCTGGCACCCAGGAACGCGTCTATGCGCTCATGTATCCGCGCGCATTGCTCCGGAAACGGCCGCGGGGTATTGGTGACGAGGGGCTCTTCAAATCCAAATGCTGTGTTGTTCATTGCAAGAGCTGCGCTAGACTCGACATGAGCTGCGGGAGTCTCTGCAATTACGAAAGGTAAAGTGGCGTCAATGCGGACACGGTTCAAGACATGACATTGATGCAGGTGTCCGTTCTGACAGGAGGCGCAGAGTGGAGGTGCATGTCTAATCGATAATCGGCTGTCGGTACATCTCAAAGCGGGAAGGCGCCACTGAGATCTCGGTGGCCACTCAGGCTTCAGAGGAACTTCAGGGCTGCAGGCCGCAACAATTCCCCGCGCATTGCAACCAGAGTTTACTAGAGTTTCCAGCACGTCAACATGTCATGAAAAAGCGTAGCCTCGTCACGAGCGAAACGGCAACGTGATCCAGCCGCAGTGATGACAGAGACTAACGGTAAATGACCAAAATATGAAGTCCTACTGGCTGAGGAAGCAGTGTGGAGGTACTCGAGGCCCTGGGAACATGCACTAAGAATGGCGTGCTCGACATCGGCATCTTTTTCGAAATTTGAGCCCATCAGTTGCCGCTGCCGTCAATGAGGACCATCGGCGACGACCCGATTTAAACTGTCTACTTCATCTCCTCTTCCCCATAGACAATCCCTCCACTGCTCTCAGACATCGTGTTGTTGCAGTCACAATGGGTTCCATTTCGACTGCTGGCGAGGCTGGTATGCCCCGCCCTTACCACCCCACCACTTTGTTGCACCCCGGCGATATCGGCTGCAATTGAGACTCTGGGGCAACATTACGAATGAACCAACGCTGACTCGTCACAGTCGCCCGCATCGCACATTTGGCCTCCGACGTGATTGTGTCGGTTGTGCCTTCATTGAAGGAGGATTCTGAGTTCTCTGAGGCATTGCGCACATTGCAGCAGAGCAATGCGCCTTCAGTTGTTGCTAAGCAGCGGCCAGAGGTATGTCGCCATTCAAACGACAAAAGTGACCATTGGCCTGACAATGTCTAGGTCCTTTCTGTTCGCCAGAATGCCGACCCTCTTCTCTCAGTTTTCCAGCCAATTCGTGCTGGTAAGCTCACCAGTGTCACCGCCGCCTCCTCGATCCTGGTGAAGTCGATACCACACCTCTACAAGCTCGCCCAGTACCCCGTCGTTCTCCATGTCTCCGTGCAGCCTGCCGGCTTCCCAGACTTCTCTGATATCACATCCATCAGGCAGTCTGGCTTCACATTCCTGCAGTCCGAGACTCTGCAGGAAGCACAGGACATTGCCCTGACTGCGCATGCTTTGGCTATCAAGTCAGGCAAGGGTGTCATTCACTTCTTCGATTCAAGCGCATCCGCTTTCAAAAAGTCAATCGCACAAGAAGATGCTCAGCTGCTCGGACGCGTTATTGACCTTGACGCCGCGGCGGCTTTCCAGCACACAAGGTCAGAGGAGACCTCACTCTACGCCGATGATGGCAGGAGCGCTACCGTCTCCTTCGCCCGCAGCCAGACATTGAACACAAACAATACAGAGGCGGCACCCCTGAGCTCCTCGGAGTTGCAATCTGTCCTGGTATCGGAGAGGAACAGCCAGCGCGCTGACTCCTCGTCTGGTTCATCACAGCGTGACACCAGCCAGAGCGGCGTCTCGGTCTCTTCCGCGACCACTGTTGAGTCGTTGATCTCGAAGCCTGTCTCATCTGAGGACATCTACCGATTTGCCTCCCAGATCTGGGAGACCATCAAGGAGTCCACCGGACGTGCCTATGATGCATTCTCTTACACTGGCGCTGGTAATGAGGAGGCCGCTATCTTCCTGTTCGGCGCCGACACTGGCATCTTCGCTACTGAGCTCGACTCTGCGGACGACTCGGAAGCTTATGCCAACGCCGGTCTCATCACAGCGAGGATGTACCGACCCTGGTTGGGCGCTTCTCTTGCCCCACTGCTCCCTAAGTCGATCAAGAAGATTGCAGTCCTGGAGCAGGTTCGTCGCAAGACCACCAAGTGGGGACCTGTCCTTTTGGACCTGTTGATGTCGCTAAAGTCGACTGGTGGCGCATCGCCTACCGTTGTTGGCTTCCAGCTGGGCTACATCGATGAGAAGACTGTTCAGCAAGCTCTGCGTGGTGTATGGCAGAACCTCACCAGCGAGTCGCCTCTCCAAAACCTCCAGATCGGTAACATCGACGGCCCAAAAGCTGAGCCGGCGAAGCTCCAGAAGCCTGCCCTCGAGAACGCCTACGTTAAGATTCTGGACCAGGTTTTCGGTGACAAGCTTCACGTCGCCAACCAGCTTGGCGCACAGAATGCTGGTATCTCTAACGAGATCTCAGCAAGCCCCGAGTACGGTTTCGGATCGCTCATCGCTCGCAAGGAGCACAGGAAGCGATTTGTCGACGAGGCTGCGGCTGCTTCCAAGAGTAACGATTTCATCACAAGTGCACCTAAGGAATGGCTGTCCAAGTGGGCACTTAGCGCAGACAGCGCTCTTGAGGCTAACAACCTTGCCCCTGAGGTTATTGCACGCTTGAGCACTGACGGCTCCGCCACTGCCAACAAGTTCCTCGAGTCCAAGAAGCTGTTCTACAAGGAGTCGCCCTGGTTGGTTGGCTCTGATGCTTGGGCATACGATCTCGGAAACTCTGGTGTTCACCACGTCTTGGAGTCTGGCGAGAACGTTAACATGCTCATCATCGACTCCACGCCTTACTCCGAGCGCGCCGCTGCCGACTCCGTACGCAGGAAGAAGGACATTGGTCTTTACGCCATGAACTTCGGTAACGCCTACGTTGCATCCGTTGCTGTATACAGCTCCTACACCCAGGTTCTCGAGGCTATGATTGAGGCCGATAAGTTCGACGGTCCCTCGGTTGTCCTCGCCTACCTACCATACGAGAAGGAGAACGATTCACCCCTGACCATCCTGCAAGAGACCAAGAAGGCTGTCGACCTTGGATACTGGCCGTTGTACCGCTGGGACCCCAAGGGTGACGAGAAGGGTGAGCCCAACTTTCAGCTTGACTCCGAGAGGATCAAGAAGGAGCTCGAGGAATTCCTTGCCCGGGACAGCTACATGTCCCAGGTTATGAAGAGGCACCCTCAGTTTGCCTCCAACGTTTCTGGTAACTTCGGTACTGAGGTTAGGCAGCTGCAGAAGCGCAAGGCCAAGGATGCTTACAGCCAGCTCCTTGACGGTCTCGCTGGTGACCCACTGACCGTCCTTTTCGCTTCCGACAACGGTAACGCCGAGAAGGTGTCAAAGCGACTGGGTAACCGTGGTAAGGCGCGAGGCCTCAAGACTATGGTCATGGCCATGGACGACTTCCCTCTCGAAGACTTGCCCAACGAGCAGAATGTCGTGTTCATCACCAGTGTCGCTGGTCAGGGTGAATTCCCTCAGAACGGACGCACAACCTGGGAAACCATCAAGGACTCCACTGACCTGGACCTCGCCACCGTCAACTTCTCCACATTCGGTCTCGGTGACAGCCACTACTGGCCCCGTAAGGAGGACAAGATCTACTACAACAAGCCCGCCAAGGACTTGCACGCCCGCCTCGTCACACTTGGTGGCAAGGAGCTCGCACCTGTCGGTCTTGGAGATGACCAGGATCCTGATGCGTACGAGACGGCTTACCAGGAGTGGGAACCCAAGCTCTGGCAATCGCTCGGTGTGGACAATGTCGAGGGTCTTCCTGAGGAGCCCCCGCCAATCACCAATGAGGACATGAAGGCTGCCTCGAACTACCTCCGTGGCACTATCGAGGAGGGTTTGGCCGACACATCCACTGGCGCCATCTCTGCCAGCGACCAGCAGCTCACCAAGTTCCACGGTACCTACATGCAGGACGACCGTGACCTTCGTGACGAGCGCAAGGCACAGGGCCTTGAGCCAGCATACTCGTTCATGATCCGATGCAGACTTCCTGGTGGTGTTGCTACCCCTAAGCAGTGGCTGCAGATGGACGAGATCAGCACCAAGCTCGGTAACGAGACTATGAAGCTGACCACCCGTCAAACCTTCCAATTCCATGGTGTTGTCAAGGGCAAGCTCAAGCCAGCCATGCAGGCCATCAACAAGTCTTTGATGACCACCATCGCTGCCTGCGGTGACGTTAACCGTAACGTGATGTGTAGTTCTCTCCCTACTCACTCCAGCTACCACGCTCAGGTCCACGCTGTATCCCGGAAGATCAGCGACCACCTTCTTCCCAAAACCAGCGCTTACCACGAGATCTGGCTTGAGGATGACGAGACAAAGGAGAAGCGTAAGGTCGCTGGCGAGGCTATTCAGGATCACGAGCCGCTCTACGGTCCTCTCTACCTGCCCAGGAAGTTCAAGGTCACCATCGCTATCCCACCTCACAACGACACCGATGTCTACGCTCACGACATCGGTCTAATCGCCATCAAGGGTGCCGACGGCAACCTCGTCGGTTTCAACGTTCTTGCTGGTGGTGGTATGGGTGTCACACACAACAACAAGAAGACATACCCCCGAACCGGAAGCATGTTCGGTTACGTTCCCACAGAGCAGGCTCACATTGTTTGCGAGAAGATCATGCTGGTGCAGCGCGACCACGGTGACCGCAAGAACAGGAAGCACGCTCGTCTAAAGTACACTGTCGACGACATGGGTGTCGATGTCTTCCGTCGCAAGGTTGAGGAGCTGTGGGGCCAGAAGTTCGCTGACCCTGCGCCCTTCAAGTTCGACAGCAATGTCGACACATTCGGATGGCAGAAGGATGAGAAGGGTCTCAACCACTTCACTCTCTTCGTTGAGAACGGTCGCATTGAGGACACTGCTGAGTTCCCCATGAAGACCGGTCTGATCGAGGTTGCCAAGGCACACAAGGGAGAATTCAGGTTGACTGGTAACCAGCACTTGATCCTGTCCAATGTTCACGACGATGACCTCGCGGCGATGAAGGAGCTCCTCAAGAAGTGGAAGCTTGACAACATCCACTTCTCTGGCATGAGGCTGTCAAGTTCCGCTTGTGTTGCTTTCCCCACTTGCGGTCTTGCCATGGCTGAGTCCGAACGTTACCTTCCCGTCCTGATCTCCAAGCTCGAGGGCACCCTTGAGGAGGCCGGTCTGCGTCAAGACAGCATCGTTATGCGTATGACTGGTTGCCCTAACGGTTGCGCGCGTCCTTGGCTTGCTGAGGTTGCGTTTGTTGGTAAGGCTTACGGCGCATATAACATGTACCTTGGTGGTGGCTACCATGGTCAGCGCTTGAACAAGCTGTACAGGAGTTCGATTAAGGAAGACGAGATCCTTGAGATCATGCAGCCGATGATCAAGCACTACGCTAAGGAGAGGAATGAGGGCGAGCACTTCGGTGACTTCGTCATTAGGAAGGGTTACGTCAACGAGACCACGCACGGAACCAACTTCCACGAGAACGTAAGTTATCACAACATCTCCATCCTACAAGCATAAGCTAACAATATCCCAGACTGCGGAAGATGAATCTGATGGCGAGTAAATGGTTCAGCTGATCAAGGGTTACGATTGACGGTTTCATATAGTTGCATATGACTGCTTTGGGTAGGACCAGGTCATACATTGGCGTTGTGCAAGCGTTTGTAGTTCATACTAAGATTCGTAAAATAATCAGAATATATCACTTTCACGTTCAACCTCAATTCGTCACCCTACTCAACACTCTACGGACTCAGTCTATCAACCTTCCACTCCCCCTGGCCCCCCTCCTTCTCCACCCACTCATACCTAAACCGATCATGCAACCGACTTGGCCTGCCCTGCCAAAACTCCACAACCCCAGGAACCACCCTCAACCCACCCCAAAACTCCGGAACAGGAATCTTATCCTTCCCTTCAAACCGCTTCTCCACATCCTCCACTCGCTTCTCCAGCTCCTCCCTTCCCTCCAGCACTTTACTCTGCTGGCTCGCCCACGCGCCAATCCTACTCCCCCGGATCCGCGTGTCGTAGTAGACCTGAGATTCGTCTGAAGTGAGACGCTCAACGCGCCCTTCGACCCTGACTTGGCGCTCGAGTTCGCGCCACCAAAAGGTCAGAGCGGCGTGTGGGTTGCTGGCTACATCGGCGGCTTTGCGCGAGGTGTCCCAGTTGGAATAGATTACGAAGCCGCGTGAGTCGAGCTCTTTCATGTAGACCATACGTGCGGATACTTTCCCAGACGGCAGGGAGGCCGTGCTGAAGGTTACGGTTTCAGGCTGGTAGACACCCGATTTGGAGGCCTCTTCGAACCAGGCGTGGAATTGATCGGTGGGTGAGGGGAGGAGGTCGGAGCGGTCGAGCGCGCCTTTGGTGTACTGGGTTGCGTGGCCGGGGTCTTCGGAGTTGGATGTTGGTGCGAAGATCTTCCTGGAGGAGTTGTTGGTTGGCACGGGCGTTGAGGCTGAGTGTAGCATTTTGGCGCAGTATTGTGTGGATGGCTTCAGGAGGATGCTGGAGGATGCAAAAGGTCTTGCAATTGAATCCCTGGAAAGCCACCGTGTGCTTCGAGCTAGCATACGTGACTTCAAAGGCTTGCTTTGAGATACGCGAGGTGGATGTTCGTTGATTGTATCGATCGCTTCAGGATGGCGTGACTAAGGAGGAAAAGTTATGGTGGTGAGTCTTCACGATCGTGAGAAAGTGGGGTGACGTAATTATCTGCCATCTTCGAATTCAGGAACTAAATGCATACACGAATTTCACCACAACAACACTGCAAGTCAGTATGCACTTTCAATGTGTTACTACTTGCAAGGGAATTGTAACGTGTGCAATGCTCTTGCCATGTGCGACCGGCGATGTGGCGTCATGACGCGATTACATTGGCCGGCGCGACACGCAACCCCGCTCATATGAACAAAGTTTTGAGAGGGCTGGATATCGCAGCGTGTGTCGCTTCCTCGACAGACTTGAGCCGAAGTTGAAAGTCCAATATTGATAAAGTCGCAACCATGGGTACCGCATCAATATCATACCAGTACGATCTAGGAACGTACCATTGTAAGGTCACAACCGCAAGTGCAGAGGCTCAGGTCTGGTTCGATAGAGGCCTCATTTGGAGCTATGCATTCCACCACGAAGAGTCAGCTCGCTGCTTCGAAAGGGCAATTACTGAAGATCCCGGTTGTGCGATGGCATACTGGGGCGTGAGTTTGAAACTGTAATTCCCATAGTGGACTGATATATGAGCTGACTTGAGTTAGCTTGCCTTCGCTCTAGGCCCAAACTACAACAAGCCGTGGGATCTCTTCGACGAAAAGGAGCTGAAGACAACTCTAGAGACGATCAAAAATGCACTCACAGAAGCTAAAGACCATGTACTGGATTCAACAGAGCTTGAAGAGGCACTCATCGAGGCGATCCAGTCTCGCGTGCCAAAGGGGCTCAAGGAGCATGACTTCAAGGCGTGTAACGAGGCTTACGCAAAGGCCATGGAGTCGGTGTATGAGAAGTTCTCTGATGACCTCGATGTTACAGCTTTGTTCGCCGACTCTGTGATGAACCTTTCCGCATGGGATCTTTGGGACCTGAAAACTGGTGAGCCGACTCCTGGATCCCGCTCGTTGGAGGTCAAAGGCTTCCTCGAGAAGGCACTCGAGCAGGACGATGTGTACAAGCACCCGGGAATTCTCCACCTGTACATCCACCTTATGGAGATGAGTTCGACGCCGGAAGCCGCACTGGTTGCCGCAGACCATCTTCGCAACCTCATCCCTGATGCGGGTCATCTGGTCCACATGCCGAGTCACCTTGACATACTCATAGGGGACTATCGACGAGCCATAGCCTCGAATGCTGATGCCTGTCTGGCTGACGAGAAGTACCACAACGAGCATGGGGGAGACAATTTCTACTCTTTCTATCGTATGCACGACTACCACTCGCTGATCTATGCCGCAATGTTCGCCGGTCAGTCGAAGGTCGCTCTAGAAGCGGTGAGCCGGATGGAACGATCACTACCGGCATCTCTCCTCAACATTGAGAGTCCACCCATGGCAGACTGGCTCGAGAACTTCTCCTCAGTGCGTGTTCACGTCCTGGTCCGTTTTGGTCTTTGGCAAAACCTGCTTTCATTACCCTACCCAAAAGATAGGGACCTTTACTGCGTGACGATCGCAATGATACATTATGGAAAAGGTGTGGCACATGCCGCGACCGGAGACGTTGACAAGGCTCTGAAAGAACGTGCCGCTCTCAAAGAGGCCGTGAAACGGATTCCGTCGTCCCGCATCTGTGGTGACTTCCCGAACCGGTCAAACGTGGTTCTTCAGGTCGGCGAGGCAATGCTCGATGGGGAGATAGCCTATCGGCAGGGCAATTATGACGTCGCGTTTAGCCACCTCGAGGAAGCGATCAAGCGCGACGATGCTCTCACTTATGCGGAACCCTGGCCATGGATGCAGCCAACGCGGCACGCGTATGCTGCACTCCTGATGGAACAGGGCAGGGTCGAAGATGCGGCTGCCGCGTACAAGGCGGATCTAGGGTTCGATGACACCTTACCCAGGGCAAGACAGCATCCCAACAATGTCTGGGCTCTGCATGGATACCACGAGTGTCTTGTCAGACTTAAACGGGACGAAGAAGCGGAGATAGTACGTCAACAACTCCGGGTAGCTCAAGCTGTGGCGGATGTCACTGTTCAGGCAAGCTGCTACTGTCGCAACTCTGGGAGTGCCTGAAAACAGTTTTCTGAGGGCTGCTCAACGGTCATGAATTTACAGCTGTACGCTGCCGGAGTGGCTGTTCGACTCGCGTATTTGTGTTAGTTGTTTGAGGTTTATAAGCCACGCCTATCCCTCAGTCTACGACATTGTCATGCTTCGAGATTGTATGGCGAACATTGTCATTAGGAAAAGCAATTCTGGCGTGTTGATGTCCAGCTATATCAGATCTGATATATCTGACTTCTAGCCTCTGAATAAACTTTGAGCGACACTGTCACTTTCATCAATCCGCTTCCGCATATGAGTGGCGCAACTCTCGAGTCAAGCGGGTCAAGTTCCGTACCAATGGAAATGCCTCCGGACTTGGATGGTCTCGAGATCCGTATTTTCCCACATGGACATAAGCCATGGTGTTTGGTTTTCACCAGTACCCACCTGCCTTGTCCTGCACGTACTAGCTGATTCGCTTAATCCTTTGGGGCGGACATCCGTTGCCCAAACGGTGTGCCTTTGCGACCGCTGTCGGACTGCCAGCTGGAGCGCTACAGACGGCACGCGAAAGGTCACTATCGCGCTTTCTCAAGTGCGGAAGGTATGCTTGTTTCAGAGTGACACGCGGTCGTCTCTGCAGTGGCTGGCAGCGGCGTTGCAAGAAAGGTCATTGAATTTTTGTGATCTTATGTACCGCCTCACAACATTGAAGAAGTAGCAGCGACGGAGTCTTTGAACTAAAGAAAAAATACTGCTACATGCAAAGAAAACTCAGCGATCTGTCGTCATTGGCGCCATTTAAAAGCGCGAACTACGACGCCGATGGCCAATCGCCTATCGAGAGACCCAGGAGCTGTCTTACCATGTGGCAGAGTGGGCCTCGCTCTTGCTCGTGTGGTGCGACGTCAACTTCTCGAGGTGGGCGAAACCAATTTCTCGAGATCCGCCGTCTCGTTAGATGGTTCACAAATGCGGCCCTTCTCACAACCCCCTTCGCGAGTAGACAATGAATCTCAGGACTTGGCCGCTGACCAAAGCGAAAGCTCTGATCTCCAAACGAATCGAAATTTCCCTCAACCGAATCGTGCAACATATCTTGTCGGTCGGACCACTCTCGATGGCGATGCTAGCAGCATGATTGGTTCTACCGATCTCTGGAGCGCAGCGTATCGCGAAGCTGTCGAAAGCCATGGGCACGACATTGACATGGCTGTTCTTGTGGGCAACAGCACTGCAAACTTATTTGCAGAACAACTTGAGCGGCTGGACAAAGACAGTGATTGTGCACATATACAAGAACTCGGCTAGGCCCTACCAGCATCAACATCAATAGCACACAACCGCTCTCCAGTATGACAGTCAAATCCTGGAGTCCTCGCTGAGTTTTTCCAGGATCTTCGTGCATTGCGCTCAGCCGATACGTTAACACCAAGATGTGACATTCACGCTTCTTGGACAAGTCAGAAGATGGTCTCAAATCAGTAATCGATCTCTCGAAGAGCTCGACAGTGGTACATGGTGTCTGCCAGCTCATAAACCGTGACACTGACAGTTTTAAGAAGCTTCTAGAAACGCTTTGTCGCTCAGCGACTAGCTAAACTCCCTTTGCCTCAGCGCATGCGAGATGTCCAAGACAGCCAGTATACGTCCAACTACTAGATCCTCTAGGAATTTTCAGGATTCTTTGAGCATCTCAACATGGAGTAAGCCGCCATTGATCTTATCCTGCCTCGCTGTCGAAAGCAAGGGCCACAGCCACTTGAAGATCCAGGCCATGGTTCCTACCCAGATCTTCCCACTAACTTGAGCTTCCACAGCATCAATGATCTGCTCAGCAGCCTTGGTAGAAGAAATAGCGGCGTCGTATCGTTCCTCGATATCCTTGCGATATCGACTGGAGATGCCATCGTACCACTTCGAGAAATAGAGCGAGCGTTGCTCCTTGGGAAGATCAAGGGGAAACGGATTCTCTGCTCGAAGCATCGCTGTCATAACCATAGCTACAGTTGATATCAGCTGATATCCTAAGGGATAGAAGTGAAAGTGCGGGGTCGGGACTAGAAACAACATACCCAGCTCGACCGTTATTACTTTCAGTCCCAGCGGAGCCGTTTCGCGTCGCAGCACGTCACTCAATGCCTGGAAGGCCGCCTGCTCCCGTTGTTATCAGTGTCGGATTTGTCGGATGATAAGCACGTGGATACGTGAGCGTAGTGACTGACCTTGCTACTCGCGTACACACCATGGAATGGTAGGCCGCACACACCAACACTGCCAATATTCACCACGCTGCCGCCACAACGCACGAGAGCATCCGCTAGCGCTTGGACAAGCATCAACGGGCCAAGAACGTTGATTCTGTACATTTCAAGGAATTGGTCGGGATCGGTGTCGAGGAGTGGTCCAAGACCTTCCACTGCGGCCTATTTTTTATGAACAAAGCAATCTTGCACGGCTAAGAAGGAACTGACGTTGTTTACAAGTAGATCCAGATGGTCGCCAACGGCCTTTGCAGCAGCCTCAATATCTGTGGTTTTCGTTACGTTAAGGGATAAGACCTGTCTGATAGTTACTCAGGCACGAATTGGATCGGAGGTGGTATGGACTTGCCTCGCAACCCGACTTGTGAAGGTCAGTCATGCTACTCGCCTCGATCGAAGTCGCATATACCTTCCAGTTCCTCTTAAGGAGTGTGAGAGCCATAGCTGCTCCGAGAGATGTTGGGCTGGAGCATCCCGTGATGAGGGCGACCTTCTGCCTAGACATGGTGCTTCTCGTACGGCGTCTGAGGCTTGAGATGTAGGGAGAGAAGAGCAAAGTTTGGGTGTTATCGCGCAGTTTGAAGATTGTTGCAAATCGTGCTCTGCATGGGATCGCTGTATCGCCTGGCTCAAGCACAGCCCCTGATACGAGGCCTTACAGATAGCCTGTGTTTCTTGCAGACCTCGGAGACCATATGGCTCATAGCTAAGGTCAGCGCTTGCCTTGTTACGCTGCTCAGCCCCCAATTACTTAGAGGCGGACAAATCTGATGTTCTCGAGTTTGGCCGGAACTAGTCCGGCTCGTGCGTGCGGGGACTAGTCATCAATTGACAAACCCTCATTAGGGCAATTGGTGCAGGAACTGGATACTTCAGGAGGACAGAGACTCTTCACATGGTATGAAGACGTGTAACAACATTGCACAAAACCTTAGAGATGCCTCATGGATTCCGCGTTTCATTCATCCTGCACAATCTCCTGATCTCAACCCTTTGGAAGACATATGGTTGCTGTTAAAACAGAAAGTCAAGAAGAGGATAAAGTGGCCAAGGAGAGGTCAATGGCCTTGGGATGGGACTAAAAGAATGCTCAAGAATCTCCTTACAAAGGCTTGGGATGCTATTACTATGGAACAGATTAGGAGAAGAATCAAAGAGATGCCAGAAAGGTCCAAGAAGATGAGTGTCACGGGCACCCCTGCGCCAGGCGCGCGGACCGGCGCTGGATCAGCATGAAGAGTACCATGGTGGAGCTGTCTTTTGGTCACCTTGTGCGCGGAAGGAGGCAGAGGTGTGCTATGAGGTATTCAAGAGACTTGAGCATGAGGAAGCACTTGCAAAGGCCAACAAGAAAGAGCTACAGGCTCAAACAAAGCTACTTAATGAGAAACTCAAGGAGGAGCGACGTGTAAAGCAAGAGGCAGCCAAGTTAGTGCGCAAGAGGGCAGCTGCAAAGAAGGCCACACAAGTTGTTGAGCACAAGGCGGAACAACAGCACCAAAAGGAAGCTTGCAACACTCCAAAAGCTATACAAAAGCCCCAATTAGGCAAGCGCAAAGCCTCACAGCAACAAGCAGCAAAAAAGCTAAAGAAATATGGTAGTGCGGCTGCCTGTAGTAGTGTGTCGCTGTGGCCGCACCTCCACACTTCCAGCACGTGATGTATAAGCAAAGTTGCTCAGTTAGGTCTATAGATCCCTCCACCAAAAAGCCTTGTAGTATTTGCATTTGTATGTGTGTCACGGGTATATACTGTTCAGCTCCCAGTCCTGCTATCTACAGCAGTACTCTTGTGAGGCACACAGCTCAGCTCCACTGTGCTACACTGACCAAAAAGGTACAGTACTGCTGTAGATAGCAGGACTGGGAGCTGAACAGTATATACCCGTGACAACGTGGCTCTACATCTTCATTTTTGTAAACTGCGTAAGGTGGTTGGGCGGGCGTTGCGCGACGCCGGGCGGCACGTGCGCGAACACGGTACTTGCGGGGCCAGTGGTAGGCGGACTGTATGCGGATGCCGATGATAGCGATGATGCCGATGATGCCGACAGGTCGGCGCACGAGATATGGTGTGAGTTGACGACATCAAGTGCGTTGTCAGGCTAGAAGTGATTGCTGGGCTTGCCAGGTACGCTGAACAATGGACGTGGAATTGCGAGTTTCGAGCTTGTCCATTGTATATTTTGTAGGCCTGAAATACTACTGCGAAGCATGTGTGAGATACACGGAAGGCATTGTATAAGACTGTATGTAGTCCTTGTTTGAATCAGAAGGACGCAACCGTGCAGACTCGACAAGCTGTACCCTCCACTCTGGTGCCAACGCTGCACATTGTTGAGAGTACCGGTGATCCCCCAGTCCTCTGCTGTGCGGTTGATGGAGTCTGACACTAGCAGGTTCAGGGCTAGTTGCGGAAGGACTATAGCAACAGCGCCTACAAAGAACTGCTGCTCTACTACCCTTCTGCAGCTACCTTGGTCCTGGCAGAATCAGAGTTCATCAGCCACTCAGCTGAAGACTGCAGCATGATTGGCACCTTCAACGACATGCAGCGTTCGCGCGTGAGCAGGTTGACAACTCTTGTCCCATGTCTCATAGCATCACTTGAACAATCCATTCCAAACTCCCTACCAATACTGTCTTTATCCCAAATTGAACTCCGACGCCATACCCGCATGCCTCATAAACTTCTCCCTCGCCCTAACCGCCTTCCTCATCTTCGCGCTCTCCTCCTCATCCGCGCCCAGCGGCAAATCCAGATCCTGAATCCCCTTCTTCGGAGGCACTTTGTCCGCCTTGCGACTCGCGCCATCGACCTTTGGCGCACCGCGGACCTTGGCCGGGCGCTTGTCTTCGCGGCCAGCGCCAGTGCGCAGACCGGGGACTTTCATGCCGCTGGGGCGTTCGCGGAGCGCAAAGGCTTTGGCGAGGTGGCCCAAGTGCAGTGATTTGATGTCGAAGTAGACGCGCTCGTCGGCGATGTGGGTGGCGTAGGCGCGGATGTGGGATTGATAAGCTCTTCGCGCGGCTTCCAAGCGCTTCGGGTCTGCGAGGGCCCAGCGCTCGACAGCGAGTTGGAGGTCGGTGGCTTTCTCCATGTATGCGCCCTTCTCCACGATGCCAGTTGTGATCAGACCCTTGTTCAAGATGTCGTCAGCATCTTGACGGAGTAGATGCACGCCCACTTCGCTGTCTTTGCGGTCGGACTTGAGTATATCCACGTAGCCTTCTTCACAGCCGGGCTGGAGGAAGATGCAGGCGCGTCCGTCGCGACCGGCACGCGCCGTGCGACCGATGCGGTGAAGATGGTCGGAGCGCGCAAACGCAGGGTCGAACTCGATGACGAGGTCGACGTTGGGCAGATCAAGACCACGGGATGCTACATCTGTGGCGATGAGGACGGACGCTTCGTTGTTCTTGGTGAAGTGTGCGAGGGTGGATGTTCGGAGGGATTGCTGGAGAGAACCGTGAAGACGGTACGCTGTTACGGTGTGGGTCTTGGGGGAGAGGATGGGCGATTCAGCGTGTGTGACAACGAGCTTTGTAGGGTCGGATTGGGCGACGGCTTTTTTCTTCTCCTTCTTGTCTGATCCATCGGCCTCCTTTTCTGCTGCGTCTTCCTTGATGGCGTCTGGCTTGTCACCGTCGAGATTGCTCGTCAGCAAGTCGAAGTGGAAGTCGACTGAGTCTGCGCAGGATATGAAGACGATGGCTTTCATGACTGAACCTTTCCGTGCGAACGTGCGCTTCAGATAAGCCAATAAGGACACCAACCGCAGCTTGGGGGCCACCACAGCGTACGACTGCTTCAGTTGTGCTGGCGCATAGAAACCCTGATCGTCTCGTTCCTCGACTGCGTTCTTGTCTTTGTCGGCAGGATCTGCTTTGATGTGCACCGCGTCCTTTAAACTGATCTGGCCTAACCGCTCTACGTCCATCTTCATTGTCGCGGAACAGAGGACGGTCGTACGTTTCTCTGGGAGCCCTGGTATCGCTGACCTGCCCTCTTTGTGTGCGCGCATCCGCAAATTGAGCTGTCCGATAATCTTCTGCATGTCCTGCTCGAAACCAAGTTCCATCATGCGATCGCCTTCATCGAGAACCAGCCATCTGACGTTGCTTACATCCAGGGCTTCTGTATGCTCCAGATGGTCAACCAGTCGTCCCGGTGTGGCAACAAGTATGTTGATACCCTTCCGTAACCGCGCCTTCTCTGACTTCTTCTTCTCACCACCAATGACTGTGGTAGCGACGAGCCAGTGCGCACAACCTAGCAGCTTCTCGAGCACGAGCGCAATCTGCTTGCTCAGTTCTCGAGTCGGTGCCAGGATGACAGCAAACAGGCCCGAACTCCGCTGCACAGCCTCATCGCCCGCGTCCTTCCGCTTCTTCATGTTCGCTGACAACTCCATCAGTCTCTGCACAATCGGTAGCAGGTAGGCTAATGTCTTTCCGGAACCGGTCTCGGCCTGTATGAATGCGTCTGAGTCGTCTTTGACCAGCTGTGCAATTGCGGCCTTCTGGATAGCTGTCGGTGCCTTCATGCCCATCTTGTTGAGCATGTGTGTTGCGAGTGTCGGTGATATACCGAGTGACGTGAACGTCTCTAGCTCGCTGCTGAGCGGCGCGTTCGACGGCTCGATGGGCGCATCGTCTACAGTGCTTCGTTCGGCGGGCTGCGTCTTCGTTGTCGAGGCGGGGTTGTATGTGAACAGGGACGAGATGATCTGCTTGTTGCCCTTCTTTGGGGCCTCTTGCCTCTCTTGAAGCTGTTTCGGTGCGCCCGTTGTCGACTGTGGTCTGAAATCGCTTGGCGCTGTCCTCTCTGTGGTTCTTGGTTTGAAGTCTCCGCTCACACGCGCTCTCTTCACCGGCCGTTCGCCGTTGCCTGCAGGTTCAGGGCTCTTGGACACTCGTCTTGTTCGGGGACCCAACTCTGTGCGATTCACATCTGTACCCTTCCCCTCCTGCGCTTTCTTGGGTACCACCTCTCCATTCAGCCGTGCAGTGGCCTTGGTGTGCCAGTTCTGCGCCGCTTTCTTTGCCGTCAGGCGACTTCTCCATGAGCCGCCTTTTATGCTCGGCTTCGCAATGATACCGCTCTCGGGTATGGAGAAGTTGAGGAGCATGCCATCGTCGGCCATCTTTGCTCTTGTAGTCTGTCGTTGTTCTGCTCGCCGGCGGTGGGGTTCAGTCGGCGCATTCACCACCCGCGAACTTTTTAAGTGGGTCTTCCACGCTAGAGAGCCCGCAGGTGGAGCCGCGGGTGCACGTGATGCGTGATAGTACGACATCTACGCAGCAGAACAGAGACGTCTTTGCTCTTTTGAAGTCAATTGCGGAGATGGGCCTGTCAGACTTCTTCCATCCATCCGCCGCGAAAGGGCGACCCTTGCTTTGTAGCTTCCACGTCTTTGCGACTTGAACATAGTTGAGCAAGAGCCCCGACCTAGTGCACCTGCATCACTCCTCATGGCACACCTCCGCACTGCCGCTGGTAAACATCTCCACGAACAGCCACTCTCGAACCACGTGACTAATCTAGTGCAGCCCCCACGGCGCGCAGGTGTCTTAGTCGGAGCTTTGCGCCTTCTCCGCGCGCTTCCTTCGTCCCCAGTGGCATCCGCTGCCTGTCCGCGACTGCACCCCGCCGCAGCGCGTTCGCAGTCAACGACCTGACGCAGGTCTTCCACGATGTCGCGCCTTTGCGCAAGTTCCGGCGCGATCTGTTTCTCAACAACCGCACAGTGGGCCTCGTCCCTACCATGGGTGCGCTGCATGAGGGCCATATCTCGTTGGTCAGGAAGGCAGCAGAAGAGAACACAGACGTGTGGGTCACCATCTACGTGAACCCCACCCAGTTTGGTCTGAACGAGGACCTGGCCTCTTACCCGAAGACGTGGGAGACGGACATGGAAATGCTGCGGGACCTGGATAGAGGACTGGCGAGAGAGGGCAAGGGCCGAGTCTCCGCTGTCTTCGCCCCGAGCACCACCACCATGTACCCCACATCCCCGCCAGACAGCAGCATCCCGGGTGTGGGAAGCTTCATCGAGATGCGACCACTCGGACAGCTACTCGAGGGTGCCTCAAGACCGGTCTTCTTCCGAGGTGTAGCGACGGTGTGCATGAAGCTGTTCAATATCTGCACGCCAGATAGCGTGTATTTTGGCCAGAAGGACGCCCAGCAAACGGTCGTGATCAAAAAGTTGGTCAAGGACTTCCACCTGAACACAAAAGTCCGCATCTGCGATACCTCGCGGGAGCCAGACGGTCTGGCGCTGTCGTCGCGTAATGTGTATCTCGGTGCCCGCCGACGCAGGACAGGTATCGTACTGAACCAAGCATTGCGCAAGGCAGAGGCGCAATACAAAGCTGGCAAGCGGCTGCGCGGCGATATTCTCTGGCCTGCAGTGGACCATGGAGACCGAGTCCAGCATGAGCAAGAGAACCTGCAGCCAAGCAAGCGAGCACTGTTCCAGGTTGACTATATCAGTCTCGCAGATCCAGACACAATGGAAGAAGTTGAGAAGGTCGATGAGACAAAGGGTGCAATCTTGAGTGGTGCAGTAAAGATGATGCCCGTGGAAGAACCTCAGGAGGGCGAAGAGCTGGGTCTTGGGAGTGGCCAGGTTGCGGTTCGACTGATCGACAACATCGTTCTGCAGCCCACAAGATGATCGTCGAAACAATACAGCATGATCACACAGTCCTCTACCTCCGTTTGCCTCATCACATTCACACGTGCTAACACTCCTGGGTAGTCGCTTTGCTCACACTGACCACATTACACCGACACGACCTGCTCCATGCCGAAGACATACGCTGCAGCTTCCCGCAATTCGGAGTCGTGCGACGAATAGCAATGTCACACCCGCTGTGACTATTGCATGCATCCGCGCGTCAATAGACCCTCTCCAATCTTCGACCCTCCATTTTTAGATCCGACCCTGCATCGTAGCCAACATCATTGGTCGTGGGCCTCACATCTTCTGGTAATGAGGGGAAGCGGTACCAACGATAATACGGACATTTTAATGCAGCGTACCGCTGATCATGGCAGCGTCTTCTCTCGAACTGCGAGTCTTTTGCACATCGTTCATACCTACTCACCACCCTGGCTGGTTGGGTTGTGTCTACGAAAGCGATGGCCGGTGACGAGCAACCCGTCGTACACACGACTCTCGAGACCGACCGGCGTCCTTTCGAACCACCCTCAGAGCCCTCACAGCCATCGGACAAGCTCATCAACCCCAGAATTGAGGTCGAGCCAAGCACCTGGACGCCCTTCACCACGACCGTCGAAGTCATCCTCTCCGACAGCTCTGGCCTGCACACGACCCTCGAACAAGTCATCTTCTCCACGCCTCCACCTCAGCAGCAGCATGGGCTCGCAACTCCCCACCCTGTGGCACACATCTACGCACAACCCTCCCCTCTAAACCACCATCTCCACCCCTCCATAGACTCCCCCGGCATGACCACCCTCCTGGTCCTCGCCCCCCTCGCCAACACCCTGATCGACCACGCCCTAACCGCGACCACCACTCCAACCCCCAGCACCGGCACACTGACCAAACCCATCGCAAAAGCCCCGCACACATTCGTTACGATAACACGGCCGCACAACATCAGCTTCGCGCGCCCAACCCACATCGTGGAGGTGAATCCGCAGTGGCCGCAAGTCGGGACGATTGTCAGTGAGAGCGACATTCCTGAGAGGTGGCGCGAGACGTATGAGATGAGGGAGCTGAAGATTCAGTATGGTGCGCTTGGAGCGATTTGTGGGATTTTTGTACTGGGGGTGCTGGGGGTGATTGCGGTGGGGTGGTGGAAGTAAGTACCCTTATCCTTGTGAGGGGTTTTGAAAGTGAAATCCAGTGGGAGATGGCTAAGGGAGAGACAATTTGTTGGGGAATGAGTGCTAACGTGTGTGCAGGTGCTGGTGGCACGGTGAGTGTGTGTGCTCGAGGAGGAGGAACAAGGTGAACAAGCAGAGGTTTGACTGGTATGGATAGATACGGTTGTGTGTATCTTTTGTGCTGATGGGAATTTGCGGTTATGGGTATCTTGGGATGGAATTGGGACTGCAATGGGAACGGGACTACGATGGTGTATGTGACGGCAATGGGGACGGTAATGGGGACGGGCAATAGATGGTGGACAATGGGTAGTATACATTGCAGGCAATGAGAAAGAGCTAGGTTGGATAGCAGAGTGGTCAATGCACTGGGATCAGAGGATATGGGCACTTCTATTCGCGAGATGTCTACGGCCAATTCCAGATCTCGTTCCACCTCTCCCTGCCCATCTCGACTGGCCCGTCGAACTTGCCGAATCGTGGAGGTCCAGTGCCGGGCTCGGGGAGGCATATCCAGTCTCTTATGCACCCGGGCACTTCTTGCCTGCTATGACTGATACAAAGTAGCGCTTGGTGATCTTGCAGTCCAGGGACTACCAGATCTGCCTTTGTCTCTACGGGCCTGTGTCCAGCATCTGTGTAATGAAGCTCCATGGACTGACCGCGACTGAGGAACAGCAGACACTTATCTCTTGCCAGATCGTCCATGCCGCTGAATGCCTCATCCAGGATGACGATGTCAGGGTTCCGGATCATGGCGCGCAGGAAGAGGAGCACGCGTTGTGTGGAATACGAACTCTCGCCGAACAGAACATTCGACGCCCAATCAAGACTACCACCTGACGTCTCGCCGTCTTTGCGTAGGCGGTTGAGCTCAGGCTCGAACCAGCGTAAGCATGCCTCCACTCGCTGCGTTGCGTTTTCGTCGAGATGAGCTTTGACAATTGGCGTCTCGCTCCATGCAGACTCGAGTGCCCGTCGAAGAGTAAGATGCTTGGGGAAAAGCGCGTGGACCTCCGGCGAGGCGTGACCCATGCGAGCCTGGATCTCGAAGATTGTAATGCCAGGCACGCCAGGTTCAGGCAGACGCGACCGCTGGAAAAGCTTTACTGGTGCCGAGTATGTTTGTGGGTGGTCTGAAGTGACGAGACTGATAAGCGTAGTCTTTCCTGAGCCGTTGGCGCCGAAGATACCCCAGCGTTGTCCGCGGTGGACGTTCCAGTAGAGGCCATCTCTCTCTTCGCCGTTGACGTTCTGTTTCCACTCTCCAAGCACGGAGTTGGCGCCGTACTTGATGTTCACGCCTTGCATTTCAACGATGGGTTCACCGACTGGCACTTGAGTGTCGTCAACCTTCTTGTAGCCATCTCGACTTAGTGCATCTGACGGCCCCGAAGCATCGGCACCATTCGTCTCGAAGTCGCCTCGCTCGGACAAGTGATGACCTACCTCGCGTAGCTCTACGAGTTTGGGGTCAAGCTCACGGCTTGATGAAGTTGACTGAATTGACTTCTCAGCATCATCATACTGCTGCTTTAAGTACTGGAAGACTTCTTTCTTGGGCCCGAGTGAGTCAACTTTTCCGTCTTCACCAGCATAGACAATGTGCGTGATCCATTCGGGTATCACATCCTGAGGTCGCAGTGACAGTACGATCCTAGGCGAGTTTGCTTCGGCAAGGCGATGAAGAACTCGAGAAATGTGCTGTGTTACAACTGGATCCAGTCCGACTGACACTCTGTAAGCGAAGTTCATCGAAGAGTCAATGGGCGAGACATACTGAAGGGTGCGTCTAGGCACAGGACTTCTGGTCGTGTTAGGAGTGCCTTCCCAATCCTTGCTCTGCGACTCTGCCCATTACTGAGCATGTTGACAGGCTTGTCCAAGAATCTCTCCAACTCCAGATCCTTCATGACTTGTCTTGTGACCTCCTCGTCTACAGACTTGGCTTTCAACTCTTCCTCGCCAGGATTTAAAGTCACGATGCCAGTCAAGTACCGCTTCAGTGTGAAGTCACCCTCCTCTTTCAAGCTTTCGTAGCGAGCAGAGAGGTATGCGCCACCGAAAGCCTTGCGCTCAACATCGAATCCAACATACTCAATGGCCTGGTCGGGGTACCGTAACCTAGGATTCTTCTCTGTTATTTCCGGGGATAAGAGGTAGGGGTATGTCCGGGCTGTTGGTGGAAAACATAGAAATTGGCCCCGAAGAAGTTGAAGAAATGCAGTTCGGATGTTGGAGGATGGACTCAAGATAGCCCAATGTTGGTTCGGTGTCGAGAACGAAGGCAATGACAAACTCAGATCCGGAAACAGCGGCGGGTTGGGAGGCGCGTCCTGACCTGGAGCTGGCTTCGATTCTGGATGTTGGCGGTAGAACGTGCCATTGGCGATTTTGACGATCGGCTCTGAGTAGAGCCTACGTGAAGTATGGAGTCTCGCGCATCTTGAAGCGGCGAAGAACAGTGCTGTCATTCTTCGCATGTCGAGTGCAGTGACGTCTACTTTGATTCGCGCGTTCCTGCAGCATTGGGGAAGTCCGAGCGCCGACCGTTCCTCCGTGCCTAGCGCCTTGCTTTCTCAGGCCTCACGAACTCGAGACGTTTCACCACCTCTCAGCATCGCGTTTTGATGCAATCCTCCTTTGCCATCGTCGACTCTGTCGTACATTGGAACTGCACTCATCGTACAACGCCTTCATCGCTCTGTGCACAATCAGCGCGCACGAAGTCCTCCTGGTCGCCGTTGGACGCCTGTCTTCTGCACTGAATGGCACCAAGTCAAGCACTCTTTTGCTGAAAGGTCAACGACGTGCAACACTACGATGCCCGACCCGACATGAATTCCCAAGTCTGCTCTTTCGGCACTTGAAATTTCGTCAGGCAGCACGTAGTCTACGTCAGGCATGCAATGTTTCCAGATGGTGATCAAGCAGCTCGGCTACTGGAAGGACCCACCCCACTTGGCAACTCTCAAACGGCAATCTGCGCATTTGTTTCTGGACTTGTGCCTGACGACAAGCCTGTCAAACACGTCGATAGCGGATTGAGCGACGTGAGACTGCATAACATCTTGGCTATAACAACATGACAGACGCGTAGTCCATTGAACGCCGTACCATAGGTTCGCTGGTCAAGACCTCAGGCCTTGTCCTTGTTTGAGTATTATGGAGTCTACAAAGAGGAATGTCGGCGCAGGTCTGTATCAGGCTTTTCAGAGTAGTCCGCGGCCAGCGATGGATGCATAAAGGTGCTGGCTCACGCCATCAATTGCTTCAGGTACACCGAACCGATTTGCGCATCTCTTCTTTTCTGTCACTCTTTTGGGTTACTAGCCGTCGAGCGGCCTTCTATAATCTTTTCTTTCTTTGGCCGAGTCCACTGTTGAACGGTGCTCGCTCCTTAATCGTACTACAGGATACCCACCAGTTCTTTAAACTAATCAATTCGAATAACGATCAACTCAACTCATCATCATGAAGTCCTTCAGCCTCCTTCTATCCATCGCTACTGCGGCATCCGCACTCCCTCAGCTCAAACCACACCGCCGCGCCAACCAAATCATACCCGTAGTCGTCGGCGGTCCGCAAGACACATTCGTCCCCAACTCCGTCGTCGCTGCAGTCGGTGACATCGTGCAATTCCAGTTCAGCAATGGCAACCACACCGTAACCCAGTCCACCGCCGACACAGCATGTACACCGATGGAAGCCGGTGTACACAGCGGGCACATCCCATTCCAGGACGGGCAGACCGAAGTAGGGACGTTCAACATGCCGGTCACGAGCACGGATCCTATGTTCTTGTACTGTGCGACAGGCCCGCATTGCCAGGAGGGACAGGTCATGGTTATCAATCCGTATGCTCATCTTCACAACGTGAAACATGAAAGATCATTACTAACAATACACCAGTGCGAACGCCCAACAAGTTGCCGACTATGCCAAACTCTCCCAAGCAACAGAGAAGAGCACTGATGGTGGCGACCCTGTTGGTGGAACCGCAGGAAAGATCACGCTTGATCAAGCTGCGTTCACCCCAGCGCCTCCCGAGGATGCTGCTGGAGGAGCACCGCCTGCAGCCGCACCGCCCGCTGAAGCACCGGCTGAGGCACCAGCAGCTGGTAACGCGACATCACCTGCCGAGACATCTGCGTCCGAGAGCGCTGCGCCGCCCGCTGAGACTGCAGCTGCTGAAGGTGATCAACCTGCTGCTTCGAAGACCGCTGCCGGGGGTGAAGTGACCGCCTCTGCATCGCCAACATCATTCGTCTTCCTCGCGTAACGTCCTCTTCCTATAGTCCAACAGTCTGGTGCCTAGATTTCTTCGCGTTAGACACACAGATACAGCAATACTTACGATGCTATACAGAAGTATTCGTTCATATTTACACTCCTCACCTCATGTCTTACCATTTGATGCCGCCAGCCAAAAGCTAATGCTTCCTCATACTCTTGCTTGTCAATTTAACAGCATTTCCAGCGTTACCATCAGGGCCTTTATCAACGCTAGCTTATGAATATACTGCTACAGTCATGCCAGTACCTAGCTTTCGCCATACAGTTCTCTCCCAAGTAAAGGTACAGTTCTCTCCCAAGTAAAGGTACAGCGCTGCTTGTATTTTCGGAAAGACACAACGCCACTACTTAATATCTGTACATGTCCAGGTAAAAGTGACTTCGCAGCCCTCTTTAAGCCGACTGCTTAACAAGCTTCTTTCCTCCCACAAACCAACACGCTACAATGATGGAACCGCTATCGGCGCATGCGTATGTTCAAAACTCTGTTTTCGCAGTTGCAATATCACTAACTGATACTACAGGCGCTTCGAGCTCATACGCAGTATGCGTGGCCGCTTCCCCCGCAAAGTGTGCGACAGGGTCTACGATCACTTCCTGACTAGGGATACACTAGAAGACATGCCGTCAACAGTTCAGACGCAGCAATTCACCCGCGCTCTTCGTGCTCAAGATCCATGATTCCTGGTTCCAGGATTGTTTGACCGTACCATTATCTCCGAAATCGTCTTTCACTACTACAAGAAGGGCAAATACCCTCCTGTGCACAGTCCCGAACACTGCGATACGTTCCTTCGTCACGACTTTACGGTGCTGGTATCGTGGGCGAACACATCACTTCACCCCATCTAGAGATTCAGAACTTCAAAAGGACCTTGATGTGTGGAAACATCAACAAGTTCCAATCAACATGCCCCGATACCTTCAGAGCATTGTTGGAGCACAAGACCATATGAGAGCAGAGTGATCGCTTCACACCTCTCATTAGCGTGAAGCTCCAGAACATCTATCCACATAGGCGACGTGACCACGTATGTCAGACACACGGGTGCTTCGACCAGCTTGTCAAACAAGTAGAGCAACGAGGAGCGCACATGAGCTTTACTTGGAGCACTAGTGCACGGAACGGCAGCACTCTACGCGTAGATCTGAAACAGCACATCGAGGACTCCTGAGCGCTGGTCGATTAGAGGGATTACAGATGATGAAGCAGATATAGGTTGACCTGCAGACCCATTGGGCGGACAGTGTCAAGACTGACAGCAAGGAGAAGAGGAAGGCCAAATTGAAGCAGTCAGCTGCCGAGTGACATTGAGCATATGGTCATCAGTTTGACCTTGGCGAAATTGGCTTATACGAATCTGGATCCTGCCAATGGAGATGAAATGGCAAAATAGATCGTGACTTCGAATGTGCCGACATTGATATTATTCTATTGTCCATCATAATGCGTGTTGTCCAATAACGCTTTTATTCACCTTCTACCAGCCTCTATTCTGCCGCCCAACAAGCGCAGCCTCGTCATCACTGTAATCGCTCGGATCCCTCTTCGGTGTGTCTAAACCACCTTTCAGACTCTCACTCCCCTCAGTGACGCTTTCCAAGCTCCCTGTTCTGACCACTCCCCTCTCATCGACAGTGACGCCATCTTTCTTCGACGGGTCATAGCCTCCTGTGATCTCAACATTCGACCCTCTCCTCCCGCGTTCGAAGAACGGGTTCGGCTCGCTGCTAATGACGACTTCATGAGTCTTCTTGATCTCGTTGCCGGTAGGTGCGAAGCTGACGACACGATCGTGCTCTGCGCAGTGTGAAACGTCGCCTTTGTAGGAGAAGACGCTGGCAAGCTCGTGGTTGGATTCGCGACGTGATTTCTTCGGTACACCTGTGCCACCAGATTTGGCGCCGGACGTTGAGAAGTTGGAAGATCTGAAGTCGTTTGCAAGGGATGCGTTTCCGGGCTTGCGGGATGCGGAGATGGCGATGCGCTTGATCAGGTTGGCCATGGTCATTTCGATGTTCAACTTGACGAGGTATGCGAGAGGATGGAATTGGATGTAGCTAGTTCGTGTTAGCATGGTGTATCGCAGTGGTACAATGACAGAGGCAGAGCTTACACGAAAGAGTTTGGTATCGACATGGCTGCAATAATCATGACGTCCATGAGCAGAGAGATGGCAACGATACGCCGGTTGAAGCGAACAAGTCGGTTGTACTTGGTAAGACCATTGCTGATGAGGTTCGCCTCGACGGTCTTGAGGAAGTACCAGTTGAGCGCAGCATCGACAATCAGGTACAAGCATTTCTCGATACGGTCCCAATATTCATTGATGATGTGATATCTAGATATTGTTAGCGTCAAGTGAATATACAGATGGTTCTATATACTTATGACTAATCTGGAGGCGTGCTGGTATCCAAATATTGAAAACACTGATGTTGATCGCAGTGACGAACATAGCAGTTGCGATCATGATATGCCTCGAGAGCCTGCGGTCGGGTACGATAACACGGATTCGGTTGATGATGATTTGCAGCAATAACTGAACTTGAACACACCAGAAGAAAAGAATGGTGAAGTAAAACGCAAAACCTGATATTTGTCAGTAGACGTTCACACGAATAGAAAGGTTGTACGCACTCGGCCTGATATACTTGAGCAGGTGCAGGAAGCACTCAAAACCCATCGCGAACGAGATAACCAACTCCAACCATATCATCCAGATGTACACACTCCGCAGCGGGGAGCGTGAGACCTTCGATTGTCCCCAGGCAAGCCATATCGCGATGAGTACGTTGATCAAGGTCAGTCCCCAGACTATCGACGCAATGATAATGTCGGCTGTGGTGATGGGTTCATTCTTGTAGTTGGGTGAGATTAAAGGGCCCCAAGGTAAGAAGGATGGGTCGTCACGGAATTCATTGCTCATGGCTTGCGGCAACAAGATCGACTCGATGCGAACACACGTAGGGTTGTTAACGAACAAAAGAAAACATAGACCGACCGATTGTTGGAGAACGACAACGACAGGTGGTACCTATTCTTTTGATGTCTGAAGACCCAGAAAATAGAAACCCAAATGACGCTTCAGAAGAGGAGACGCCGAACCTGACAGACCCTCGAGTCAAGACAAGGTTCGTAGAATTGCTGCAATCGGTCCTGCAGCATGATCTAGTGCTATCATTTGTTGGCTGCTGCATATCCCGTTAGGTTCGGATGGCCAAGCACATCCGTGCCATGTCGTTTGACATGATCTTCCTGGAACGCATTCGAGACTAAGGTCTACCAAGGTTAGAGGATCGTGCTGAGTTGCATATGAAACCGGAAGGATCCTGGTGGGACGTTGATCGAATTCGCTTCTCCGCTCGCCTTGCCATGCGCACGACGCACACGATACCCACTTGACGCCACTTGATGTGCAAAAGATCCCGTATCTTCTAGGTTGCTGGTTCGTGGCAGTGCTCTACGCGCCTGCCAGTCGATCCACAATGAGCAAAAGACTTGCTTTGGAACTTCCGCGGTCTGCTAAAGGCCATCTGTCGCAGAGACCAAGACCCTCAAGGCCTGAGTGAACCTGGGCATGCAGGGGAATACGAAGCTTCCAAAAGACAGTGCCGGAGAGCCGCAGAGCCGCAGAGCCGCAGCTGGATATCCTTCCCGTAACCTCGTGGGCATCATGACCCTTCTCTCAATATGCGAAGAAGATTCGGTACATTATTCATAGTTGAATGTTATTCAGGCGTAGCTCGAAGGTGTGGCGAGTTCTCCGCACAACATGATTTGTTGAGAAATGTCCGGGCTGAACACTCCGACGGCAACCCTGAATCTTCGAAGTGAGGCGGGCCGAAAGGCAATCGACCTCCTGAGATGTCAAGGCCTCAAGTTTGATATCTTTTTGAGCAGTGCAGCGTTCGCTGCTGCCCGACGGTCGCCGATCATCTTGACCGCTGAAAAACCACAAGCGAACATGGGTTTTTAGCTGATGATACAGCAACAACTATAGGGCATCCCATCAGCGTTGCAATCTCTCCATGTTTTCCAAGTGCCCGGTTTTAAAGTCTGGCAAATGCCGGTACTAGCTATTAGTGAAGACGCCGTTCGCCTACGGGAGGGCTTCGGGCTGAGCGTCTGGGCACAAGCTAGGTTTGGTGCGCAGGGAACGACGTTGAAACGTTGCGCTGACGACGCTGTAGACATTGCGAGCTGCCGAGGCTGAACACCAACCTCTACTTGAATCATTAAAGGATTCGATGTTTAGCTCACGAAGGGATTGCTGGATCTATACAACGGCGAGGTCGAACTGAAGGATGCAATGCTTGCGCAAATCTGGAGGATGTTTCTGCAGTTGAGATCATTGGGAAGGAAGCCAACTGGCGGCCCATGCAGCGATCATCAAGATACGAGTTTTCAAGCAACACCGAAGCGCCGAAGCTGAGAACGACGCGGAAAGGAGACCATGGATAGGCAAATTGGTTCGCAGCCATTCGATGAAACTAAGGACTAAAGGAGGGAAGTTGACTCAAGTGTGGTTGGCATGTGAGATAAACTCAAAAGAAGGAGCGATACGAACACGCGCCATTCGGTCTTTCCGACGCATAGCAGGAACCCAACCTCGAAACAGGAATCCAAGCAGGAAGCCAAGTATGGAAGATGTGCTTCAGGGCATCTCTACTCGACTCGAGGTCCTTATGCTGGTTTGCCAGCCGTTCACATTTGGGCTTGACATGAGATCTTCCACCTCACATGCTTACAGAGACAATCTCAAGCAGGTCCTATTCACGAAACGGTACCAGTAGGTACCTAGGTATCTAGGTACAACGATTGAAACAACAATGTTCGGTCGGGCTGACATTTTGGGACCCATCGTCTTCTATAGTCCACTCGAAACTTTCCGCCAACTTAGACTACCCACATCGTTCCGAACGGAGCCACAACAAGATACAGAACTGAGGCAAGAAGCCTCAGATTCTGCACGCAGAAACAGACCAATCTTTGTATGAGTTACGCCACATCCGATGAGCTACTGAAGTTACATCATCAAATCAGATGGGTGCAGGCCTTCGAAGAACAGAAAGCGGTGTGAGGGTGAGGATGTCTAATAGCGGCTACACCACTGCCATCCTCAACTCCCACTGTCAATCTCACTACCACAATGGTGTTCTGACACTCATAGGATCTGCACCTCTCCAACTCGACCACTTCGCTAATGACCGCTCTCGTATGTGCACTTGTACCACTACTGCGCAACCTTGACATTTTGACTTTCCAGCTGTCGACATCCTCTCCTTCTCACATTGTCTCAGATCAGCCGTAGAACTATGTTTCAACAAATGTGGCCTACTCCATATAAGAACCGCTGAGACTTGAACATCCAAGCTGTCTGAATACAGACCTTCAGATACCAGGGAACAGTGTAGGTTTGAGAAACTAAGATTGAATTCGATCGAGTCAACAACACCGCCATCATCTTCTGATCTAGTCTGCCGAAGCTCACTTGCCTTCAGCAACCAACTGCTCAATCCTCAAACCCACATGCTCAAGTTTATCACCTCGACTCTCTGTTGTACTTCCATCTACATCACATCTTCCCTCCGCAACCACCGCCTCCTCACTCCCCAACCGCCCATGTCTCTGCTCCCTCCTCCCCCACATCCTCACAAAAGCCCTACAACTCGGCGCGCACACAGCCAAGATACTGCTCACAATCTCTACTAAAGCCCAGACATCAATCGTATGCGTAATGCTCGCCTTCGGCACACCCTGCACAAGCTTCAAGCACACGAACCTAACCAGCGCGGCAAGTATACTAACACCCCCCATCGCAAACACAAACAGCAGGCCTGCACGTTCCGTCCCGCCGAACTTGCTCGCTCGAGTCCACAAGGCGTGCATTGGGATGCTGAGTATGACAATGTCGGTCGTGATGTTTGCGATTGTGGAGATGGTAACGCTGTTGATAGAGTGTACGGCTGAACATAGCGGTTTACCGGGTGGTGGGGACCAGTTGGCGGATACGGGAGTGCACCAGAATGCTATGAGACCCATGTGCAGGAGAAATGTAAAGAATGTGAACACGCATGCTACCAGAAGCGCAAGTCTTATGCGTCGACCCTGCAGGCTGAAGATGGAATAGTAAAACGCTAAGAAGGCTGCTTTTGCGCTCCAAAGGCTGATGTATATGAAGAAAAGACTGATCCAAGAGACATAGAGCAGATGTCCGGATTGAGAAGGTGGGACACCGTAGTACAGTGTCTGTGGTGGGGAGGAGAGGTACTGCATGCGTGTGGTGTTTTTCCAGGTGTTGATGCAGATGAGGACGCAGCCGGATAGCCACGAGAGGACGATGAAGGTGTCGGACACGTTTGTTGCGGGGGAGTGGAGAGTTCGTGAACGGGCTCGGAGGGAGATACGAATCAGGATTGGGAGGAGGGCGAAGGCCATAAGGGTCCAGTCTAGGGCTATGAAGCCAGCTGTTGCTGTGTCAGTATATCTGAGAGCTTGGATCTGGAGTAGCTTACGGAGTGGCAGGTGAATGTCGCTGTAAGCCATATCTTCAAAAGGAACTGTACGTCTCTATGCTCTTGGTGATGTATTGGGCATTTTGCTGTCTCATTCTGCGACCTTTTGTATGCTCCAACAGTCCAGCTCTTCCAAGTCCGACCAGGTCTCCGCATCACGAATAGCTTTACAGCCCCATAAGGTTGCTGACTATTCACATATTCTATCTGAGCATACTCGCATACATGCAATCCTTTTGCTGCAGATGTAAAACCGATCTGGGAATCGTGTTACTATTTTGGTGCCGACTTTGCTTACGAGAATGGGGCGATGCTTCGTTTGGTACAAATCTGGCGCGTGGCGGCAGGGGTTCTTGCAGGTCGCTAGGCAAGACTGAATGGCGCTGAAGACCGATGTGCTGCTGACGTGCATCGAACTTTATGTTCGTCAAGGTAATTGGCGGATCGTCCTACAATTCTGCAATGGTTTCGGCGACAATAATGTCAGCGTCGAAGGTGGACGCAGGCACGCAGTAAGAGAAAATATGCTCACCGCCAAAAGTCCTTCGCAACATCACGCTTAGCCTGCAACAGCCCTGCTTGACTTAAAAAAGTAAATAAGCTAGATTGTAGAGGATTACACTGGCTTTCCCTCCTTCAAGAGAAAGTAAACACTAATGTTTTGTTGTTATTAAGTTATAGACGTGCGATCAGGAGGCAAGGTGTCAGTGTTCGCAGTTTTAATAAGGGAAAGTAGCTGTTTGCGGTGGGCTTATTTTCCCGCACCGCGTGGCAGGGTACCGTAATGAGGACGAATGAGGCTCGATGGACAACGTGATTGCATGTTTACATTCGATGATCCTCTCGCAGAGGTATATACAAGCTATGCACAATGTTAGTACTACAAGTAATGCTTAGATAGGTGCAGGCTAGATGGCGGCTTAGTTGGGCCTTAGCAGCATAGCAATGGCGGCTGCTGCGATGATCGCTCCTGCAGCGGCACCTTGCAATATAGCAGTTGTGAAGTCGACTCTCCGCATCGAGATGGGTCGATCGCTCACGATATCTTCCGCGATGACAGCAGCCTTGCTTTGCCATAATCCGAGCTTGGCCCAGATCTTGTCGCTTGTCGACAATGGCTCCCTCATTTCTTCCTCAATGTTGATGGTCTCTTGCGGCGAGGCCTGGACGTTCCCAGGCATCAACGGTGCGGCACCAGGGACTGCAGGGTCGACTGCAGGTTCCACAACCTCCTCGATGATGTTCCCGATCTGAGTGCCATCCTCGTCTGTAATATGTAACGGTACCTCTGTTCCTGCAGTTGGCGACTCATTGATGTTGGGTTCAGCGACGATAAGCGATGCAGCGTGTGCAGGTGTGCTTGTCGGTTCAGCGACCTTCTCCACCACCGCCTCCGGCTCTGCAGGCTTCTGCGCTGGAGCCGCTGGCGTAGCTGTGGCAACACTTGATGGTTCGGTAGCAGGATTGGCTGCGACGTATGCGGTCGCAAAGGTAGGAGCGGGTGCTGCCTCAGCAGTGACCTTCTGTGCTTCCAGTGCGGTCTTGATTTCTCTGACCATCCGCCTTCTTCGCCATGGCTCGAGAATCAGTAGACTCAGAAGTAAAAGGAAGATGTTGACACCCATCAGACCGAATGTGACCCAAGTGCTGTTCCTTCGGATGGTGTCACTCCAAATCTGCTCTTCATGGTATTGCGCACGCTCCCTCTTCTCTAGGTAGCTTCGTGCCTCTTCCAATGCATTCTCGGCAGCCTCAACAGCTTCTTTGGCCTCCCTTACAGCTTTGTCGTTGATGTGTTCGGAGCGGATCAAGGACATGTAGCGTTCGAGATCACTTGACGACCAGGAGTGCTTTCGTTCGAGGAGGGCAACGACCTCTTTCTGCGAGACGGCCTGCTGTTCGAGAGCAGCATCGAGAGCTTCTTTGGTGGAGTCGATCGCAAGGCGGCGAGCTTTGACAAGCTTCTCTATTTGGTGTCAGACCTGCAATTCTCGTGTGTACTGTGCATGGACGTACCTTGCTCCTGAATCTCCCTCCTCAAAGCCTCGACGCCTGAGTAGTCCGTTCCAGTGTAGGTGTTGACCTTTTGTGTGACCACAGCAATCTTGGGCAGTAGCTCATCCATCAAGGCCGTGAAGCGCTTTTCGAAATCCGATCTTTGTCGTTCCTGGTGCGAAGGGAGTTGCTCGTCAGGTACACGCTTGACATTGTCAACGACATCATCTTTGTCTTGGCTGATGACCGGTTCTCTCTGTACAGGTATCTGCGTCTCCACCGGCGAAGAGGGCTCTGAGACGAGCTCTGGCGTGGCAGCTTTCTGTGGAGCAGGCGTAGGCTTCGACTGGGTGGACTGTTGTGCCTTGTGTAGAGCTTCCTGCTCCTGCTTCTTCCGTGTAGCTTCTTCCACCTGTTTCTTTCGCAAGGCCTCTGCTTCCCTCTTCTTTCGCAGAGCTTCCTCTTCTCTCTTACGTCGAGCTTCCTCCTCCTGCTGCTGCTTCTTCCGCAGAGCCTCCTCTTCTCTCTTTCTCTGCTGCTCCTCCCATTCCCTCCTCAGGCGTTCTTGCCGTTCTATCAGCTGCTCTGGTGTGCTGTCTGCAGATAGAGCTGGTTTTGGCTTCTGCTCGGTTGCAGGCGGTGGCATGACGATAGGATCGGAGGAGCCAGCCGGCTTCTTCTCGTCCGTCCATCTTGAAGAGCTCGAAAAGTGTCGCTGCAGCCATCTTCTCGACCCATTGTTGCCAGTCTGAGGCCTCTCAGTCCTCCTGATGGTGGTTGACGCCTGCCGGTACTGACAGGAGCCGCATATTGACGGCGATTGGGCGACGAAGCGTCCAATTGATCGAGACGAGGATGTTAATGTTGATGCATTGACGGTGTGAAAGCGTGATGCATGCTGAAGCAACGGCCTCATGCTTGTTGTGGGCAGCACCTTCTCATCGAGAGCCAGTGACGGTCGTCCACAAAAACGCTCTCGGCGGTCCGCCGAAGCTCGACGCGAGCTTGGACTGCCAAGCCAGCATGACGCCGTTGGTCCCTGGTGCCGTCCGAGTTGGCGGGATGCCGTTTTGGGGTCTGACGGCTGGCCCCTCTATCAACAATTTCTCAACCATATCTTCACTCGCTATCCTCTTCACGTACATACACGTTCTACTTTAGACGAGATGGGTGTTCAAAACGCTGCCGCGGACCTTCCCGCCATGAAGTCCAACCCAAAGGTATGTGGTTCAGTTCCGACATTCGGAACTGTTTTCCTGACTGCGCTACCAAAGTTCATCTTCTTCACCGACTTTGACGGCACAATCACCCAGCAGGACAGTGAGTCTTGAGTCCTTCACCGCGACCTTCCCGACTCTCCACGATCGCTGCGCTACGCCTCACCTCATCAGAGTTGCGTTGCCAACCAGTTTCGACTCACAACACACTGACTTTCCGTAAGGCAATGACTTTATGACCGATACAATTGGCTACGGCCAGGCCAAGCGCCGCGAGGGCAACATTGCTTGCTTGAACGACAAGATCTCCTTCCGCGACTCGTTTCAGGACATGATGGACAGCGTCACTCGCCCGTACGATCAGTGTATCCAGTACGTTGTCGACAACGTCAAGCTCGACCCCGGTTTCGCCGAGTTCTTCCAGTGGAGCCTGAAGAACAACATTCCCGTCGTCGTCCTCAGCTCAGGCATGGAGCCCATCATCAAGGCACTGCTGAAGAAGCTGGTTGGCCCTGATGCCGAGAAGATGCAGGTCCTCGGTAACCAGGTTGGGCCCAGGGAGGGCAAGGACATCAACGAAGAGGGCGGCTGGACCATCCTATTCAGGCACCCTGAATCAGGTTTCGGCCATGACAAGTCCATCGAACTGAGGAAGTACTCGTCGCTGCCTGAGGACCAGAGGCCAACCATGTTCTATGCCGGTGACGGTGTGTCAGATCTGTCTGCTGCGCGCGAGACTGACTTGCTGTTTGCGAAGAAAGGCCACGACCTGATCAACTACTGCGCGCGAGAGAACGTCCCCTTCACAGTATTCGAGGACTGGACCAACATTCTGGCGAAGTGCAAGGAAATTGTCGAGGGCAAGTCCACCGTCCAACAGGCTTCCAAGGAGGGCTTCGAGGCCTATAAGAGTGGCGCTGCTGGCATGAACATGGAGGAGACCACCAAATAGACGATGACGCACCATAAGATGGAGCGAACAGCCAATGCATATAGACGAGTATCTAGAGAGACATAGAGGAGATGCATTCACGACATAAAGATTCCCGGTAGACATACATACCACAGACTAGAAGCAAACAAGCACGATTTTCTCGCCATTCGACTCAAAAGCAGTCATCTACTTATGACTGCTCATAACTCTTGCTCACTCGTACTTCCGTCGTCTTCAGAATCGTGAGATTCCTCCCCAGTCCATGCGACCTCGGACTCAACGGCGCCTCATGCGCAAGAATACTCTCATCACTTGCCCCCGCCGCACTGTGCCTCCTCCCTACATCAACGTCATAGTTCTCCTTGCCCAGCACAAGAATCTCGTCATAGCTATCCTTCTTCTTCGACTCGGCGTTCGTGCTGACGTCGTGCATGGCGTAGTTGTCTTGGCCTCCAGTCCCAGTATGGCGGTCATCCTGTCGGTGGTACCCGTTCGACTTGAAGGGCCCAGAAAGACCTGGGCCGGAGCGCGAACCGGTAGAGCGACCTTTGGTAAAGGTGCGCATGTGGCCGAAGAAGTTCGCGAAGAGGGGTTTGAGGGTGGGGAGGTTGGAGGCTATGATGCCTACGTTCATTTCGACTCTGTTGAGACTGCGTCAGTGGTTGGCTTTAGAGAAATCGTCGAGAGGGGAAGACCCGGGGAAAGGCAGTGTTGGAGTGAGGTTCAAATAGAGGACTTACTGCTGCCAGATATAGTACCAGGATCCGTGGCCACTCCAATCACTCTCCTTGAGGAAGTTGGCTTGCATGGGCGTTTTGTAGATTGCGATTGCGGAGGCGAAGAGGCCCAGGCTGAGGATTACAGCCAGGCCGATGCGGGTTTGCAGGTTCACTTGCAATTTCCAGACCATGGGGATTGGGATCAGGGCGAAGATGAGGTCGGTGGCGATGTTGATGGAGGAGTTGAAGACGCCGACGTTCTTGAAGATGGTTGCGTCGTAACACTTACCGTCGCTGCGGAGGCCGTCAGTTTTATCGCAATGGTTGTGTGGTGTACGTGAAGCCTACCCGGTTGGAGGACGTAGAGTGTAGTCCCATCCTGCTGCTATTGGTGTACACTGGAAGATGATGGCGAATGTTGAGCCAACTGTGAAGCAGCCAATAAAGACTTGATGGTGTTGTTAGCTATGGTTAATCTTTTGACGCCGTGCGCGCTTACCCAGCATGCCAATGAGGAAGGGCCTCCATTTTGTCCGGTCTGCCAAACGTAGCAGGAAGAAGCCGATCGACAACTTGATGAAGCTGTATGCGAAGATGATCAGGATCTGAACACAAATGAGCCAAGCACAGCATATTGTGTCCGTGTCCCGCGTACCGAGTAGAAGTACATGAACTTGAAGAATGGAAATAGGTTCTGCAGAGGAAATGCTTCCGCATGCCGACCAAGTCCGAGATCGGTGACTTTGATGAATAGTCCTAGGCATGATATACTGAGACACTGAAAGTTGTGTCAGTGAACCCGTAGTTGTGGCGTTGTGGAGTTTCTCGTGGGAGCGTTGCGGGAAAGGCTGTGGCATAATTGTGAACATACCGCTGAAATGGTCATCATCACGTCTACGGTACGGCGTGGTCAGTAAGGATTGACGATCCGCAAATCATTGAACCTTAAACTTACCATCCCATCCAAAGATCTTCATCGTGAAGATGCGAACGTACAACCGCGCAAGTACCGTGGCCATTGCGAGTGCAAAGAGCGATGTTGTCACCGCCAGTAACTGCGGTGCCAGGTTTTCCGCCATATACTCAGGCGACCGCAGTGGCATCGTGGGCGGCCCTCCTGCTTGCCTCGACATCAGGAAGCGTTCCGCCATTGCGACGAAGTAAGTGTTGAGAGGTTGGGTTTCAAGTAAGAGAACGATACGACCGTTTGTTAAGTGGAGACAGCGACCAGGAGGTACTTCATACCTAAGGAAGTCTATGTAGATTCGATCAACTTCCAATTTCAGGTGTGCAATCCTCAACCCGTACAGAAGCGAACATGTGAACTACTGTGCCTGCCCCCTGTCAAGCACGCTCGCTCGCATGTTTGAATTTATCGACATTGGCTAAAGTGAGGACGTTCCAGGAGGATTTTGTGGCTCTATAAGCGGCTTTGGTATTGTCGACCGCCTAACAGAAGCTCGAAGAAGACGAACTCGTTTAACACAGAGAGTCTGAGCACAGTCTGTGGCGTTTAATAACGGCGGATTGACCATAAAGAGCTTTGACGCAGTCACTTTCTGTGCTGTTCTGTCTTGACACCAACAACACGGTGAAGACCCTTGGGTATAGGGGCGGAAATATAATGGCGGAACAGTGCTACACGTTCAGGTTGCTGGTACCTAACGAGATCCACCAAGATGTAGGACCGAGATGCAGGTTCCGGACGAACCGGATGTGTTGGTTCTGCTAATTCAGGCTAATCGGAGTATCGCATGATCAGTGCCATTGTAAGGCCCTGAGCTTCAGATGGGGTGTTGAATTGGAGGTCAGTGGTTACATGCTTTAGTATATCTTCCTGTCTGACTTTCGGGTTCTGGTTGAAAATGAGGCCTCTGAGAAGCCTCAAATTGTAAAATCAACTGAGGAAGATGGAATTATTCGTAGACACTTCGCCACTGATAGGTCTTCCGAGTGTAAGCTTCTCCGCTGTTGTACGAGGCGATGAACGTGCCGCTCTCAAGTTGAGGTATTCCAGAAAGCGGTAAGATGCCTGTTGACAGCATGGAGCTTGCAATTAGACTGAATCCTTTAGGTCTCCTGCATGTGTGAGGTGGATGATGGTGGGAAGGCGCTAGCGCTAGCGTGAAGCGAGTGGAGCCATGGCACCAGGCTTTGACGGCTGTCCCGTTGACCTCCCCGAACCGTTCATCGAACCATCTTCTCGACTCGAGTGGAGAAGGGTAGTCAAAATCGTCGCCACACACCCGCTGGAACTCGGTGAGATTTGTTGATGTGAGAAGATCTTCGAAGCTCAGGCTGCCTCTTGGCGTCCCCATGACCGCCGGGCACAAGAACCTGGCAAGAGGACGGTTCCGCACCCCCTTTCGCTTGCTCCAACTCCACGGATTTCGCAGGACTTCATAATAGCCTGATCTCAAGATGCCGGTTTAGCGAGCAGACATTGAAGGATTTAAAGCACGAGCACCCACACGGCTCGGAGCAAAATAATCTTTCAGTCGCGAGCCCGAACGGTGCCTGACCACAACAACGAATCCAGAGCCCTGTGTATCTCCAAGCAATGGGTCCAAGCTCACGGCACCCAATGAGAACAGACTGCTGAAGCATTCGAAAGTATTGCAGGATTCTACTGCGCCTCAATACAGCGTAGAAATCCTCCTTCCAGACCGAGACTCATGCAACCCCACTTTTTACGAACCTTGAGAGCGTATTGGAGAGAGACGGAGGATGGTAGACGTTGCAATTACCGACATGTCAGATTGAAAGGATACTAGTGAGCTACCCGCTTGTGTGCGACGGACATTTTCGAAGCCCGGAGAGATATCTCCAGGCAATTGCCGTTTTCTTATGGACCTGAAAGCATTTACAATGACTCGGATCCGCTTTCTGGACTCTTGAGGGGCGACGGAAATGATACGATTAAAGCACTTATGCCTTGAGTAGACTAAAGAGGGGTCCCTACCTTGGAAGTTCAGAGTATTTGAAGAGCCTCTGCAGCCTCGTCTGGAACCCAGGTCGCCTGCCGTTTCTTGCCTCTTCCCTTTATATTAATACTAATTCTGTAATATCAGTCGCTTTTTGCGTTCCACCACCGTATTAAACCACGAATCGTATCGATTTGCAACAAGCCATCTCCGTCTTCGCAAGCATCTCCACGTCGATCACTCCAACATGCGTACCACCAGTGTTCTTACGGCGTTTCTGCCTGCAGTACTCTCAAGTGTTATACCTACCACCGAGGAGTTCTCACCGGCTCTGTCTTTTGACAAGAGACAGGATGTAACTCTCCAAGGTTTTGGAGGAAAGATTCTTCAGGCTGATTTGTATGCTGGTGTTGCGGGTCTCAATCAACAGATCTACCAAGCTACCCAGCAAAACGGTCAATGGAAGACTTGCAACCCTCTCAACATCGTTGTTAGACGTGAATGGTAAGTGGCCATTTTCAGTACTGCAATGAGCATACTAACAAACCCAGGTCTGCTTTCTCTACAGCTGAGAAGAAGAACTACATCAAGGCCGTTCAGTGCATGGCGAAGCTCCCACCCAAGTTTCCAAAGTCAGTCTGCCCTGGATGTCAAAATCGATTCGATGACTTCGTGGCTACACACATTCGCCAGACCTTTTCCATCCACAACACTGGCAACTTCCTGCCCTGGCACAGGTACTTCACCTACGCTTACGAGAAGACACTGCGGGATGAGTGTGGCTACAAGGGCTACCAGCCTTACTACAACTGGCCGAAATGGTCTGACGATCCAACGAAGTCTCCTCTGCTCGATGGCTCCGAGACCTCGTTAGGCGGTAACGGCGTTCTTGGCTGCACCAACCAGACGTCCTACGGCATCCCTACCAATGTTTCTCCTTTGATCAACGTTCCTCATGGAAGTGGCGGTGGCTGCATCGCCTCTGGTCCTATGAAGGGCTGGCCTGTCAACCTTGGTCCCGTCTTCACCGACCTGACATGCACACCTAACAACCCCATCTTCAACTATAGCGACCCAACTACAGCCGGTCAGGTCGGTCTCGGCTACAACCCTCGCTGCCTGAAGCGCGACATCTCTGCCTGGACCTCAAGCCAGTGGACCAACGACGAGATGGTCACCAAGCTGCTGAACAGCAAAGATATGAAGACCTTCTGGTACGATATGCAGGGCGGCGAGAGCGCTTTCTCCAACAACTTCATGGGTGTGCACACTGCAGGCCACTTCACTGTCGGCGGTGACCCAGGGTCAGACTTCTTGACCTCCCCTGGTGACCCGTACTTCTATGGTAAGTCTCTTTACATAGCTGCTGATTATCACGCTAACTATCGCTCAGCTCATCACGCCCAAATAGATCGTGTTTGGTGGACATGGCAGAACCTGAACCCCTCCGCGCGCACCAAGGCTATCTACGGTACCACTGTGCTCGCTGATCCTACTGCACCCAACACAACATTGTCTGACTCTATGACTCTTGAATATGCGTTCGCTGGCAACATCACGGTCGGCGATGCTATGTCGACAATGGGAGGCCCCTTCTGCTACACTTACATCTAGACAACACTTCTATTGTTGTATAGAGACTTTCAATGTACATACTTTGACATGGTTCCAATGTACCGTCTCTCCAGTGCAGGAACAATTTGGGTACAAAACCTGCAAGGTGAGAGCTAGCTATTCGTAAAGACAATTCTTGTCGGACTCGGGAAATTAGAATCAAGTAATCGAGCGTGATCTCTGCTAGCACTCTTGTGACACCACCCTGAAGGCCTCCAGAGTCCTCTATCAAGAGCCAAGAGCCGTCTGCACTGATTTCTCCAATTCTAGACTTCAATGAGGAGGATTTATGGCAAGAAGGGCTATGTTCAATATGCACTGCACAAGGCCTTGTTTCCGGTTTTCTCGATCGTGCGAGAGAGTAAAGACAGCATCTATGATTCCGGTGTATGCATCAAAGGCACTCAACAATTTCGATGTCGCGCAGCCGCCCAAGGCAGCTTTGAATGAAACTTTCAAGACCTGCATCAACGTTCAATGCGCCGATTGGAGGGTGTCGTGCATTGCATGACGATCATGTGAGTTAGCGCACCTGGTGGTGCTGGCGCACCTGAATTGATGCGCGCCCTGCATTGCCAACGCATCACCGTACCAAAACAAAGCCATGTCCTCCAATCCATTTGTCCACGGCCGTTGGGCGATTCACTCGCGCTCTACTAAGCCGCATCTTCGCGGCTCCTTCATCGGAACCCCTCTTTCTGTGCCTTGAGCGTTGTTGATACGATCTGCAGCCTCGGGCGCTACCTCGCTAGCTTTCGGCGCATCTACAACGTTTGAGGCTACAGCACCGCGAAACACATTATCAACGACATCACAACAGACTACAGCGCCAGCAATACATTCAGAGATTGAAGCAAAATGAATACAGATCCTCTCACAGGACAGCAGCTGCCTGCAAGCGCGATTCAGCGCATCCTCTTCATTGCGCCCAAAGTCCATGTCTACCAGATTCCCCCCGCAACGTCCACGAAGGGGTATCAAGCCTCGAGCTGGACCGCGAACAACAACAAAATGCAGATCTTCACTGCGCGGATACGCATCGTGGAAACCTCGATTCCACCAGAACGCGAAGACGGCGACGAAAAAGTGTCTACCATGATCCTACTCGAGGACTCTAAGACCGGCGATCTCTTCGCCGCTGCACCGTATACAAGTGAGAGAGCTGTAGAACAGGCGCTAGACAGCAGTCGCTTCTTCGCCATAACAGTAGTGGGTGAGGGCAGGAAAGCAGTGCTAGGCATGGGATTCGAGGAGCGGAGCGAAGCATTCGATTTCAGCATCGCGCTGCAAGACGCGCGCAAGGCTCTCGGCTTCGAACCGAAATCGTCTGGCCCACCTGGCGCGAAAGCAAAGTCGAAGAAGGAGACCGAAGAGCCGAAGCGCGACTTCAGCCTGAAGGAGGGCGAGACAATATCGATAAATCTGGGCGGGCTGAAGGGAAGGCGGCAGAGACCAGATACAGAGAAGAGCCCGGGGGAGCAGAAGAGTGAGCAGGAGGCGTTGTTTAGTATTGCGCCGCCGCCGGGCAGTGGGGGCGCGTCATTTTTGCCTCCGCCGCCGAGTGCGAAGAGTGTGAAGGAGGAGAGGCGGCGGAGCAGACAGAATTTTGAGCCCACGCCAAAAGATCTGGGCTTTGATGACGGGGAGTTTGGCGAGTTTCAGTAGTGCTGCAAGAGGAGGACACATAGAAAGGAGGTGGGTTTTCTGCATACATGGAGTTCTGCATATTACTTTAGACCGACGAACCACGCATTGTACGTACAAGCTCGACTGTCCCAGTCATGACTTCGCGAGGCCTCCCCATGCTCATCTTAATCCACAGTTGTAAGACCTGGTGCTTCGTCCTCTCCCTGTTGGCCTTATACTGGAGGTGGTCGATTCCAGCAGCTGATCCGTTCCCTCTGAGCTTTGAGTCGCACGACCATGTCGCTATGTTGGTACCAGATGGGATTTTGGCTTTCCATTTTCGCATAAGCCCCGATGAATGCGTCGAGTAGCTCCAGAATAGGCTGCTTGATTCTGCTCTCACACCTATTTCTTGTCCAAAGCTTCTTCAGCTGAGGGAGAAAAGAACGGAGGTCTGCTTCATGTTCACCAAGTGCATTATTCAATGATCTTTTGCCATGAGAGTCTGATGGCAAATCGAACGTGTACTTCCATTGGATGCCCGCGTAAATGGACTGTGTACATAGTCTGGACCAGACAGCTAGCCTGCAGAATAGCAGGAAAAAGACTTTGGCGTTGTCGTGTGCAGGGTCGTATCCAGGGTCATCAAACCTCGCGAGGCTCCTGCGAGTACCAGAATTTGTGTGCATCGCTCTCACAGCATACAAGTTGCCGAATGGTTGGCAAGCTTTCCAGTGATTCTGTAATGTGTCGTCTAGAAGGAAATCTTTGGGTGGATAGGTGAACAACTTCAAAAGGCCGGGAATGACTTCGATAGTCAGGTTTCGATTGCGAGACAGTAATGCTCTATGCGAAGGTTGGAGGCTCTCAAGCCACTTGACAATGGCATTAAAGTTGAGGTTCTTGACCAGCCATGTGAACGAGGCCTCCGTGAAGTACATGTATGCCGCTTCGATGCGAATAGCGCGACATGTTTGTAGTAACTTTGATGGAGAGTGTCGTTTACGGCCATAGTTCATGAGGACTGGGCTTTGCAGATCGCCAAATGTATGAGAATAGATGAGAGTACGGAGCTCGGACGGAAGCGCAGCCAACGGACATGGTTTCGACGGATTTGAAGGCTTGATGTGATAAAGGTCTGCATTGTAAGCTATGCTCTCTCGGGCTCGCCTGGTAAGCGTCGAGGGCCGTTTCAACTTTCTGTCGGTTCCTGAGGTCCCTGAGAAAGTCCCTGAGCCTTGCGTTGTCGTCACATCGTTGGACTTTCCGCCATTGGGACTGGCTTTGAGGGTTGAAGAGGCAGTCGCACGTGCGAACGATGGAACAGCCATGTTATTCGTTATTCAGCTTTAGGGTCCAAAAGTAGATGCTGCGTTGTTAACAAGATGTCCCGGGCCACCAGAATGGATAGTGGATGCCTAGTCCTCGCTACCGGGAAATTGGGATGCTGCCTCTGGAGGTGCTCAGATTGTTGCAGGCACTTATGCAATGTTTTTATGGGTGGTTTGGTGAATGAACCGTCTGGCGGCTGGCCAGTATCATAAGTCGAATGAGCAGTGGTAGTTGCCTGCACGCCAGTGAGAGGAAAGAGAAGTGGGGCGCCACGTGAGCACGCGCCATCACTCCTGCCCTTTTGGCTCACCAACGCGTCGTGCCACCAACACCAACCGAGCTCAACACTGCTCCGATGACCAAACCGCTTGTGCATCATGGCCGATGATATGGATGTTACGCAGCCGTCGCCTCGCGGCACGAAACGAAAGGGTGACGATACACTACCACTTCCAGCGCCACGAAGGATCAAGGCACTCGCGCAGGATGTGGTGAACAAGATCGCAGCAGGAGAGATCATTGTTGCGCCAGTACATGCGCTGAAAGAACTGATCGAAAATGCTGTTGACGCAGGTTCGACAGCGTTGGAAATTTTGGTCAAAGATGGCGGCCTGAAGCTACTACAGATCTCGGACAATGGCCATGGCATCAACGTTTGTCTTTCTCCGTTTCGATTTATATATACTGACGCTCTCGCAGAAAGAAGACTTACCAATTCTGTGCGAGCGCTTCACGACTTCGAAGTTGAAGGCTTTTGAAGATCTCACCTCTATCGGCACCTATGGCTTCCGAGGGGAGGCGCTTGCAAGTATCAGTCACATTGCCCACTTGAAAGTCACGACAAGAACGAAAGAGTCGAGTTGTGCTTGGGAAGCTCATTATGCAAACGGCAAGCTGGCTAGCCCCAAGCCAGGTCAGAGTGCTGAGCCGAAACCTAAAGCTGGGAGGCAGGGCACAGTCATCACAGTCAGTCACATGCTCAAGCGACATCGACGCAGTCACTGACTGCTTGCAGGTCGAAGACTTATTCTACAACATTCCGTCGAGACGACGTGCCTTCCGCTCAGCAAGCGAGGAGTACGCCAAAATACTCGACCTGGTTGGCCGGTATGCCGTTCACTGCTCTGGTGTCGCGTTCTCTTGCAAAAAGGCTGGCGACAACTCTGGAAGCAGCGTTTCAGTCCCTGCTTCTGCCGAGACGAAAGATCGCATACGACAGATCCATGGTAGCGCAGCAGCAAACGAGCTTGTCAGCCTCAAAGCTGAAGATCAGCGCTGGGGTTTCAAGTGTGAAGGCTGGGTGAGCAATGCGAACTACAGCTCGAAGCGCACAAACCTGTTGCTATTCATCAACCACCGATCTGTCGAGTCACAAGTGATCAAGAAGAGCGTCGAACAGACTTACACCACGTTCCTGCCTAAGGGTGGTCATCCGTTCGTGTACCTCAGTCTCGAAATTGAGCCGCAGCTAGTCGATGTCAATGTGCACCCAACAAAACGTGAGGTGCACTTCCTGAATGAGGATGAGATCATTGCCATGATCTGTGACGAGATCCGTGAGAGTTTGAGCAAGGTCGACACGAGCAGGTCGTTCATGACACAGTCACTGCTTTCGAATCCAAATCCAAAAGTATCAATTGCTACACCTATGAAGCAGACGACACCTGGAATACCAGCCACAGATGATACGCCTGATCGAAGTGCCTCACGCGCTCCGAGAATAGGAACAAAAAAGCCGTACGAGAACAACCTTGTTCGGACAGATGCCTCAGCGCGCAAGATCACGTCAATGCTTCGACCGGAGCGAACAATAGAAGAAGCTGCCGAAAAGGGCGATGATGATATGGAGTACGAGTACACCGAACGAGAACCCATGGCTTGTCGTTTGACTTCCATAAAGGAGTTGCGTGCCGAAGTACGAGACGCCATGCATAACGAGCTCACCGACATTATCTCAACACATACCTTCGTTGGCATCGTGGACGAGCAGAAACGAATCGTTGCAATACAAGGTGGCGTAAAGCTGTTTCTTGTCGACTACGGAATGCTGTGCAACGAGTACTTCTACCAAGTCGGCCTCACAGACTTTGCGAACTATGGCCTAATCCGCTTTAACCCACCATTACCTCTACAAGATCTGCTCAAGGTAGCAGCAGATCAACAAAGGGGCAACGCCGGCGACGCAGCAGATGAGGTAGATTGGGACGAAGTTGTCGAGAGCGTCAAGGAGCTTCTGATCAGCAAATCACCACTGCTTAGCGAATACTTCTCCATCGAAATTACTCCAGAAGGGGAGCTCTGTTCGATACCGATTCTCATCAAGGGCCACATGCCTTCGCTGGCAAAGCTACCGCAGTTTCTCTTGCGCCTCGGGCCGCATGTGAACTGGGAGGAAGAGAAAGCATGCTTTCAGACACTTCTGCGCGAGCTGGCCTCGTTCTACACGCCGGAAGTCCTACCACTGCCACCTTCAGCTTCAAGTAATGACAACGGCAAAGGCAAGGGCAAGGTTGTGGAAGAGGATCCAGAGATCGCGCTCAGACGTAAGAAGCTCAGGAAAGCGGTCGAGCATGTTATCTTCCCTGCTTGCAAGGCACGGCTCGTGGCTACGAAAGGGCTGCTGAAGGGCGTCATAGAGGTCGCGAACTTGAAAGGTTTGTACAGAGTCTTTGAGCGATGCTGAAAGTTTGTCAACACCACAATACGAAAGGATGCAATGGCATTGTGTATCGATTATATATTCATTATTCATGTCAAGGACTATTGCAGCGCATTGCAGCACTATGCTTCTTTACGCAGCACCCCTCTTCTTCAACAGCTCATCCTGCGTCAAAAGCTCCTCTCCAGGCGCAGCCTCCACATCATGACTTGCCTGTACTCTTCCAGAGTTCTCATCGAATTCACTCTGCTGCTTGCGCACATGCTTTGCATACTTGTCGTGACCCTTCGCTTCTGGGACGGTGCCGACATCATCCAGGGTCTTTTTCTCAATGTTCGAGTTGATCTGGTCTCCTGTGCCGCTGAAGACCTCCCCGGTTGAGCCATGATCGTTTACGCCGCGAGGAATGTCGAAGGCGTTATCTGCGGCGTGTGCAGGGTTGGGGTGAGCGAACTCTGGGCCGGGATCTTTCTGGTCTGGGCGAGGTACTGATGGGATCTGGATACATTGTTAGATCGTTAAAGGACCAATAACTTTTCCATGAGCGAAACTTACCAGTCTCTGCTTGCCTGCATCTCCAGGAATGGTAGTTCCCTCAGCTGCCATGTCCTCAAGACGACCTCCCTGATGCGGATCTGTTGGTGCCATTGTGTATGGGTTGAGGTGTAAAACCTATAAAAAAAATCTAGTTTGAAGAGTACAAGGAGCTTTACTTGTGATCGATGGTCGGGTGAGCTGTCATATAGCTGTGAATTCGTGGTATGCAAACGCGTTCTAAACACGCCACCTATCCATTAAGTACTCTTCACATTGCACGCCTAGCTTTACTGAATACTGCATCGTCATTATGAGTTATGAGAAACGAATATTCGCTGATGTCATGAGAGTCGCGAAAGGATTACGAATGTAGTGACATTGAAGCCAAGCTCCCGTTGTGGGGTTAGCTTTGGGAGGGGCATTTGCCAAGTGAATGCACGTGCAGGGAGTCGCGACCCAGTCCGTTGGACGCGACTGCGATTGCGAATTGACATTCATCAACATCAACATCAACAGTCAATAATCAACACCACAACCGGACATAATTGCAGCCAACGTATAATCGACAGCACAATAGAGTATCACGATGCCGGCAGAACAGGCGTCAGTCGAAGTCCGTCGCAAAGCAGCCCGTGAGGTTATCGACATTCTTCACGAGATCGCAACTCTACTCGTAGGTTAAAATGATTATGTGTTAGGAAGTTTATGCTAAAATGTTAGAACACACACCTCGACCGTCAACAGCTCTCCTACTGTGTATCTTTGATTGAGAACGGTGCAAACCCTGAAGCCTTAGCAGTACGTTTACCTTTTCTTGTAGACTCTGCTTCAAATGTGGTCAAACAGCTTTCCTATACTGACGTAGCACAGTCAGTGATCCAGCAACTGCGCGAGCAGTATCCATTATCGTCAGTTGACGGCGATGCAGAGGTCTGAAGATAAAACTGTAAGCGCGCGCTGACCGTAATCGGTCACCGAAACCTGTGCAGCCTTGCACAAGCGCAACTATGTTTTAGATCGTCAGGCAAGGTCAGCCAACTGCATATGGGCGTCTGCCTATGGATTCAAAGCGGATCCTGCCGCTATCTTCGGGAAACGTAGAGGCAGTGTCGGTTGCCGAGCGTTAGTGTTGGTGTTGGATTCCCGATTACCGACATCCCTGGACGACCCGCATGCATCTTGGCCAGAAAGCTTGGGACGAAGTCTGATGGAGGGGGAATGCGGGGCACAGTTGGGCGCGCCAAGGGCTGGCTATCAGCCACATGCACTGTTATCAAACTCCTAGGATGATGCGATAAGGTGGAAGCACGATGGCTGTACGGGACGGCAGTCCTTTGTTCCAGCAGCTGAAAGAGGGGTTGAAAGTCACCACCACGCGGAGTTCTCGGAAAGCGATCATGCAACTAGCAACTTAGATGTCATCATTGGAATCTAGTCGATGCTCTACAGCCGTGTCTTGGGTATGCTAGGAAACTCCGAATACGAAATGCTGATAGCGAATGGTTGGGGTATCTCAACGAAAGAATTGGGTATCTTCCAAAAGAAACAGGTTTCAAGGAAAATTGAACGCCGCCCTCAATGTAGGAAATACGATCATCTGCTGCCCCAGGTGGGCGATGACTGGCGCTGTCTGAAGTTGCCCTTCTCGTCGGCCACCTTGCGTAGCGCCTTTTCGGCTTTTGCTTCTTGCTTGTCGAGGTAGCCGTTGTAGATTCCTGGGAGAATGCGCTTGGAGTCTGATGTCAATGTCAGTATTATAGTTGCAGAAGGTTGGACTTGTGACTGTACTCACTGGCATGATCTCCAGCAAACAAGATACCACCTGCACCCTTCTCTCCAGCGACCTTGACAGCCTCTTCCAGCAAGCCCTCTCCAACACCCTTACCTCTGTACTTGAGCTTGACTGTCCACCCACGAATAACAGCCTTGCCCCTTCTTCTCCTGCCGCGCTTCTTCGCCGCATCGTTGTCTGCCCATCCAAGAACAAGAGCACCGATGATATCGTTCCCCCATTTTGCAACAATGACACGGTCGTCACCAAGCCATTCCGTACCGATCTCCTCAGCAAGGCCAATGTACCCGCCAGTGAGCCATCGCACGAGGATGAGGAATGTCATCGTGATTCCGCCAGCTGTTGTACTAAAGATGAAATAGTCGCCGAACTTGCGCAGCATGTACTGTGCAACGACTGCCATGATAAGGCCCAGAGCAGCGAGGTTGATGGGGTGGAGGATCATCATCTTGCTGGCGACCTGACGCTGCTGGGCTACAGAGTCGGCGATCAGATTCAAGCCATCGATGCGGTCATCTTCTGATTCGGCTGTGTACGTGGAGAGCTGAGGGATCTCGTTCGTCGGTGGCTCAACGGGCGCGGAAGCTTCGCTGGACGGCATGATTTCGGCTTCGAGGGGTGATGGGTAGGCAGGCGCAGGCAGGGTCGAGTAGGACAGTGATGTTGGTACGTGTGGGTGCGATTGTGATGAGTAGTAGCTTCCGGCACGGAAAGTCGTTGGCGTACCCAATGGCGATGGCAGGTCCGGATCAATTCTCAAGTTCGCACTCAGAGATGTGAGGAATGCTGCATGGAGGTGTTAGTCATCGATTCTACGTTGTTTTCGCAAAGGTTGGTTCTTGACATCATGTCGACCACCAGTCACACGACCACCAACACCAAAGAATTAAACATACCAGCACTCGTTCTGAATCCAGGAAGCGAAGGTATCGCAGGAATGGCTTTTTCGAATCCCGAAAACTGATTTACAATAATCGTGTCTCCAAGAGAATACCGTTGCGGGAATGCATGCGGGCCCGGAGGGACTTTCAAATGCGAGGGAGGAAGTTGGCGACCCATCTCTTTATAACAAATTACATGTACGAAAACTCGCTCAGGGTCCGGCCTTGCGCACTAAATAACTCAAAAGGAACAAAACAGCATTAAACGAGTAACGTGTTCCGAAATTTAATAACAAATATGTGGGAAGCGGTAGTCAAGGTAAGATAGAAAGGTAGCAGCCTCAGAAAATTATGATGCACTGGTGGGAAAACGTGCGTCTATGTATTGGCTCAGCCAAGACGATGTACACACGGGGACGTGGCGTGGGCGTCTGGCGGCTCGTAGTGGGAATGGGTCCCAGGCGCGATCTTCACAGGCCTTATCCGCGCCAGAATGCAGGAGCTAGTCGGCGATTCCCTATTGGCGAGAGGCAGAAATGCACAGATAACGCTGTGCGCATTCACAGCCTGGGCCCTCGCTACTTGCGGGATTCTGGATGCACAGGACGAGCAGGGTTTGCAGATGGATTTGTTGGGCTTGAAAAGATCCGGGATGCATGCATCGCTGAGGCACACAGTTCGTGACTGAAACTTTCTGCTCTCAGGCTTGAAGTTAGATGGCTCCGCTGTTCTGTCATTATGATAGCGGGCAACAATGACACCTCCCGCGCTCATGCATCGCCAGTCTTGACATTCGACCTCGGGAAAGCGTACGCGAGCACGCGAGTTCTTGACCCCCGTGTCCGCTTGGGACTGGACTCTGCCACATCAAATGCACTCGTCAACTCCGCACTTCTCACAGACTTGAAACGAACTACTGGCTCAAACGCATCCTGCTCGTCTCAGGCCTTCCCCTGCACATGCTCGCTCTCGCCATTCAGCCCCAAGGTAGCGATATACCTGCATAAAGGTTGTAACACCTCTGTTATCAGCCGTCTTGTCGTCGTTCCTCCTGCACCCCAGCTCTTGATAGTAGCAAAGCATGGTAGATGGACCAATAAGCCGTTTTCTCTGTCTTGTGACTCTTGGCCATCCCCCACACTCCCACCAAGTGAACAACACCATGCAAGCCATCGATCGAATCCCAAATCATCTTCGTATCTCTCGAGCGACGTCCACCTAGCCCCAGTCCAGCCCTCCTATGCATTTACTTGTTCGCTGCGTACAAGTGCCGTCCCTTTAGCCAACCAACGTTGCAGTCTCCCCAATGCAGCCGTCTTACGTGTGTAGCTCCACGAATGACGATCACGAATTGTCATGCTCAACGTCAACCTTTCAGCCCGTCAGAGCCATCCGGTTGCGTTTTCAGGCGAACCGCGACCGTTCAGGTCAACGTCAAGTCGTGCACATGTTTTCTCAGCCAATGCGTTTCTTCTGACGCGTCGTCGTCTCCACCTGCTTTGTAAGTCATGTGCATGTTTCGACCTGTCATGCGTGTTTCAACCGTTGGTTTGGCATGCCGCATTGGGCGAGGATAGACGACGATGCACGGGCCGAGGGTGCATCCAGCCGTAAGGGTACGGTACCAAAAAGCTGCTAGTTTCGTTGTTTTGGCGGTGTAGCGAGTAGACGAGAGCTATAGGTTTGGCATTATGCGCTTGTTGGCTTGTCAAGTGTCAATGTTTCATTTTTTAGGCTTTGAAGCCAAACGTCGGGTGTCTGCCCTGACTGCACCCTTCCTATCAACAACAGCTCGCTCACGAGCATGAATTCAAAGTACATTACGAGAAGTAGGGATAGTTCGTTTTGCTGAACAACGAGAAGCCGCCCACCGGTCTATCATAACCAAACTGCACGAAATCACAAAATAACGCCGGTCTGCTATATGTCGAAAACTCCTCATGTGGTCGTAGCGCAAAACGTAGGCTATGAAAACTGTCGCCTCTGGGTACTCGCGAAAGCGATAAATTTTTGCAACGCACTGTATCGACGTCAATCATCAGATGACAGTGATTGGAGCAGGTAAAGATATTGTGTGCTTGAAGCTCACTTCTTTTGTTGTGTGTTGGGAGCAGATGCACCAGCACCGGGCTCAAGCGTGTGATCATGGTTGTCGCACCGAAGCACTCTGCCAGCCTCTTCTTGCGAGCACACCTGGCTGTTCTGAACCCATTTGTCGTTCATAATCTCTTCAAGTGTAGCACGCTTCTTCGGGTCGACCTCGAGCATTCTGCCGATGATGTGCCTGCTCTCCCTCGGTAATAGACGCAGTAGGCGCCAGGGTCCCTTAATAACTTGGGGTTGTTGCTGACTTTGGTTGATGGCTGCTATTGCTGAGGAGCCGTTTGATTGCTGGCCATCAACAGAAGGGTGACGTGAAGCTGGCGCAGACTGGATACCAGCTCGGTGATCGTCAGCAGAATGCTGAAGATCGGCAGAGGATTTGGAAGGACCAGTGATAGTCCTCGGGCCATCATTAGGTGGAGAGACGAAGAGCTTGTATGAGTTGTCCGAAATTCGGGGTGCCTTCCATGGGAAACGACGCAATGTCATGCAGCAGAAGATGATGGCCAACGACCAAATGTCCGTGGGTTGTGGATCGTACTTAGAGAGGTCGTAAACTTCAGGAGCCAGATAAGGGTCCGAGCCAACAATGCCTGGGGGTTGTTAGCGGAAAGAAAGATCCTAGCGCAGATGTAAAGCTTACCACTTGCAAGGACAACATCGTTCTCGAACGGATACCTAAAAACCGCTGCACTTCCAAAGTCAATGATCTTCATGATGCCGTGCTCGTTGACCACGACGTTATCCAATTTCAGATCTCGATGGGCCAAGCCCATGCTATGCAGGTAGTTTACACCGTTCAGAATCTGAAGGGTGCAGCAGGTCATCTCTTCGCGACTCATCTTGCCTGTCATGACGATGGCGAAGAGGTCGAATGGTGCATACTCCATCACGACATAGTAGTTGCCCTTCTCGTTTACCAAGTCCATGGTCTCAATGATGTTGCCGTGGTGAAGGGTGGAACCGATACAGAACTCGGCGGTGACCTTCTTGTTGTAGTCACGTTCTGATTCGTACGAATGTCTGGCACGGAACTGCTTCACAGCGAATGTCACGCCGTCACTGCTACGCTTCATCAATCGAACGGAGCCTCCAGCACCGGAACCGAGGACCTTTCCGAATTTGCCGTACTTGCTCTCGAGGCCATGGTCATCAGCAAATGGAACACTGGCCATTCCGTTAGTCATGGGTGGTGTCATAACACCTGCTTTGCTGGACCTAGCAGGCTTCTCGCGCTTGATGACCGGCGCCGGGTTCTTGTGCTTCTCCTTATCCTTATCCTTGTCCTTGTCCTTGTCCTTGTCCTTGTGCTTGTGTCCAATCTTGAAGAATCGCTTCAAGTTAGACATAGAGTCGTGTCCATGCTTGTGAGGCTTCGAATCAGTCTCTGTGTCCGAACTGTATCGGCTACCAGGTCGTCCACTGCCTCCAAAGATACTTGCTCTGCTGCTGGCACCATCCTCCTTGTCTGAAGCTGTGCCCTTAGACCTGGGTAATGTGGAAGTGGAGGAGGATGCAGACTGGTTTCGGCGACTGCGGCCATCACGGCCACCAAAGATGAAGCGCGCATCCAGTCCATCGAGGTTCTTTGGTTGGGGCACCCGTTTCGAGCGCGAGTACGGGTCGTGTTGATCACCTTGAGGTGTGAATGGTCGGTTTATTGAGGTTGGTGTGGATGTGCCGGGAGAGTGATATCCGGGAGTCTGCTCTCCACCCGATCCGGAAGGGCTGGCATCTCTTGAAGCTGGCAAAGAATCACCAGTTGGACCAACTGCAAACGACGGTCCATGCCTGGGGTGGGGTTGTACCACATCCGGTTCGACTACTGACGATGGTCGAGTTCGTGGCGCTGGCTGTGGGGAGCTTGGAGCTGCTACATTCTGGTTGACAGACGAGTCCATCGAGGTTGGTGGAGGCTCATGTGGAGGAGAGATCTGGGGAGTCATCATGGCGGGGTCGCTCGGTCGCTTTCTGTGATCAACCCCACTGGTAGGTCTTTCATCGCGAGACGAGGTGCCGGCGGGCGTCAAGGGCGGTGATTGTATGGCTTGAGTGACTGAGGAGCGGTGTGCGGAGGATTGTCCAGAAGGCGTGCGGGAAGCAGGTGAGGGAGATGGTGCCTAATCGTGTCAACTGCATGCTCAACGTCACTTGAAAATGTTTGCTTACTCGTGAGGGCGGCAGGGAGACTGGCTCAAAAGAGAAGTTCTCCATGCGCTTAGCCTGGACGCGAGACTGCTGCAATGTCGAAGACAGATTGCGTAGCTCCTGCTCGGCCTGAGGGCTCAATGGCTCTTTCGACGCTGTCTCCCCAGCGCCAGTGAGGCCAGTCACATGCTGGAGGGCGCCCTCGGGCTCAATTTCTTCATTGACATCGCTGAAGCGAACGGATTGCGGCGGCTGCTCTGAGGCCGGCGACGCCATGATGGGCTGGTGGGTGGTGTGGAGGATCACTGCAAGGGCAGTCAGTCACTGAGCCATGGCGAAAGCACAGCTCTGCTAGGTCGAGTAGCTTACACTAGGGAAAGATACGTGATCGACGAAATCGGACAAGCTTCACTTCGTCACAGGGCCGCTTTTGCTCGATTCTGGGGCAGGTGGGGTCTGCGGAGGATCCGGATTGATGCTGGAATATAGCCCTCTGAATTGCGATCGTGGGAGAGGAGCAAGAGAGGACGATTTCGGGGGTGTTGGGTTACTAAGCGCGCAAAGTCGTCATACTCTGGAAGTACTCCGGCCAAAGAGCTATGCCCCGCGCTACTGAGCGATCGCGTGCAGCTTGTGACGGATGGCCAGAAAAAGAGCGACCGAATGGAATTGTTGATACACGTTACTTGATAGCTCCGGTGGTGTCTGCTGAGACGGGTGGTGCAGCAAGTTGTTTGTCGCAAAACGAGAGAAAGATGATGTTTGGAGGGGCGTGGGTGAGTTATCACAAGCAGAAAGGGCGGATTACTCTTTTTGCTAGCCGCTGCACGCCGGATCAACACCTTGCTAGCTCATCGCGTCACATCAAGAGCCTCAACGCCTCTGGCACAACACCGTCCGTTCACACCACCAGCCAGCCCTCAACAGCCACCTGAGATACCCCCACTAAGATCAACATCCACCTGCTCCCGGCCTTCCTGTTCCACGCGTGCAAGCAAGTGCCCCGACCGCTCATCTAAAGACCTTCGCCTCACCTGCTCCCGGCCGTGCTACTCGCCGCAGCGAAATTTTTCGACCTGTTGAACAAATTATTTCAAGAGTTTTTTTACCCCTTCCAATAAGGGCCGTTTCACTACCAGTCACTTACGCAGTGTTTTTTGGATAGTGCCTCGCTCATCCCGTAAAATGTTCAGCTGGGCCAAGTCAGCGTGAGTGAACCCTTCCCCACAGCTCCCACGTGTTATGCGCGACACAGGTGTATGACGTGCATATACTGCGTGCAAAGTGTATTCATATCCTGACAGTCTGACAGGTTGTCCGCGGTTGCCGGTACCGAGGAGCCCATCTACGGCCCTGAAGCCATCCAGCCGGTTGGAAAGAATGCGGGCGACCCTGCGTTCACCGAGTTGACCAAGGAGAACTTGAAATGGCAGGCCCTCAACTACACCAACGTCGAGACGCAGACCTTCTACTTCAACTCGGACGCTGGCCACATTGGCTTCTTCCAGGTCATCTACAACAACATCTTCGGTGCGCGCACGACAGTGCAGTTCAACACCAAGCTCTTCTACCCCAACAACGAGAGGCCCTTCCTCTGGTCTAGTGATCCTCTGTCGAACCACGGCTTCGACGAGGGGCATTACTCCTTCCACGCCGATGGTGTCTCCATCCAACTGAACGAGGACGGCTCTGCATACACAATCAAGGCTGCAGTCAACAACAGCAGTCTGGTCAACGTCAAGTTCACCAGGACAGCTCCCGGCTTCCAGGGTGGAAAGAACGGAACCAGCAACTATGGCACAGACCCTAAGGAGCCATGGGGCAGCATGCACCACCACTTCTGGCCCAGGTGCAGTGTTGATGGCTCTGTCATTACCAGGGAAGGCGAGATCAAGATCGACGGCAGGGGAATGTTCAGCCACGCTCTGCAGGGCATGAAGCCTCACCACGCTGGTAAGCAGTCAAAGATCGAATTCCGCTAGGATTATATTGACAATCTGTAGCTGCCCGTTGGAACTTCGTCAACTTCCAATCACCCTCGTACTCGGCCATCCTCATGGAGTTCAAGACTCCCCCTTCATACGGATCGACCATCGTTCGAGTTAGTGGTATCGCTACAGACGGCAAGCTGCTCACAGCTGGTATCAACGGTGATGTCAAGCACCTCGAGACCAAGCAGGATTCGGACAACGATTGGCCTGAGCCTACATCGGCAAGCTACCAGTGGGTAGGCAAGACTGACGATGGCAAGGAGATCACAGCGGAGGTCACCGGTCCTCTAGGCAACAAGTACGACCGTGTGGACGTTATGGCCGAGGTGCCAGGCTTCATCAAGACCATTGTCGCATCTGCGGCTGGCACAAAGCCATATATCTACCAGTACGCGCCGAAGCTCACCATTAAGATGAAGATCGGCGACGAAGTCAAGGAAGAGGAGGGTGTCCTTTTTACTGAGGCAACTTTCGTCTCGTAAGAGTTCCTCACGCATCTATACCATCACGACTACCCTAGCATTAATAATAGAAAGCCAGGCCAGGAGCTTGAAACCTAATGAAGAATATTCCCTTGGATGTTTTGGCGCTTGTCCGCAAGTGATGCTTTCACAGCCATAGCGAGACATCGTGGATGCATCAGAGCAACGAAATATTGCGCTGGCTTGGCCTCCCGTTTGCATTTAGGACCGCATGCCCCTTATGCTAGTCTTCACGCTTTATCTTCACACCACTAGCCCCGCCTACACACTCCCCTTATCGCGGGTGTTTATCTCCACCTGACAGCGTGCGTGCATCCAAACAAACGCGTTCCATGTTCGTGCACACTACCGCAACCGAACACCTCCCGCTATGGTGAACGAGCGGCCGAAGCAGTTCGGCGGCATGCCGCGCTTCAGTGGCGCTCAACGGCCTCGGTATAGGAGCAGCTGGTTTGGGGCTCGGTAAAAGCAAGGGCGTTAAACGACACACAGAATGATCAATTTGCTGATCAGATGTCCGGGAAGATACAGGGAGCTACTGTTCAAGGTGTGACCAAGGGCGATATTCGGTAAGCACATTTCTACTGCAAACTCTTCGTCAGATTCAGGGCAACTCGCTGATCATTTGTACAGAAGGCTAGCGCGTCGCGAAGGAGTCAAGCGCATATCAGTAACAATCTACGACGACGTCCGGCAGGCTCTCAAGGCGCGTCTGAACGATGCAAGTAAACCCTCAATACTGGACACGGCGAGTACGACTAACATGTGTATAGATTTAGCGAGAAGTCATCGCCGTGGTTGAACACACAGGCCGCAAGACAGTCTGCGTGACAATCATCTTCATCCTGAACCACGTAAGTTCCTCACTCTTCTCTTTTGTGGGATCACAGCTCACTCGGAATAGCAAGGCCGTCAGCTCTATGGATTCGATCCTTCGTTTGTTGGACGCTGTCATTGAACTTGACTGAACACCTGAATATTTACACGATCCAACGTATGGTTAATAACAGAGGAACTACGAACGATAACATATCGAATTTTAACTCAGGCCACCAGGAGAGGGCGCAATCATGGATACATGCTAAGCATACCAAGTCAGGTGCATACAGCACACAAACCATGAGGTCTTCCTGACAACCACAATATTTTGGATGCAAACTTATCAAAATTATGTTACTTCATCCAGGATCATGTCAAAACATTGTGCATGCTTTGATGGCTACCGGCGCCACAGTGGCTTACCCCGCTTCCTCCACTAGCACGTGCCCTTGAATTTCACCTTGCACTTCCTGACCTGTAATATCGCTCGCTCCATTCCCTCTCTCGGACTCGGGCTCCCGCCACACATCGTCAAGATGGTGTACTACTTCTCCTCAAACACTGTTACGCCCTCAGCCTTCATCTACGTTGGCAAAGACAAAGTTGAAAGTTCGTGGCCAGCATTCAAGCTCTACCCAAATTTGCTTGCACTCGACAACATATACCTGTGAATGTACACTTACATGCGTTACAGATGAGGAGCTTATCAAGTTTGGCTGGGATGAAGATGTCTGGTTTCACGTCGATAATCTCTCTTCGGCACATATCTACGTTCGACTTCCTGAGGGCGAGAGCTGGGACAAGATTAGCGAGCCATTGTTGATTGACTGTGCGCAGTTGACAAAGGCGAACAGTATCGAAGGTATGTATAGCTGATTACTTATCTGCATCAAGATCTAGCTTGAAGGAGGAATGTTGACGGGCCACAGGCAACAAGAAGGACAACATCACAGTCATCTACACACCATGGTCGAACTTGAAGAAGGACGGGAGCATGGCCGTTGGTCAGGTTGGGTTTAAGGACAACAAGAAGGTACATTGTCTCAATATTGATATTCAACTCTCCTTAGTACTGATATGGTCATAGGTCAAGCGTATACATGTTGTAGCGCGCGAGAACCCTATTGTGAACAGGCTCAACAAGACAAAGGTTGAGAAATTTCCGGATTTGCGGGAAGAGAAGGAAGCTCGGTTGCGCGAGCTGAGGAAGAGGGATCAAGGTGCTCGTGACGCAAGAGTAAGTGCTTCTAGCCTTTTCTCTTTTCTCCTCCACAAGACACATCCATGCTCTCTTCTGCAAGTCTGCAGTTGTAGCTGGTTTGATACCAGTCAGCTCTTCGTAGAGCTGCGACTTTTCATACGACTATGGCCACTTTCGTATTGCTCTCTGACACTGCCTACAGCGAAAGGAGGAGGCCCGAATCGCAAAGGAGCGCAAGGAGCTCGCATGGCAGCGAGACCATGCCTACGACGATATGATGTCGGAGGAGAACATTGCGAATTCAAGCAACCAGGACCGGGACGAGGACTTCCTAGACGACTTCATGTAGTGCGTTGCAGTCGCTTTCTTCCTCCAGCGACATTTATAGCATGGGTATGCGGCGGACAGGCGTTCAGCGACGGCTTCGGTGAAAGCTTATTGCCCAGGGTCTCGCGAGGTCATGAATGGGATACAGATTCCCATGTTTTCGTTCAACATGCGAATGTTGTGGTTGAAGGTATCGTAGGCGGTCGTGCGGATCTCGAGCTCTTCACGAGTGCTGCTCTCATCAGTACTTGTCGAGTAATCATTGCATCGACAACACACACCGAGCCCTGGTCTTCCCCCTCCGACCACCACCTCTGTCTTGATACCACCAAGTATACAAAAGATTCTTTACGATCTTGTGTTCTAGACCATTTTGTTTCGCAGCGTATTTCAGGAACTCGAGAGTGTTCGTGATCTTCTGCTGATCAAAATCGCTGCTAGTGCCTTTGCGAAAGGCTACGCGGAGTCGGTCGCGCAAGGTGAATCGTGCAGGCTTCGAGAACTGAATAGCCCTCAAGCTGTGTCGTAGAACATGTCTGTAGGCATGAACGACCGCTTCGTTCGACATGGTGGTGAAACCATCAAGGTCGCAATGCGCTCGAGCTTCGATTGGCTGCTGACGGCTTATGTAATGGCCGCGGCGTGTCGCCTCACGCCCGCGCTCAGCTGCAACCGTCCGAGTCCTGACCATCACTCTCAACCCGCCTGCTCTTTCTTGCAACCGGGGCGTATAGAACACCATAGACTCGTCTGAACCATTGCTGTCTCCTTGCAGACACATTGCGCACCGTGCTAACTACTGACTACCACAGCACAGCTTCATTTAGACTGTAGACGCCACCTTCTCTCCTGTCATCCTACCTCAGCGCGGTTTATGGCCATCGCCGCACACTAAAATCATGGCAAGGATACATCATGCACGCCCGCAACAGCAGCAGGGTGCCAGTCGTGCTATGGCGATTGAGAAGACTCGCGCCGTCGTGAAGAAGAAGAAGCCGTATAAGATTGTCCTGGAAGCCGTTACTCAGGAGAAGAAGAAGCTACATTCAATCGTCCGTTGTCACCTGGTTATACCGCGCATCCTCAACTGACACTCACACAGCTGACATACGCCTCGAATGCTCCCCAAGGGTTTGGTTTCGTTCCAGCCGGACACCCAGAGATCACCGAGTGGTGCAAAGAGCAGTGTCGCCAACGGAACCTCGATGTGCACGTCGTCTCGGTCAGCAGCAGCCCCACTTTGAAGCATAGTCATAAACTGACTGTACTACAGGCGAAACCCAAGAACAAGACGCATGCCGATCCCGAAAAGCTCTCGCACCATGTCCACCGTATTGGTCACCACTTCCCTCTCGACATAATAAAGCTCGCGTGCAGCAAGTTTGGTTACGAGTACGACGAAGAGTCCGGTCTGCGCAAGACCAGGGCTAGTGACAGAGAGAACTGGATGATACAACAGGTTGAGAGCTATTCGACCAGACAGGCACTACATGGTCGCCCAACGACTAAGGAGGGGACGAAGGACCACATCAGTGGCGCCGTGCGTGAAATGTTCCCAAAGATACCCGAAGCGGATCTGTCCTCCATCGTCAACCATGCTTTCGAAGAGGTAGATACACGTCCTCCGTATTGGTAAGTTGCGTGTGTACTTACATTCGACAGGGCACAAACCGAGTAGGTAACGCAAAGGAACTCCCTCTTGCTCGTCGGGTCCAACTTGCTGTTGTCGCACACATCCGTCACACCTATACAGATTACGACAAGATGCTCAAGACCGGCTCCTGGATGGAGGCTCGCCAAAAGGTCGAGCATGTGTCTCTTGCCAAACTCAAGGAGTGGAGAGATGAGACCGGCGAACAGAGCAACGAGATTGAAGACACTTTCCGAGAAGTCATCGTTCTGGATGACGATGAAAATGAGACCAGTGATGGTGGTGACACGCCTGATGAACGAGAACAAAGTATGGAGATTGTCTCTAACCGAGTGATCGCCCGAGACATACAGCTCGAGCGATACCCTCAGTATCCGCCCGCTAGTGATCATGAGCGGAGACGAGGACATGGAAGGACGATATTCGTACATCCGTATCCTCCTCCACCTCCACCACCACCAGCGTATGAGTTTCAGGCCCCACAATACCGCACACCGGCAACGCGAGCAGTTCGAGCCCATGACGAGCCAGCTCGACCTGAGCCTTTCTATGCTGCTCACAGCCGACCACCGGTTGATTCGTGAGTACAAGTGCCAATATTAAAAGACTATGCTCACGTCAACAGGCAACCTAGACCGACAGCGGTCCAGCCCGAACCGAGAAGAGCGCCGAACTACATGCGCGGTTCTGACGGGCGACTGTACGAAGTGAGTTTTTGGAAATTCGCGCCATCGAAGCTCGACACCAAAGTAGACCCTCGCCCTCCGTTCATGCGCTAACTATCGTAGTTACAACCAATCGATGATACTCCTCCCAGGGTAGAGCATAAGCCGCCCTATCGTACTGCAGCACCTCGTTATGTACAGGAAAATTACCTCCACTCCTCACCTCGTGTTGATGCACAGTCTAGCAGGGTTCCGCTACCACCATCTAGGCGTACCACTGAACAGGAGACTGTTTTGCCTTCCGTGGAGCGTGAGACTGTCGATCTTGTCTCTCCTCCACGGACAGCAAACGAACAACGCCCTGTTCCTGAACGCAATGACATGCCCAGAGAGTATGACGATCTTCAATCTTTCAAGCGAAAGGCATATCCTCCAATTCCACAACCTATAGACAGGTCTTACGAACAGTCCGTCAAACGAAGGAAACCACCTCTTCGTGAGCAGGAGATCCACTCAAGACCACAGGCTGCTATGCATCCGCACATGCGAGAGTACCCACCCATGGAGACGCGCAGCCGGTACAGAGCACATCCGTCGCAAGAAATCATTGACCTAACCTCTAGTCCACGGCGACCACCTTTTGGAAAGGCCGGTGATCTTTCTGTTGCCGCACAAGGCTACCCAGCTGTGGGTGCAAGCAATCATGCCTACGTTCCGGAAGTACAGCGTCGTTCACCGGTGAGGAATGACTATCATGACCAATCTGTTGGAGCGCGACCTTATGCTTACATACCTGAACATGACAGGGTGTATCAGAAGCGTCCCCCACCAGCACATGAGTATATTCCCTTGAGGAGATGACATATCGCATTCACTTGTCGAACAACAAAACGTTCGGCCTTCATGAAGTGCAAAGCTTGACGGTTTCACGTACTGCGAGGCCAGTATGTGCGAGTTGGAAGTTTCCTTGGCGTTTCTATCTTGCAAACGATACCCCTTCCCTTCTGTCCCTGTTGCATTTCAGGAGTTCAGAATGTCCTTCCTTGGATACCTCCATGGGTGGCGTACCTGTTTGGTCGTATGGATGGCAGCATTATGGACATACGATTGCATGCTGGTATGCATGTCTCCTCATCGTTAGGAGGCACGGATTGGGCCGGCTCTCACAGGAGAGGCAGGAATGTGGTTGTGTAAAACGTATCTACGAAAACGATGCGGTTCAGCGACCGAGGTGGTTGTCAACGTGTGTATATGAGTACTGGTCGCAACTGTACATCAATCAACCAAGAAGCAATGCTCAATACACTACGCAGATCTTTCCTCTACAAACCTCGAAACCGATTGAAGCAGCCACAGATGCAGCCTGGCAAGCACAACGAACGCAACAGCCTCGTGATCGTTCACAAGGCTGAGCGAATCGGGAGCGGTGGATCAGATTAACATTTGCCGCGATTAGCTTGGCGCTAATTGTTTAGCAATTCAGTTGATCTCACCACTTTCGCTACGTCATATCGTTTGCATTCCAAATCAAACTAATTTGACCAGCATCTAGTTACTAGATCAACATGTGCCGCCTACCTTTCTTCCTCTTTTGCAGCTCTCCACTATCTCGCAAGCGCCATTCTTGGCCCGTTTGATCGCATGTCAACATCCACCAAAATGTGGTTCAGGTCACGCAAGAAGAACGATTGGGTCCCTGATGTTGGAGGTAACGCAGCAGATGGTAAGCCCTTCGAATCGAATCCTACACCTGTCGGCTTTTGGCACCCTTCCCTACGGAAAGTACGACATCGTGTTTTCCGAGAATGGGTCGTCACCACCGCGTTCCTGATGGCCTTCATCCTCGCCGTGCTATCGATATACTGGGGCGTCTTCTACAAGGTCCAAAATCGACTCAGCCATCTGCTCGTCTATGTCGTTGATATGGATGGTGCTGCACCTTACGACAACACTGGAAATGCACCATTTGTTGGACCTACGATCACGCAGCTGGTGCAAAAACAACTGTCATCTGGCATGCCGACACTGGGATGGGGCATCCGTCCTGGCTCCGATTTCAACAACGATGTATTGGAGGTTCGACAGGCTGTGTACAACTGGGATGCCTGGGCTGCGATCATTATCAATCCCAATGCTTCGGCGTTGTTGTATCAAGCTGTTGCGACCGGCAACGCTTCGTACGACCCACTCGGTGCTTGTCAGCTGGTCTACCAGGATGCCAGAGACGACACGAACTGGTACGACTTCATGCTGCCGCTCATCAGCCAGTTCATGACACAAGCAACGAGCCAAGTTGGCCAGCAGTGGGCGCACATGGCACTCCAGAACGCCAGCGACCCTACAACTCTGGCTAACCTCCAAGCTGCACCACAAGCCATCAGTCCTGCGATTGGATTCTCAGAGTTTAATCTTCGACCATTCTTCCCATACACTGGCATTCCAGCTGTATCCATTGGCCTGATCTGTAAGTCATTACACTATTATAGTACACGTGTAGCTTCTGACGCATCTACTCAGACCTGATCATTATCTCCTTCTTCAGCTTCTCCTTCTACCTCCCCATCCACATGACCTACATCAACCCACAAGGCCACCCGCCCCTACAATTCTCCCAAATGATCCTCTGGCGCTGGTTTGCCACCCTGAGCGCCTACTTCATGCTCTCGCTCGCCTACTCTTTCGTCTCCATGGCCTTCCAGATCAACTTCACGCACACCAACCCGATCACCTCTGAAATCCAGGTCACGGACGTCGCATACGGTAATCCCGTGGCGTATGGACATGGCACGTTCTTGGTGTACTGGATGCTGAATTTCTTCGGCATGATTGCGCTCGGGCTGGCTTGTGAGAATGTTGCGATGGTTGTAGGTGCGCCGTGGATGGGGTTGTTCTTGATCTTTTGGGTTATCACGAACGTGTCAACGGCTTTCTACGATATTGAGATCGCGCCTGCTTTCTACCACTGGGGGTACGCTTGGCCGTTGCATTCAAGTGAGTTTCCCCTGTCTTTCGTTGCGATCGATGCCGCTGACTTGGTTCTAGTTGTTGAAGGTAGTCGCCAGATTTTGTTCGGGTTGCACTCGCGCATTGGACTTGATTTTGGCATCTTGATTGCGTGGGGCGCGGTTAATACGGCGTTCTTCCCACTCTGCTGTTGGTTTATGAGGTGGAAGAAGCAGAGGGGTGTGGCAGAGTACTGGGAGAGTTAGACAGTACGATATCAAATGTGAAATGCAGGGTAGAGGTGCGATAGGATAACGGTATAGAACAATGTAATGTATATGTTATTGAGGCTTTGAGCATGGTGAATCTTGAAGGTTGTCAAGCCAGCAAAACACGCTACGACGTGCTAGATCGCGTGGCTACCATTCGATCAGCCAACACTTCTTGGATGCCTTAGTGATACTTATAAGAACGAACAGCAACAGCTTCTGAACTTAATGAAACCGAAATTATAAACTCGAGCTTTTGATCCTTTTCTGTATTACCGAGGTGGATTCACTTGACGTAGTCATGATGACCTCAGATCTCCGTCGTACCTGGCCAGGGTGATCGTCGTCATTTCTACAGTCATGCAAGCGTTCAGCATTACAACTACACACCGCGCACTTTGCAATTGATTCAAAATCACCTCAATCGCACTTACCGTCTATCAAATTGGTCAAACGACTTACGATTCACCTAACAACATTCTCATATGACGATGCCGTTCCTCCACCCCATCACACGCACCCTGCGCACCACACGCACCCTCCGCACATTCACCACCACCCGCCCGCTTGCCCAAGAGCTCAAGCGCGGCCCCGACATGCGCTCCAACAAGCCCGACCAGAGTGCCAACTCGTCCGCGAAACCCAACGCCGACGCGCGCTCAAGCACACTCAACACCGACAAGCAGTCCAGCGCCTCCACGGAAGAGCACAAGAGCGGCGACGACCACCCTGCGAAGCAGCCAGACCAGCAGGCACAGCCGACGAGGAGCACGGGCATAGGTGGTGGCGAGGAGGTGAAGGGTGGGAAGGAGGGTCAGGATCAGATTAGTAAGAGTGGGAAGAAGAACCTTGCTGGGCAATAAGAGTTGTAGGGGATTCTAGGAGGGAGGGAAAAGGAGGATTGCTAGATTGATACATCGGCAAATGTCAGTACATCAGGTCTTACTTCGCTTGCAGTCCGAGGTATGGAGATCGTTGTGATATGTGCGCGCTGTTCCCTCGTGAGCACGACGGTATTGACCGGAGGTGGCAGGATGTTCTTGCCGCCATGGTAGCCGAGCAATGGTAGGGGTTCCAAGACCTGGGTACCGAGTCAGAGGCCGCTGCCAGTAGGTACTCACCCGGGCAGCCGAAGCGTGAGTATCGTTCGTGAGTACGGCATGATCGACGCGATGGGGGCAATCACCGTCAACTCTCCTCGAAGGTGGAGCTTGCCGGAGCTCCGCGAAGCCCTACGGTGAATAGCGAGATAGACCTGGCAGTCCCTGCGGCCAAAAGTCAGGATCATTAATAGTGTACTGAAAGGCGGCAGGAGCTCGAGGATGTCCAAGCTATCGGTGCATCGTATGATGAAACCCAGGCAGCTGGCAGTATACGATCGATGTTCGATAAGACATCTATAGCTAATCGGCTCGAGATCGAGAGTGGAATGGCTGCAACAGAGATGCTGCTATAGAAATAGGCATATCGCTGGCGGGCGGCCTTGAACTTGGGGATCCGGAAAGGAGGGAACATGTGAAGTGCAGGATGAGAGTGCAGGTGCTGCGGGGGTAAGCACGTTGCTAGAGGTGATAGGGGTGGTCTTGGACCTGACCATACCCTACTGGGTTATCTTGGTATAGCATGGTCCGAGGGTAGAAAGATAACGGCGTGGCTGACACGTAATTCCGGAGACTTGTGATAAACGTGGTTTGCAGCCGTGATGAAGGTGAATCTAACGCAGGTAGTGACTTGCCACTGTGAGGTAGCCTGGAATTGTTCCTACATCTTTTGACAGACAACGTAAGGCTTGAGGTGTGCCGCATGAGGAACCAAATCCTAGGGAACGGATTGGCTACCGAGAAAGCAGAGCACACCCGTAGTCGGTAAGGTCATTTCGGCAATGACTGACCGTATTCAGAAACTGCTGCTGCCATCTGTATTGCAACTAGTTGCTGCTGTTGTGAGGGTTGAGCTAGATGAGACCTGTTGCTCGCCTGAAGGTCTACTAACTGTAGCCTTCAGACGCCCAAAGCAGCTTGTACCACAATTGCAAACACATTGCTTTTGTCATTGATATCGGAACGTTTGAACGGGCGACGGCTCGAGGTCAAGCCCAAAAGCAACGAACCGTTGGAGCGGGCAGCGCACAGACCGCGCGCTGGTGGGTCTTGCCGCCATGGCGTATACCTCGGCGTCGACGTGCAGCATCCTTGGACCTCGAGTGCGTATCGGTCCCGGCAGAGTGAAACCTTTCTTACTTTTGCCGTGCTTCCTAGGATCATGAGTAGCACTTGTCAACCACTGGAACTCCATAATGCCGCATCAAAAGCACGACCAGGCCGCTGCAAAGTGAGATATTGAATTGATATCCTTCCGCGCTTTCTCCACGCTTCACCCCACGTCATACCTCGATATCTAAGCTTCCGTAGCGCTCTATATTACGGCCAGTAGCTCAGTCCATACGCTCTGGAGCTTGCATATCGAAACCATACCTCCCGAGGCTCATACTAGCTGCGCAACTCGCACATTGCTGCGCTCAGCTTGCTGCTCATCTGACAGGCCGCGAATGAACACTACAACATAGTTATCTGCGCAAACGCACACAGAATACGCCATGGCTCCAGGGTAAGCTAAAAAGAAAACCCCTACTGCGCACTATGTCACATCAATATGGCGCGCGAACTGCCATATCAAAGGTCTAACACACATATTTCTAGGTCGATGAGAGAGACCATCAAGGCTCTCGACAACACCTTCAGCGCCCCTGAAGTACCCTATCCGCTACCTGGCGAACTCCGCGCGACTATACAGAGCTTTCTCGACCGCTACGACAACATCGACGACCACGATTCGCAACGATTTCACGAAGACCTCCATGCACTGTATCAACGGCATGTCGCGGAGGATGCGGCTAAACACGGCGCATTTGTTTCGACACTGCGACTAGTACGCCCAGCTCTTACTGGAGAGGCGAGGTTGACGATCTGGTGGAATCTAGTTCTGAAACCCACAATCGATGGAATAGGGCACAAGAGGCATGAAATCGAGGATGCAAGAGAAACTGTGCAGAGCATACTGGTGTATGATTCCGAGGAGGACCAGAGCGGAGAACATGCTCGTTTGTCGAAGCTGTTCATTAAGAAGATTCTGGATGCATACCTCGTTAGAACCGACGTCTCAGCCTCACCCGAGAACGCTGTGTCGCCCGAAAATGAGTTCATTGCGAACGAGCTCGAGAGTGTCCTGGTCACGTTTGGAAGAAAGATGCCGAAGGTAAGCCGTATGAACCCATGCTTTGGCAAGCGACTGACCATGGCAGTTACTCCTCTCCGCTCTTGACGAGCTGTTCGTACAGAAGCAGTACCGCATGCAAGCATTGGGTCTTTTGAGCGCTTTCGTGCGCCTACAGCCTCCTCATCTACACCTGGTGCTCGAAACTTCGCTCCTACAGCACTTGGAGAAGTGTCTCCTTGTCGACAACTCCACCGTCGTGATCGAACTTGCCCTAGTGGTACTGATCATGCTTTTACCTCACATTTGTGGAGCTCTGACGGCCGACCATCACCTCCAGAAGCTGTTCCTGATCTACAGCAGAGTCCTATGTTGGGACAAGCTGAGCAAGTCTGAAGATCACATTGCCGGGAGGGACCAAGATGAGAGAGATTTCGAAGACAGCGACGAAGAAGAGGAAGAGGAGGATGCAGAAAGCGACCAAGCATGGGAGCAGCTGCAGCCGGCAGAAGGGGAGGAGGGAGGTTCGCCAACACTTATGCACTACTTCACCTTCCTGTACGGATTGTTCCCGCTGAACTTCATGAGCTTTATCAGAAAGCCTAGGAAGTATCTGAAGTCTCTCAACTTCCCGGGCGCGAGGGACTTTGATCTTGACCAGGATCTCATCTATAGCCGAACTGAACCCTACCGGACTGTGCATCTCTTGCACCCGAACATGTTCACGACAACTATCGAAGAGGAGCTGAGTGAGAACAGGTGGTTGAAGAGTGACCCTGCAGATGTCGTTACCGAGTGTATGGATCTCTGTGTGGCTGTGTCAGCAACGCTGGAAGATCCTGGACCTCCTCCTACAACCAAGCTTCCGCCTGTGCCACCTCTACCCGAGGTTCCAGCAGAGTTCGCCTTAGATGACACGGGAAACGACTCTGATGTAAGCTGGAGAAACACCCAGTCTACCATGTTCGTCCCTCCAGCAGACGCGCCCGTCCTGCCAGAGACCATCGAGATGCCGTTGAGGTCAAAGTCAGTTGTGTCTGTGAAGTCCTTCAAATCGGCCTCGCCCCTACTGAAGACTCACGACATGACGGATTCACCAACCCTACCACCTGCAAAGGAGGCCTTGAAGCAAAACTTGCTCGGCGCCTCCACCGCATCCTCGCAGCGACGAGTAAACCCACAGCCAAGCCTGGATAGCTTTGCGCGTTCAGCAGCCGGGACTATTTCGCCTCCACACCCGCACGTTGATTTCCACAACCAGACGATGTCATCGTTGCAGCGTGAAATCATGCTTCTTCGAAACGACCTGAACTTCGAACGCTACTTGAAGCTTCAGCACCTCTCGCACATCGGGCAGCTACAGCGAAAGCATATCCGAGAGGCTGCGGCAGAGGCAGACACTCAGAACTTGATTAATACCAACAAGACATTGAAGGCTAGGCTCACAAAGGCGAACGAGCTGTATGCTCAGCTCAAGAAGGAAACGCTTACTAGCCGTAACCAATCCAAGAAGTGGGAGAGCGATCTCAACGCCAAGGTCCGGGTATACAGAGACAGCGAAAAGACATGGCATAGCGAAGAAGACAGTCTGCGCTTTGAGCTGCAGAGAACACAGTCTGACTGCGAGCACCTCAAGAAGATCGTTGAGAAGGCCGAAGCTGAGCAGCTGAGGGCTGAACAACGCACAAGAGCCCTCGAGTATGAACTCGAAGACTACAGCAACGTGCGCCACGAGCTCGAGACTGCGCAGCAGAAGATGATAGAGTATGAGGAGCAGACTCAAGACCTCCACAGTCTCATTCAGGAGCGTAACGACTTGCGTAACGACCTCGAGATTGCGAACATGCGCCTGAACAGTCGCGAGGCCGAACGTGAACGTTCCATCACGGCTTACGAACGGCGTATTATGACACTGGAGCAACGTCTGCAAGCTACCGAAAAGTCAGCAGGGCCACAGGGACAACTGCCTGCTTCTGTTCAACAGATGCTCGACTCAGCTCTCGCAGCAAGCCAAGCCAAGCTGCAAACCTTAAAGAAGACGTATCAGAACCTCTCAGCACAACACACAGAATTGCAGATGAAGTACCAAGACTTGGAAGCTGAGCATCAAGCTGCATTGGGTCGCTTCGATATCCACGAGAAGACAGGGCACTACGAGTATGCGCAATCACAGTTGAGTCGCAACTCCAGCTTACGTGAAGCGAACAACCACACCTCACGATACCTGCCTCCACTGTCGACTGGAACTCCCATCAGCGAAGAGCGCGAGTACTTCACAGATTACCACTCTCCCAACTCAGTGAGCAGTCCAAACTCAACCATCTCACCAGCAGCACAACGCCCAGCTCGCCTAGACTCCATGCCCAGTCATGGAAGTCAGCGATCCCAAAGATCGCCCCCAGGTCCTTCGATGTATCCTGCCTTCGGTGGCGCCCTTCACCCAGACTTGTACGAACCACAAGCTCTTGCGAGAAGCGGCGCTGCGGCTCAGTCAAGTGCTAAGAGCAGTTTTTCTATCGACACAGAGGGCAGTGGCGATAAAGACAAGGTTGATCCAAAATCTGAAGTCAGGGTGTACGGCCGTGGTAAGTGGAGTATTACTGTCTGAAAGTGACATAGATGGCTAACATGGAGTAGGTGGCGCCCAGAACATTGGGAAGAAGGTTAAGGATAAGGAGCAAAAGAAGTCATCCTCCTCTAAGACAGGGGGCTTCCGTGGTCTTAGAGGGATCATGTGAAGCAGAGCTGACACAGTTGCCACGCCTACAGACGCATCTCGATGGATTGGGAGGGACATCGGTCGTTTCTGCGTCAGGGACGGTACTCTTGTTGCGTATCACTGCTTTCGTCACTGCAAAGTGGTAGTCACAGCACCAACGCAAGCGAGAGCGTCCTGAGCGCTAAGTAATAGCTACGAAGTACTCACCACCTTTGCTCAAACTGAACAAGGCATACCATCATTAATCAATATTGTGTAATACCGTTCCTCTAGGTCATGCCGTTTCAAGACCTTATGGAGAAAGAAGAGGTGAATGTGGTGGTGGTGGCGAAGGCGAAGATGAGGTGGCGTGGGATGATGGTGAAGCAAACAGCCCAAGTGTTCGGTGTGTGGCTCATCTCAAGACGTCTGTTTCATCAAGCTATGTAAACCATCCCTATCGCTTTATCTCTTGGCAAATGACTGCTACCCGTCTCGGTAACTGACTTAGTTCTCATTGCCCATTCTGCGCATATGCTTCTTGTAGTCGTTGAATCTGCCGAGAAGTTCTTAGTATTCTTCCTCGCCGTCTAACAGTTGGTTCTGCAGCGCTACTTTTTCTGACTCAGTTCGTTGGTTCTTGTCGTTGAGGTTGGCAACTTCGGTCTCGAGCTTCTTGCGCACATCCTCCACAGCAGACAGCTTCTCTTGCAATTCTGTTCTCTTAGAGTCCATTCGCTGATTTTTGTTTTTCTGTTGGGCGACTTCAATCTACAGATTTTGATTTAGGTTGTAGTATCTCCAGTACTCTCGATGATTATTCTCTCGCCCCTTGCCACTGTTGGCAAGCTCCCTGCGTGCGTCTTGCTTCCCATTCTTTGCCTTGGCCAATGAGAGTTTTGAATGTGAGATCGCTGCATCCTTGACCCTTGATGCGGCTTTCAGACGCTTGTGGGATTGAAAGCGTACGAAGTCTTCATCGTCTCTGAACAGTCAGCCCCAGAATTGGTCATGTCAGGTATTCGGAACCCACAGGAACTTCTAGAGCTTTTTCACTGGCAGCTCGCTTTGCTGTCACGTTCTTGAGGTCTGTTTTGCATTAACATAATTTTAATTGTTGACATACGGTATGGAACTGACCAGAGCTTCACGGACGGTGGTGGTGTTGGCGGTCGAGCAGACAATTGGTAAACAGAATGAGACGTGTGATGATGGAAGAAAACATGAACGTCGATGTTAATCACATGTAAGAGGACTCAGTGGCGAAGTTGGGTGAACGTAAAGGTAAAGGCAGAAATTCTGGCCTTTAGATCAAGTAGAGGGAGACGATACCAACATTGTTCAATGATATATACATTCGATTTCATTATTTGTGTTTAACTGTTGCAATTATCGGTGCTTGCAAAAATGTGCAGACCCCGCTGACCTTGGTATAGTGATGCGTACAGTAGGTACATACCGTGATTCACGAGGGCGGACAGCCTTGCGAGTGGCCGTTCACCACGTTGTTGCCCTGCAGGACATGTACCAGACTGTCAATTCTGTCAACCAAGATAGAAACAGCCACTTAAAAGCCTTCATTCTTACATAACGTAAGTCTGTCGCAGTAGTGAACCAAGTTCAGGGAGGTCCGTACATTTCAGCAACCATTATATCTCACGTAGTGCTAGGTATCTTGGGGCACACAACGTCAGAGTTCAGTGAAGAACTGTACGCAAAGGGAAGAATTTGAAGATTGTACTGAGGTTGTATTGAGTGAAGCTACGAACAGTATATATAGGTGAGTAGCTGTAAACAACGTTAGTGTGACGTGGCAGTCACTCTCATAGAGGTGAGGTACGACAGGCAGGAGCACCCCAAACCGTGACACACAAAGAGTAATGTTTATGATATACCCAACGAAAGGGTGAGTCCTCCACAAGAAGACGTCAGTGAGCTGGTGCTCTGCATTGCCTAACCACGCTGTGTTTGTGGAGCTTCCCCGAGGGGGACATCAGACCAATTTAATCGATTAGAGGATGAGAGAAAGAAGAGAGGCAAGAGACAGAGGAGGAGGCCGGTTGTTGGTGAGGCGAAGAAGAAGAAGGATTCTAAGAAGGAGAGTTAGATGCTCTTGACTCAAGTAAGAAGTCATGTCATGATATGAAATGAGAGAAGTGTGTAGTAGGGCACAGTCACGGAGCTGAATAGGGTTCTGTGTGTATACTTGTCCATGGGTGATCGCAGTTCATCGTCTTGGCATGATGTTGTCGTGCTTTCTTAACATGTGATAAAGCTAGAATGCATCTAAACAAGATTGACCAAGGTGACTATGAATGGAAACGAGTCATGGAATATCGTGTATCTGTTTGAAGCAGTGATACTGTCTTTCATACTATATCCTCCTCATCCCAATGTGATCGTTGCTCTCTTGAAGAATATCTCCCACCATAAAGAACGGACTTTCAGGTAATCTTCGAGAAAGAGCCGTGAAATGGCCAATCTCGTTTCAACATTCGTAAACGGTTTCATGTCTTTGTCGACCAAGCGAGTAGGAATCACGATTTCGTCTACCCATACAAGGCCAATACGTTCGTGGTGGCCTCGCACGGTTTCAGCAACATCATACAGCATTCACTGCCCCGAAACCTGTCCTGTTCATGTGGATAGCGAGCCAGGTTATCTGCGGTCCACAGAATGCTTTTAAGAGGAGCCTCGCCGTCCAAACTCGTGTCAAGAACGTCCCATGAGGCAGACATCCTGTACCCAACCTCATCGTTCAGAGCAATACGGCTTCGAGGATGCATCATCTCCAATACGTACAGAGATGAATTAGGTGCTCACTAGGTAGATCATGCCCATATTTATATCTTGCCACTGCGGCTCGCCTTTCCAACCCACCGAGGACCAACTAGGGAACTCATGGCGACAGAGATTGGCTATGAGGGAACCAAAATAGAGTGATGTAGCTTCTACCGATGATTTACTCAGTGCGTCAGTACATTTATTGCGATAAGGAATGCCCCAAATGTGATAAACGGAGTCTCTGGCAAAAGTGTTCAGAGCGCCTACGATGGTATTGAGTCCATCAGTACCGTAAGAGAGAGTCCGCCGGCTGAATGTTTCGAGGTATGGCAATGGATCCTGCATACCAAGGCGTGAGGTACTTGATATAGGTGGTGGTATGCGTGGCTGCCAACCATTCAGCCACTGCTCATCGTCATTTGCGTTTAACAGTTCTGCCTATCGGCGACTGCCCGTGTTACAGACGAATACAACCGGAGTTTTCGTAAACTAAATCGTCTCCTGGAGAGAAACCCTTCCCGGAAACTCCAAGCATGGGATGGCCGTTTTGACTCCGTCATGTTCGGCCCAGCAGGCGTTGGTAGTGCAGACATGCAAAGCGAACCTATATCAAGGAATTCCACAGGATCTCTTGGACGTGAGGAGCAGCCGGGTAAGCCGTAGGACGGGTCCTCTCCAGCTGCAGCAATGACTGTAAGATCTGCCGACGCGTAGATGTATCCCATCTGTGAGATCTGTAGATGCTTATGTTTTGCATTGTTTTGATTGATACACTGAGTATGTCAGCCAATTCTTGAATGGTAGGAGTAGTGTTACACACATATCGATCGGCCCAGAGGTATCGGTACCCTAGCTCTCGTTATATACAAATGGTATCTTAATGCTGCCCATCTGCTCGACCTGTGCACGCTTATTGTGTGCGTTGGCCTGCTCGATGCAATGTGCACACTGACAAGCCTTTGATAATGCTTGTGCAAGGATAACATACGTATCAATCGATCCATAGATCTCTATGTTCCAGCTTTTGCGTGATATGTATGCTATGTCTTACCGTTTGTGACAATTCGAGCTATGGATCTACACCGGAGCCGTCTGGATGAATATCCATATCGCCCCAGAGGTATGAGAGTGCAACGCATTGACAATTTATAGGTACTGGTACAATGCCGAGTTCACCGCAACCGATCACCCTCAAGTCAAGCAACTGGCGTTGGTTATTTGGCGTGCAGACACCAACATTCTGGGTGCTACATTCGTGTAGCCACCGTCGGAACAGGCCACTCCCAAGGAATGCCGGCGCAGCGTTCGCACACAGCATCCACCTCATCCTGTTACTACGTCTGTAACCTCTTTCGAGCTGAACTTGAAGTCTTATCTCCATCTGCATTGCGTTTACCAGCAATGACCATCTTCCCCTTTATGTCGTGAATCGATCTTTGGCGCTGTGAAAGTAATATTCTACTGCAGGAAGCGAGGACGGGCATCAGGCCGAACTGAAGGAAAGATGTTGCAGTATATGCAACAAATGAAGGTGTAACTGCGCAGGGCAGTTAGTCAAGGGGGCCACGCAAAGCAGTAAAATCGGTATATTGTGTTGTTCTTGATCTGTGATTGTCTCTCCCCCGGCCATCATCAGGGTCTGTTTTCATGACGTATCTGTCGTTCAGAGAGAGGTAGAAAGTGCTTGTTGGAAAGAGCAAGAATACTGCACCAAAACACGTGGCACACATGACCTCCTTACTCCATAAGCCGTCACAAAAGATCATATGTATGACGCTAGCCGCGGAGCCTGGTGTGGCTGGGCTTTCAAGAGACGACCTATACAGCACAGCAAGTCCTGAACACTGGCATTGACATTGTCTCCATTATGAACTTGTTGATAGCGGATCTATGCTTTATCGTTGTAATCGTCTGCCGAGCGACGTAACGAGAGAGAGCTTGGACAAGTCGACAAGGACCTTCCGCTACGCAGAGGAACGCCAAGACAAATGCCGAGCGGAGCTTGCCGATTTAGCGCTGGCGTCAAACTCAAATCCCTGTACGCGGAAATGGCGTTGTTTAGATCTCAAGATATCACGATAGCTACTGTCACAAGTACGAGTGGCGCGTAACAGTACACAGGCTTGTGCTCCTGGCGTAAGTGAGAGATTGCCATTGTTGTACGCAGTAATGAAGGCAGTCGTTGTTTCACGATGGGCAGTGTTTGCATCTGAGGCCTATCAGAGCTGTAAGGGCTGCTGATGGATCGCGGGTGAAAGACGAGATTACACGGAAGCACCTGCCCCCATAAAGGCGAGCTTGCCGCCTTCCAAGGGCAATTGCACAGTTTCTCGCCACTTCCACAACCGCATTCACTCTTTTCAATAGTGTTCAGCGCGCCTTTCGCTCGTTTGTTTGTTAGTGGCGCTCCGCGCACGGCTTCTGCTACCCGACGCCTCGCTGTGGTTTCCCTGCTGCGCAGTGCACTAGCAGTGTTGACGATACGATTATTGTAAAAGTGTGGAGCTGCCCGCTGCTTACCTGTCGCACGAAGCCCACCCACTCGTTCTTTGTACTGTGTACGCGTACGCGCTCTACGTTGTCGCAATCATGCCTTCGGTATGTGCTCTATCAAACATCCTAGACCCTCGATCGGCGGTCCTGTGGATACTAACGGTCTGACAGCTCATTCGCTCGCTCGTACTCCTCCCCGCCCTGCTCTCGAGCATCGTCCACGCCGTAAACCCCGTCGAGGTCCGCGGCCAGGACTTCGTCGATACTGTCACAAACAAGCGATTGATGATCGTTGGCGTTGACTACCAGCCTGGAGGTCAAGCCGGATACAAGCCGACAGCGAAACAAGATGCCCTCACAGACGCAGATGTGTGTCTTCGTGACGCGGTGGTCATGCAGAAGCTGGGTGTATGTGCAATGCATAGTCTTCTCTGCAATTGCTAACGAATATAGGTGAACACCATTCGTGTCTACAACGTCGACCCCACACTCGACCACTCTGAGTGCATGTCCATCTTCAATGCCGCTGGTATCTACCTGATTCTCGATGTCAACTCGCCTCTCTCTGGCGAGAGCATCAACCGCGCCGAACCGTGGACATCGTACCACAAGGACTACCTTACGCGTATCTTCGGTGTCGTCGAGAACTTCAAGGCCTTCCCCAACACCCTCGCCTTCTTCGCTGCCAACGAAGTCATGAACGACCTCTCCACTGCCGAGTATAACCCCATGTACATCCGAGCTGTTCAGCGTGACCTGAAGAACTACATCAAGAACCATGTCGATCGCACGATCCCTGTCGGTTACTCTGCTGCTGATGTGCGCGAGATTCTGCACGATACCTGGGCTTACATGCAGTGCTCCCACAACGATGACCAGTCTTCGTCTGATTTCTTTGGGCTCAACTCGTACAGTTGGTGTGGTGAGGGTGATATGCAGAGCTCTGGCTACACCGACTTGGTCAATATGTTCCAGAACTCGGCCATCCCCGTCTTCGTAAGTCTGCCTACGATCTCCCCGGAATTGTTGCTAACATCAATCTAGTACTCCGAATACGGCTGCAATAAAGTCCAGCCCCGTATCTTCACTGAAGTCGAGGCTCTCTACGGCAGCCAGATGACCTCGCTCAGCGGCGGTCTGGTCTACGAGTACTCTCAGGAAGAGGCAGACTACGGTCTTGTCGTCATCAATGAGAACGGCACTCTGTCCCTTCGTGAGGACTTCGACAACCTTCAAGGGCAGTTCAACAAGCTGGACCTTAGCCTTATCCAGTCGACGAACGCATCGAGCACCAACATTCAGCCCCCTGAGTGCAGCATGGACCTGATCACAGCTGAAGAATTTAGCAAGAACTTCACTATCCCAGCCGTCTGCCCTGGATGCGCGGATATCATCAAGAACGGTATCAGCAATCCTAAGAACGGCAAGCTCGTTGATGTAACCGACACCAAGCCCAAGCAGGCTGTATATGGATCCAATGGTGTTCAGGTCCAGAACCTAGAGCTCACGAAGCTGACCGAGGCCAACACACCAGGCGGTTCGAATTTCAGCTCAGGAACAGCATCAGGAACAGCTAGCGGCACCGCAGCTCAGCCATCAGCGACAAAGACTGGTTCTGCTAGTAGTATGTCGATGGGTGGCTGGTGCAGCATGATTGTTCTTGGTGCTTTGCTGACTGCTATGCTTAACTAGGCGACGAGACCACTCCCATACCGACGTCGACCCCAACAGCAAAGGGCGATGCATCAAGTTTCGGCGGTAGCCAGTCGCTCTGGTTCACACTGGTGACGATCTGGCTTGTTGCGATCTGAGGCATTTTGAATAGCGGGCGCGATACAGCATCACAGACAGCGACGACATCATTTTCAAGCGACAATCTTTCGAGAATAATGGGCTAAGATAAGGCCATTCGCGGCCAGGATTGGCGAATCTTCTTTCGTGTATATGGTTGGACGATGTATACCCCTTCTTGTAGCCCTCCCTGTGGGTTGGTTGTTCACTTCTTCAAAGATACTTTTCTACGTCTACGAAAACATCTAATGCATCCCAATGACTATTTACTCTTCTCTACATTTGAAGTACATCGGTATCTCGAGGCCCAGCTTCAGTGTATTTGTCGTTGTACAGCGCGTGAAGGTAGGGAAGGGAGCAGGCAAGGGACGGAAAAACTGGGTGGGCAAGTCCATCCGAAGACTCACCATTACCACAACAAACACAACAAAGTACATATGACGTCGGATCTGCTCATTCACGGACAATGAATCCCCGGTATGATCCCTAGGACAGACCTCGCCTTTTGGTATCCAGCCGAGGAATGCCTTTCCAATCATGCATCGGTCGGTTAGGGTTCATGTGCTTCTGGTAGCTTATGTATTTGCCAGCCTCCTGCCGTAGCCTCTGTAATTCACGCCAGTTGTTTGAAACAATCTTGCAGTCACTGCTCCATTTAACGAACCTTCCGATCTTCACATTCAGCTCGCTCTTGTCCGGTTTGCGCGTAAGCCCGAAGCATTTAAGAAGCCAGTGATGCAATGTTCTTCAGAGAGGGTCAAGACATACTCGCGTGGTGTTATGCGCGCCGACATTGAGGGGTAAAGTCATGACTAGAAAAAATGCTGGTGCTGTATCTAGAGAGAACTGTTAGAAAAGCTCTGCAGCTTCAAGTTGACGAGGTCGTTTGGGTGAGGGTTTCCGTGCGACATGATGATACGTTATATCAGGTGAACCGTCTATGGATTGGATGCTTGCAGGGTGGTTCAGTGCTACGCAACAACTTCACGTCCACAATCTTATGGTACATACTGTGGGACGGACAAATCCAAAACGCTTCGGCGAGCTGGAATTCAGTCAGAAGTCAATGTGTGGGTAGGGAAGCAGAAGCGTGAAAAAGGAAGGACGTGCGATTGTGGACGAAGCAAAGGTGACGTTACGAGCCACTGTAACAACCGAATTGCCCACGCGACACTCCCGTAGGGATGCAAATACCCATAATAACGATTAAAAACTCGAATTTCCAGCCCCCCACTTTATCAACATGATTTTCATAACATCGGTGTGGACGGAAGCGGCGTCGAAAAGGGCAGGAGCCAAGGCGAAGATCTTATCGCAGGTCTTAGCATGATCGACTTCGGACAAAGCCTTCGTATAGTTGATCGCGCAGGGCTGGCGTTACTGCTTGTTATTCGCCGACGAATGCCTCCCGGCAGTGCTTGCATGGTCTTGTTTGTGGATGAAGAAATCAGCCAAGCATGCCATTTCAATCCCTGGATGTTTTGACGACCACTACCCATCTCAGAAGGCACCTTCTGTACGAGCGAAGGAAACCAAGACTGAAAAGAGCAGGCGTGTGGATGTCGCCGATAAAGTCAGGACTATAAACGAAGCACCTTTGCCAGCAGTGAGAAGATGGCTCTAGCGCTTCACAAGGGACGTTTTGTTTTCTTCAACACATCATTATAGTCAGAATGGTCTGCAAAACAGTCCTCGCTAGCGTGGCCATTGGTACCATTGCTTTAGCCACTGCCTTCACGCCGAATCTTAACGCAGCAGGGGAGGAGTTACGGTTGATCAAGACGTCTGATGTTGACAACGGCACATGGTACACCGAGCAAGAGAAGCTGGATCTTTTCATCTCAACACCTTCATGTGCCCACTTCATGGACATCACGGAGACTCAGGTTCGTCAGATGCTTGTTGATGCACGCGAGGCCTATTGTTTGGTATCTGACATTGGTTGAGGAGCTCGAGGCACACCGTGTTGCTGTTGCAAACGGGTTCAAAGTTGACAAACGCCAATCTGCAACGTTCCCTTCGGCGGCCGCTCACCAAGCAGAGGCAAACCCCTTGATCGATCAAATTAGCAAGACCAACCCCAAGACCTGGGCTACGACATTGACCAATATTCATAACCGGTACTACAAGGGATCTTATGCTGCATCATCAGCCACGACTGTCTACAATCTCGTCAAGAATGTTGCTGCTGCGAACACGAAGATCACTATCAAGCAGTTTACTCACAGCTACAACCAACCGTCTGTGATCGCCACGATTCCTGGAACCTCGTCCAACGTTATCATTGTATCTGGACACTTCGACTCGATTAATCAGGCCAATCCTACAACGGGTCGGGCTCCTGGGGCCGATGACAACGCCTCCGTAAGTATTGCATTGCAGATATTTGAGATCACAATCTGACTGGTCTAGGCCGTTGTCACCATCCTTGAGTCTCTCCGTGTTTTGGCAGCGGCCAAGTATGCCCCGAAGAACACCCTCGAGTTCCACTTCTATTCTGGCGAGGAAGGCGGTCTCTTGGGTGCTCGTGCTATCATGCAAGACTACGTCAACCGCAGCGTCAAGGTTCTTGCTGTCATGAACCAAGACATGACTGCGTATTCTCCCAATCACAATATCGCAGTCTATACTGACTACGTGAGCACACCGCTGAGCAACTTTATCATTAAGTTGGTGCCGGTGTACACTGCTCTGCCGGTGATTACGGATCGATGTGGGTACGCTTGCAGTGACCAGTGAGTTCTCACTTATACAATCAACAAGTTGCGTCATTGCTTGCTAATGGTTATTGTAGTGGTGCTGCATATGACGCGGGCTACCCTGCTGCCTACGTCTGTGACGAGAACATGGTGGACGCGACGCCTTACCTTCACACCGCCAACGATGCGCTTTCGACTATGGACTTCGACCACTTGCACCAACATGTGCGTTTGACAGTAGGTTTCCTGGTGGAGGGCTCCTACTTTTGAGCAGCCTCCGATGGAATAAGAGCGTCGCTTGACAGGCGTGCTTCAGGACGTAGTCGAATGCAGTCAACATTTCCTATTGTTAGCGCCTTCTACTCATGAATTTTCATCCTCGGAATCGGAATCACACAGAATGCAAGATTACAGTGTGGAAGTGGTCTTCACGACGTGTCTCTGAACGTCGTAACACACATACACTAAGGCTGCAATGGGAAGGTATAGGCGGGAATGATCACCTTCCCCCACCTTAGCTATCAAGACAGATACAAATCGCAACTTGGTGGCATCATCGTCACACTGTTACTTTTCAACTTTCCCACACCATTGTGACAGCCAAACATGGAAGATCGCGCGCGCATACCCGTCAGCCCTCCCGTGGCTGATCCAGTACCGTCCTACTGGCATGACCCAGAATCATCCCTTACAAACATTAACCATGGTCAAGATGATTCTCACGAGCCCTACGACTATGTCATTATTGGTTCAGGTATCTCAGGAACCATGATCGCCTACAACCTGCTCAAGAAAAACCCCAAGTATCGCATCATGATGCTAGAAGCGCGCGAAATCTGTAGTGGAGCTACAGGTCGCAATGGAGGCCACACGAAAGCAGCAAGCTATCGATCCTACTTGCAACACGCCGAAGAGCTGGGAAAAGAGGAGGCGTTGAAGATCGCAAGGCTGGAGTATGACAACATTGTTGAGACGCATCGACTGGCGGAAGAGTTGGGGATCGATTGTGAGAATAAATTGTGTAAGACTGTAGACATCATATACGACAAGCCCACATTTGAGCTTGGGAAGATGGCAATCCAAGCGTTACGTGCAGATGTGCAGGATGAAGAGAAGGAAGCAGGGAAGATGGCTTGGTATAACATCCGTGAGAACATCGAGACCGTGAGCGAGCACTTCAGAGTCAGCGCTAAAAACGAGAACCCAGTAGTTGAAGACAAGGAAACGGTAGCCGGCGCGTTCGAGTACATCGCCGGCAGAGTGCATGCGTACCGCTTCACCACAGGCGTGCTAGCAGAGTGCATCAAGATGGGCCTACAAATCTGCACCAACACACCAGTCCTGGAAATCGAGCCTTCGAGGGACATTGCCGACTTCTTATGGGATATAAGCACACAGAACGATACATTCATAGCGCGAAACTTGATTCTGGCGACGAACGGGTACACTCCTTTCCTCGAACGTTCACTGCAGGGTGCGATCGTTCCGTTGCGAGGGCAAATCACAGCTCAGAAATCAGGAAAAGCATCAAAATTGTCAGTACCATTACCCACTACGTTTTCCTTCATCTACAAAAGCGGGTATGAGTACATGATACCCCGACCGCTTCCGGGCGGCGGCCAGCATATCGTTATTGGCGGCGGTCTCGGCCGTCTACCAGAGGCAGGAGCAAGTGAATTCGGTACTGTCGACGACAGCTCGCTCAACCCAGAAATCTCAAAGTACCTCCATGGCAGCCTTGCTGGCTACTTCGGCTCTACCAATTGGGGCGAGATCAGTAACGAAGAGGCTTCGAACCGAGTCGTTCAGGAGTGGACAGGGATAATGGGCGCAACAGCAGACGGAAGGCCTTTCGTGGGCAAGGTCCCAGGAAAGATGGATTACCGAAACCTTCCCGAATATGACGGGCCTAAAGAAGATGTCCCTCTCAGGAACTTGTGGATATCAGCAGGCTTCAACGGACACGGGATGGTACTGTGTCTGAAGTCGGCAGAGGCCCTGGTCAAAATGATCGAGAACGATGGAATGGGTTGGACTAATGATGGACCGGGTAATGTGGATGGGTTGGACTGGTTTCCAAAGAGCTTTCTCATCAGTGAAGATCGACTTAAGCGGTGCCAGTTCAAGGGAAGGACGGATCTGCTGCCGAAAGAGTGATCTGCCGGGAGGCCAATCATAGTTTCAGTTCGTTGACCATAGCCTCCCCTATCGATCCAGCAAGCAGGTTCTGCACCGATTCAGCGACCATCTGCTCTCGTGTCTCAAGCGTGGCTGAACCAATGTGTGGCAGCAAAACACAACGTGGCTGCTCCAGTATAGGGTAGATGGCTTGTATGTTTGGCTCGTCTTCGATAACGTCGAGGCCTGTACCGAAGATCTTGCCTTGGTCGAGCGCATCTACCAACGAGTTCGTGTCGATTACAGGACCTCGCGCTATGTTGACAATTACTGAAGTCTTCTTCATCTTCTTGAAGAAGTCAGCATTCACAAGATGCTTCGTACTCGGCGTCAAGGCACATCCCACGATAACGACATCGCTCTCGCTCGCAAGCTGACCCAGATTGCGTGCAACCTCGACCGGAACGGTAAGGCCATGCATATGCTTGATGAGATCATAGTAGTCTTCCCACACCGGCTTTCCAGGCTTCGACGTAACGTAAATAACCCGCTTATCGGTGCTTGCAAAAATGTGCAGACCCCGCTGACCTTGGTACAGTGATGCGTACAGTAGGTAAGTACCGTGGTTCATGAGAGCGGACAGCCTTGTGAGTGGCCGTTCACCACGTTGTTGCCCTGCAAGACATGTACCAGACTGTCAATTCTGTCAACCAAGATAGAAACAGCCACTTAAAAGCCTTCATTCTTATATAATGTAAGTCTGTCGCAATAGTGAACCAACTTCAGGGGGGTCTGTACATTTCAGCAACCATTATAGCGCCAAACGCAATAAGTCTTTTCAATGCAGCTTGTGCAATCCGGCCAAAGCCCAAGAAGCCAACAGTCACACCACGGATCTGAGGACCAGCCATGAGGAGAGGATGCCATGGCATTTGCGACCCCTGCTCACTTCCGCCTTCGCTTCTCCTCCTCCTCTTCTTTGCGCCATGAGTACTAGCATGACTGTCAGGTCTGCTACTGCGTCAGAGAGGTAGTCTGTGATATAGCCTAAGCGAATGTTGCGCTTTTTCAGTGCCGCGAGGTCGATGTGATCAGTCCCAGCGGTGAATGTCGCGACTGCTTTCAGCTGGCTGCCTGCTGCTTCTAATAGCTCTTTATCGGTTTTGTCGGAGACCATTACCAGGAGCCCGGCTGCTCCTTTCACATTTACAAGAAGCCATAATCGATCGCAAGGCTGCAAGCACCTGATTAGTACTCGTGCCTTCCATTCTTGCTGGAGTGCTTCCCACCTTGTCAGATCGGCATTGGACAACTTCAAGATCATCTGTTCATGCATCAAGCAAAGCCTGAGACCCATCGAGCAGGTTTCGCGTTACCACAATCTTTTGCGTAAGCATTTTGAGGAAGTCGTTGGCAAGGCTACGATTGGCCGAAGGCGGGGCACCAGTCGGGGTACAGCCTCGGGTGTCGTCACAGGGCGCGTTAGTAGCCTTCTAACAAATGAGATCGCTGTGTCCTTCCATCTCATCTTGGCCCTTGAAATTGCCAAAAGAGGAAAGGGGTAGGGTGGCTTATGTGAAGTGCGATTTCCGTATACGGTCAAGTCAGCATGCAGCAGTGCTTACGATGAGTCGTGTCGAATCGTTGCTGATTGGACGTGCTGCCCCATCTCACAAAGCATTGCGGCTCAAGGTGTGGTAGCGAAATGACGACGAAGGCTTATACATATATGTAACGATATGTCTGATAATATACTTATATGCCTTTGCTGTCTTCTTCAAACCTTTCAGACAGACAATGTCAAACACCATGCTCGCGCCACTCAACTCTTTCAGACACACAACATCAAATATGATGCTCGCAGCACTTCCCCAGCCAGGCCTCGTGCTCTTCCCCGGCTTCACAGCCCAACGCCCCGAGACCTTTTTCGTAAAATGCGACAGTGGATCTTCGACCATGGCACATTACCAAGTTTCGTTCGCATCTCCCACCGGCGGTCCCGGCGCACCACTCATGCGCATCAACGAAGAAGAGAAGAAGACTATCATCTTCCGTCTGCTAAACGGTCAAGAAGCGATGAGGATAGTGAAGCAAGTGCACAACTGGAGCGGAAAGAGCCCGGAGTACCATGGATACGCGCCAGATGGGAGGAAGCTGTGGCATTTGAGTCTAAAGTCGGGATTGCTGAAGACGAAATATGGTTAGTCGAAGTGCTTCTATGAAGCATAATTCTATTCTGACATGTGATAGTCTTGACGTGGGAGCCTGGATCAGGATCGTGCATGCCATCGGTGGAAATAGAGAACAAAACGTCCAGTGGAGACCTTGGTCTGTTGGTCAATGGTAGCCTGGCTATGACCGTGACGAAGCCCAACATCTTGAAATGGCGGAGGGAGAACGTGGTAAACGTAGCACCAGGTATGGATATCTTGCTTGCGTTGGGTCTGAATTGGATACGATACGATAAGCAGAGCATGGATGCGAAAGCCATAGGTAAAGGTGTTGGTGACGGAGGTGACTCAGTAGCTGCAATTAGCGGTGAGTAAGTCTTAGTCTCAGGATTACCGCCAATGGTAGATTCGACATTTATACAGTATTGAGATAAATGCATTTTCATTTTGCTGCTTTCGAGGTCAGTAGGGTATATTCGCGATCACCGTGACTATAATAGGTCTTCATGCTCCTCCTCAGCATCCTCTACACCCCAATCCAGCTTCATGAGCAGTCGGTCGATGCCACCGACTCGGAGTGGTTCATATCTGCCTTCGTCGTCCTCTAGAACGTTCGTGGGTCGCGGTCCGCTGGCACCGATTCTCTCGCTATCAATCTCCCTCAGCCGCTCCACCAGCCCTTTGAGGTCGCTATCAAGTCTCCTTCTTGCACGGTCCATCTCCAGGCTGACGTTTGCCTCCTCTTTTTTGTAGTTCTGCGAGAAGTCTTCTACGCCCTCGTCTTCCTCGAGGTCAAGGTTTTGCTGGATAGATTGAAGGCGCGTGATGTGAGCGACGATATCATCCACGTGGGTGCAGAAAGTGCGTAGCGTTTTGGTGAAGGCGCCATCCATTATGAGAAGTGAGTATGCGACAGAAGCAAGGAAGTGTCGATGTGCGAGTGCAAGCGCCTCCGGATCGTGTTGCTGCTGCGTTTCACCCTCTAACGCAACCTCGTCCGTTCCTCTTGTTGGTGGCCTATCTGGCGTTGTCGGCCGAGTCTCAGTATGTTGATGTTTCTTAGGCCCCTGTACCCAATCTAGAAATGCCTTGAAAGACTCTTGTACGACTTCTCCTTGGAAGTAGGCCTCGCTCTCAGCCAGGAAGAAGATAGCGGCTCGGCAAGTCGCCCAGATGTTCCGCATATTTCGAGCTCGCTGGTTCGTTCGCTGACGCCGTCGCTTCAGGATTGCCTTTCCGCGTGATGAATTGCTGTACTGATAACCTGGCGGACACGGGTGATCTCGTCGAATCGTGCTGTGCCGCCATAGTTGCGCGAGGTGGAGATGAGCTCGTCTGACTGCGAGTAAGTAATTGTTTATCGATGAGTAGACATCTATATCGGCTTTGGTAATGAACAAATCGAGAGGTGACAAGATGTCCATGCTAAGGGAGACGGGCACCGATAGCAATAGATCATCGAACGACATGTTAGGAATCTGCGGTAGTGCAGACTCAGCATCCTTCGCACGACCAGGGGTGCCAGGGCGATGGCCTGATGCACTGTGCACGTCAAGATGCAAGATGTCTGATGCAGCATCGAGGATGTCATCGATGTGATCATCTTCACCACCAAGAGTTGACAAGACCGAGAGTGAACGCGCCAGAGTTTGGTTGATCTCAGCTTCCTTCAAGAGAAGACCTTTGATAGATTGACCAGACTTCGTCGACTGTGGACCACGATGTCGGGAAGAAAGCTTATCATCAGCCTCCGCTATCAGCACCATCGCGAACTCGCCTCGGCCAAGCAGAAAGAACTGGTATAGTACGTTGAGAGTCTCAACTATCTTCTCTCGAGGCAACAGATGCTGAAGCAAGTTGCGTGAGAGTGATGTCCGAATGTTTGCGATAACCTCAGATAGCTTTGCGGAAGAGATGGGCGCAGTCACTTGGGAGAGATGTTGCACATGGACTGGCAGGAGCTCGAGCTCCGATATCTGTGTTGTTGCAGTCTTCGTCTTCGACGTGGATGGCAGTGATCGTATCTGATTGAGTGACTTCCCCACAAACATGATGGACAGCGCGGTCTGGCGAGACACGAATTTCGGCAATAGCCTGTTCCGAGCCACGAAAGAGAGCTCGTTGGAGTCTTCATCTTCTTGTGCGATGAAGAAGTCGGATGCGCCGAAGGATGGTAAGCGGCCATATAGAAGCCATGTCGACAGTTGCCGTAACCATGCTGTCTCTGCAACTTTCCCCAAGTACTGAGCAGCTTCTTCGATGTCCGGGTACCCTGTTTGAGCTTCTGTTCGCAGCTTGTCAATGAGCTCGGAGCCCGAAGCTGCTTTCTGGCTGATCTTTTCACTCTTTGGTGGTAGTTCTGATGGTAGCATGAAATTACTGATGTCCCAAAGCCACTCCATCAATCTAACCCATCCAGAGAACTCGCCAACGATGCCGGCTAGCGGCACAATGTTGTACGCTCCAACAGTCGATGCATCTTGCTTCAAGATTTGGCTCTCGACTTCCAGGATCTTTTGTTGAAATTTGTCCAGATGGTACGAGGTTATGGCAGTAGCTACTGCTCGACAAACAGTGGACGGGTGAGAACTTGCAACTCTTGCAACATGGTCGCGTGTCTTCCGGTGTAATCGGGACAGATGACCAATTGAGGCCAACAATTCAGCTTCTGGAGGTGACAACAAGCGGCTCGCAGTCGAGGTCACGTGCGTGGAACCTTGCTGGGCATCGAAGAGTGCTGAGGGGTGTCCGGAGAGCGAGAGGAGAATTTCGTGGAGCATGGCAGCGGCGACAAAGGCGGGGCAGCCGTTGTCGGAGCCTGCTTTTTGCGGCTCCTCACAGTGAGACGCTGGACAAAGACGATGAGCAAACTCAACAGCTCAAAGCGACACATGGGAGGTCGCGTCGCGCTGCGCACATTGCTTGCGTGAATTGTTGGTTGGATGCGGCTAGTGTTGCGGACGCGCAGAGGAGACGCGGTCTGGGTTGGCATGGGTGCTTGCCCCACGCCCGCGGTCTCAGAAGGAGCCACCAATAAGGCACAAGCTGAATAAGGTCCGTAGATCCCTGTCCCACCTGCGTCCAGTTGACCGAGGGGCATTTATTGACTGTCCCGCAAGTACCTTTCACAAACACATTTGGGAGCTTCAGAATGGCACAAAGAACACTAGTGAGGCCAATTGGCCTTGCATTGAACTCTGCTCGTACACAGCAGTTTGTTCGTCCCTTCAGCACAGTCCTGGACACACCAATTGATCCCAAAACCCAACAAGTTACCCCACCGACAGCCCGGAAATCATTGGTATTCGAAGACGCTGTCAATGCTGCTGGACCCAGAACCAATTGGACAAGAGAGGAGATCGCGGAGATTTACAACACTCCACTGATCAAACTGACCTATGCGGCGGTATGTTTGGGTTCCATCTATCCTAAAGAACCATTCTGATTCTTGAAATCATAGGCTTCAGTACACCAGCGCTTCCATGACCCAGCTGCTATTCAGATGTGCACTCTGATGAACATCAAGACTGGTGGTTGTAGCGAAGATTGCTCATACTGCGCACAATCTAGCAGATACGACACAGGTCTGAAGGCCACTAAGCTCTCATCTGTTGAGTCTGTGTTGGAAGCTGCTCGTGTCGCCAAAGAGAATGGCAGCTCGAGATTCTGTATGGGAGCTGCATGGCGTGACATGAGAGGCCGCAAGACAAACTTGAAGAACATCAAGGCCATGATCACGGGCGTTAGAGAGATGGGCATGGAGGCGTGCGTTACGCTCGGTATGGTCGATGCTGAGCAGGCGAAAGAGCTGAAGCAGGCTGGTCTGACAGCGTACAACCACAACGTTGACACCAGCCGTGAGCACTACCCAAGTGTCATCACAACACGAACATACGATGAGCGCCTCAAGACCATCCAAAACGTCCAAGAAGCCGGTATCCACGTCTGCACCGGAGGTATTCTTGGTCTCGGCGAGAAGGCCAAGGATCACGTTGGCCTTGTTCACACCGTTGCCACACTTCCTGCACACCCTGAGTCGTTCCCTGTCAACGCGCTAGTACCAATCAAAGGCACACCACTCGGCGAAACTCAATCAGTTTCCTTCGATGCCATTCTCCGTACTATTGCGACTGCACGACTGGTCATGCCTAAGACAATCATTCGTCTCGCAGCTGGTCGTCATACCATGCGCGAGGAGAAGCAGATCATGTGCTTCCAGGCTGGTGCGAACGCCATCTTCACTGGTGAGAAGATGCTTACCACTGCCTGCAACGGTTGGGAAGAGGACAAGGCTATGTTTGCACGATGGGGCTTGAGGCCGATGGCCATGGAGGAGACCATTGGAGAGGTGAGCAAGGCCGAGAATGTTGTTGTTGAGGCAGTGAAGGAGGCAGAGCAAGCTTCTGCTACTGCATAGATCTACAAGTCTTAGTATTGAAGCTAGAGACGGCTACAGGATATAAAGTACATTACAGCTGAGCTTTCATCCGTTCTGGGCCTTGCTTCTTTTCCCCTATTGTATCCTCTTCGCTCCATTCCTGTAACGCGCCAACCAGAGTCTCGACCTCATCAACTGTATTACCTGCGTGTAGGCAGATCCTGACTCTCTCGGTTCCTAGAGGAACTGTTGGTGACACGACCGCTCTGACCATCATGCCTCTCTCTTGGAGATATCTGGCAAGATTTCTTGGACGTTGCAATTGCACTGCAAATATTGGCGACTGTGGACAAGCACTAGGTATGCTGAGCAAACTCCTGGCTGCAGCGGAAGTGACGTGAAGTTGCTGCATAGCCTTGAAGAGAAATTCTGTCAAGTGATGCAGATGTAACTGCAGGGGCACGGTGCCTCCTGCCCGGAGCAGTTGGTAAGAAGATCGTATGAGCGCCAGAGATGGATACGACAGAAAGGTCGTGTAGATCAGGGGCCGGGCATAGTTGATCAGGTAATGGCGAAGGGTGTTAGAGCCAAGGAGGATAGCTAGTGTACCGTCAGCACAAGATCATTGAGGTGTAGTCTGTTTCAGAACGTACCACCATTGCCAGCTAGTGCTTTGCCAAATGTGTGTAGTCGTGCAAAAATTTGCTTCTCGAGGCCAAGCTCACAGACAAGACCTCTTCCTTCAAATCCTAGCACTCCGGTCGAATGTGCTTCATCAACAACGATGTAGCCTCTTCCTTCACCCAAAGTCTCAGCGACGGTATCAACAATCTGCCGCAGGGGCGCAACATCGCCATCCATACTGTAGATTGACTCCACAGCGATGAACACGTTACATCTACTCGGTAGCTGAGCCACCTCGCTCAATACCCTTCGAAGATCTGCTACCGAGTTATGTTCGAAAGGCACTGTCTGTGCAGCTCTTGAAAGGCGCATCCCATCATGCACACTCGCGTGTACAAGCTCGTCAAACACGATCACATCGCCAGGCTGCGGTACACACGAGAAGAAGCCAGCGTTTGCATCGAAGCCGCTGTTCCAGAGCAATCCTGCCTCAGCGCCATGGAACGCGGCAATGTCGCATTCTAGTGATTCGGCATAGGGCGAATTGCCGTCCAAGAGTCGAGATCCACCACTGCCGAGAGGTAATTGCGAGGTTTGGAGTTCTGCAAGATACACACCCTTCAGTTGAGTGTTGGTCGATAGTGACAGAAAGTCATTAGACGAGAAGTCGATTTGGCCAGCTTTGGGTAGGGTCAAGTTGCGCAACGTCGAGTTTGTCTGTCGTCTTTCAAGCAAACACTGCATCCTGGCATCGAGTGGTCCTTTCTCATTCGTGCCTTCCATCTCTTTCTTCGTTGCCATCACCGAGGCCGAGAACTCCAAATCGAGTCCAGATGCTGTTTCCTGCCGAGCTGGATCGCTAGCGTGGGTCGCTCCACAAGGTGGGCAAAAGCATTGCCCGGCCCACCAACACAAGAGGCAATTGTCAGACGGAAGGCGGGGGAATGACACACTCGTTGACTCAATCACTCCCCTTCCAATGCCTTGACTAACCGCTACAGTTCGAAATCGGTTTAGTGTGTTGTGTATGCAGGTCGATGCAGGAACGGGACCGAAGGAGATGTACTTTTCCTTTTCCTTTCTAGACCGAACCGGCGGAACTCAAATCCCCAGCGCAGCATACACCCCACACCGACCACGAAACATTGCGATCCCGCATCAATCGCACCGCACTTGGTCCTTCCGTCACGAGAATGTCGAGAGTGCCCGCGGGATTATGGAAGAAATACATCGCGGTGCAAATATATGGTGCTAACACCGATGTTGGAAAGACTGTGTTCTCTACCCTCCTCGGTTTGCGCGTCAAACATGGATTGAAGAGGAGGAAATATCAAATCCAGTATATCAAGCCCGTCTCGACGGGACCTGCCAGCGATCGCGATGATGAGTCCGTCTGCCCAATCCTTCAGCAATGTACAAACACGGCTAACATTAGCTAGCTATGTGCGGAGGTACACAGGTCAGACTGTTTCAACCCTGTTCCAGTTCAAGGACCCTGTCAGTCCTCACATAGCCGCTCGAGACTCGGCTCGAGACCCGAAGGATATTGTGAGGAATAGCATTACAGATGTCTGGAACTACAGACTAATGACACCAGCCCAACGATAGTTTCCTTAATCATCGTCTTCATCAGCAGCTTCGGAACAGTGCATATGCGATCCATCATAAGTCAGATGACTGGGGTTTCGGCATCGTGGAAACTGCTGGTGGAGTCCTTAGCCCGGGTCCATCAGGAACGCCGCAGGCGGATATTTACCGATCCTTGCGACTCCCTGCAGTCCTTGTTGGTGACCACAAGCTTGGGGGCATAGCTTCGACTATCTCAGCTGCTGAGTCGCTCATTATGAGAGGCTACGATCTCGATGCCGTCGTCTGTTTCGATGACAAGAGCAAATATCAGAACGGCGAGTACCTGACACGGTACTTCAATGACAAGATGGGAATCCCAGTCTACAACATACCGTGGATACCCAATAACCTTGACGGCAAGGATGAGCGCGAGGAGCAAGCGTTAATGAAGCAGTACTACGAGAAAGTGTGCAAAGACCGAGAAGTCCACAACATTGCAGCACGCATTGTTGATCGACACCGTAAGCGAATCGAGAACATAGACAGCATGGCATCACGAACACACAAGACGATCTGGCATCCTTTCACACAGCACAAGCATGTCGAGAAAGCGGAAGACGTGCTCGTATTTGATTCGGCATACGGTGACTACTTCCAAGTCAAACGCACCTCGAAGTCAGAGACGAGCGGTGAGCTCGATGACTCTTTGCCGATGTTGTATCCGGCGTTCGACGGATCTGCGAGCTGGTGGACGCAAGGTAATCTACAAACTCGATGGATCCTGAATCTGCTCTGATTGTCACTACAGGTTTGGGACATGGTAATCCCCGCTTAGCACTTGAAGCAGCGTACGCAGCAGGTCGCTACGGACATATCATGTTTGCAGGAGCAACACACGAGCCAGCACTGAAGCTTGCTGAGCACTTACTTGAGGGCCTGAAGAATCCTCGCCTAACTAAAGTCTTTTACACTGACGACGGAAGCACAGCGACCGAAGTTGGTATCAAGATGGGCGTCCGTGCAGCCTGCAAACACTACGGCTGGGATGGCTCCAAAGAGGCTATCGGAGTGTTGGGACTTAAGGGTAGCTACCATGGCGACACAATTGGCGCCATGGACGCGTCAGAGCCGTGTGTCTTCAACGAGAAAGTCGATTGGTATCGAGGTCGTGGCTACTGGTTCGATTATCCGACATACAAGCTGAAGGGTGGTCGTTGGGTCGTTGAGCCACCCGCAGGCATGGAGGAGGAGTTTGGACCTGTGCAGCAATTTGCCGAGCAGGACGACATTTTCGACTTCGACGCTAGAGGGCAATCGCCAAGATATGAAGCATATATCGAGAAGACGCTCGACAGACTTGTCAAACGGGAGGGCAAGAAGTTTGGCGCACTGGTCATGGAGCCTGTCATTCTGGGCGCAGGCGGTATGATCTTCGTGGATCCTTTGTTCCAGCAGAGCCTTGCGCGCGTTGTGCGTCGTTACAACTTCGCCACATCTTCGGAGGCCGCGCCTCCGGCGATTGAGGGCGGACATGCATGGACCGGATTACCTGTCATGTTTGATGAGGTCTTTACTGGCTTGTACCGTCTTGGCCGTTTCTCGTCTGCCTCGTTCCTCGAAGTTCATCCCGATATCTCCGTTCACGCCAAACTGCTCACAGGTGGTTTGTTGCCATTGTCAATCACGGCAGCCAGCGACTCGATCTTCCAAGCCTTCTGGGGTGACGAAAAGTCTGAGGCTCTACTCCACGGTCACAGCTACACTGCGCACCCCATCGGCTCCCATGTTGCCAATGTGAGTCTAGACAGGATGGATAATTACTATCATGGATCGAAGTGGTATCAATTCAAGCGCGACTGGAAAGAGGTACAATCGCAGGCTACCTCAACAAGACAGGATAAGAGGGATAAGACATGGAAGATAACCCCAAACAACCTCCAAACAGAGTCCAGACTCTGGAGCTTCTGGGGTAAGGAGTTCGTGCACAGTCTTTCGCACCATGAGCGCGTTGATCATGTTAATGCACTTGGCTCCACCTTAGCTGTGTCACTGAAGGACAAGTCTGGAGCCGGTAAGTCCACACACTTTGTCATGCTTTGTTCTGAAGCTATACTAACGTAAACAGGCTATACTTCTTCCGCAGCCATAGGTCTCCGCGACTCGCTTTTGTTCGATCACAGCAAGGTCCAGATTCACTCCCGTATCCTCGGCAACGTCATCTATCTGATGGCCAGTATGACAACGACGCAAAGTCAGCTGAAGACTGTTGAAGAAACATTCAGGCAGAAACTGGACGCGATCAGTGAGTAGTTTGGTAGAAGCACGTTAAAGGCTACATTATATGCTGCACAATCTATTGTATGCAGGTGATCTGAAGTCGGTGTCCCTTCTCGAGGCAGTGCTCGTACGCGATGTACCAGACTAGGCAGCTGCTGGTAGATGCGTGCTTGGACGGTGTTCTGTTACACCCGTCATGTACGCTGCAGCACTGTACGACAGGTCCTGATTCCGATCATGCTATAGAGGCGTGGACGTTGCACATTATCTCTATGAAAACCCCCGACGAAGATTTCGACTTATTCAAGCTCTTTCTTCGTTCACTTGCGTTTGCAGCCACTCTCGAAATGAACGCACTTGACTTCCTCCTCGACTTTGCAACTCTTATGGGCACATCGTCAGCCTTGACAATTCCGCCGGGCTCCCGCAACGCTCCAAACATACCAACTCAGGAGGTCCAAACATCGAAAGCGTTGTCACTACAAAGTGCTCAAAAGCCATTCCCCCATGGAGACCATCTCCAGCAAGCCCCGCAACCTTTTCATCCTCAGCTAGGTACCGGCATCCCTTCGATGACCTCGCATGAGGAGACAATTGCAGCCTTCTCAAGAGCCCACGCAAGCCCTACAATTCAGAATCCCATCGACTGGATTCCAGCACCTCCTTATCCGCAACACCCATCCACGCAAGGCCAGATCTTACACCACCCAGAAGACCACTGGTTCACCGAAGTGCTCAGCTTCGACTGCGAACTCACTTGTGGTCACCATCCCGACCAACAATATCATTGCAGGTACATGCCTCCGCCATCAGTCTGCACTGCGGACGGCTGTGCGCCCCCGCCGCCATGGAAGGCGAATCAGGTGCTCCTGCAACATCAGCAACCGTTCCAGCACATACCGGCTGAGGGCCTATCTTGCGAGTACAACTGCGAAGACTGCTTCTACAGACAACCGTGTCACTTTCCGTACTTCCCACCACACAGCAACTGCACCCAAGACGGCTGTGTGCCTGTAGCACCGGTGGAGATGTGGGGCCATGTTCAGGATAATCTGGAGATGTTTACACATCGGGGGAACCAGGGCCGAGTCGTAAGAGGGAATCTTTTGCAGCATCATTGAGCTTATTACTACCGTCGAAGCCTGACCAGGGACCTGTGATTATAGCCTGTAAACCAAGCCCTGAAGAGCAATGAAATGTTGTTGCGGTGTGTGCCACTGTAGAATACTGATAGCTACGGTAAACGATAACGTAAGACTATCGGGTCAATGGAATACTGCGCTGAATTGTTATCTAGCTGGGAGATGACGACTATATACCTGACCTCAGGCCAGTGACCTGTCACACACTAGACTAGGGTAGTCTGTCAGGGGTACAGTCAGACCTTGTACAGACCGACCGATACCGCAACACATGTCCATCCCTAACCTTCCTCACTGTCTCAGCCCAGACCTAGACTCCTATCTGTACACTAGCCTTCTTGACCTCCTTCTCATCGAGTTGTCGGACGGGGAACCCAACTTTTTCCAAGTTTGTTTCTTTGATCTCCTCGCCCCTGATCTTGCTCACCAGTCCGTCCAACCAGTCTTGATGGCCGAGTAGCATCTTGTTGGGTTTTTGGATACTCCATTCTGCGAAGACCTGCGTTCCATCAGCACACTTCCTCGCACATGAAACGGGATGTACAGCTTACAGGGCCGATTTGGCTCTCTTGCGTCAAAACGCGGACACGATCATTCTCGAGGTCCTGCACCAACCACGCGTGGTAGATCTCTAGCCCGTCCGGCGTCTTGCTCTCCCACGCTAGTCTGCCCTCCCTTCCCCTCACACTGCCCTCAGGCTCAACACTCTCCTTGACCGTGCAAGTCAGCGGCGGGAAACCGAAGGTGCTGAACTTGAAAACGCGGCCCTTCAGTAGCTGTGGCCCTTCATCGGGGACGGTGATCTGGGCGCAGTTTTTGTAGTAGGACTCCCATTTGGAAACGTCGGCTAGTTGTTTCCAGATCTGCTTAGCAGAAATGCCTTTTGCGATTATCTCGTTGCTAACGAAGTTGTCCGTGGTGCCCGGCGCGAAGTGTGCGGGGAAGATGATGGAGGGTTGGGTGGACATGGTGGGGGAGAATGGGCGGGCGATGTTCCACGTAGTTTGCATTTGGTGTTTTGGATATGAAGGTATGTTAGGGATGTTGTTTAAGTACAATTTTCTGATTATGAAGTTGTGAAGGGCAGTGTGCGCTGTTGTATTGCTTACGATATGATGGAGATGGTTGATTACATCATGGGCTAAATGCTCTCCCGGATGGTTCGTAAGGCGGAGAGATTTGTCATCTTGGGTTGAACGGAAGGAGGGCAGATGTTTTGACGAAGTTTGACTTGCGGGCAATGAGACAATGCGCCAATTGGTCGCGCAGAAAGGTATCCGTGGCTGTAGCTCTCACTCGTGGTGGGTGGGGTAAGAGCGTTAGATGTGACATAGATTCATCAAAAGGACAAGCACATCACAGAAACAATAAGCTCATCAATGAAGTGTTTGCATCGGTATTATTCGCAGTACAAGTGTCTATCCGCATTCCATCGCATTTCGCATGTAGCTTTCATCAATCATGACATCCGCGTCCTGCGCCGTGGCCAGAGTAGACGTGTTCATGAGTTGATGAAGGCAGAAAAAGGGTCGCAGAGAAGCGGCTTTGGGTCCCACCAAAGCGTTGTGGTCCAACAGCCGCAGTATGTACTGCTGTGAAGAAAAGTAAGCATCTAACATGACACGCTGTCTGGAGAACAATGAATCCCAAAACAACCGAGTACACTCCGTAATATCATGTTTTGACAAGCCTGCGCAGTTGGGCAGACGACGTATCGAGAGTTCGATAGCGACCGGTGATTCTGTTGCAACACTTCCAATTCGACAAATGGATGTTACGAGATGCGAGACGCCAAATTACCCAAAGGTGGATGGTGAGGCTCTGCGTTTGACTGGTGCTGGGTTCACTTCTAGTGCACCGGAGCAGCTGCAGCACGCTGAGCCCAGGACTCGCGCTTGGGAGCTGCGGCAGGACGAGGCTGGGCAGGCCATGCGCTGGGCAAGTTGACCCTAGGCGAGCTGCTTGTGCGCTCGCCTTGTCCTTGCTGCGATGGTTTGCGCGGGCGGTCCTTTGCGCCGCCGGTTTGGGGTCCAGTAGGGGTGCCATTGCGCTTGAGCTTGCTGTAGGTTCCATTGCCCTTGCCACGACGCGGCTTTGGCATCATCTTGGTGATGGGTATCCTCATGTGGGCCAGACGAATGATAACGCCGATCTCAGTGCCAGCACCAAAGTCGAATGCGTCCAGTCTCTTAGTTGTGAACGGGTTCTCCTTTCTGACGAGGCGAACATAGGCGTCGTCTTTAGGAAGGGAAATGGCTGGCTCGTTTGCGCTAAGGTGAGGCACCTTGGGCAATCTTACGGTAGGGAGTGATCCAAACTCCCTGTCCTCGAATAGCGCGGCAGTGCCATCACGTGTGAAAGTGCCACGGTTGCGATCAGTTCCTGAAATCTTCCTGGCTGCGGCACTGGGTAGAGAAACAGTCGCAGAGCCTGCATGGCCCCGGACATCGAGGGAAGCCTTACTGGAGGCAGCGACAGCGAGCGCGCCCGGCTTCACAGGTACTGCGACTGGTACTGCAGCAAAGGGCCTAGCGTTCGGTGCGGCATCAGAAGCAGCAGGCTTGTCCAGAAGCTTGTTGAATCGGGCTTGCCACTCAGGATTCATAGCCAGAGGGCGAGCACCAGGTCCGTGGTATCCACGTGGAGGCATATTGACCGAAGGATCTACAAGATCCTGCGCCGGCTTGGGCAGACGAACAACAGGTGAAGGCCTGGGAAGTCTGACCAGTGGATGACCAATGACGCTGCCAGCAAAGACTGGATGGCTCTCAGTTTCAGGAGGAGGTGGCGGAGAGTCGGCCTTGTTTGATGTAGTCATTGGTGCCTGAAAAGCTGTCTCGATCGGTCGAGGGAAGAACCGTGAGGAGCGGGAGCCGCCTGCCTGCTGGAGAGGGGCGCCTTGGATCAGAGGTTGTTGCGGTGAAGAGCCGTCGTGCGAAGGCTTCATAGCTTCATCCCGCAGCTTAAGCTCAGAGCCGGCAGGAGAAACCCTAGCACTGACACTACTGTCCAATACAGTACTGCCAGCAACTTTGCTGTGAACCATAGTCTGCGCCTTGCCTCGTTGGTCCTTATACGTCTCCCGTAGCTCAGGGCGGAACGTCTCACCACCCATGCGCTCGCGGTCCTGATGTGCCTTGACGACCATGTTGGCGTCATCGCGGGCAATGTGAGCGGCGAAATTGCCCCATTTATTGTCCGCTGGCGGTGCAATTGGGCCTGGCCCTGCCTGTGCTGGCAATTGCCTGGACTGAGGATGCATCGGCTGCGATGAGAGCGGCAATTTGACCGTATGTGAGGTTGCTGGCGCCACAGGATCAACGCCGATAGGTGCAATCGATGCAGAAGAAGGCTGTGCAGGTAACTGTTGCTGAGTGCCGGGTCGAGGCTGACCGCGGTTGAAACCTGAGTCGAAGGTACCGTTTCCAAGGTTTCGATCCCTCGTTTGCGCGGAACCCCACACCTGTGAGGTCCACCCTCCACGTGTCTGAGAGCCAGAACCGGACTGCCAGGCGGGTTGCGTTGGCTTTGGGCCTTGTGGGATTGGGCCATCAGCTAGCGGTCGTGAATGTTCTGTTGCCTTCTTTACGTGGTCACGGTTCGAGTCAAACGGTAGCACAGGAGGCTGATCCAGTGACATCGGTAGCCTGACCTGGTTATCTGCGTGCGCATTTGTCTGAGGCTCGACAGGCTTCGCCGACTGGGGTACTGGCGACGGCTTCTTTACTGGATGGGGCTGGTGAACCTTCATCATGCCGTATTGAGCAACCTCGCCATCGTTGGAAGGAACGGGGGGCTTCGGCGGTGATTGCAGGGGTGCAAGAGCAGCATCGACTTTCTGCGGCGAACGTCCAGCTGCAGGTGATGGCGGCTTTTCGCTCGACTTTGGCTTCGGCGCCTCGCCAAGAGCTGCAAGACGTTTGGCAATGCGGGCCTTCTTTTCCTCTTCTTCCTTCTTCTCGGCTTCCAGTTGTTGCTGTTTCTTGAGCCGAGCGCGCTCGATCTTGTCCGCCATCATGCGTTTCTGTGCTTCGACCGCATCTTCCATGGTAGGAGCTGCGTTTGCTGCAGGCGAGGCTGCGTTCACAGGTGGAGGGGCCGAACCTTGAGGCGCAGCTGGATGCACTTGAGCTACATGGGGTGACGTAGCTTGGGCGAGCGATGACCGACGCGGCGCTTCGTTACCTGCAGCCTCTGCTCCATTGACCAAGGGTTGAGCTTGCTGCTCTTCGTCCACGATAGCGTTAGGGAACTCTGGCCCACGTCGATCGAACGACATACGTCGTCCAGGCCCTCCTCCACTGACATTCGAAGAAGTTCGTCTCCTGCCCCAAGATGGCATATCCGCGCTTGATCTAGAAGTCTGGAAGGCAGAAGACGGCTCCGCTGGGCCATCGTGCGATGGTCTCTGCAACAAAGATGGGTGCTGCTGCTGCTGCTGCTGCTGTCTATAACCAGAATCTCTGAAAGAGCCTCGCCGGGCATCGTTAACAGGCTCATAGCGACCGTTTTGCGAATTGAAGAGCTCACGTCCGCCTCGTTCTTCGCGCCATGTGCGATTAAAATCGTCTGGCGCAATTTCTCTGCCGTGGTGTGGCGGCATAGGCTCATAAGCGCGGTGGTCCTGCGTGGGAAAACGGTGATTCGTGGGCTGCTGTTGTACAGTCGGGTTGATCTGGACCGGGGGCACCTTCTCGACAGGAGGTAGAGTAGCCCATGGTGACTTAGCAGGGGCACCGGTAGAGGGTTTGGCCACGAGGGTGGGCTTTTCGGGTTGGCCTTTCAGAACCAGGCTTGACTTTGTAGCGCCTGACTGCGCATGTGCTCCAGGCTTCAGAATTGTCTTTGGGCCGCCTGTTACGCTTGTCTTTGGTGCGCTCGTAGCTGTAGGCGCTGCAGACTTTGGCGTATCGGCCGCTGGTTCAGGCTTTGCGAGAATGATCGGCTTCGGTGGTTCTTCGACAGGCGGTGGCTGGTTTTCTGGAGCTGTGACGGACGATTTCGTTCCGTCCATCCACTCCACGGTGTCTGGAGCCCAGTCGCCATCGTCATCGTCGATGTCAGCCCACTTTGCCTCTTTCCCAGCTTCGTCCATGGGCAGACGTGTCGCAAGATGGATACCATACTGCTGCTTAAGCTCCTCATCTGTGTATTGCTTTGGTGGTGGTGGGGGTACCGGCTGGTTCTTGTTCCACACTTTGCTTGCGTCCGGCCCTGATCCTGCGCCGTTCATCTTTCCCAGAGCTCGTGGAGTGTTTGCGGTGCCAGATTTGGCTACGAGGCGGGGCTTCGCGGTCAGAATGGACGAGGTAGGAGGTTGTACTGCTGGGGCTGCTTTCAAGCCCGGGGACGTAGCAGGAGTCGAGGCCGCCGATTTCGCCAGAAAACTCTTCGTCACGGAAACTGATTTGAAAGCTGCAGGCTTTTTCGTCGAGCTTGTCCGCACGTGTCCAGTGTCCTGCTTTGATGGGTCCACGCTGCCAGGTCGACTGATGTCTGTATCTGAGCCACTGACTGCCTCGCCATTGACCTGCAGAGACTCGGCGCCAGACTGTTCGCCAGAATCGCCATTCTGCAGAGCTTCGCTGGTCTCCTTCGGTGCTGAGGCTGGCTGCTTTACATTGTTGGATGCCTAGTATTCTTAGTGAGAACCCAAACCGTTTAGTCCTCCTCCCCACTTACTGCCGCCGTTTGGCCGTTGCTGTTCACCGAAGCTTGTGCGCCTGCAGTCGAGGCTGAGGCTGTCGTCGTCGCATTCGTTGAGGCAGAAGGAGCTTCAGAGGTCTTGGTGTTCGCGGTCGCTGGGCCCGAGGGCTGCTCGCCGTTGACGGCGGAGGAGTTGGTAGCTGACGCAGTATCGTCGATGGGCGCAGGGCGTCCCACCGACTGTGCTTCCTTTACCACATCGTTGGTGACCTGCTCTGCCATAACAGTTTCCGGAACTGTCGCAGTCGAGGAGTTGCTGTTAGACTGGTGTTTTGCATGGGTGACGGAAGTGGAGGCTGAGGACGCCGACCGTGGTGCGTCGTGTCCGGTTCTGTGCTCATCCTCCATGTGACGCGCGGGGAGTGAGGGAAAAGCTGAAATGTATTCACCTAATGTCAGATGCTACAAGTCGCCACGAGGTTCAAGTGGGCGCTTCCGCAGAAACGTCGTCTGCAAGTCTTCGTGACTGTCGCGGCGAAAGCGGAGGTGTCGGCGTCGAGGTGCGGTCGCGCGAGCTGGCTGCGGTCGGGGGGGGGGGGGGGGAGTGGCTCAGTCGCGTGATGTCGCCGAACGGCTCGTGGCTTCGTCCGGGAGTGCGATAGAGGGGGAGAGGAGCCCTTGCGTTGTTTGGGCGGGTCGCGGAGGTGATGCGGTTTAGGAGGCAGCCCGTGGCTGTACAGCGAGTCAATGCAGGTCGTGAGGCGGCAAGCCTTGGCAATTAAGCTCTTTGTACGGCAAGGTGCGCTTTCGGGAGCACGTTACGCCCGTCGCACGGATGACTCAGGCACTGACTGTAAGTGAGGCGCCAGGTGAGTGCAGTAAATCGTGGTGAATACGTGGCTCAGGCGCAGAGCAGCCGCGATGAGAGTGAACTCACTGCTCACGACAGCCGGCCGGCAAAGGGCCGAGCATTCAGCGGGAAGGAACTCATGTGTTACAGCACTCAGTCAGCATGCAGTCATGTATGTCCAGAGCAAGCTATTTGTATCCTGTGGCAATCCCACTGCTCAATATATCCTCTAATGATCTAGTCGCTGAAGGTGCTAGGGCTTGACTCTGAAGTAGTCAAGGCTGGCCAAACATGTGACTGTGCAGTCTGACTGTTTCGTGGACGTCGTCACTCCTGCAAACTGGGCAAGACGCTCTTGTAGCTAGGTGATTTTGGTTCGTCCTCCACATGATTGAGATGTTGATGTTGTTGTTGCTGTTGCTGTTGCTGTTGCTGTTGCTGTTGCTGTTGCTGTTGCTGTTGCTGTTGCTGTTGTCAAGCGAGGGTCGTAGAGTAGTCCAGATAGTTCCAAGCTGCAGTTCGATCCACATCGACCGAGTCAGGAATTAGGGACGGGAGGCTGCACTGGCCAGATCTTGATTGATCAACTACATCTATATTTACACGTCCCAACCGTAACGCTCAGATCGAATCATAGGTGAGATACGCTTAGTGGTGGACGTTGTTCTTGTGGTGGCCTGCGATTGTTAGTCATGTGATCTCCATGGAAGCCCCGCGAGTACATACGCAGGTGGAAGTAGTAGTTTTGTGCGTAGCCGAGGGCAATGAGGGCGCCGATGATGTGGACGAGCGCTGTGGGCTTAGTCAGCGAAGCTGTAGGCATGTGTGGGAGTGGCACAGCGGCATTCCTGCACCAGGAACGCCGCATCATGTCTGAGGATTGACGTACGCCTGCCTGAAGCGTTCTTGCCCATGTACTTCTTCTGGTAGCGTCCAAGGAGACCCTTGGCCTGGACCTCAGGAGCAGCACCACGGGGGAGCTTCTCGTAGAAGCTCACGACCTTCTGCATGCGGACGGCATTGGGGGATGCGCCGATAGCCTTCAAACGCGTTAGTCCAGTATTCGCCGAACGAGTGGAGCGTGAGCGCAGGCGGTGCTCGAGAGTCGTCGTCGTTGCGGGTATAGAGCGTAGGATGCGGTTCGCTGAGAGCGCGCAGTCGGCGTGCGGGTATCGGAGTCGTCGGCTGCTGTATTGGGAAGGGGTCTTACATTGGGAGATGCGATCTGGGAGGCGGCGTCAGTACTGCGGGCGGTGCGGGCGGTGGGTGTGGAGGCGTACCTTGGGGGGGATCAGGGTGGAGAGGGCGCGACGCTGGATGAAGCTCATCTTGACGGCTGGGGCTCAATTAGCATCAATTGCACTGTTTCCGCGGGCGGCTTCGCTGCGGGGAGCGTACTTGGGCTGGCAAAGACGATGGGGTCGGGATGGGGATCGTGAGGTCGGTGAGGTTGTCGAGATCAAAGCTGCGAGTTCTGCGGCCGGGATGTTCCGCCAAGGCGCATTCCCGCGCGAGCTTGAACATCCATCGACATCACCAACGCCGTCGACGACCTCCACAGCACCACGCCCGCCATAATGTCTGCCCTCCCCCGCTCAATTGGCTCCCGCCTGCTCGCACCCGCCCTGCGACCCTCGGCGACACGCTCGCTCGCCCCCGCATACCGCACATACGCGACCAACGAGCCCACTCCCCACCAGCACAAGACAAGCTCCGAAGACGCGCCCGCTGTCCCCTCCAAGAGCGAGTCCACCCAGATCAGAGAGGAGAGTGCTGCCGAGGGCTTGAGGCACGCGCCGGACTACAACGTCGCCGTCGACTACAGAACATCGTGCGTTGTTCTCGAGCGCAGCCAATCAAGAGCTAGCTAATGAAGCTTGCAGCAACTTCTCGCCTATTCCCAAGCGCGTCATGGATGGCAGCGAGCCTGGTGAGAGCGTAGCTGCGGCTGTTCTGTCTGGTGCGCCAGTCGATCTCCAGGCCCGCCAAGTTCGGTACGATAGTCCATGTACAAGTGCGGTGTGCTCGCAGTTCTGACCTTGTCTACAGCATCTACAAGCCTGCAAAGACCGCCACACAGTCAGGAAACTGGACTTCGGAACACTGGCTCATGGACTGGGACGTGCTCGCCAAGGGCCACCGCTGGGAGAACCCTCTCATGGGGTGGGCTTCCTCTGCCGACTTCATGAACGGCCACCGACTCCAGTTCAAGTCCAAGGAGGATGCCATCAACTTTGCTAACAAGCAGGGCTACGAGTACTTTATCCAGGAGCCCAACGTTCGCAAGTTCGTCCCCAAGGCATACGCAAACAACTTCACACACGTCCCCGGAAAGTTGAAGCAGGTCAGGACAAAGTAAAGAGATGCGGTGGAGATGACTTATCACGTGTAAATACTGGGCTCAAGTGTACTTTTCGTTTGTTGTTCAATTGGCTCGAGCCTGTGGTCTTTCCGTGACATTGTCCCTGCAGATGAGGGCTGTGACCATTCAAGGATGCTAACGGCCAGGCCACTCGACTCTGAGAACCACGCACCTAAGAAGCTTGCGTGTCTACTTCCATAAGTCTCGTACCCGTCATTTCTTCAGTCTTTCCCATCAAGCAAGCTCGGGCATTGTCAGGATGTAGCACGTCGACCATTCTACAACGACAACAACAACAACAACAACAACAACAACATTCAGATTGGAGGCAAGGCAAACAAGGGCAATCCTGTGGTTTCTTCTCGTGTGTCTGCACCGTTTCCTGTCATTCTATTGTTGGATCAGATTGGGCGTTGCCAGGATAGCTCCTCTCTCCTTCTAAGTCGGTAATCGTACTCAGATCTTGACATTTGGGCACTCGGTATCAGGGGCAAGACACAGAAGGGGGATCCTGTAGGTGCATCTTTGAGTTTCTCTCAGTCGTTCTTCTCGCTCCTGGCTCCAGTCACCTCATTGTTGGGCCACCTCAATGGTTGCTAGGATGGCACCTGCCTCTTCACCTGCGCCAGCTTCACACTTACTCCAACCCACATTCACCTACCCATTCTGAACTCCTACCACGTCTCTTCGTTCCACACAGCAACTGGTTTCCTCTGTCCCAGATGACCTCTCCTTTCTATCGCCCCCAGAGGTGAAAGCAGGAGCAATTTTTGCAATTTCCGCTCTCTCCTCGCTGTGAGAACAGCTTCTTCATAACAACACAACAACAACAACAACAACAACAGCAGACGTAAACAAGATTTCGACTACGCAAATATTCTCCACAACACAACACCACCTGCCGCCTTGCCTCTCAACTTCCGTCGAGCAGGAATGCGAAGTGTCATAACGACATTCATGGTACGGCATACTTATGCTGACTGCTTTCCAGAGCTAATTGTATGCTCTAGAACCCAGGACACTCTGCTCCACAGCGCCCTTGGCAAATTGTAAGAGAGACAGGACTCCCACGTTCGCCCTCATCAAAGACATCCGCGGCGTGGCCCGATCATGCTCGTTGCTTCGCCGAGCTAATTGTATGCTCACAGACACTTGAAAAGCACCCACAACCCGCTACAAAGATGGGCCGGGGTGGGTATGATGTCACGGATGCGAACAAGAAAAAGTCGTCTGCCGCTGCTGAGGTCCTGAACTGGGAAGGACGTAACAGAAAGAACCGAGAGGTACGATACGAGGGGACCTTCTAGATGACCTACCAGATCTGACACCACACAGGATGCCGCCGCCGTGAAGGCCAATGAAGACGCCGTAGAGAAGCTCATTAGGGGGAAGAAAAGTCGCGGTATCATGGTAGGTCATTATGCATTATGCAGTCTATCGCTAATGTCTATATGCAGGCCGCTAGACGAGCTGAGAAGAAGGCTGGCGCCAGGTCTGAGCCAGCAGACGGGGGCCACGGATAGCCTGTGACACCTCGCCGTATGTACAACGCTTCTATATACACGCAATAATCGGCACTGTAGCCGCGCTAATCTAATGAATAACTGGAACCCTCCGCGATCCTCTTGTTACCTCGCACTTGACAGCACACTTTGCCTCGATCCTCCTCTCGACACCGCCCACTGCACACTCCTCCATAGATTCAACGGCCACGGCGCCTTCAAACTGGTTGCTGATGATGTTGTCTGTTGGCTCCCTTGTGTCGTTGTCGTCTTCGCGTCTGAGGTTGCTGAACTTGTCGCCTGCGACAGTGCTGTCACCGATACATGGCTGGAGGCTGCAGCAACGGTGCTCTGGGCTTGAGAGGTGCTCTTAACTGAGGATGTCACCAGTGTAGGAGTAACGTTCTGGTCTTGGGCTTTGGCTTGACCCTTAGGACTCGAGTCGGTGCCGGGAGCAATCTGAACGTTGGTCAGTTCACACTTTCATACCAAAAGTCCAAAACAACAAGTCTTAGTACAACAATCATCCATGCATACGCATAACACATTAAGTCATTACTTCACAGGTCATGCTGTCTCAGCATCCATCCCATCATGTATTAAATGCATGTCATGGTCTCCCCCTATTGCGCAAGCAACGCCAGCCTGCGGCTCAAAAACCCACTCACACGCTTGCTCTTCGTCTTCGCAGCACTCACAGCTTTAATCGCATCCCGCGTCGGCGCAAAAAACTTGCTCGCCATCTTCTCATTCCCAGAATCGTTCGGGTGCTCGCCATCCGTCGTGTCGGCCACGGCGTCGAAGCCGGAGAAATTGTCCACGAATACCACAGGGCTGTCACGCGTGCTTATGGACGGTGCGTACTGCTGAATCGCAGTGTTCAGTTCCACGATCCCGTCGACACCAGATTGAGGCCAGCGCTTGGGGTCCAGTGGCAGCAGGTTGGAGAAGATGATGCGCATTTTAGGATTCTTAGCCCTCATCTGGCCAACCAGGACGTCGTAGGCTTTGATAATGTCGCTGGTGGACTTCTTGCCGATGAGCACGTCGTTGGTTCCGAGCAGCATGAGGATGACATCGGGCGTGTTGGCGTTAAGCCAGACGGTCAGATTGCCCTTTGCTGCGTACTCGGTTGCTTGGGAGCCGGGGTGCCCTTCGTGGTCTTGGTCGACTGAGACGCCGCCGCAGGTGCCGGTTTGTGTGCCGACGAAGTCGAAGTTTGTGGTTTTGTCGTTGCGGAGCTTGGCTTGGAGGTTTGCGCGCCAACATCTCTGGGTGGGTGTCAGTGAAAGGTGTCAGGGGTTTGGATACGAGTGGACTTACGCTGACTATGGAAGCACCGAATGGCATGACCTTGACTGTCTGTTGAGCGCTCACTTGAGCCACAACAGTGAGCAGCCCAAAGGCAAGAGCGCCGAGCTTAACCATCCTGGATCCCGAATATATGTCGTCCTGTCCTGGAATCGAGTCGAATTGGATCGAGTATGTGTATAATCCGAAGTGTACAGATACTGTCACGCTTTTGTCGAGTGCTCGTAGCGAAAATGCTAGTTGAAGATGCTAACTCGGATGGGGCGTTTTAGTTTATAAGGATGTTCGCCAAATACGAGGAAGGATGAACAACCCCGTCCAAGGTGTTGCCGCGAGGGGATGGCAGCTAAGCTTAGAGTGAAGCTAAAATATGCTCTTCATTCGCTTTCAGCCAACAATAGTCCCAGGGGGCCGTGCGTTGCGAGGCGTACTGGAGCTGTCTGCATAAAGGCACGAGTGGTGTGAAGATGTATGTACGCGTTGCCGGCAGTTATGTATTTCTGACGCAGCAACGACGAGGGAGGCGTATCTTTAAAGCAGGCGTAATCGTGGACTAGCTTCTGGATTCTGGATGCCTTCAAAGCAACAGGAATCGGCGACTTTATAAACCTCAGGACAGTGTGAGAAACCTAGCCCCAGACGGTGACAGCGGCCTTGCGCCCGCTCACGCAGCGTGCGCCTTGATGCAGCGCCCGCCCACACCCCAAATGGTTCACCGCTAAGAACACATATCTGCCGTGAGCTAGCGCCATATCGCAGCTACGAAGGGTCTGGGATCGCTGGCTGCCCGATTGTGAGGATGCGGCTGTGCCCTTGGATGCGCGCACGCACTCGAACAATGCATCTGTACTAGTGCAACTCTAAATGCGTGTGTTTTTAGGGGTCCAGCCCGCGGAAAACACACCAACACCAAAGTTGTTTTCTCACGAGAGCCAGCGACTGGGGTGGTAATGCAAGTTGTGCATTTTCGGGGATCCTGCAAGCTATGCTGTGAGGTGCAATGCCCTGCATTGTCCGGCGGGGATCACGTCGAATGCTCACCGGCGTGCACGCTTCTTGGGGACGGCACGATGCGGATTGGTGTATAGATTGATGATGGACTACTGGATTGGGCCAGCCACGAGCCCAAGTCGTAGGCTAGAGACCGCCCATGTGCAAAAGGCGCCATTGCCACATCGTGAGTCCTGAGTCGGATGTGCATGGCGTTTTGAATGCAAGTGTCGCGAGCGTCATGGTGATGGGCAGGTCCTGCCGATCTGACTTGCTCTTAGAAGAGATCTGAGTCGATGGCTTATGGGCGTGGTTGCGTTGTTCACAGACGGGATGATGTTTGACGGTGTTGACGTCTGAGGAGGCTCTGAATCGAGCTGTGGAGGGGGGGATGGGGCTTGTTCCGCTCCAAACGCATTCCATGGTGATTTCGAGACATCATTGTCGCATCGAGGATCGTTATTGACCCACTTTGACAATGATTGAACGCGACAACGACGTGCCCTTTCACAATCGACACAATGCCCCTGATGTACCCCAGAGTATCTTCTCGTATTTGGACTGCGAATGCAGACTTCAGGCAGCGCCCGTAGGAGCGAGCGAGACCCACTACGCTATGATGTGCACTGAGTGATGCTTTGCAGGTATCGTGATCTTTACTTTCGTTAATGAATCGCAGATGTACAATCAAATACCAGGGGATACCTGGTCGATGATCATCCACCGTCTCAACCCTAACCAGCTCGCCAGCGAAGATCGATATTCAACACCATGCGTCGATCACAACCTGCAGTCGACGCAACCCGCTGTCGAGAGACAAGGATTTCATCGTGACCCGCACTCGATAGCACCACTTCAGTCAACGACCTTACGGGTTCCTCTCGAGCTTGTCTCGTACCCACGTGTTCCCAAAGCGACCATGAGGTTAACGCCCCGAGCGCAAGCCTGGATCGACAGGTAGCCGGCGCAATGCATAGCTTTAGCTACAGGCTCTGGCAATCCTTCGGCGCGCCTTCTAGGCCTGGCCTAAGTTGTTGTGTTAGTGAAGATAGCTTCGAAGCTGCAAGCCTCTAAGCTGCATCTGTGTAAGCGCAAGGCTTGCACGCTCAGCCAGCGCAGCCAGTCAGAAAGTGTGCATGCACGTGTGCGAGTGACTTGCGCTCGTGTTCAGATGCAGCGGGCACGGGCAGTTTTCGACGCTGAGGCGAAGGAGACTGACAGTGGTCGTTCGCCTAGGCCTGCTTTGCTGATCGACTTCATCTGCGCGGATGATGTGTGTCCGGAGATGCACAATGCGATACGACACACATGGTTGGTCGAGTGCAAGAGTGATGTGGACTCGTCGACATCAGTACGAAGCCATCGAGGCTGCCAAAGTTTGGATGAACATTGGTGACATCGAATACGAGCGAAGTGGAATCATTCTGTAACTGCTGCAAGGCTGACCCTCCGTGCAGACGAGATGTCTTGGGTGCAGGGACTGCACAGCGACTGACAGCTTTGTAGAATAAGAAACAAGCTCAAGGCGCAGATGCTTGCTTGCTGGACACAGTCAGCAGATGCAAAGACCCTTGTACGTTGTCTGGGTTCGCTCAGATAGGGAAATCAGCTCGCTGAATCCTTCGGTTGTCTGCGACGTCCGCAGCGACAGGCATCCCGTCAATCTTACCGTTGACTCACTTAGCAGAACAGAGGCGCACGGAGGGAGAAACATGACATATGACGACGTGAAGAAGTTCGATCATGTCTCGTTTCATAGTCGTCAAGACCGGATAAGCTTTGGCAGGTGGGATAGGTGCGCGAATGTGACGTATTAGAGGCAGGTACGATACAAGGACTCTCACATGGATTTGCTGCATAATACTGCCATTGCTATGATGATCGGATGTCCCGAGTATACACGTTGCGGCAAGCAGTCATGTCTGCGCCTTGTGTAGAGCCAAGCTTGTCATGTAGGTCAGCCCAAGCCATTCACGAATCTGTTGGCGACATTTTAGCCCCCATCCCAGCTCTCTCGTTTCCCGAACTTAATGGGATCCGAGGTCGATGACCATAACCCGGTAAGTCTACTCGTTCTTCATCGAGTCTTGTCTCCTTCGCACATGCGCCGGCATCCGCATCACCTCCTCAGTCCTCCTCTTCAAACTCTTCCATACATCCCTACCCTCATGCAGCTGCCACAGACCCCAGGCCATAGGAAGCCAAATGACATCTGTAATGCTCATCACCCAGCTCAACCGTCTCTTCTCCATCTTAGCGTAGACATCATCCATTCCGAACACCTGTTCGCCGTTTATGATCAGGATAGGTCATAGGTTGGACCAGAAGAATGTTGCGACTTCGTTCATGCTCATGGGCGGGTCGAGCTCACAGAGCCGTACGGCAAACGAATCGAGAAGAGTGGCTGTATGCTCAGGATCTAGGAATATGTGGCCAAGCAGAAGCGCACGGTCTCGGTCAATCTGCTGCAGAGGTATAGCTGTCATGCGGGCCAAGAAGTCGAACACCATCATCAGTTGATCTGGTGAAGGCTGAGTGAGGTGATTGAGTGAGGAGTTTGATGGAGAAAGCAAACACTTTTTATAGTCTTTGTGGAGTCATACAGAGTCTTGTGCCGGCTCTTCTATCCATGGTTCTACGCAGCACTACAACTGGCTTCGTCCAGTAGATCTGATAGCGGCCCTCGACTGGACCCCTCGAACATATCAACTTTGTAAATGCCAATCTCGGACAAGGGTTTGATTTTGACATTGCTCTTAATCTTTAGGTTGACTACATGTATCTTCCTTGCCATCGGCAACATGTTGCACCCTTCTTCGAACAAGCCGGATATGGTTGTAGTCACATTCATCATGGAGATAAGTGAGATGGATACGCCAAATTTCGTCTAGCTTATATGATCAGAGATGTGAAAGGTTGGCGCTGAGCGTCTTGAGACCCTGATATCTCGCATTATGTATTCTGCAGATGAGTGCGCTGAGTGATATATTGAGAAGCAGCGTTCAGCGGAGAAGTTCAAGGCCTTCAAGATTCCGGACTGGAGAGGAGCTCACGACAGTGTCATCTCTGTGTGAGCGAGCCTCCATAGGTGGAGAGGCTCGAGGCAGGTTCTCACTAGATGCCAGGATACGCATGTAGTCAGGAACCGGACAATCGTGCGTATCACTGTTGTCAAAGTCATGGGCGCCATCGCTCCAGCCCAGGCCGTACGGTGACGCTTCAAACTGAGGATTAACATAGAACGCGTTGCTGGCTATCGAACTGTGACCTGGTAGCGCGTAGAGTCCTGGAGAGCGCCGGTAGTGTGATGCTGGTATGATGGAAATGCCATCGAGAGGATTCGGTCTGGGTACGAGCTCGGGATTGGTCACGTCGTTCTCTTTGTCGTCATCTTCGTAGTGGAAAGGCGAGGCTGCTTCCGCTTCTGCGTTCAATTGATCTTCCATGCGTTCTGTAAAGATGTGGAATTGTAGACCCTTCACCTCTGGCCATACGTCATGATCACCGGCGAGGTATGCAATATCTGGGCGCAAGTCTGGGTATGCGTCGACAAATTTATTTGGACGCTTTATGGTAGGTTCAGGAGCGAGCGTCCGTCGAGGAGAGAGTTCTGGCGATGGCTCAGGTGAGGGTTCTGGAGATGGTCAGCCAGGTTTCCAGACTTCTTAATCGAACAGCATGCAAGGGTAGGCCTGTGCGATAATAGCTCTCACCTCTCGAATCGTCTGCAAGCAACGAGCGACATGCCTGCTCAAAGTCCTCTAGTGACCCCTTCTTGCTGGGAGAGCTGTTCTTGCTGGAGTTCACCTGCTTAGTTGGTGATGGTGAGCTCTTCGACCCGTCGCATGCATAGACCCGCTTCAAGTCGCTGTCTTGAGGGTGAATCTTCATGTTATAGGACACCTTAGGGTTCGTTCTTCTGCGCGAAGAACGTCGAGTAGGCTCTGGAGTTCGAGACGTCGACCGCTTCCTTTTGCGGCCTCTTGTGGGCGGCTGCGGCTCCTCGTCATCACTGTCCTCGTCGCCGACTATACTTCCAATGTCGGAGCGCGAATCTTCCAAGGAAAATGCGTCCAAGTCATCGACGAGTGCAGGTTTCTCACCATGCAATGTACGACGCTTGGCTGCTTGTGACGGCCGAATGACATCGTCCATTGGGTGGTACTTTTGGTCGTAAATGAGTGTGCTTTTGGCTCTGGCGCTGCGACGTGTGGGCGGACACGTTGGGGCTGGCGTCATAAGCTGAGGATTTGTGGGTTCTGAGCTTGCTCTTTGTGCGCTTTCCGGTGGTGACTGCTGAGTCTGGCGCATTCGAAGCAGTTTGGCCATTTGATTTCCGGTTACGATTGTGGACGCAGCATCATCGTCAGGCGCCTCGATAGAATTCGACGGCCAAGGTCAGTAAGAACAACAACGAGGTGAGAAGAGAACGCTTACAGGTGTTCCAGGTAGCTCTGCGTCTGCACCGTCCTCCTCGTCTTCCTCTTCCAGATCTAGGCCGCTGACCTCACTTCCACCTTCTCTGGCCATGCCAATCTCTGGGCTCGGCGGAACAGAGCCGAAGTCGTCCTGTATATGCGTCAACTAGTTTCTGCGCTCATAATGAAGGGTGCCGCACATCGTTGCCTACTTCCGAGCTCGTAGCACTGGAGATGATAATGCTTTCGAGGAAGTTCTCAGTCGCGTCTGCGTCTGCGTCATTGGAGGCAGGTGACGCCATTGCCTGCGATTGACAAGACTGTGGGCCGATTCAGTAGGGTAAAGATAGCGTAAGCATAGGTTGAGGGGTGAGGGTGAACGTGAATGTGCCAGAGTATGGCAAGTGCCGCGGTGGGTGAGAGTGCAGGATTGTGTGTGGTTGTAGAACAGAGCGAGGAAAGAGCGCGCCGCTCAAATACCGACGACGCGGCTCACATGACAAGCTAGCCATCGTGGTGTTGATGTTGATAGTCGAGGGCAAGAGCGAGCGCAGCAGGCAGGCACACGTCAAACCCGCAACACCAGACCCCAACGAAGCACAAAGAAGAGAACAGCGATATGAAGTACGCGAGTAGAAGACCTGTAACATTGGTGATAAACGCAGTGCATTGGGTATCGCTATGGGTAGTTCAAAGCATCAGCAGCGTCTGCCAAATGCAATGAAGTGACAGTAATTAAGATGTCGAGTAAACATATATTGAAGCAAAAGCGAGTGGCAATTCCCTCTGCCATTTCAATGTAGGTGATGCAAATGGGGTATCCTCATTATAACAGGCATGATGCAACCTGGTATACTGCCCCTTCGATATGCCCTTGAGACGCCATGTAAAGAGTATCCAAATAAATCGCTCGAACGCAAATATGACCAAACAATGTACAGTGAGATGTTTTTTAGGCGCGAGCAGCTCGCCGCGAGGTAAAGCGCACAGGTGGCATGACGAATTCCATGTCTTCATCTTCGTCATCATCGTCGACCTCAATATCCATCGTCTTCGGTGCAGTAATTGGGGCTGCGACAGGCGTACGAATGGTTGATTGAGTGGTGACGGGCTCCAAATTTGCTTCTGATTCAGATGTTGGCTTGGGTGCGGAGATGCTTGGGAAGTGTCTCTTGTACGATGGCTCTATCGAAGACACTGATGTATCGGACGTGTCTTGGTCTTGTGGAAGTTGTGTCGGTTGTGATTGGCTAGCAGCGCACTTCGTGACTTCTACCTTCGCCGTGGAGAGAACGTTCTCCAAGTACATTCGAACAAGCTTCAGCTCGGTTCCGCAGTCGCCATCACGTAGGGTGAGGTGGGCCGACTTCTCACACAGCTCCTGTGCTTGCTCCAATGTCTTGTCTGTTGTCTCGAAAAGCTCGACTGGCGGAGCTGGACCACCACTACGACCGCCTCGACCACCTCGTCTGGCCGCTGCAGCACGTATTCGCATGGATGCCATTTGTGGTCGATAGCTGATCTTCGACATGATGTGCTCTTCCTCATCGTCCTCTTCCTCATCCTCGTCTTCGCTTGAGCCTGCGATGGCAGCCAATTCGGCCATCTTCGCCTCCATCTTTGCCTTCCTCAGCATGTTGCGCCCTGTTGCCAGCCCTCGTACGAGCAGCTCGAACGACTTCTGCATGTCTCCATCGTAACTGACGACCACCATCGTCTTTGGGCGGTATCTCGTGGGTCCTAAGGCGCGACCAGAAGTGATCGAGGGCGATTTGCGTTTACGGCTACCAAGCGGGTTGAACGGTGTGTTGTTCAATGGCGCCATCTCTTCTATGACAGTGTCTAGTTTCTCAGGTCGTATCGACTCCATAGACCCTGTCCTGCCCTTTACGAACGGCGATGCCGACACAGATACCCTAGCAATCTCCTCTTGCATGCTGGTGACCTTCTCTTCTACGTTCGTAACATCCTGGAGCCATTGTGGTATAGTGTGTTGCAGAAAGGCGAAGGACTGGGCGATATCTGACATGCTGGGCGGGTTGGTCGTATGCAAGGTGTTGAGGTGTTGTGGTGTAGTGCGTGGTTTGTAAGCGGAGTCGAATGATGACCAGTATAGGAGAGTAAAAGGTGAATGCGTGGGAATGGCGTGCGTAAGAGGGAGTACGAGGTACGGAAAGCAGAGTCGTCCAACGAGCAGTCGTGAAGGTCGTGAAGTAGAGGTGGGCGTTGGTGGAGAGTATCTAACGTGCTGCAGCGGAGCAGGGCGGGTTGGTAGTGGTCGGCGACTTATGTGGAGAAGGGAAAGCGGGTTGGCGGGCAGGGGTTTGCATATAACACGGATGAAATGATCAACAGGGCACGCCTCAACGGACGGACGCGCAAGATAATTACGGTCGCGCAAAGTCACGGCGCATTACATGAGGAGCGTGCAAGAAGAAGAGAGCGGAGCGCGCAGCAGGTGCAAAGACTCAAAGAACGAAGAGTGCTCCGAATGAACGGTCCGTTTGGCCCTTTTGTGCCACGTTGGCGTGCCGTCGATCGCATTCGCACTTGGCTGTAGTCGAGCTTGGTCTGGGCGGCTGGGCACTTCTGGCGGGCCTCACTGTTCTGCACACCAACGGGTATCTTTGTTCCGGTGAAAGCTGCTGCTGTGTGCTGCATTGCACATGTCAGGTGGAGAGAACGTTGACTTTTGGCAGAGAACGTCCAGCTTTGATCACCAACTCCGTGTGAGAGGAGATGAGATGATCTACATTTGTAGCTGACTGGCCCCATGTGCATAATCATACTCTAAGGGCATCAGCTACCTGCTCGTGATTCACAGGGGCGAGGCATCCGCTGCTGTGCCGTCGGTACGATGCCTACGAGCAGCAGCCGCGCAGTTCAAAATGATTCACTCTCCACGCAAGGCCCCCTCACTGGACGAAAGCGGCGCGGGTAATAGTGTTACGGGCGGCTGTCCTCCAATCAACTTCATCTGGCGTTTCTCTCCCGTGCCTCCGCAGGTTCGGCGCGATGTGAAGCGAGACGGTGCGGAACGGGGGGCTAACGTTGGCTAGTGTCTCGTTGCTCATATCTTGCGGTGTGAATAGATTGCAAAGTTACGTGTTCGACGTGATTGCCATAGCATATCTGTTAAGGTGCTGCAAGGCAGTGGCATCCATTCGCAGACGCTGCTCAAAGAGAATGAGCACATGACCAATGCTGATGCAGCAGACAACGCATCAAAACAACCCCTCAGCGCTTCGAATGAATGCACCAGACGAATGATCGCAAAGGGCGGCATACGAGAGATGACTACGCCTCAAGCTTGTCATCATGGTATCTGGAAACCCAAGATTTCCGGAAAGCCGAGGCTTCAGAATATCAAATGGAGTATCTTGAGCGGAAGATATCTCTGAGGCTCCTTGACGGTATCAAAGATCAAAGACCAATCGCTCTCCTCTAGGAAAACAGCATGGGGTATTTTCGCTTCGTTTGTCTGCATACGGTCAACACCATCCCGGGAATATGGTTCGTCCTCTTAACCGCGCTCATGCGTACGGACAAAGCCAGCCACAGCCGACCGACTCAAATATCACGGCCCAGATTACCCGAATTGACAGCTCGGTGTTCCCTTCGAGAGGCTCGCCCTTTGCACTCAGCATTGGACAGTTTCGGACACCTCCGACATTCTTACACTGACATGTTGCCAAATCCATCCATGCTCCGGAGCTTGAGGACGACCACGAAAACGCTCCAGAAAGCCTGCCGTGTAACCCGTTGTCGCAGACACCTTGCAGTCTTAGATGCAACGCTCCGACACGAGATCCCCAGACTACGGCTCAGGTCGGCGACCTTCTCGAAGCGCGCTGCACTCCTCTTACTTGACTCGCAGAAACTTGATAAATTGAGAGTGGATCTTTTCGATGCATCGATCACCTTTCACCGGTGGTACGTAAATTGGAAAAGGCAGCCGGACCGGGCCTTTAGCTTTGCTTTTTGGTAGGGCAGAGCGAGGTACGAAACACCTGCTGGCATGCAATTGGAGGGAAAAGTATGGTTTGATCGTTGATCAACGCCCCTCCCGTTGCAATTGCGTCTCCAACGCTCGTTTCTGCTCATCACTGCATGAGTGTTCGTGCGAAGCTGAGGGACGTCAAATCAGGTGATGAAGCCCTCCAGAAGTTGCAGATGCGTGGACAGGTCAGAACTGACGGATGTCACAATCGCCTGGCACTCATGTCATCTGAAAAAGTTGTGGCCGATCGTTCGACCAAAATGACTTGCAGCTGCCTCGTGCTTTCCCTATCGATAACCTGAGTGCCAAGAAGTTGCAGCTGCTTCAGCATCAGTTGCCAACTCAACTCATACCCTCAGAATGGATACTTTGCAAAGTTGGACAATTGCCCTGAAAGATGTTTGTACAAACACTGACCACAGTCGAGACTCCATACTGTCGATTACTACCAGATTCCTAGCTGTGACGCAGCTACTGTACAATTCTCCTGCATGATGTCACGACTCAAGTGGATATTCAAGAGCTTCAATGCCCTCATCAACATCTCACCAACTCTCTTGCTTACCCCAGAATCATTTACAAACAGCCACCATAGCTTCACGTCCAGCACTCCGTCTCTCGCGTCTACTACGCACAATGTCGACCACCGCACCCGCAGCCTCGACGCTTCCCCAAGCACCATGGAAGCAGCTCTTCAGCAAGCACTTGGGCGAGATGAAGCCTCCCCAATTCGTCCTAGGTACTCTCGATAAAGCCACCGAGGGCTCACCTGTCGAATACGTACCTCGTGTGCGATATTGCATCTTCAGAGGCTTCTGGGCTGAGCTGCCAGAGAACAAGCACAACGATGCCGAGCGCAACCCCGAGCTCTATCACAGCGACTGTCCGACTTTTACAACAGATGTGCGCATGGAGAAGGTTGGACAGATCTTCAAGACAAGTGCTGGGCACGCGGAGAGTGACGACCAGGTCCAGGGCAGCGGCGGCGGAGGTCCAGTCGAGGCGGTCTGGTGGGTTGAGGGCGAGACTCAGACACAATGGCGTGTCGCAGGCAAGGCATACGTGGTCGCCGATGACATTGAGGGCTCTGAGGAGAGCAGCGGTGTCAGGACGGTCAAGAGCGAGGTTGGCAAGAGGATGAGGGCGCTCAAGGAGGGTGGAGAGAACGAGTGGAGCTGGCAAAGGGAGCTCACAGGGTTTTTTGGCAACCAGTCTCCTGCTATCAAGGGTATGTCTGTTCGAATCTGCAGAAGAACTTGGGACTAACATTACCGTCAGGCTCTTTCAAAAACCCTCCACCAGGCCAGCCCGTAACTGCACCTTTTGACAAGGAGTGCCTTCAGCTTGGCTCAAAGGCAGACGACCTCCACGATGAGGTTGCAAGGAAGAACTTCCGCCTCGTGGTCATCGTTCCAGACGTCGTCGAGCAGACCGACCTTAGCGACCCAGAGAAGGCAAGGCGATTCAGATACACCAGGAACGGCGAGACAGCGCGGCACAACGCCGGCTGGAGGACAGAGGAGCTGTGGCCGTAGACCGTAAATCACAGTATGTTCAAGAGGCAGACATGAATAGTAAACAACCCATCATACCAAACGAGAAACGAACATCACATCCCGTGACCCATGCCTTCTTCCCCGAAGCGAACTTCCACAAGTCGCCGACCTGTGCAACGCAGGCCCCCGTTCCCCACAGCACGGTGCCACACAGCGTGCTACAAACAGCGTCATACACAGAGCTTGACTTTCTCGACCGTTTGGCGTCCCCGTGCTCGCTGTGTGACGTCCTCTGGCGTGTGCTATATGCGGGTCGCCTGTTGTCACCTACTGCCTTTTCAGAATACTATATTGATTGGGCGGTTGGGAAGCGAAAGCGAGGATTGTGAGATTTGAGGGGCGGGAGACGGTTGGTATTGCAGGTGGCAGGCGTTGAGTGTGCCGCAGATCGAATGGAACCGATGAGGGCCTCCAGGGCTGGCTGTCCAAAGGCATGCGCCAGAACTAGAACACATCTGTTTCGCGATAGAGTATCTGCAGAGTATGTACGTGTAGTAGTAGAGTTGTTATCGCAAGCTTTCTAAGCCTTCTTGAAGAAGCTGGCAATGCTTCCTTGCCCCTTCTTGCCCGTGGGTTTGCCCTTTGCTGCAGCGGCCGGCTTTGGTGCAGGCTTTGCTCGCTTGGGCTCAGGCTCCTCTTCTGAGAACGATTCCCATACAGCCTCTTCTTTGGTCACTGCTCACTATTAGCCCTCGCCGATCTTCAACGTTCGGATGTGCTTACCAAGGTAACCTTCTTCGTCCTTGACTGTCTTCTTCTTCATCACTCGTCTTTTGCCTCTTCTTCGACCATTCTGTACAGTGACGGTAGGCTTTGGTTCATCCTCCTTGGGTGTTTCTGCTTTCTCGGGCTGAGATGGCTTCTCTTCCGCGGCAGGTGCATCAGGCATGTCTTCATCTGTGCCCTATTAGTCTAGTGCACGGGCAGCACGTCATCTCAGGCTTACCGTCGTCCTCCATCATCTTCCGCAGTTTCTCGGCACGCTCATCACGAGCTTTCTTTGCGGCTTCGATCTTTTCGGTGTCGACCTGGACTCCAGGCTCATCGTCATCACCTTCGTCTTCCGACATGCCTTGCATGGGTTCTGGTAGAATTAGACATAGCAGTTACAGAAGATCTTGGGAAACTCGCCATCGTCAACGGGCGCAGGTGTTGGCTCGTTCGACTTCGCAGCGTCCTTCGGCTTTGCCTTTGCCTTCGCGAATGACTTGAAGATATCTCCAGCTGTCTTGTTCTTCGTGCTCACAGACTTGGTAGAGTCTGATCTTTTCAGAATGCTAGGGGCTGCGGCGGGCTGAGGCGTCGATTGCCCAGATGTATTGTCCTCCGATGCACTACCCCTACGCGAGGATGTTGAGGCTTCTTTTCTAAGCTGAGCAGCCACGGGTGGCTTCGCGGTGGGCTTAACAGCAGGCTTAGCGGCTGATTTAGCGGAGGCAGCGGCAGTGGGAGGAGGTGCATATTTGGCTGTCCTGCGCTACAGAGCATTAGCTAAGGGTTTACTAGCTATGAAAGATGGAAGAGTCGTTATTACCTTGATATAAGGGTTTTGGATAGATCCATATACTCGCCATCGTTCCAGTGGATCCGTGTCCGCAAACTTCGAATTTACCTCGCGATTGCATGATGCCAGTATGTTCAAGTTCTGTTATTCTTAGCCCTTGTCCAGTGCAGCCCCTCCCATTCATACCTCGAGCGGTCCAGGTTCCAGGCTGTAGATGTGGATAGAGGCTTCCTCCGAGAACTCAGCGCGAGTCTCTGCACCATGTTATCAGCTTTGTCACTTCTATATTCCCATACGATACGTACTGGCAAGTTCCTCCTCCCGAACCAACAAGATAGTAGACTTTTTGACGGGCTCCTCTTCTTCTTCCTCTGGTTCTGGCACGGAGCTCATGAACGGGGAGCTGCGCATGCTGACATCTTCACCGCTTCGACCGTTGGTACCGTTTGTTTTGCTGACGGTCCGCTTCGTGCCGAAGATGAGGTACGTTGCGTGGATGGAGTTCGGTTTCTTTGTGTTCTGCTTCTGGTGGAAGTCGAACAGCATCCTGTCATGATTAGCAATGGCTACGGCCCATGGCGAATACCACTTACCATTTTGCAGCACTAACATTGACTTGCAGCGCCCTCGAGAGCAGCTTGTAAGTAACCTGATAGCTGTTAGAACCGTACAAGCAGGCAAGCTTCGACCAGAACTCACAGGTTGGTTCTCCGTAAGGATGCGTGCAGCGAGATAATCCTTGTACTCCGTCTCCGCCATCGTGAGTGTCGTCGTGCGAATTGAAAGTTTTGGTAGTTGTTGGCTGGCAATTGCACGTCAGGCGCGTCGCGAACTGCAAGAAAGCACAGAGTCAGGAGCACGCGTCAAAGTGGCAGCGACTGAGTCGTGTCGCCAATGACCACCAGTTACGCACCCCACGATCGTACTTCATAAACCATTTCTACATTATGAGCGGCGAAGATGATGACCTTAAATTGCAGCGTGCGTCGTCCGCACTGCTCTCAGATCTCGAAAAGCTGCTTCCAAAGCTAGTACGAGGACGTCAACATGGATCAGCAACGTCCTCAGTTCGCCAGCATGTGCGGGAGGTGGACATGTACCGAGCATGTGCTCTAGTACGTCCTACGCTTGCGTTCACTTGAGCAATAATTGATATTCGACACAGATCGAGCCCTTCCAGGAAGATCCCCAGCTCCTTGATACGCACCTGAAGAGCCTTCTACCCCCTCTAGTTGCTGCCTACCTGGATTTGCTGCAGACAACATCCAGAGAGAAAGTGAAGAAAGGCTACGTACCTTTCTCACATGCGATCTGCTACATCATCAATCTTTTCTGCAAAGTCAGGGGCGAAAATGTCATCAAAGGTTTCCTCAATAACGAGCCACGCTATCTTGAGCCAATTATCAGAGAGTTTGAGGCTGGAAAGAACTTCCAGAAGGCAGAGGATGGATCCCTTCAGCAGTCAATAGTACCTTGGGCAGAGCGCTATGTTCTCCTGCTGTGGCTCTCGCACTTGCTACTTGCGCCTTTTCCACTCGCCTCGATTTCGACCCTGCAATCATCAGAGGAAACCTCAGCAGCACTGGACATCGAGCTGCCGACAGAGGTCCCAGGCATTACCCTTCGCGTCCTGAACATCTGTTTCCAATTTCTGCAGTCTGCATCGAAAGAACGGACTGCTGCTGCGAAGCTCCTGGTCACACTATGCGTACGTCCGGATATGCAAGAACTCGGTCTGCTGCACGTTCTCGTCAAGTGGTCCCTATCATTCTTCTCTAACGCTGCCGAGGGTACCTCCGACATACACAGATGCATCGGTGTTCTATCGTTCATGTCAGGGCTCGTGGCTTCTGCGACCAATGAAGAGATCGGTCCATTCTTGGCTCCAGCATTCCAAGCCTGTCAACGGATTTTGAGTCAAGACAACCTCATGTTTCTCAAGTCATCTGCGGTGGCGCGTAAGCTGCTCGTCAAGACTATGCGGAACATCGTCATACATTGCCTTCAGGCAACTTCAATCCCATTGGGACTTGATCCTACGACTGCGCTCGAGGAGGTCATTGAGGCATTACTGGAAGCAGTGGGCGATGGCGACACACCAGTACGGTACGCGGCGAGTAAAGCGCTCAGTATCATTACCTTGAAGCTTGATGCAGAGAGGGCCGAAGAGGTCATTGAGGCTATCCTTGGGTCACTCAACGAGAGTGTGTATTGGCAAGGGACCAAGCGTAATTTGAGCGGAGTCAACCCTCTTCGTTGGCACGGCCTTACTCTGACTCTGTCACATCTGCTCTACCGGAAGGCAATACCAACACATCAGCTGCCAGACGTCCTGAATGCACTGTTGCTGTCCCTTGGGTTCGAACAGCGCTCACCAACTGGCGGTTCCGTTGGAACCAATGTACGCGACGCTGCTTGCTTCGGCATTTGGGCCTTGTCTCGCCGCTACTCTACAGATGATCTTCTTGCAGTACAGACCACGTCGGTTCGTGCCTCTGAGCATCGACCGGACATGTCTGTGCCTCAAACACTGGCGATCGAGCTTGTAGTTGTTGCATGTCTTGACCCAGCCGGCAACATCCGTCGAGGCTCATCTGCGGCGTTACAGGAACTTATAGGTCGTCATCCAAACACGATCCAAGAAGGCATCCCGCTAGTTCAAGCTGTAGACTTCCACGCGGTCGGCCTTCGCCAGCGAGCCATGTGCGATGTAGCAGTCAAGGCTGGAGATCTGCAGTCATTGTACTGGCAAGCCATCTTCGAGAACCTACTGGGATGGCGTGGGACTGGGTCTCTAGATTCTGACTCACGTCTTTTCGCAGCCAAGTCCATCGGCCTCTTGTCGAAGAATCAGACGTCCGGCACGGTGCGACAGATGACTGATCAAATCTGTAACCAGCTCAAGACACTGCGGCCTCGAGAGGTTGAAGAACGCCAAGGTCTTGTAGCGGCTCTGGCAGAGCTTGTGGAAGCTCTAAATCACGCTGAGTATACTTTGGGAGGTCTGAGTAGGCCCTCAGCCTTCATACATCTATGGCACCTTTTTGACCATCAGCTCAAGCTTGAAGATAAGTCGTTTACTTCACCAGCAATGCGACCAGAGTACACAGCATCGTCATATTGCACCTTTATTGCGGCTCTGGCTCGTGCTATGAGTACCTTACCGAAGAACGGCTGGGTCTCAAAGATACCTGTGGCCGAGATTACTCGCATCCTGAATCTGTGCCTTGCGCGGCATGAAGAGACCGTCTTATTAGCGATAGCTGATGTTTCTGGTCAAATTCTTGCACTCCTACAGAACGTCACCTCGGGCCTTGCAGAGTCTCTGGTTACCGACTGGCTAACGAAGCTGGAGAACGAAGCTTCTTATAGTGGACTCCGATGTTCTGGCCATGCGATTGCGCTTGGGTCAGCCTACAGAGTACCAATGTTAACGCAAAACAGAGCGGTCACGGAATTACAAACGCGTATCCTTAGGACGATCACGTTCAGATGTACCCCAGCAGTAGCGATTGAAGCGCGAACGGTAGCCTTACGAGCCCTGGACACGTTGCTCAAGAACTGCCAAGAGATCACGAAGGACTATCAAGCACCCAGAGCAGCCGACATTAAAGACAGATTAGCAAGCGCATTGCACATAGCTCTGAACGACTATACAGTCACCGAGCGAGGCGACGTTGGCTCGCTTGTGCGACTAGAGGCGCTGAATGCCGTCCGACGAGCAGGCGAGGCTAGTCTATTCCACGATCAGGCAGCTGAGTCAGATCATCTGATATATGCAGATGTCTTGCGACTATCATTGGAGAAACTGGACAAAGTCAGGGCACGAGCGGCGGCTATCATTACTAAGGGCTCCCTTACGAAATGCCCTGAGCTCTTCGCCATGACAGTTGACGATGTCTCCTCGCAGGCGTATTTCAGAAAGGCTCTGAAAGCAATGCAGTCGACAGATCATCCTGTTATCAGAGAGGCTATTTGTCAAGGTCTAGTGAGTTCGGCAGGCATGGCATCGGAGTCGGTTGTCCAGAATTGTAGAGAAGCGGTTCTGGACTTCACCACAACGTTGCCTTTGACCAGCACCTCGGACAGCAAGGAAATGTCGCTGGTAGATTTCGCGACTTGTTTGGTCGAGTTGCTCAAGAAGGAGCTCGAAAACGATAGGGTACTGCTTCCACTACTCGAAGGATGGGCGTTTCTCTTCGACATGCAGATTATGCACCGCCTCACCTCCACGAATTTCAAGTAAGTTTGCACAAAGTCCGAAAGATGCATATGACTGACAAGGCTAGCTTTCGAACGCTTCTTTCCTATGTCCAGAAAGCTCATTTCAAGTCCACACATATCCAAAAGCTGCACCTCGCTCTGGACGTGTATCGTGGACTTGGTACGATTCCAGCAACTCGCGCCGACACTCTTGCAAAAGTGACAAGCATGCTCCTACACCCGTTTCCCAAGGTACATTCGCCAAACCGACTTGAAGGTTGCGAACTAACAACCACAACAGATTCGGATCACCGCAGCAGAGACTTTGTGGATGTTGACCCAAGAGGATAGCTTGAAGCTGCAAGACTGGAGCTTGCCATCGAAGAGCTTGAAGCCGGCAGTTGATAGCATCAAGAAGCTTCAGGTCGGCACTGCATAAGCTTGATGCGGCTCAACGGAAGTACAAACCTGTCACTCAAAGTTTCTCAAAGTGGCGAGAGCGGGCTTTCAACCTGGTCTGCGGCCTCGATGACACGCTTTCAGGCCTTCTGTCACGTTCCTCAACGCTGCAGTGTCAGCTTGTACCTCGCTCGCATAACGCACCTGGATTCAGTATTGCTGATGTCGTGACTGCCGGGTGCTCACAACGGCCTTCCGCCTTCTTGTCGGTCAGCGACGATCTGCTCCAGTCATATTACCAGGATGAAAATCCGGTGTCAGGAGGACATGGTTCTTTGGGGCTGTAGGATCGGAATGTAGGATCGGAATATAGGATCGGAAAGAGGGTGTTGCGGCACGTACAATCTTACCCCACAAGAAGTCCTGTCTGTCAACACGCCTCACCCGAGCTCCCAGAGTCAGGCAGCACTACGTAGGTACTTGGGGTGTTTAAACGATTAGCTCATAAGCTGCAATACCCTGTCAAGTTTCACACATCAAGTATGACTTGACAGAATCCACGACGCATCCGACATCTAGCTTCCACACCCTTACTCCACATCGCCAATATGACAGCCGGCTCGCCAGGCCCTAGAGATGACTTACAGCCGCGTCCCGAAGAGACAGTAGAGACGATTCTGAAGGCCATGGAGAAGAAGCCGGATGACTTCCAACTGGACAGACACGACTGGCCGACATTAGGGTTGTGAAGAAGGACTTCGGTAACTTCATAACGTACTTTCAGTGTCTACCATAGCCGCGCTGTCCTAACACCTACTCCAGTTACTGCAAGAACGTGGTCAACGTCGAGCCACACTTCGACAGTAGCACACAAGAGCAACTAGCGCAGAGCGATACCGTCAAGGATTTAGAAGAGAAAGTCTTACTAGCTGTGGAGAACAGCAAGGCCGGTTAGGTGGGCGACAAATAACAGAGCAATTGTGCGGCACCCGGTTCAATTGAAGATGTTCAGCTATCCTACAACTTCGCCCTCTTGCCCTCCTTCTCCAAGATCTCCAACACCAACCTCTCCGCCTCCCACGCACTTCCCCAACTACTCTGATACCCGTACCCTGCATGCCCATAGTTGTGCACAACCCAATCCTTCCCAATCCTCTCCTTCTCCAACCTGATCCCACCTTCCCTCATCGGCCTCAGTCCCACTCCATGCCTAATAACACTCAACTCCGTCACCTTCCCCGTCTTTGGCGCGAGACTGGGGCAGATGTCCACAGCCCTCTGAAGGATGCGATTCGCAAGATTCGGATCAACCTCACCCTCCCAGCTACCGTGCTGCAAACATCCCCCAATGATCGTTCCCCCACCCGCCGCACGCTGCATGATATACATAGCTTCATCTGAACCGTCATCGGTGCCAGAGGTAGTATGCATAGCGCCTGGCTTATTTCTTACTACTGCGATCTGGCCGCGGCCGGGATACACGGTGGTGTCCATGACGCCGCCGAGCTTAGAAGTTAGCAGGCCAGTGCAGTTCATGATTATGGAGGCGTTGCCGGTGCTGTGGTACGAGGGCGCTTCGGAGATGTGGGTGAGGACGCCGCGCTTGATTATTACGTTGTTTTTGAGGCATTGGCCGAGCAGCCAGGGGAGGTAGATGGCGGTGTTTATGCAGACGGATTTGAAGACCATGCCGGTGTCACAGGAGGGTGGGAGTTCGGACTTGTCTAGGATTCGGAGCTTGGTGATGGTTAGTCTATGTTTGATGTTCGAGAAGGCTGTTGACTGAGGACGACAGTAAGAGGTCAACATGATGATGGAGGTTGTTGCTGCCACGATCATGTGGTATTACGACTTGTCTTGATCAAAGATTCCTTTTCTGGTTCTTCTGCCCGCACGTAATGCTGCCGCAGTAAAAGGAGAACAACATGGACCTACCTCAGGCATAAGGTCCTTGAACCATGGGTCCTCCTTCATCAACTCTTGAAACCAAATGCCGACAGTGGTGCCTTCGTCTTTCTTCCTGCCATATACTCTGCATTCTTGATAGTGGATACCGGCTTCTGGGATCTCTCGACATAATCGATCTACTTCTGGCCATGATGCCTTCTCGAATGCTCGCAGCTTGCTGCTTTCCTTGCCAACAGGCATGAAGTTTGCTCCGGCCCATGGTGATGCATATTCAATATCGTAGTCGCCGGGCATGTGCTTGCTCACGACCGTCACATTGAGGTTCTTGTGCTTGGAAAGCACGAGAGCTGTTGATAGTCCAATAACGCCAGCACTGCATCCCAATCAGCATGAGCTTGAGGCGTCCCAACCCAGAAACATGGAACTTGAAATAGTCATGCTTACCCAACGACAACAACATTGATTTGTGACATATTCAGTAATTGTAGCTGCCTGATTGTTTGATCCACCTGTCAACAGCCAAGATCACGCTTTATAGTTGTCCCATGGGACTTTATCTGGAGCTCCTCCACGGCTCTGTTGGGCGGGGTCATAGGCTTTCCCGCCGCAAAGTGATTGGTGCAGCCCGATAGATGCGCACACTGAAGCAGGCACGAGACAAAACGCGCGAGCACATGTTCTTGTTTACACAGCGAGCTCATCTTCACCTCATTGCACTTAAGCTCAAAGCTGCACCGTTTGCTGATTACCGTTTTGACGCGTTCCGCGGTTCTCCTCTCACTGTCTAGAACGTGCGGCAGGCAGCCACCCAGTCACCTCACAGATAGGTGCTGCAACCGTCCTTTGATGAGCATTTCCACACATCGGCCATGCACCGGACTGAAAGCTAGAGCTTCCTTCTGAACCGTGACATCATCGTTGCTCCCGAGGTACGTAGCAGAAATTTTCTGTACCAGTCCTGCCGTTCCTGTTTCCTCCGTTGCGAGCTACCTTGGGTACAAACAGTCGCTATTGGCACTGCTGTTCGCTTATTCGTGTTCTTTCATCAGGTTCCTGAATAGCTCCAGCAGCTCTGACAAGGGGCGGTGATTGTTGTTCTCAAGTTGCCAAGTCGAAGTCGGCCAATCCCTGTCCCTCCCTGCGGCCGTTTACCAGAGCTTCGCGTCACAAAGTTATCCAGAGTTCACGTTCCCCTCAACTACGGGCCAACACCTTCACCAACCGTGGTGGCTGGCCCTGTGCTTGGAATATATTGCACGTCGTGTGCTTCAGTCTGCATCTCAAAAATACTCCATGACCGCGTCACCCCACTTGTGCCTTCCTCCCTGTACACCGACTTCTCCTGTCTCGCGACCTGCCTGCACCAGCTGTCAAGATGGCACCCCGCAAGCAGCGAGCGAACTCACCGGAGTTTCCCATCCTAGAATCCAATGGCCTGTATGCCAGCAATATAAGGGGTGATGGTGAGTCTAAAACAATTATTTTCATCAAGTTCGCAGCTGACTGTGTGCAAGGCAACTGCCTGTTCAATGCTCTCTCTGATCAGCTCTACGGTAATCAAGAGATGCACGCATCCCTTCGAGAGGCCACCATTGAGCACATGCGGGATAATTCAGAATTCTACCGTCAATATATGGCTGTCAACAATCTACGGAGAAACCCCAAACGCACCACCACCTCTGCCCAGACGACACGCATCGACACCACATACTATACAGAAGAACAGCTACAACAGCAGTTCGAAGAGCATGTTGAGAAGATGGGCCAGCCTGGTGAATGGGCGGACAACATGGAGGTCTCGGCGTTTGCCTCAGCTCTCAATGTGCACGTTCGCCTCTGGCAGGCTGACTATACCTACGTGTTCTCACCACGACTATATTACTCGCAAAACGACGACCTGAGCGCTGAAGATGATAGGAGGACATTGCACATTGCCTATCATGTACGTTCGACGCAACTCAATTTTGACAAGTGGCGTACTAACACCGCCATAGACTTGGGAGCATTACTCCTCAGTACGCAACACCGCAGGGCCTCACGTCGGCGAGCCTAACGTAAAGTTCAACGCAGAAGGACTTTCGAAGAAACGGCCAAGTCCTAGCGTAGATGGCGAACACGACGACCAAGCCTCGCGGACACGAAAACGCCGTTCACCCCTACACCTCTTCGACTCCGATTCTACACCTGAAGGCAGCGAGACTTCGTCAGACGAGTCGAGTGGCGTCATGTCGAGCTTTCAGCAAACACAGCTCGACCTTCCACCAGTGCCAGTGGCGAGGGCTCCAAAGCTGACACTCAAGCTTCGGTGCCTGAGGACAACTGACCCTACACCCTCACCCGCACAAACTCGGTCGTCCACGCCAGCTCCTCTCACCCCTGCATCAACCGGTACGACACCTGTGCCTTCACAAATACCGATAAGCACAGCAGCAACAGCTCCGTCCGCCCCTCAGGCTACAGCTAAGACGCCTTTGTGCATACAACTACTCACACCCACCGCAACTCCAGCCTTAGAAACGGCTTCGAGTACATCCACAGTAACATCATAGAAGATGATGACGATGACGGCGACGATACACACGAGTTGATGATACCCCTTCATGCATAGCCATGAGCGCATGTGCTTTACTTTACTATTCCTGTTTATGTTTACTTTTGCATAGCATACAAGCATGGCATGGTTGCATATGCATCGCCAGCAGGAGTGACAGGTGCCAAAGTGCTTGGGCCTGCGTCCTGGACTCGGCTTGGGCGTTCTGGGATTCGCATACGATTTGATCTTTTGCATACATGGATGGTAGATAGAAATGACACGCATCTTTACCTCCCTTGATCGTGATCTGTCTTTCGATGCTCATGTGCAACGAAAAGGCCACACACTATTGAAAAAGAGTGAGGAATGTCAATCGTCCAGTTGTATGCTGTAGCGACCCCAGAAATCATATCCGCGTACTGGTCTTCAAAGGAGTGAAGATATTAGTGGAACTGCTTCGTGGAGCATTGACGCCCTCCAGTTTACGAAGGGTTGACTGGGGGTGTAATTCACTGTACGGGCGAGCTGAAGTTGAACAGGGGTGCAAAGTGCTGGGGACTTGTTCACGGGCAGAACTTTGCAGAAGTGTGACTGTAACTTATGAGTCTTGTGTAAGATGGAAGATCGCCATCCAGGTTGGCGGAAGTACCACATACTTGGCTCGAAATTTCCCACCAAGGACAGTAAACAATGCAATGAGTGCCATCTCCGGTGGGTTCACAAGCAAGCTCAATTGTGTCTTTCAGTCCTGCAAAATCACACAATACATGCACCGTGAAAGGTCTAGCATAGCAGTTCGCTATGCAGTTGTTTTGCCAGATTCAGCTCCCAGACTCCCACAACAGCAATGAGAGAGCACACTCGACTCGGACTCATCGGTTTGCAAGCTGAAGCCATAGCTCCATCATATGCTCGGGGCAAATTCCGACGCCGCAACATGCTAAAGTACTTGAGGCTTGTGTCGCGTGCAGTAGTCCGCCGTGGGTATTGAAATCCAGGCGTAGGACGGGGCGGTGAGGCGGTTTTGCCGCCTTGTCCAGCAATTGACAAGATGTGATTTGTCCATATGCTGATCTTGCATGCTTGGGGGTTCCTCCGCGCAATGTGGGGAGAACAGAATCAGCAAAGCGTGAAGGGCATTGCTTGATGCGTCATCCTATCGCAGCGTTCCCCACAGGCGAGCGCTGACCGCCTACAGGTCCGCCGCTCTCGGCCCTGCGCTTTCATCATCATCGGCAAGCAGAAGAATTTTGACCTGCACTTTCTTGACTCACCTGAAGATAACGACCCAGACTTCAAATATCCGCTAGCTCCCAATCTCCAATCTTCCTTCATCCACATCCACATACAGCTTCCAAAATGTGTCCTACCTGCGAACCTGAGCAGACCAACGGCCATGCCAATGGCACCAACGGCACCTCCAATGGCAACCACGAGGGCTTCACCGGCGTCCAGACACGCAATAACCCTCGTCCTGACCACGTCAGTCCCTACAAGCCCGTAGGAGATTTCCTTTCGAACGTCTCTCGCTTCAAGATTATCGGTACGTCATCCGCAGCCCTCGCCGGCGCAATCGATCGGAGCGTGCGCGCAGAACAAATTCCATCGACAATGCCATCATAAGCAGAGATAAAGAAGTGTGTTAACAGATTCCCGCAGAGAGCACACTCCGTGAAGGCGAGCAGTTTGCCAATGCCTATTTCGACCTCGACGCCAAGATCAAGATCGCTAAGGCGCTTGATGAATTTGGTGTTGACTGTATGTTTTGTCTCCACGGCACACCGCCATGTGAATTCTCGAATACTAATCATCTTCTAGACATCGAATTGACCAGCCCTGCTGCTTCTGAGCAGTCAAGAAAGGACTGCGAGGCCATCTGCAAGCTCGGTGTATGTTCAATATCCGGCTAAATTGCGATTCATCAGTCTCTGACTCCTACACAGCTCAAGGCCAAGATCCTCACCCATGTACGCTGCCATCTCGATGATGCCAAGATTGCCGTCGAGACCGGTGTCGATGGACTTGATGTTGTTATTGGAACCTCGAGCTACCTCCGCGAGCACAGCCACGGCAAGGACATGACATACATCAAGAACACCGCTCTGGAAGTCATTGAGTTCGTCAAGAGCAAGGGCAAGGAGATTCGTTTCTCTTCTGAGGACTCTTTCCGCTCAGACCTCGTCGATCTGCTCTCCATCTACAGCGCCGTTGACAAGGTCGGTGTCAACCGTGTTGGTATCGCCGATACTGTTGGTTGCGCTTCTCCTCGCCAGGTCTACGACCTCGTCCGCACACTTCGTGGTGTCGTCTCTTGTGACATTGAGACTCACTTCCACAACGACTCTGGCTGCGCCATTGCGAACGCATACTGCGCTCTTGAGGGGGGTGCTACTCACATCGATACCTCCGTTCTTGGTATTGGTGAGCGTAACGGTATCACGCCTCTTGGTGGTCTTATGGCCCGTATGATTGTCGCGGACCGTGACTACGTCCTCTCCAAGTACAACATCAAGAAGCTCAAGGAGGTCGAGGATCTCGTTGCCGACCTTGTCGAGGTCAACATCCCCTTCAACAACTACGTTACCGGATTCTGCGCCTTCACCCACAAGGCTGGTATCCACGCCAAGGCTATCCTGAACAACCCCTCGACTTACGAAATCATCAACCCCCAGGACTTCGGCATGTCTCGTTACGTCCACTTTGCCAGCAGACTTACTGGCTGGAACGCCATCAAGTCCCGTGCTGAGCAGCTTGGCCTCAAGATGTCTGATGCGCAGTACAAGGAGTGCACAGCCAAGATCAAGGCCATTGCCGATATTCGCAAGATTGCGCTTGACGATACCGACTCGATCATCCGTACCTACCACCACAACTTGCACGCCGAGGAGGAGCAGCCCCTTCTGCCTGGTATGACCGAAGAGGAGAAGAAGAAGTTCGTTGAGGCCGAGAAGGAGCTCAGCGGAGTGCCAGAGAAGAGGGCGCTGGACGCTGCCGCAGATGCGGAGGCTGAGGTCCCAGCTGCTAAGAAGACAAGATCGGCCGCCGTCGCCTAAGCGTTTGAACGTGTGTAAAATTGGGTATCCGGCGTTTCTTGCTTTTCTTTACTGTCAGTCTCAGGGATTGTACTTTCACGGCATGTCTGCATATTCCGGTTACGGAAAAGTCGTTTTGTTTTGATACCTCAGATCGACGAGCTTTGATAGCTTGTCGCAGCACATAGAGCACGCTGCCTGTCTATGGGCGCAAAGAAGCCTAAAGTCAATGGTAATCTGAACTATTCATCTATCTGATGTCATCCGTCTAGTATCAACCAAGTGAGCCCCGCGGAAGAGAGATGGGCACGTGCCGTATCCAGGGTCCAGCCCAGCCGTTCATAGCGACTAGGGGTTTGGGAGGCGCTGTCTTTATTTTCCCCTGCAATTGCCGCCCACCCAACTTCCCCACCAACACCTTGACTGTCTTTCCTGTTGTTATAGTAACAGTCGCAATCATGAGCTCTACCGCCACCGTCACCGAGCAGCCTAAGATCACAGCAGAAAACGTTGTGCACCTTTTTCCCGATGTCAATACAGCCGTACTTGGAGGGTCGCATGACTCTGCCCGCAACGACGATGCGCTTGCCGGCTACGATGAGGAGCAGATCAAGCTGATGGATGAGGTCTGTATTGTATTGGACGACGATGACAAACCTATCGGAAGCGCCAGCAAGAAAGTCTGTAAGTAATTGCCGCAAGCACGCTCTTCTCAAGTGGGATGCGCCATTTCTTCCTCCATATACTGACGCGCCACAGGCCACTTGATGGAGAACATCAACAAGGGACTCCTCCACCGCGCCTTTTCTGTCTTCCTCTTCGACTCCCAGAACCGACTCCTCCTCCAGCAACGAGCGACCGAGAAGATCACATTCCCGGATATGTGGACGAACACTTGCTGCTCGCACCCTCTGGGCATTCCTGGAGAGACTGGAACAACCTTGGAGGAGTCGGTTCAGGGTGTTCGACGTGCGGCGGTCCGCAAGCTTGATCAGGAACTTGGCATCAAGTCTTCCCAGGTACCCATCGATGACTTCAAGTTCTTGACGAGGATACACTATAAGGCGCCCAGTGATGGCAAGTGGGGTGAGCACGAGGGTAAGAAATTCTAGATGTGGACAAAGACGCAAGCTCTACAGGCTCTGCGACCACCATCAATCCCTGGCAAAGCGCAGCACTGACAGAAGCACAGTTGACTACATCCTCTTCATCAAGGCCGATGTCGACCTTAACATCAACCCCAACGAAGTCCGTGACAGCGCCTTCGTCACCCAAGATGAGTTGAAGGCTATGTTCCAGGATAAGTCGCTCAAGTTCACACCGTGGTTCAAGCTGATCTGCGAGACTATGCTCTTTGAGTGGTGGAGCCACCTCAACTCCGGCCTTGAGAAGTACCTTGGAGAGACGGAGATTCGAAGGATGTAAACGAAGAAGTAATGAATGATACCACGTAGAGGAAGAGATGTTCTGGGAGCTTGAGAAAGGTGCGCAATGTTCCCATAGTCTTACATGGGTATCTGAGGGGCCGCGAACGCCAGTGTTCCGAATAGTCGGCCCAGCACCAATCCTGCTTCCGAAGGACGAGGCAACACATGCAAGCTCGGCCAGCGATAGATACCACACCTGCAATTGATCACAACACGTCAAACGACCACGCCCCACGTCTCCTAGTCATGGACTGCAGCATACTCGACAGAAGTGCATGGACGTCTCCTATCATTATCTTTTGACCAACGTGGCGGGCGATCTCAACCTCTCCTCAAACAAACTTGGCTGATAGGTAATTAGTAGGTACCACTCCGGCCCGTATCTCATAGCGGAACAGACCCGAGCAAATCAACATACAACGGTACCCGCGGACGTTGGCCTGGTCTTTACGATGGGCGGAGAGGAGCGAGCAGCACCCTGAGCGCCAATCCCTTTTGAGGAGGTACAAGCGGTGACAGACCAACCGCTTCCGGTCACCCCACACTTTCTCGATGCCACGCTTCGCACGCTTCACTTCGACTGCTCTCTGATAGTGGATAGTGCTGATTTCTGTAAGAGAACAAACAAAATCAGAAACACAGACTACGATGCGCGGTTCAGCCGCAATGCGACGGTACCATATGAGCCACATCTTCCAGAAGCGCGGCTGGATGCTAGGCGCATGATAACAGCGAAAGACGCCGCGACTGGCTCCAGAGATAGATCCCGCTGCAACACTAGCGCGACCTCCACCTCTATTCGGGAGGCTTACGATGGCAACAAGGGTTGGGGCGGAAGTATATCATGTGGCTGCTCCCATCTTTGTCTCCTCACAAAAGAGACTTTATTCAAGCAACTCGTAGCCAATCCTCTTTCCAACTCCAACCGATCGATTTACGATCTTGATTCCCACTACGAACGTCAGCCACTGCCGCACGAGCCGATAATCGTTCCTATCAGTGCTTCTCTCCGCTGCGCATTACGCCAAGCCAGTGTACAGCAGTGCTGTCATCGGTCTTGTGACAAGCTACCAGCGAGTCGAAGAGCAGGTCACGTTTTGTCGTCCATCCATCCATCCACGCAAGTCTTCCCACGAGCAAGCTTGCATAACGATAAGACACCCGCCCATTGCCGATCCTAGAGGGCGTACGTCGGTCACACGTCGCCCTATCAACAGCCCTTTATACCAAGGCAGCCTGCCTAGCATCACCTATTGATGTCGGTTGATTTGCGTCAAGCTTTCCAATCTCTACGCTACCCATCTCGAGTCGAAACCGTCTCGAGATCGCAGCTCTCTAGAGTACACACAGGAGATACTACCCGTCCATTAAAATCGTAAACGTTTCGTGAGACAACAAAGGTATACTATGGCAGGCAATCGACGGTCACGGCTCCTGCTAGCCCGACTTGACTGCCCACATCCGTTTGATACTAATTACAACATAGTAGCAGTGCTTGAACTCTGTATCTTTCTTCCAGAAGACCAAGTTCGACTGTTCGATCTCCTCGGCCATCGCGCCCTGTCCCAACGATAACCTCCACGCTGGCGTATACGACTGTCCCAATCGTCAGAAAAAGCGGCAGATCCCACCTGAATACTAGTAGAAAGCTACGGACGAAACCCCAATCATGGCGAAGTCATTTGGTCCAGTTGCTCCAGTCGCCTACAACATGATTGACACAAAATACACCTTGAAGTCTGCTAACGTGAAGGGTCATGAAGTTCTTACCAGCTTTACTCTCCTCAAGCAGAAGTCTCCCGCCGCTGTTGTACCTCCGCTGACCGACGGCGTACGTCTGGTCACAGTAGATGAGTACAAGCAGGCGGCTGCCTGTCTGGCGGAGGCTTTTGCTGAGGACGATGTTGCTCGTTACTTTGTTGATGTGCCTGACCGTGAGCATTGGACTGATGACGAGAAGTGGGCTTTGCATGTTGAGATCATGGAGTACATTACTTACGCTCATATCCTCAAGGGTCTGGTGACTACAGTTGGAGACTTTGAGGCAGTTGCACTCTGGTAGGTACACATCACAATACTTCCAGCTTGTGTACTGACACGCATAGGATGCCGCCCGGTCAGAACATGGACGACTACCTGACCATCTGCCGCAGCGGCCTCTGGCGCCTCAACTACCGCCTCTCAGTCGAAGGCAAGCGCCGCTTCTTCAACGAGTTCTTCCCCCTCCTCCACGACACCATGCACGCCACCCTCGGCGACCGCGAACTCGACACCTGGTACCTCGTCTACCTTGGCACTCGCCCTGCTGGACGTGGTAAGGGTCACGCCCGCAAGCTCATCGAGCATGTCACAAAGATAGCCGACCGCGAGGGCAGGACTTGCTACCTGGAGTCGAGCAATGCGATCAATCCGACCATCTACAGGAAGTTTGGCTTCGAGGAGCGTCGCACGATTCATTTGCAGCGTGCGCAGAAGAATATCTCGCTTGATATTATGGTGAGGGAGCCTGTTGCTCAGGAGAAGAAGGGTGGCATCTAAGCATATGAGGTGCTTTACGCAGGAGATTTTGAGCACCGCTTCAACACGGAAGGCTCCAGGGGAGGACACAGACTGATGGAATAACCTTTGTAGGTTTCTTCAACAGAACCTGATTTCTTATGTTGCGTGAATTGTAGCCTTTCGAGCAAGTAGACACACAATCACTACAAAGAGATGGAAGCATCCAGATACACGATACACCATAGATTTACTCCTTTCGTGATCTCTTTTACGAAATGTGGAGACGTTCAGTTGCCGCGGGTTGAATCCCTAATGATCTACGCACTACTCGGTAGTTGATCGCGTATCTAACGCGTTATTGTTATTGCAATCAACAAAATCTGTGCCTTCATCTTCCAGCCGCTGAGCTCATCCTACGCTCGATCGCGCTTCAGTAGGTGAGAACTATTGCGTTTGGTATTTAATAGGGGCTCTCCTTCCACAAACATACTCATCGCACCTCGCTAAAGGGTCGCGGTGCCACAGGCTCATGTTTATCTGTTTACCATGCATTTTGCGGCGGGGGCTGTGCCAAAATGCGGTGTACAAGGGGAAGGATGCGATGATTTGCTTTGTCGCATCCTGGCTCTATGAAACGCAGTGCCAGCGCAGGTGCTCCCATGCCCACGTTTGACACCGCTCCCTCTCATTTCACTTCGATCGTCGACTTCTCCTTTCCCACTCTACGTCACTTTCTTTCCATGCACCATTCACTTGCTTTCGCACCGTAAATCTAGCGCAACTTTATTCTTTGAAGCCTTCGTCCGCCTTCGTCACCTTCGCTTAAGACGTTTTAATTCACAGCAGATGCCTAATCGATAGTCTCTCTGCTCCACCCCCGCAAGTACGCAATCACAAGCCACAACCGATCCAAGCGCGTCAGGGTTCAACGAGCGTGCAGCCTGCCAGCACATCATTCGAATTTTTGCTGGACTCTGCATATACACGTAGACACGCGACTGCCTCCGCCAGGCTCCGGTCAACTCTGCACCGCCCATTGTTCGACCTGAACCACTTCCACGATGGTGACGCAACGACGATACTCGGTTACCGGCCAAACACCGCCAGACGACGCCGAAGCCTTGAAAGCAGGCTCACCAAAGTTACATGCCCTCGATACCAGCGTACAGACCAGCTGCGGGCTCTGCGAGGGCGGCGCAGAAGCGAGCAAGGCACTCGAAGAAAGCGCAACCGCGCAGTTGCGAGGACGCAAGATGTCACCCACATGTACGATCACACGAACCTCCAGCAAACGCTCAGCAACCCAGCTACCCTCACCAAGCTCACCAACGTGCGAATTACCACCCAAGATCGCACGATACAGGCTGAGCTACAACGAATCGGGTATGGACATGGATACAGACACAGACTCGGATGCCACGGATGTGTTTCGAGACCGCAGTGATAAGGAAGAGGAGGACTGGATGGTCAACAGCCAGGCGACCTCCATGCCCTCCACACCAGAGTTCTCACTACCACTCAGCGCCCTACGTCTACCAGACACGGAAGACGAAGGCATCGACGTAGAAGACCTTGCGCTCTCTCCACCACACTCTCGAAACCACAGCCTAAACTGCGCCCACCTGGACGAAAAAGCCCTGCAGCGCGACTGGGCCGTCTTCAAGCAAGCAAGCGCCCTGCTGGAATCGCAAATCATGCACCTAGAATACATTACTCCACCTCAACCCCAAACACAAGAACTCAGCACCCACACGGCCGTTACTTTCCTCACCCTGCCTCCAGAAATTCGCCACCAAATCTACCGCCTCGACACCGACCTCGTCAAAACCAAACCGCTATGCTACTGCCTCGAGAACGCCGGGTCCAAAATCCAACACCCCTTCGCCTCCGTGTCAACACAAATCCGGCGCGAAGCGCTCGCCATATTCTACAGCTACAACACATGGGCGATCAAGACGGAGTACAAGATGTTCTACGAGGCGTTTCAGGACTGGATTATCCGGCTGGGCGACGGCGCAAGCCAATTACGGCTTGTAACGCTGAGTGTGCGGGGGAAGTTGTTCAAGCCGGTCAAGACGCATCCGCAGAGTGTGGTGGTGAATGGACAGATTGTGGTTATTCATACGGGGCATGTGCCGGCGGGTGGGGTGGGCGTGTTGCCGAGTCCGACAAGAGAGGAAATGTATAGTCCGCCGGATGGGGAGGCGAGTTTTAATATTGATTTGAGCGAGAAGTATGTTGGTGGGCAGGTGCAGTTAACGAGGAATGATGGAACGGCAGATGCGGGTGAGAAGGGGAGAGTGCAGCTTGAGAAGATGGTTGTGAGTCTATGGGAGAAGAGGAGGGATAGCACGCTCAATGGGCAAGATTGGATCAGTCTGGTCGATGGCTTCCTGAGCTTCGTCGGTATGATCGGCGGCGCATGGTGAACGTCGGAGTGCCTTAGTACAGATCCATCATAGTGGACAGGTACGTGGAGTGTTTGCAGCGTTGTGTTCTTCCTGTTCTTGTTTTCATAATGAATGCGTTCAAGCCTGCACGTCTGCCTGGGTTACCAAGGGGTTAGGAGTCTACTGGCGCAATGGAGATGGAGCATGGAAAACGCATAACAACAAATCGGCGGAAAAGACGATCACGCATGGAGAGCAACATTAACCCTATCAGGAAAAGGTTGGCGCAATGCCTTTTAGCTGTGGATAATTTTGAGATCATTCTGAGGAGGCTGTGATGTGCATAAGAGATGATAATAAAGCCCATTCCAACCATCATCTGATGCCTATGCACAATTGATCTCAGCTTTAGACATTAGATCCTCGCTCTGAAGGCTGGCCACTGCGCACTACTTAGGTAGTAGCCCGGATCGATAAGTAATCTCCGGTCATGACATTGCGAGGCAAACATGCATGTCTAATATAGCTAGCCATCTCTGAGGATTCCATTGCTCCTTGGTCATGCCGCAAGACGATGACGTCTGATATCTCGCCCAACGCGAATACAGGCGTAGACATGGTCTCAGTGAACAGTATCAATACACAGTACGAAGTACAATAAGGAAATCGCGAGGATGATCATGTGCAACCGATGGTAGGCCTGTCCTTTCTCGGTTTCGAGCCGCCACATTGCTATCATTATCTCTGGAAAAGTTATGGAAATCCAACAGAAAATAGAGTAACCGACACCTGAGGTAACCCGGCTGCGATGCGATGACGATGTTAACAATTCTAAGATCAGTGAGAGCACACATACAAAGAACATACCAATCGTAACGGGCACGTTGGGATAACCTGGGCATTTCGCAACAAACTCCTAGAGCATACCAGCTTTACACTTACCTCAAAGGCTTTCGACATGTAAATATCCAGAAGAGCTCGCAATCCCAGAATAATGGCGAGCGTCAGCAAGTAGACGAGAACAGTCCACCATGAAGGGGAAGTGGAGTCCGAGCCCGTAAAATGATACACCTGTTGAAGGTGGACCATCAACTTCTTCTCGAGCCGTGTACTCAGACGGTGATAGATGATGGTAGGAGTGTCGTAAAGACCTCAATAATTCACAACTGCTCCTTCCGCAAGCGACAAGCAACCGAATGGCTCAAATACAAGTAACACACAGGAAAACCGCGGATGCATGATGTACTTTTCTTCAAACATTATAGGCCAGAACATGCCGCCAGCGAGACCATGGACTTTCCATTCATGCTGGAGCCTTGATTCTGATGATCATTGTGGCTGTGAAAGGCTCCTCGATGGGAATTTTGAAATGAAAATGAAGGATCATCTTGCGCCTGGCCATTCCATCATGGGTGTTGTCGATTTCCCACTACAACTTCTGAACAGCCTGGGTGGTGCTCAAATTGCTCAACGCAATGATTGTTGTAGTGGTGAGCGGCGGACATCCGGGTTCCGGAGGGCCCCCTTTCTCGGCTTGACCATGCCGTTTTTGACCGTATCGAATCTCGGAGCTTGAAAGTTCCTAGCAGCACCAAGACGTACGATTTTTAGGTTGAGCATGACTTTATAACAATCTGTTAGTCCTTCACTGTTCTTACCAAAACTCTTTCTGTTCTGCGTCATCACCATCCCGTTGAACATGGCGCGCGCGCTCCTCATCCTCGGTGCCATCCTCGGCCTGCTCACCAGCCTAATGTACATGATCGAGCCCTACCTATCACAACTCTACATCTTCACCCCCCAGGAACTACACCAACTCTCCAAAGACGCCCTGTCAGTCCACGGAAACGACACTGCCTCCGTCGTCTCCTACATCGTCTCCGCCCTCTCCAAGAACCACCCGGATCACGTGAACCTGGACGAAGAATGGATCTTCAACAACGCCGGCGGCGCAATGGGCGCAATGTACATCATCCACGCCTCCGTCACCGAGTACCTGATCATCTTTGGAACTGCGATTGGGACTGAGGGGCATACGGGACGCCATACTGCTGACGACTATTTTCATATCTTGAAGGGCGAGCAGCTTGCGTATGCGCCTGGTAAGGGTGTGTATGAGCCGGAAGTTTACCCTCAGGGGAGTGTGCATCATTTGAGGAGAGGCGATGTTAAGCAGTATAAGATGGATAAGGATTGCTTTGCGTTGGAGTATGCTAGGGGATGGATTCCGCCGATGTTGTTCTTTGGTTACGCAGACAGTAAGTTTTCAATGCAGTTTGTCGGTTCTGATGGCGATACTGATGCTTTTCAGCTTTCTTCAGTACCTTGGACTTCCCGACGTTGTGGCGGACCACGTTTGTTACTGGACGCGAGATGATTGGGAATCTGCTCAAGGGGAAGTTGTGAGCACCCTGTCACAAAGCCGGACGATTTCCTGTACGATATTGGTTCCGTCTCTCTTTTTAAACCACAGCGCTCGAGTGGTTGAGGTCTCAGGTGGCAGAAGTGCCGTGTGAAGCCTGGCTGTCAGCCTGCCAAGTTAGACCGGCGAGGCTTACCAGGATGCTTATTGCGGATACGAAGCACGCGACATGGTAGCTGTGATCTAAGGTAGGACATCCCGATACCCGAATACAGATGTCTTAGATACCACTTGCGAAAGCTTTGTGTGGTGTAGGACTCTGTAGGCAAAGTCGTACAGGTACTTCAGCTGTGCTACACACGCAGCTCAACTTTCAGACCGGCGTCTTGTTGTTGTTTTGTGGTTGTCTAGGGGATGGATGATGAATTCCAATAATGTCTGCTCAAATACCAGTGCTTGTAACACCGCTCACCGTTTGTTTTGAGAAGCGGTGTTGTTTGACTTGGTGACATGCTCGCACCGAGATCTGATGTCAGCCTGAGACTTGACTCGGCCCGCTTGAAGACACGGCTGTGGGCGTCGCACGTCACTGGCTGCTGGCAGCATTTGGCAGACGCGCGTTGCGTTGCCAGTTCTCGCGCGGGGTACTAATGCAAATCCACGCGAGAAGCTCCCAGGCCGAGCATGACCAAATCTCGTCCGGTGTATCAGCTAGCGGACGGCTATCAAACCATGCCTTGGATCTGGTTTGCTGACAGCTGTTGGGGATGATGAAGGGCACACAGCATGAAAGTTGAGACCTGGTTGAGGCTGATGTTTCGAAACCGGCGGCCAATGGGGGCGCTGTACCGCACGCTATTTCTAGCCCATTTCGCTTCTGCACTTGCGCCATCCTGGGGATAACAAGGCTAGGGCAGGGTCAGCCTCGTCTGTGAAGGTGTTTGGAACACTTTAATGGAGACAGGCACCGCGTGTTGAGAGATAATGCAATGCGTAGACGGTGGGGCAGACGTGCAACGGCATTTTACTGTGAGAGTGAAATATCTGATGCTGGCAGCGGCGGCATGTTGGAGTCTCTTGCTCTGGCTCGTTCTCTTCCCGTTCGTAGATCGATAATTGTGGCTTGTTCAACAGTGGACACGCTCGGACTCCGCCTCCCCATCAGTGTTAAGCCGTGCGGCCCCTGCAAGGAGATGTATCGACCAGGCCTTGGAAATCACCAACACTCCCATGCCGACTCTGCTGCCTCTGCGTCCATTGTAATTGCTCCTCCACCCGTCTCGCTGTGGGCGCGCCGCAATCAGTACCAGGGACAAGACACGCTGCGCCCGGCGAGTAGCAACCACCTGCGCGCCGACAGCTCAGTGCTTGGAAGCGAACGGCCCAGGATCATGAGCAGAGCTTATGTCTCTACGTCAACAACAAGCCTCACTAGCCCCGTCCACCACCACGATACTCCCCCGCAACAACACTCACCCACCTCGATCTACTCCACCGACTACCTGACCTCGCCGCCCGCCAAGCCCTACTACAACATCTCGAGCCCCATCGGCGCCCCCTTCTATCCTAAGCCCGAGGACTACGGCGGCTACCAGTTCGCCCGCCTGCCGCAGCGTCTGAGCGCCCGCATGCCTCTCGAGATCCTGCCGCGGGCGCATTGGCTCAGTCGCGTGCGCTCATGTCTGCGCCTGCTGATAATCGTCCTGAGCGGCGCCGTGGTGTTTATGTTGATGCACACCCTGGGCATCTATAGGGGGAACAGGTACCTGGAGCTGCGCAAAGGCGAGATCCCCATGGTCTGGCCCGCACACACGAATCTTGCGCCTACGATTATCTTGGTTGCAGTCGCGGGAGCCAATTTCCTTGCTTCGGTGGCCATCTTGTCGCTGAGCTTCAAGCGCTCGTTTCGCCGCCCTATTCGCTCGAGGGATCTGTACCGCATTGTTGTAGGAAGCTTTGGGGTTGTGCTTTGGGCTGCTGCGCTTGTTGTCTTCCACCTGCTCGACAAGGCGAGCAAAGCCAGCTTAGGGCGGTACTCGTGCAAGAACCAGGCCCAGATGACCAACGGACGGTACCAGTACCGCGCTGTTTGCGAGGAGCAGGTATGTCACGAACACCTCAATATTTTGCTGGTCTAGTACTGATTACATCCAGAATGTTGCATTCTACACCGCAATAGGCGCCGCCTCCGCCGAGCTCCTGACACTCATCTCCCTCGCCGCCTCTGCGATCAGATCAATGCGAGAAGAACCACCGCTCCCCATAATCCAGATACACGAGAAGAAGGACTCGAACCATCTCAGTTCAGGCTGGAAACCCTCCAGACCGAAGACGTGGATACAATAGCATCAATACCACACTTTCCGTCTCTTCTGTACACACGGTTCCTACATCACTGCATGATACCCCGGATCATTTTCTCTTTCCCTTACGGCAATACCAAAACATGCTTCGGCGTCTTATATCACATCTGCATCTATCGGCGTTCTCATTTCCATCTGCATAACAAGATACGAATAATGGCCAGCATCAACACCGTTACAACGCGAAAAGCACCACCAAGTCTTCAAAGCTAGACCCTTGCGCACGCTCCAGAGCCAGATATTGCGCATATACCATTTTTGTAATCACAAGAAATAAAGCTTCAGACCATGCCCTTGCACTGCTAGAACTGGATCTCGAAATATGACAACTATGCATTGAATCTACTCGACAGCCTTCTCCTCAAAGAACCCCACCAACCCCCCATCCGCCTCCGCCAACTCCCTCTTCTCCATCTCCCACTCGTCCTTGACCTCACTCTGGCTCAGCGCCGCGTCCAGACACTCCGCCGTGTCCCTTAGCTCTTCGCGGATAGTCCTTATGAGAACCCAGTCACGGTTCTCTTCGTCTGCTTTCTCTTCACCGCCGATCTCTTCGTCAATGCGACCCTTCAAAACACATAACCCCAGTGTAATTGCTCCTCTATGTGCTGGGATCCTCGGCCAGCAAGTCTGAACCAAAGCCTGCATTGCCACTACGGCTGCAAGGGTGAGTTCCTTGTGGCTCAGAATGAAGGGGTCGTGCATGATGCTCGTAAGTAAAGGAATGAGGCTAGGAAGATGCTTGACGGTCTCAATTTCGAGGAGGGTCGCGATCTCGCCGATCTGATGCAGGATCTGACGCGCAAGACTGGGATATGTGGAAGGCGTGGGGAAGTGTGACAGAGGTGCGAGGACGCCTTCGCGCATGAGCTTGTCCAGGAATTTGTTTCTTTTATCGGGTGTTGTGGATAGCACCGCGAGAGAACTCAATGGATTGTAGACATATTTGAAGATCGTGACAGACTCGGCTTCGGGAGTTAAGGAGGGGATGTACGTTAGTAGAGGCCAGAGAGTGGAGGCGAATACTTCGTGGTAGCCTGTGCGGGCGAGGAAGGCTGCGGATGTTTGCGTGGCGAAGCCGGAGTTGAATCTTGAGGAGCTGCTGGGCGTATCGGACTCCCTTTCTGTTCCGAGCTCCAGGGTCAGGAGTAGTTGAGAGAGGAGCTGGCATCCTCTTGCTTTAGATTTGGCCTCCGTGTCATCAAGTATCTTTAGGGTGGGTGGGACTAGTAGATGCCAGTTCTGTTCTATTGCCTTTCGATCGAGCGCGCTAATTGACCAACCCAACAGACATAGGACGAACTCATTGTGGGGGTCTTTCCACAGAGCGGGCTTTTGCGATACTTCGAATGTGTTCGTCGACTTAGTCTGTGGAAAGAAAGGTGGGATGGTAAGCTTGAGGAAGTGCGAGGCGAGGCGTTGGGGAAGCTCACTGTCACTCTCTCTGGCCTTTTTGACGGCCTCAATGGCTTCGGCCGGGTCAGTAGTAGAAGGTTCGCGAAGTTGCCAAGCCATAACTATGTCGAGAGCGTCCTTCATCCAAGGGCCCGGCTTGATGGAGAGGGCTTTGGCGAGGTCAGTGCCTTTGAGGAGGGGCTTGAAAGTGTCTGCGTCAAGGATCTCGAGCTTGGCGAGGTGCGAAAGGAATGAGGAGTATGAGCGGAGCAGTTCTGTGAAATTTTAGTAGTTGCGCTGCTCCATATGGATCCAGTACTCACGCTCCTGCGATGTGTTGCCGAGCACAACCTCGTAGATCAAGTTGAACAGAACTTGTGTCCTCCATGTCGAGCCCCAACGGCGAATGGCCATACCCAATGTGTCTCGAGCAGTCGCATCGCTTAAGGGATTGATAGTGTCTGGTCTTTGCAGGCCCCGTGCACATTGCGCCACTAGATTGCGAATCTCCTCGCTGCTACTTAGCGAAGCAGCAACGACATCGCAGACTTTGTTTGGAGCTTTGAAGCCTTCACGAGCGACAAGATAAGCAGAGAAGTAAGGCCGCTGCAGAGGCTTCTGATGGGGAACGGTAGGCGCGTCAGCCCATGGTATCATGGTTGCGCAGATCCATGCGAGGTACTGCTCGTCCGCATTGCGAAGAAGGTGGTCTGCGATGACTGAAGTCTTGGAGCCGCCGTGGACAATAGAGTCAACGAATTCGAAAGCTGGCTGAAACAAGCTTGTGTCAGGCTCAGCTGGAAGCTCTCTTGTGGGGTCTGTGAACACGGTTCTGTAGAGGCCGAATCGGTTGATGAGTTCGAGCGCCATACGGGGTCGAGGACCCTTCAGCATTTTTTCTAACTCGATGCCTACGCGCTCTCGACTGATCTTGATCTTGAGGACGTCCTGGATCTCGGGATTTGCCATAGCCTTCTCTGTCTCCGGTTCGATAGTGTAGTCCAACCTGCTAGCAAAGCGTATCAAACGCAGTACTCGAAGCGGATCATCCTTGAAGGTCTGAACAGGTTCCAGAGGAGTCCTGATGATCTTCGCTGCCATGTCATCGAAGCCTTGTCCGGTGAAGTCTTCTACCTGACATGTGTGCAAGTTGAAGAACATGGCGTTGACTGTAGCGTCTCGACGTACAGCATCTTCTTCAGCAGTACCGAACTCCATCTGCGGATTGCGAGAGATCTCGTTGTAGGTCTCTTTCCTTAGATTGACAAGATCCAAGTCGATGCCCATGATGTTTGTTGTTGCGGTTTCTAGGTTCTTGGACTTCTCAGGGTTCGCCTCGATCTTGTGAAGGCCGGGTGCAACTCTCTTTGCCTTGTCTCTGCTGCTAAGCTTGTCCGTCTTGTCGCTCTTCTCGATCAAGCCGTGTTTCTCAGCATTGCCGGGGATTTCCAGGTACTCTTGCAGCTTCAGCCCAAAGTGTTCGCCGGTCATTTTGTTGATGGCAAGATCAATGTCGTGGCTTCCCACTTTCAACAGTTTGTCACGCACCCATCCTCCTGTCCACCGTAATACGATCTTCTCGTTTGCAAGGCTCTCCGGTGCCTCCACCGCAGTTGCCTTTGAGGTGGGCTGCTCGTCAATGTAGGCAGCTACGTCCAACAGCAGTTGACGAAGCTTAGTCTCCACTTCGGTCAACTCGAGTTGGACCTCGATTTTCGTTGATGTTTCTGAAGCCATTGTGCCGTATGGATGTATCAGTCGAGGTGATGGTCTTTCTATTTTTCGTCGTTTCGCGCTCCGCTCTTGCAGGTGGGGCGGAGATGCTGACGTTGACATGCGCTGTAGGCCAATAATGACTGACGGGGTCCGTTGAGTCAAGATGGTGAGTCGAATGGTCGGTGAAGCAAAGTCACGTTTGTAGAGAAGAGAAATTGTTCGCGGTGAACACAAACGGCAGGCTCGACTCAAAGACATGCATGTGGGTCCAGCACTATCTCTTGCAATGTTTACAGCCCTTTGAGAGCCCTTTGAGCATCGCTGAGCTTTTGGAAACGCAGTTAAGGAGCGACAGTAAAGGCAAAGCGCAAGAACCGGAGGGGTATAGCTAGGGTGGTGGAGTGTTGATGGAGATGCCGCAGTCCGTCCAGTCAGAAAGCTGAGTGGCCGCAACCACCATCGTCACCTTACAGCGCACGCCGGTACCAACAAGCACCCTGCACGCCGTTGAAGCCGCCTACGACCGCCGTGTACCTACCACAGAGCCAGAATACATGCCGACAGCCCCAGACCACCCGCGCGCACTCAAAACCCCACGGGCGCCCCGCCCTAGCCTTTCATGACGCCGCCGCAAGATGCCATGCCCAAGCCCCCAAACTTCCCGCAGAATGTAGAAGCCTCCGCCATACTACCCAAGCAGCGCGCGTCGCCTGCGTCTTCTCTGGCGTCGCTGCCCTATCGCCGGTCGAACCCGAGCCTCTCCAAGCTATTCGAATCGACCACGAGCATCTCGACCCCTAGCAACTCGCGCCCTAGCTCGGGTACCGCGACACCGACTGCATCCACCGTACCTGGCTCTGTCTTCTCGCCCGGATCACGGTCTGGTGGAACAAGAACGCCTACCAGTCTGCCGCCAGGCGTGTCAGACGAGTACCGGACGCTCATACAGCGCGCATTCGTGCCACATATTGCAGTATTGGCAGATGCTGAGACCGAGGCGTTGATCAGGGGCAAGGGGCTGGACGGCGGTTTCTTGGAGCTACTGAGGCCTTTTGGAGAGCAGGTACCCGGCAAGGTAACCATAAGAGATAGCATTGGCGCAAGCAAGAGCCATGACGACTTTGGTGTACGCTTCGTAGGTGTTGAAGATGCATACCCGGACCTGCGAGGTGGTCAGAGAGCATCTGCAGAGCCCACACGGCGGCCACGGCGTACAGGCGGAGACGTACCGCAGATAGAGGAAGTGGTGGACCGACACTTGCAGTATTCGGAGTTCAATCGTCAGGATCCGAATACAGACTACATGAACAAGAGAGAGCCAGCTGCGCACACCGAGGACGCTGGATCACCGTTCTACACCCTCTACCTGCGGCGACTGCTCTCAGGTCTACCAATCGTGCCCCACGAAACATTTGCACACCCTGTGGCTGGCATAATAGCGATCAGCTCGTCAAACCCACATCCAATTGAAGAGCTGCGAAGGCTGTACAACAGACAGCATGATGGGGATCTGCGCTTTCCGCAATGGGTGGAGAATGACTTTCTGCGGTACTACGTTCTTGTGCACGATGAAGAGAACGGGGATATCGCAAAGTCAAATCAAACGTTCGACTCGATGAAACGACATTTCGGTCTGCATTGTCACCTACTTCGACTCAAGAGTCAGGAATGCATACCATCAGACGACGACAGCGTGCGGTTACCAACTTGCGAATGGATGTCTGCTGGTGAAGAGCTAGCAGAGATCCAGAAGCGAGGTACGTCCTTCGCCAACAAGCTTTCCAATTCCTACTGACTTTCTTTGCAGAAACCACAGACGACATCACCGACCCAACACCGTACTTCCCTGACTCTGACATCAGCAGCCTGCGAACTTTCATCCGTGAGCTCGTCACCCAATCTATAATACCCAACATGGAGCGCAGCGTGGCAACCTGGAACGAGCAAATCCTCTCCCGCCGCCGTGGTTTGTCAGGCCGCTTCATGTCCCTCTCCAAGCGCTGGACACCCTTTGGCAGCTCCCGCAACAGCGCCTCTGCCTCTCCCTCCTCAAACTCCAACTACGACAGCCTCCAAGGCTTCTACCGCCCCGACGCGCCCGAAGCCATCATGCGGCGACTCGCAGACTACTGCTTCATGCTGCGCGACTGGAAACTCGCACTCTCCACCTACGACATCCTGCGCATCGACTTCCAAAATGACAAAGCCTGGCGGCACTACGCAGGAGCAAGCGAAATGGCCGCTCTATCCGCGCTCATGGTGCCAACACCCATGAGCTCGAAGAACCGGTCCGAGAACATAGATGCCTGGATCGAAGCCGCATCGTACTCCTACACCGACCGCCAGCGCAGCGCAGCGCCCTACTACGCCCTCCGCACCCTCGCCCTCTCCACCGAACTGCTCCGCCTACGAGGCTCCAGTGCCGCCGACGACGCCGCGCGCTGGGGGACCCGCATCCTCGAGACAGGTCTCGTAGGCAATATCGGCCACGCGCTGGTCACAGAGCGCATATCAGCCTGCTACAGCATACGCACGGGCATCGGGATATACCGGCTCGGCAACCGACGGAGGAAGGCTGCGCTCTGGGCGGTGCTGGCCGCGGAGGCGTGGTGGCGGTTGGAGCGCAGTCAGCAGGCGGAGGAGTGTCTTGATAATGCGCTACGGCTGTACAATACACGCGCGGAGACGAGGGATGGTGGGGCGGTGAAATTGCCGTTTGAGGAGATGCAGAGGTTTGTTGATGAGTCGAGACAGCAGATTCTGGGCTTAAGGTTAACGAATCAGGGGTTCATTGAAGGGCGGGATGAGGAAGAGGGGGGTGAGAAGGGAGAAGGGGAGGTTGAGGAGGTCGCTGAGACGCTGGATAAGAGTCCACGGGCGCACAGGAAGAGCTTGCTAAACCCGGTACAAGGAGGAGATGCGGGACCGCTCAGTCCGGTACTGGAGAGGGGTGAGAAGAGCGATCCTCTTGCTGAGGGGTTTGAGTGATCAGGTGGACGTGGTAATGAAGTCAAGTCTTGGAATGTAGTTATGCATGGCATGGGCGTTGTGTTGGAGCATATGGTACATAATGCAACTGTGCATGACGTTTCTGACTTCACATTCTGATGCTCGTTATCGTAACACACGTCATAAGTCAAGAACTGATCCGACATTGTACTACATGGTATTGAAGCAAAAGAAAATGAGGTATCACAAAAGCACTAAACCCGAACACCATCATAACACATCTAAGGACACCAATCCGGACTTCGCAGAGTCGTACACACAGCGCTGCACTCCTAGATACTTTGCTCCATCTCGGTGATGTAGAGCTTGATGTGGCTCTCCATCTTGAGGTACTCGTCGTGCGCCGCATGGACCTCGTTCTCAATGTTGTCCTTGAGCTCAGCCATCTTCTTTTCTGTCTGCTCAATGCGTACTCGCCGCCTCTCCATCTCGCGCCCCTTTTCGCCTCGCTCTTCGGCTAGTTTGGCGTGTGTATCGCGCAGTTCTTCCATACGAAGGTGTGCCCGCTCTGCTTCTTCGTTGCCCTTCGTTCTCAGCTTCTCTGTTCGCGCGTTGACATTGCTCAGCTGCTTCTGGAGTAGTCGCTCTTGCCTCTCAACGTCCCTAACGTTGTTGCTGCGGTCTGCGAGTGCGTCCCTATGTCGCGATGCCTTTGCTAGTTCCTCTTCTTCTTTAGCTAGGTCGGCTTGTACGTCCGTCAAGAGTCGTGTACAGGACGTGACGTCGGTGATGACTATGCCAAATGAGTCGGTGGATGTTTGGAGAGCGCGGGCGCGGCGATCTAGGGTGTCGATTTGGCTCTTGTCGGCAGAGAGGCGGTCGTTCAGGTCGCGCAGCGAGTCCTCGAGAGCTGTTGGGCTCTGCTGTGTGTATGGCTTTAATTTGATGATCTCGCGCTGCACATTCTCCTTGTTCTCGACCTTCTGCTGCAGCATTTCTTTGAGTCTGGCTTGCTCAGCCTTCGCTCGCTCAAGCTTCTCCATGACTGCCTCTTGGCCCCGCTTCAGCTCTAGAAGCCTGTCCTTGAGCTCATCGTTGCGCTTCTTCTTCTCTTGCATAAGCCTCTCGGTAGCCGTTCGGTTACGCTGGAGTTCAGCAAGCTGCATCTCCTTCGCCTCCTTGTCATTGTACAGCTGCTCAATGCGAAGCTTTGTACGCTCGGCCTTGTTGAAGTGCTCGTCGATTACCGCCGTTTGCGATTCTCTGAATCTTATAAAGTTGATCATGTGCGAGAAGATCTTAACTAATCGATGATGCGTAGGCTTGTAGAGGTCCGCGAAAGTGAAATCATAGATGCCACACTTGTGGAAATTAGCTCTCGAGTGCTCTCGTCGCACGCAGTGTGGTGGCATTGGGACGTACCTCTCGCAGTAGCTTCTTCAAAATGACGAAGAACGCCATCAGATCGCGTGTGTCGCTGGTGAACAAACGCTCAGCACCCTCGCCGCACAGGTCCTCTGCCGCAGCGCGCATTGCAGGTGCAACCACTTCGCGAGTGGTGTTCATAAGCAACTCCGCAAGCCATTCGAAAACTTTCTGAATGATCTGTGGGTTGGGCTTTTGGAGGTCTGCAACGGTGAAGCCGATGCCGATGTCTGTTATACATCCAGCAATTTCAGCGTCGGGCTGCACATGTTAGCAGTGCGCATCCATCCCCGAACAAAGCGCATACCAGAGTCATGAAGGCGTCGTTCTCTTGCGGTGGAGGCGCGCGTTGGTTGTGGGCGCCGTGGGAGGTGGTGCGTGGAGCCATGCTCATGCGCGGACCGTAAGACATGATGGGCTGTAAATGCGATTACGATATTCAGGTAGTTGCGGCGGCACAATGTTGGGTTCGTTATTGCTGTATTGCGGTGGTGTTGATGTCCCGGCAAGTGTTGTTTTGTCAACAAAGCGTTGGCGAGGAAGGAACAAACGCTTGACTCGATCCGGCGATTGCGGTTTGGGCACCGCCCGTGGGGCTGAGAACGCAGTTCTCACCAACACGATGGTAAGATGTCGAAGAAAGGAAAGAAGCCTTGTAGACACGGTTGCAAGTACGTCGGTGCAGTCGAACTATGAGATTCAATTTGGTGATAAGATGCGATCAACTGCTACTTTCGAGTGAGGTTCCTACTGTCTGAAAGACCGGTCGCAGCACATAGGTGATAGAACACGAAGCACCTCTTACCCATCATCGATGCCGGGCATGTAGTCCTGGCGCGAACGCATATCATCGAGTCCTCGATGATCTGGTTCTTGAAGGCGTGCGCCGTAAACAATAGTGTTCGAGAAATTGACCATGGAATCGGAGCACCTGCACATCTAGTGGAAGCAGCCAAATCGTGTGTCCACCCAGATAGCAGTGTATTTGCTCGAATGAACCATATGTGTGATTGACCTACTAGATGAGCTTACGCTACTAGACTGCAAGTTACCTTGTCTGGCTGCCGAATTGCTCGAGGGTAATTTTGCAACATCAACAGTTGTTGCATAACAACATCGACAGGCAATTTGTTACACCGGTTGGCATGCACAAGGGTTGTCTGCAAGAAGCGACCGTTGAGGAATATAACGATACTTCGAACTTAAAAGAGACAGATGAAAGGCCACGTAGGGAGTTGACTGTTGGTCGAGTGCTTCGTTCCACGACAATCGATGAAGATCGTGACACCTTGGTACTCGTCCCAGCAACTCGGGAGTTGTTGGCAGGATACTTGAAAAGCTGTGGCCTCGCTTCGATGCACGCATCTGCTTCCCCGTTGCGGTGACTGCTGCGGTGTGAGCACGCTGAGCTGTCGAGGATGTTTTGTACAACACAGCAAGTCTTGAACGATTGACTAGTAGGTTTTGTTGCAGTTGTAGTTCTGTCTGAGCTCGAGCTTTGGCGGATACATGTCGTCTGTATGTCCTTACACAGCGATATAGCAGAAGTCTACAGAGTTCGGAAGCAAAACCGTCAGATTGCAGCAAATTCTCTTCCGCTGCAGCGAGTCAGCGAACAAAGACGAGAATGTATCTGTGGGTAGTATGTTGTTGTTTATCGGTCAACATGCAGCAGTCAAAGCAGTCAAAGCAGTCATGCCGGCATGCAGGAGAGAGTTCGAGGGTCCTGGTAAGGGTCCACAAAAGGAGCCGTCTGATGGCGTACCAATATTTTTCGTAGACTAGGGAGCAGTGTGCATCTCCAGGATATCCTGGAACATCGGCAAGTCGAAGCCAGCGCAACGTCGTTTCACTGCGATGCAGCATGTGTCGAGAACGTATGTTTGGCAATTGCCGTTGCAACATCAACAGGACGATCTGAACAAAATATTGAGCCTTGGAGACCCACGGATCTCCTAAGGACAGCCTAAGGTGAGACATGGTCGAACACAACATCAAGTAGTTGAAACAGCTGCATGCCATGCTCCTCTCGTTGCACAGCTTCAAGAGGCTGATTTGACACGAGAACCACGAAAACATCGAACATGGAGCCGTCCGAACCGATGTGTCATTTGCAATGATGTGCTCGTAACCAGAACTTCAATACGGATTGATAACACCCGGCAGCTTGCGTCCATGGATGCTCAAGATCCGGGTACCTGAGTGGGTGAGTTGTCGAACGTTGTCGACGAAGGTCTCCTCGACTGGGGAGGTCTGCCGTAGGATCTGAGCCCAATTACAATGATTGGAGGGGAGGCACCCCGTAATGATGATATGCTCCCGCAGACCTGGCTAGCATTGATACCGTTGCTGGCGGATGCTGCAAAACCGACGTGGCTCTCCACGCCCCGCGGATTTCGATACTTTCTGCAGGACTCGAATGCACCGTTCCGTGATCCTCAGCGTGATCTGTCGCTAGCGGAAGGTCTAGAGTCTTCGGACGTCACTGGGCATGGCTCTGCTCGTAGCCAGTGTTGGCGGCGTGAGCTGAGGCAGGTGACCTGAAGACTTGACTTGCTGTGAGCCGTGGTCGAGAAATTGAACGGTGCTCTCGAAGAAATTCACTGTTCATGGGAACCAGTGTGCTGACGGTGGTGATTGGCACAGGCATTGATGAGGGCTGTGGCAGCCATGGATCCCATGATGGGCATCGGAGGCGTCCGAATGGCGTAGCCATAGTGGGCCTAGCACCTCGCGCCTTCCTTCTGCTTGTGAAGAAGGAAGGCTCGACCGGAGGGATCGTCAGTGATCAACTGGGAGCGTTGTTGGCGTCCAATTGAGGTGTTTGCCAGTCACACTCTGTCGCCATGAGTTGCTTTGCCCACCAATCTTCTGCATGGTGTTCTGCAGCGAGTCTTCTGAGCAGCGCCTGAGCAGCGAGGCACTGCGAGGAGCCAACGTCTAATCGTTAGCTGAGCAGCCATCGCCTGTGCGCCGACCGCTGAGGGAGTGGTACCGGCGGACCCAGCGTGCGCCAGGCAATTCCCCGAACCAAGAACGCTGAAGGGGTATTTTTGGCGTGCCTCGTGGTGGGGACTTCAGGGCTTTACCGTCACAGCCGTCCGAGCCTTTCCAAGGTTCAGCAGTGCCGCTGCGTGACTGTCAAGTTCCCTTACATCACACACGCCGTCTAGCAGCTCCAGGGCGTTCCATCACTGTCGCCTCTCCCTTTCTCTGCCGTCTCTCGAATTACTTCTCCAGTTTCTCCCACACGCCGGCCTGTATTTTGACGCCCGTTCGACGGCCTGCCCACGCTGCTGCCAAGTATCCTGCCAGTCAGACATGATGCATTCTAGCCGACAGTGCAGCGACACCAACACCAGATAGGCCGAGAGGTATCAGTGCACCACCCGCCCAATTCGCGCCTCGCGCAGTCACGTTTTGCGCTGGCGACGAGCTGCGCAAACCACCACCACCACTGCCCAGGTCCTCGCAAGGCCGGCCAACGTGCATCCATGCCGTGGCCGTTTGGGCGCAAGAGCGGAAGAGCCGCTAAATTAAAAGAGGGTCGTTCCGCGGTTACGGACAGGAGCGGGCCTGTCGCAGAACAAACCATCACGACTCAGGGCCAGGGCAGCGATGCCCTGCAACATAGGACCAGCCAGCGCAGCGGACGCCGGCGCAGGAGGAGTTCGCGCTCCACAACGTCTTTGCGCAACGTCGAGAAGAATCCTTTCAGCGACCCACCGCTCGACCCTGGCCTTGCCAAAGAGACGCGTCTGCCCAACCCAAACTCGAGTGCTGAAGACATCACCGCCCTGCCACACCAGCGCCTCCTCGCCCACAGCCCGCACTTGCGACCCGTCACCCAGGACTTCAGTGGCGTGCCCTATAACTTTCATTCTCCCTCCCACACCAGCCTGCGCACGGCAAGAGAGCGGGGGAAGCTACAGCGACCCCAGTCACTGCGCAGGGGTCCTCCCAACGAAACATCCCTGGTCCCCCGTAAATCCAGCAAGAGGCGGAAAGAGCATGATCATATACGCGAAGAGGAAATCCGCGCGATGACTCTACCAATGCCACAGAAACGACCTGCCGGGAACTCTGGCGGCATGCTGCGTCGAGAGAGCAAGAAGGTCAAGGGCGGCCTTAACGCACGCTTCGAACGCCCACAGTCCAACATCTCGCTGCCCCTGGAAGACTCGATTCACTCGTCCATGTCCGGCAGTTCCGAACTTCGTGCCTTCCGCGTCAGCGCCCTCGATATCTTCGCACCACGACCGACCATCCGCTTTTCCGTCGGCTCGCAATACTACTACAGTGGCGACCGTTCGTCGCCAACTGCTCGCCTAGAAAGAGGCAATTCCCGCCGGGAAAGGAGGCCCATTAGTTCAAAAGAAGACAAGCGATGGAAAAGGACAAGCAGGATCGACGACCTCGCCGACACACTCGATGCCGGTGCATTGCGAGAGATCCTCGATAGGGACAAGCGGCGTCAAGAGAAGAAGGCAAAGGCAGACCAAGAGCGTCTGCGTCATCGCCTTGAACGACGTGCAGAGAAACAGAATGCTGCTGTAGGTGGCACACCACCAATACCTACTCGGAGTGATACCGTAGGAGCAGTTGGACTTGGCATAGAGAAAGAAGTCGCAGTACCCAAGCCGGAGCCCGTACAAGAGCCGGTAGTGCCAATGGAGGATGTACGTCCAGCAACACCATCGACACCGCCATGGCTTCGTCCGCTCACACCGCCGCCTCTACACCAACTCGAGACCTTGGAGCCTACCACTCCTGCTGGCAATGACAACAGTCAATTGCCCACCCCCATAGAGACACCAATGGAGGACATGATCATCTCAGATGCTCAAGCCGTCCGCTACTCTCGAGGCAACATTGCCGGTCCTGTTCACACCCGTGGACCATCCAACGTTTCTATGATGCCAGAATTGCTCTCCGAGAAGCTGGCCGAAGAGTCGCCCTTCGAATCAGTCGAGCCACATTACGACCCTACGAGAAGCGGGTCGTTACATCCTGTCGAGACTATTGATACAACAACATCCAACAAGGGCTCTAGTTACCGCCGACGCAGCTCGGATGGACGACGAATGAGTGCATTTGCGTCCTTCTTCCGACGAGGCAAGCGAAGCTCTCAAGAGCCAGGTCGTGCCACACCGTCAGAAGCTTCCTTTTCAAACACTTCGCGGGAATCGATGTCTCGCCAGCCACTTCCAGCTCATCTGGTCGCAACTGTACCGACCGCCCCGATCCAGATTAAGAGACCGTCCAGCGTTCCTCGCCGTACAATGTCCAAGTTTAGAGAAGACTTGCCCGAGTTTCCCATCTCTCCACCCGACTCCCGGGTGGCATCACCAGAAGTACCTTCGACGAGTGCAATTGCTGCACGTCGTCGAATTCACAGCCCAGCAGACCTCCGTGTGGGCTCAATTGGGTTGGCAGCCAATGCTCGTTCAGACTCGCCTGTGAGCCCAGGTCTACCACTTGGCAACAAGATGTCACAGTCGCTCGCATCAGTGGACTCAGAGGGGTCTTGGCTGTCAGGCAAGCCGGTCAAGCGCATTTCAAACAAATCCATGATGCGGTCCAGCGTTGCCTCTTCGGCTGTCCAGCAAAACCCTGACTTCAACAACTCCTTTGAAGAGCTGGGAATGGCAGATGACGAGTACTTCAAAAGATTAACACCTCAGCCAGATGAGCTACGCCGATCAAACCTGTCGAGCGAGCTCCTGGGCAGGAAAGCCAGCAGCACTGCCATGGCGACTCTCGATGCTGCCGCCGAATCTGACGAATCTGACGAGCTCACCCCATCCGCCCGACAGCCCGAAGACAGCGAGCATGTCAAGGACGGTGTTGCCCGCCAACCTACCGTTGTGCACCGAAATGTCCGAGTCAAATCTACGGAAGGCCTACTCACCATATTTGATGCGGATGCGCCATCACCCGAGGAAACCCGGAAGACACTTAGCATGGAACCAGACTCGCCACAGTCAGACAATTCAGGCGAGCAAGTCACGGTACAACGTGCGAAGAGCGTGGACTTTGGCAAACATCACGTGCAGCACCTTAGTGCCGGCTCTGCTAAACTTTTGGACATTCAAAAGCGATCCAGCACAGCCTCACACAGCAGGTTGTCTCAGCACGAGTAGATGATTTATTCTGAGGCGCTGAGTGATCGTTTTAGGGAAACTGCCATGACCGCCACACAACGCCACTCCTTTTGCTTTTCCTCTGTAATTGTCAGTCATTACTGTACCCACCCCAGTCACTCTTTACACATTTCCTACACCATAATGTTTTGCTTTTGGTTGGCACATGCAGTTCCCTAGACGACTCTCCCCACGATGGATGATCACACTCCTGCCACACACCTGCAGATGACGGCTGGTAGAAGGCGCTTGTCTCTGGGAGACTGCATAGCGCGGCGTTGATTTGATTTGAGGAGTTATATTTTTCGGGCGTGATACCACATTGTGTTGTTGTATACAGGCTGCAAGCCACGGCTTCTGTGCCATCTCGTTCCTCTTGGTTCAATCTCAAACAGGCTTTGGAACGACTGTCGGGTCAAAGCGATCGGGGACGCAATGGCGCGTCTTCATGGGATTATTCTTACATGGTGCATCTGGGTTTCAACAAAATGTAGTATCTAGGAACAGTTTGGAGGCACTGGGATCTTGGAGATGTACCGCGCTCACGCGCCATATATGGCTTGTTAGAGCCGCTTGTAGTTTCAAACACAGCTGTCTTGACAGCCTTTAAAACTGTATCTCACAAGCAACTTGAATGTCACTCCCATTGCCTGGATCATTAGAGGCAAGCCACGCTGCAAGGTGCCCCTCCATGGCGTTGGGCTGACACCGGAGGTAAGGTGGGGCACGAAACTTGGACTTCATGGATGTCCAAACAAAGTGACATATTGAAGGGCAGGGGGGAAGGGTTCAATATCGACAGTCATCTAGCACAGGTCTGAGACAAAGGTGCTGAGACAATCGCCACAGCATCAACAGCAGCTCTTGCCCGCGCAATTTCTGCCTGAATAAAAAGACAGGACCCTGGTGGGGCGTCGGGCAAGCGCGCACGTCATGGGGTTGCAGCAGCCCACCCGCGGCGGCGAGGTAAGCCCCTCTAGCATTAATCATTGTTCCCTTCAAACTCCGCCAGCCTTTGCTGAGACCTACAACACGCAGAACTCCGTAAGTTGCCCGTTTCCTGTTTGTGTCTGCTTTCTCATCTTGCGTGTGTGCACGATTCCGCATCTTTTTGCCTTTGTGCAGGGACTCGACGACTCGCGCGCCTTTACCGAATCTAAACCTGGCGACGCATCGTCCACTTTGTCACCGCGTTGTAATCGGCACCGGCAGGCATCTTTGTCCAGTTCATTCTATCAGCCGAGCCTTATCAATCGTCTAATCTTCTGTTCACTTCCTTTGCTGTACTTATATCATGTTTGCCCCGTCGACGTCACGATTTACCAGAACACTGCTTACCTCTGCGCGTCTGCAAACAGTTTCAATCAACCCCACATCCTCCGCGAACCTATACCGACCTCTTCTCACACAGAAGTTCTTCTCCAACACAGCCAGAATGTCTGACACCGGCGTACACAACCTCCAGACGTGAGTCTCCCATTGTCGCGATGGCACAATATCGCAATGTCTTACCTGCATGGGCGACGTCATCGTCTCTGTAAGCAAATGCTAACAACATCGCAGCAAGGCGGCCTTCGACGAGGCGCTCGGCGACAAGTCCAGCCTGATGGTCCTTGACTGCTTCGCTACCTGGTGCGGTCCTTGCAAGGTCATTGCGCCCCAGGTTGTCAAGTGAGTCCGTCTACACGTTTAACTAGAACATTTCTAACAAACTCCACAGGTTCTCCAGCACATACCCCAACGCACGCTTCTATAAGCTTGACGTCGACGAGGTCCCCGATGTTGCACAGGAACTCGGCATCCGTGCCATGCCCACCTTCCTTCTCTTCAAGAATGGTGACAAGGTCGCCGAGGTCGTCGGTGCCAACCCCAAGGCTCTCGAGGCCGCCATCAAGGCCAACGTCGACGCATAGATTGCGCGCACAGCACATACTCGCAAACGATCTCGTTCGGCAGCTTAGCATTGGGTAGAGGAGGAAGTGGACACAAAAGGTCGCATTTTTAGGTGCACATGGCCCCTTGCAGCTCATCGGAAGGGACATATTGCAGCACAGATATCATGATACCTTACTAAATGACACGACTTGACATAGATTACGCTTTCACTCTTTGCGCTTTTCTCGCGGATTGCTGCTTGGCAGTACTGTTTTCTGAGATTCAGGCTGACGCACACAGAGCTTACAAATGCAACAATCCGAGATCGGCCTGACTCGGCATCTCCACCACTACCCACCACGAGCGATCTTTCCGTGACAACAAGGAACTTCACAAGTACTTCGTAAGAGAGTTCAAGTTTGGAAAAAGACTCCGGTGCTGGAACTTGACAGAACCCGCACAGCCACCATCCGGATCTTTTTCAGCAACAGCAGCATTGTGGGCCTGCCCGGATCCCCAGAGCTGTTGCGATTCGAGGGCACACTGACTCTGTAATAGGTGTGCCTATTCATTACTTTGCTTCCCATGTGCTCGAAACTACACACTTCCACAAAGGCGATTCTAAGCCTAGCAGATAAACACGTTCGTGCTCCCGAGAATCATATCCCACAGCGTGAAAGGCGTTTCCCTGATGCCAACCTCGTGTCTAAATCACACTTCCGTTCTTGACCCACAGAATCTGGCTTCCCATCCGTTGCTCATTCGTGCACGGGTCGTAGAAGAGGACAGATGGGCTGTGCCCTGCGGTGGCTGCAAAGTTCGGCTGAGGTGCCCCTCTCCCATTGAAGAATTCCCCACGCCCAATGTTAATCCTTGGAATCTGATCTCTGCCCCTCCCAGGGTCTTTGGGTCAAGCCGCAAGTTTTACTTGTTCCACTATCCACTTTCGAGCACCTGCATTACATTTGACAGCTTTAGCTCCTTTAGTATGTCAATTCAGCTTGTCACAGGCATTGACTTGATCATGGTCCTATTTGGTCTCTACTGACAAGAACGCCAGTTTTGGGGGGCAAAGCCCCCCTTTTTGAGAATCTGAGCTGCAGGTTCTGACTCCGAAGAGTCCATTGTCAAGGACGTACGCTATGGATCTGGAAGGGCCAACGCTTAGGATTAGGGTACAAGGTACCCAAGCGGGACGTCCAGATGGAGCATCCGACCTATGATCACCCAAGTCAGGAAGCAATTCCAAGGCTTGTCAGATCGAACCCCTCACCTGTCCGTATTTTGAAGGTGGATTGACGGCTAGACTGGACAGTCAGACAAGACAGCGACAGCAGTTTGATGGCTTGGCAAGTATCAAAAGCAGGCTTATCCCCCCAACTCCTCCTCACCTTTTTCCCATCTATTACCTATCTGTGTACCTGCGCTTCGTTTGCCAAGAGCTTTCAGCTCAGTTCTCCTGTCCCTCTCCCGGTCTTCCTGATCACAGCTTCATAGCTGTGATTCCTTCATCATGGTTGCCAGTAGCAATTGGTTTCCTATCTTGATGATGCTACTTGGCAGCATCTTGTTCGCTAACGCTTCGTCCCCGCGTTGCGTCCCTGCTTCTTTCGTTTCATCGACCATTGCTTACGTTTCGGTCAATGCTACGGCTACTCGTAGGTGTTGTGCTCTAGGTATCACAACATCTACTGATTACATCTCAGCAGTCTCGGTCTCTACGCCAACTTCTTCTACTGGCAGTCATCCTGACAGACATGAGGTCGCACCCTGGTGTCAGTTCGCGCAGGGTCAATCCTACAAGGGCTATGTCATGCACTGTGGCCTAGACTTCTGTCTCGGTGATCTCTCCAATAAGCGGGTTAAAGATTTCGACAAGTGTGTGGGCCTTTGCAATGTCACTTCCGGCTGCTCGGCCATGTCTTACCAGGCCGAATCTGATGATGGCCTCAACGGAATGTGCTGGTTGAAGGATAACATCGCCAGCTTTCAACGGGCAAACAGGTGGATCCTAGGCATGCACAGAGTCGACGTGCCGTACACTCTTCCCAGCTGGTTCCATCCACCGGGCAGGGCCTCATCTATGGTTGCGCCTTCTTCTCCGGTCTGGACCCCATCGGCGAGCAATTCACCCAAGAGTGTGTCCGTCACGACTCACTCATCTACGGTCACTTCGTTCTCCAAGCCTTCGCCTGCTGCTTCGTCGAATGTCGCGCTTTCTTCTCCGGCCAGCAAGTTGTCTTCGACAACTCCAGTCGTCAAGACCTCGTCGTACAACAGTGTCTCATCAGCCACGACCCGTTCGCCGTTGGTTACTTCGTCTAGTAAACCTTCGTTCACTGCCGACCAGGGCGCGTCAGGCGGTAGTACCTCGATTGGCCCCCCGTTCTGGTTCAGCTCTGCGCACCCGTGCTATCCCACTGACTGTTCGTTCCCAGTGACTAGGTCGTACCCCTCGCTGTCAATTTCTTGGGTTCAGCAGTCGTCGAAAGTCGCGCCGTTGAGCAGTAAGGTCACGCTTACCAAGTCGGTTGTCACGACCAAGGTCTTCACTAGTAGCAAGGCCTCGGTTACCAAGTCGTTCTTCAAGACTAGTGCATCTACGTCTACTCGGTACTCGAAGCCATCTAGGACTGGAACTTCTGTTTATGGGAGGCCTTCATCAACATCATCTGCTTACTCGTCGCCTCCTGTGGTCTCTTCTGGATATGTTCCGCTCTCTTCTAGTCGTCTGACTAGCAGTGTCCACCGCCCTTCGAGCTCAAGCAAGGGTTACGTTGTGTCTTCGTCGGTGTTCTCGGTCTACTTGCAGCCGTCTACCAAGGCCTCATCTCGGCTGTCTTCGCACTCTTCCGGTCGCTCGAGTAGCACGGCTACACGCTCCTCAAGCTCTAGTAAGGATTATGCTGTGTCTACAGTATCACAGACCACCGTAACAACGAGGATATTGGTTTCTGGAACGACGACATCTACAGTGTACAAGCCTGTCCCTACCTGGTCTTCAACGACTCCTGTCGTCTCATCTGCTACGACGACGTCTACGGTCTACAAACCTGTGACCAGCAAGTCTTCAGTGACTTCCATCAGGTCTTCTGGTATTTTGAGTCATTCGACGACGTTCACTTCGTACACTGTCGTCATTCCCACACGGAGTTCCACTGTCATGGCACCGAGCTCTGCTCAGATCTGGACGACCCCTGTTCCCACACGGCCGTTCACTACCACAGTATCGAGCTCTGCCTGGATCATGACAGTCCCTGTTCCTATCAGGGAATCTTCAGTGGTGTCTATGATCTCTGTGACAGATCATACTCCAAGTGCTGAGACGACGGCGACTTCCCTCACGGTCTCGAAGGCGTATGTTACTGTCTCGTCGTCGCAAGGGTATGGCTACACGGTCGTGACTTCCGCTACTGGTTCTAGGCTTGCTAGTTCAGGTCATGTTGGTTCTTCTTCTGTGGCCAGCAGCCACTCTGCTGTTCCCTTCCCTTCGGCAAGTGGGAGCTTGACCCCCATCACGAGCTCAATGGTTCACGTTACTGCGTCCTCGTCTTGGAACACTGGTGCCCATTCATCTTCGGACATAACTTCATCACCAATTCCTACCAGCTTCGTGACCCCCTCGATCTCGGGCTCACACATACCTATCACGAAGTCGGTGACGGCGGTTGGCTCTTTTAAAGCCACTCCCAACCCATCGAGCGAAAGCTCAGGTAGTTCACGTTTGATCTTCAGCTCGTCTTTCGGGATAACTGTCGTATTCGCATTCTTACTCCTCATGCCCTTCGCGGTATGGTGAAGTGAGTAGGTTTTCTCTGTTTGGTAGACATTGCATACCCCTCTACCATGTATGATGGTGACTGTGGGAAGAGGAAGCTTTGTTCTTGGATCTTAAACATGCAGTAGCATCAACTGGGATATGAAGAAGGTCGGGGAGGGATACGGAAGGGATATAATCAGGGAAGAAGTGCCGCAAGCGCCGCTTCACAGATTGGATGAAGGGTAGGAAGGGTGGCTCTCGGCTTTCGGAGCGGGAGTCGAAGTAGTGAATGGGTGATCATGAAGGATCTGGGTCAACGTGATAGGGTGAGGAAAGGTCAAACTGCAAAACCCTGAGGGGCCAAAAACATTTCATAATGGAAAGTTCAAACAAACACTAAGCATTCCACCATTGAAGTCGTAATGAACGGCAGTCTATGCGCCTTTCAAACAGATCTGGTTTTTCACAGCTTCTGCACCCACCTCAAGATCTCCTCCGCACCGCTTTCCCAATTGACATGATTCTGCAGATGATGACCCAAACCCGTCGCAACCTTAAAGCTAACTCCGTCCCAACCATCACCTTTCCCACCTCCAACTCTGACATCACTCTCAGAAATACCATCCAGTTTGCCCACCCTGGCACAATGATGAAAGGCTTCACCATACCTCGTCGCCGCATCCCTCAAAATACTCGGCGTACACAACACATCCTTCTCACCAGCCAGCACTAAAAGCCTCGGCGCAACTCCGGCAAATCCATTAGATCCAGAACCTTTGCGCAGTCTCCAGCCAACAACTGAGCTGATGACGTCTGGACCTGTGACAAAGCGGAAGGCTGCTTGCATGGGCCAGAGCATGGACTCGTACGGACTGAGCAGGGCCTCGAGGTCTTTGACAACGCGGGTGGGTGTTGATGCAGTGAAAAAGGCGTCGTGGACTTGCTTGGTTGTGGCGAGGATGTACCGAGGGTGGAAGAGTCGGTACGGGAAGTGTATTGGGGCTGTCAAGCTCCAGAATTTGTAGACGGACCAGCTGCTTATGATCAGCCTTGAATTTCTTGTGCTTCAGAATTTGAAGGGTGATGCTCACGAGCCAAAACCCGGCACCGCCGCCAGCATACAGAACCCGTGCACTTTGACCAATCCCTTACTCAAAGCATACTGGCTTAAAGCACCACCCGCCGAATGAGCGACCAAAACAACCCGGACCTTCTCCTCAGCGCTCCTCGTCTCAGTCTCTAGCCTCTCCACCTCCTTCACCCCAGCAACAAGATCCTCAGCCATCGTCCCACGAGAAGTAAAATACATCCTCCAAAACCCAGGATACCAGCTACTCCCATGCCCGCGGTAGCTAATCGCATAGCAGGGGTAGCCGCGCGAGGAGAAGTAGGTCATGTAGGAGAGCCATACGGAGGCGCAGCCAAAGCCGCCATGGGCGAAGAAGAGAGGGGGTTTTGAGGATTTGGGGCCAGTAGGGAAGGCAGACAGGAGCTCGAGCGGGCCGGAGGGTGTGGAGATGTAGCGGCGAGTGATGCATTCTGGGAGTGGTGATGAGGGCTGGGGAGGGTTGGGGGAGGGTGCGCGCCATTGAAGGGCGAAGGGTCCGAAGGGCATGGCCGGAAGCTGAGTGTGGAGTCAAGTGTACTGAGGTTGCTGTTTTGAGTGTCGTCGCTGAGATGTTGGTCAATCTATCTTCTCTTTTTACTTTAAACTCGAATTAAAGTATCTGTGCTAATTAATCGGTGGTTCGAATGCTCCGTCTGGAATTCTCTGAGGGGCATGTGAGCCAGAGAACCTTCACGATGAGGGTAAGATGCAGATTCTTGTTACTCCGTGATCTGAAAGGGAAGCCGTAGGCGAAAGGGCGGTTCAGCCGCACGCATGCTGCGCTCGGCACTCTATTTGTGTCCACCAAGTGTGACTGTAACGTTCTTGCATGACGCGACGAAGTCCAAAAGACGTCACAGCCACGACTGTAATGAAGGTAGACGGATGTGTCGGTGAGGTTGGTGGAGATACGAGGAGCAGCGGCGAAGATGCCAGCTCGCGCTAAGCTCAAGGAGGGAAGGCGTACTTGGATCGGTAGTAGCAGCGTGTGAAAAGAATAGTGTGGATTATAGTTACATAGAATAATATTCAATCTGAGATACGCCCTGGTTGTCGCCATTTGGCAACATAATGTCGTAAGGTATAGTACGTGGCCTCGCAAACATTCCTGCGATTTGCTCCCGCAACTTTAGCTACAGTTAACTCGACTGTACTAATTCGCTCCGGACTTCCGCATGACTCTAGATGCCTTCCCTTGGCTTGGTGGGTTCATGGTTGACATGGCTGCTTGTGCTGCTCACGTTGGCGTTGTACTCCTTCTGATGCATCATGCTCCAGTCACCAATCTCTTCCTCGAAGAACTGGTCAAGGTCAAGACCCATCATTTCAGCCTCCTCGCTGACACGAAGGTGCAGGAAGGGAATGTATTTGAGAGCATACAATAGGATGCAGGAGACCGTAAAAGAATAGGATGCAATGGCGCAAATCTCAGCAAGCTGGTAGCCAACCTGTATGCCATTGCCATCCATGGCACCAAGAGCGTCGTATGGGCCCATGCCATCGAGATCATATACCCAAGACTGCGCAAAAATGCCGGTCAAGAAGGAGCCGACCATGCCTCCGATACCGTGGAGCTTGAAGACATCCATGCCTTCGTCGATCTTAATCCACCTGTCCAGGTTATGGCAAAGAGAGCAGACAACACCGGTCAAAAAACCAATCAACGCAGCGATCCAGATCGAGACGTAACCAGCCGCGGGTGTGATGCCAACCAGACCAGCGATAGCACCTGAGCAGGCACCAACGACGGAGAAGTGGCCTTTGGTACGGATGTAGTCAACGACGACCCAGCCGAGAACACCGAAACAGGCAGCGGTGTTTGTGTTGAAGGCAGCCAGCATAGAACGCATAGTTCCATTCAGTGCCGAACCACCATTGAAGCCGTACCATCCGAACCAAATGAAGACGGTACCGATGAAAACAAGTGTAGGGTTGTGAGCGCGGCTGTGGATCTTGTCGCCCTTGGGCAGTCGCTTTCCGAGAACAAAGGCGTAAGCAAGAGCGGACCACCCTGAGGCAACGTGGACGGGACCTCCACCCTGCGATACTGTCAGTCATTGTCCTCATGAAATAATGAGGTTTGGAGTAGAGCTTACAGCGAAGTCAAGACTGGGCAGGTTGAAAAGCCAACCGTTTGAGTTCCACGTCCAGCAAGCAACAGGGCAGTACACGATTGTAGCCCAGCAGAAAGCGAAAATCATGGAAGGCATGATACGACCGCGCTCGAAAGATCCGCCAATGACCAGCTGTACGGTGACGGCGCAGAAGAGCATCTGGTAGAAGCAGAAGACGATCTCGGGAAGGAAGGGGGAGCCTGGTGAGGGAGCAGACATGACATTCTTCAAGCCGAAGTACTCCATGTTGCCGATAAAAGGGCTGGCGGTACGCGAGTAGGCAAGAGAGTAACCCCAGAACAGCCACTGGAAGCAGACACTTGTTTCGATCAGTCCAATACGGGTCAGATAAAAGCTTCCTACTTACACTCCCATGACCGCCAGGGACTGGAACAGAAGGGACAGCGCAGACTTGCGACGTGCAAGACCTGCATACAGGAAAGCAATACCCGGGATGATAAGCCAGACCAGGAAGGCCATGATAATTAAGTAGAGGTAGTGGAACTCAAGTCCCTGATACTGAGCATTGACATTTTCGATGTCGGGGTTGCCACCGTTGGGCTTCGTGTCGTCGAACTCGGGCTATGAACGCGTCAGTGTATCTCTTCGCATGTTGACATACACATCTTTGTCTGTGAGGATGCTGCAAGGAAGTAGGGTGCACCCACTGCCACTGGAGCTTCCATGTTGCCGAAGATGCTTTGTTCAGCCGCGATTGACACAAGAGGTCTGGAGAAAAGAATGAAGGCCTGCAGGGGGGTCTTTCAGCTTATATAAAGGTCTCAGGATTTCATCCTCTTCCGTCAATTTCCCGTACCATTATGATGGAAGGAATTGTCCCCGGCTAGTTCTCCCATGTCTTACGACCAAGCTGCGCCCCCAACTCTTTGCAGAACGCTCCGCTTAGCACTGATAAGCAGAAGCTTCTTTGGATCCCATGTTGGCTGTTGAAGCCGAGCCTGCATCGCCGAAGGATTGTACCTAAATTTCGTAAAAGCGACCAGAACACTGACGAGGAGACAAGGGAGCCAATCGTGCCGGACAGAAGTGAAAATCGGGCCAAGTCGCCCGAGCCACAAGCGGGAATTGGCCATGAAGAGATCGTCTAGAGAGTGGTGGACAGGAGCCTTGGTCATGATAAGGATTTGTCTGGATTCGGTATAGTGCGGATCCTAGGATGATAAGGGTCGAACGGGAACAAGGGATTGGAGAGGAGGATGTGGCTTGTCGGCTGACTTTGTGCTCGTTTGCCAGGAAATATTCGTCCAAATGGATAGACAAATCGTTTAAAGGCTCGTCCATCGTTCTGTATCTCTAAGTTTACACAATGTGATGCTTTTTCGGCGGTTCGTGGTTGCTGATTCGCCCTTTGATGGCCCGTGTAGCCGAACTTAGGCTTCCTGCAACGCCACAGTCTTGAGCCACGAACTTTGGCTACTTTCCATTTGTACATTTGTCTCTAGTGACGATGCGCAAGAGTGGCCAGGCTCAGTAGCTCTGTCATTGCAAGTACGTAGCGTCGCGGCTTCGCACAGAGAAACGGAAGCTCCTGGTCCATGTCGTACGACGCGTTGTGCCGCATTTCTGCAAGGCTAATTGTGCAGCATGCAAACCGTTGTCGACGTCCGAAAGGTATGCATGTACTATCAGCTGTGATTGGCAGGTGGTCAATCCTTGTCAACAACCTCGAATATGAGAGTCCAGTTCTTGCTCTGTTACTCCTGATGCGGCCTTGTCGAGTGCAGCTTGGTAGAGAATTCGTACTTTAGTGTCGGTATTCCCAACTGACAATCGGGCTGAACAGTCGGTCGCATTGCTGTTCCTTACGCGCCGTCTGAGCTTCTTGCTCAATCCATTGCTTCTACGCACGGTGTCAGCAACGGCTCCTCTAATCGGCAGGAACTCACCATAGTAACCACTGACAAAAGTCATGATCGGAAGTAACAGCAACAAGACTGGAATGATCTGGCCGAAGCTCATCTCGCCTTCCGTATCGCGCTCTCTCCTGCCTTCAATCGAAACCCCAAAAACCTCTTCACTGGCTGCACGGTTCTTGAAGATGAATACGCAGTTCGCAATAAACCATGCCAACACCTCGATCAAAGTCCAGAGCCCCCGAGAAATACAAATACCGTGACCAACGCAGTACCACATGCGTCCAAATCCAAGGACGACAGCCTGAATCTTGTACACTCTTACTGTGCGTGTGGCACTTATCACGGAGCGCCTTGAAGTGACCCCAAAACTGCTCACTGGAGAGCATCATGAACGAACCGTACTGTGTAATAAGGAAGTACGTTGATGCAATAGCCCAGTGAAATGGCGTGTCGCGGAAACTCTCCGTGCCTTTTGGGATACATCGAGCAGGACATCTGGCCCAATCATCCCAAAAGTGGTATGCGGTTATCCATACTGCAGCCATCAATAAGCTAAACAACACCATCATACAGAAAAGTCGCCAGATGGTGACCAGTGGAACGAGAAGTCGCCTGCCATTCTTCTTTCGGTCGGGCTTGCTGCGCCAGCTGCCCAATGAGCTCCATAGCGTGAGGAGACTGAGCAGATGAGCATTAGACGAGGAAAAAGCCAAATCCCTAACAATGGAGGAATGGAGTGCAACGATCGTGCCTTTGCCTCTGAGTATGACCGCTGCCATCAAGATCGCGATTCCCATAACCAACTGCTGGTCATTCAAGGTCAGGGTGACACGATAGAAGCATCCAGCCCAGACATCGGGATTCGGTACAGATCTACGTATTAGATTGCAGATATTCCTCGTCCACCACTCGTCGATCTTGTTTAGTCTCTTTTCTTTCTCGCGAGGCCTAAGTAGAAGACAACCGAGAGTCGTAAGCCAAGTAAGCAGCGCGGATACCGGAACCGCCGAAAGAACCTGCAAGAAATGTCTCAGTAAATTCTAGAGCAAAGAGTTGGCCACTTACCCAATCCCAGCTATGTCAGGCTCAGCCTGCGGTACCGGACAATCGCAGTCATGGATGAGACTGCATGGGAAAGGCTCGCCAGTCGGAATATTGTGAAAGAACCCGCCTGGGATATTGCTGCTGTAACAAAATACCTGCTGAGTATTGTAAAATGGAGTCGCCTGGGAAGTCATGCTGATGATTGATAGACTGAGGAAGCAACTCAAAAGCTGAAAGGCTGGGTTTTCAACTCATACTGCTTATCTTAGATATACCTCTAGCCAAGACCGCAATGCAGGAAATTGAACTCAGGTACGTGATCTGTTGGTGGACAGCTCGATTCGAAATACTTCCAGCAGCGCGATGCTGCGCGTCTCACCTTATACTTTGTGGCGGCGACCTTGGCATTGCCGCAACACATGACCGCCATCGAGAGGCCGTCTCGGCAAGGCACAATATTGCAGCTTCATTTTCGAAAGTAGGGTTCCTTTGGTGTTGGATCTGAGAGCTTGAGACATCGTGAACTTGCTCAAGTGTGGGGTGAAAATGTGGGGCGCGCCAAAATGCGCTTTCCGTCACGACGGGAGCAACAACCTTCCCCACATCTCGGACGTCTAGCCTCGAACGTTCACACTCGATAGACAACACTAATCGAGAGCTGCTCTTCCTGAACCTCCAAGGTGGGTCATTTCTATACGGATACCGAGACGGCAAGCACAGTGTGAGCGGGTAAGCGCTCGCTCTGCTCTATGATCCCCAAATCCTTTCAAGCTTGGGCTACGAAGACATGCCAGTTACTGTTTCACTGGAGTGTTCTCAAACAATGAACCTATTCTCCTTCAAAGGAGTCAAGTCTTATCACACGCGGCTTTCAGAGCACAACATCCAGGAACCAGGCTCAGTCTTACATTCTGGGAAGGTTGGTACCACGTTCGCCTACATGAATCCTTGGCACCCTCGGTGATTTTTCCAACTCAGCGATTATGACTTTCGAGGAAACCTTACAATATGACCAACCTGTCTCAGGAACTGGTGGACCGCATGAGCAGCTTCCTCTACAGCGATTATCTCAAGTCCACGCTCTTACTTTCTCGTCACTGGCAATACGCAGCCGAGAAGTACTCGAAGCATTCTCCGAGACCACTCTGACGCCCGAAACCGCTTCAGCATTCTGATCAACTTACAACGGCCCATGATTTCGCTACCTATACAGTCTCTCACTGTGCAGGGGTGGGAAATGGCCCACGAGCATGACTTCTATGACTTCGTGTGCTCTTAGACCCTGCAAGCTGGCTTCCCAACTTGAGCTTTCTAAAAAGTAAAATTGGAGCTGGAAAATGGCTAGGACGTTGGGAGACCGAGGCAACGTTATGGGTGATTGGGCGGGACCGCGCCGGGATTCACGACATGACTTTAGCAAAGCGCTTATCAGCTTCACAGCTTTGCGCCGTACCCAACTCGACTTCTTGTATCCCTTGAGAACTGTCGAGAGCTTCGATCAGCTGAAGCAACTGCCCAACCTTACGGAACCAGCCCTATTCGACCCTTTCAGCTCCAGCCTGCGTCTTCTCTCATGCCACCTTCGACATCGTCGTCGACGAAACCCTCTTCTGGCCAATCAACGGCAGCCCACCTCCTTCGTGGCGCATATGGAAAGCTTGACTGTCATGTTCCATCCTTCTACTCCTTCAGAGTCCTGGTGTTTCAAGGGACTGCCTGGTGTGGGTGCGACCGATGGTTATGAAGCGACATCAGCTTCATACCCTCCGCCTTTGACTACTGACGCAGAGTATGATGAACATGATGATGTCGCGGACCTGTACTGGACAGAAGAAGTGCGCAGATTGTCATCCCGCGTGGAACCGAACAACGACATTTTAGTGCCATTCCTGACAGCATTCCCAAAGGCCGCCGCGTCGATGACTAAACTGAAGGAGGCTGTGCTCTGGTCACCGCTTCAATCCAATCCACCTAGTGTCGAGGCATACGACGACTTCTGTTTCGAACAAGTGTCTAATTTCTTAGATTGGAGTGACGTGGGCCTGGCATGGAGGACGGACGAAAGAGCGTTCATGAATTTCCCCGGTAAGGACTTCTGTAGCAGTCGTCAACTCTAGTGGATGACGACACGCCGGCGCCCGGATCTACAATTTCGGGAGCTTATTGGGCAAATTTGGATGTAGTAGACATGCCGAAAGTCTGATAGAGTATTGGGATGCGAACGATTCTGGAGACGGCATGGACCATCGAAAATGGTTTGTAGATTGGGAGGAAGAGAGATGGCCGACCGAAGAATAGAGCATGGACGGGTGCCAAAATGTTTCGTATGTAGATCGATCGTGATCTTTCCAAATATGTAATTTCTTTTCATAGAACACTGTCCAGAAGTGAGTGCGGCGTATCCTGCAATTCTCGGTCAGCATTGGCTAAAGACGCAACACCTCACTGCCTACAGCCGTTGACGACTTCCTGGATTGAGATGTGTACAAAGAATTTTCCACGTTCGCTTGTCAATGTTGTTGCGGTGCATATAACCTTTAGGACCCAAGAGTCAGAAAGGTCGGCCTTTTTGTATCGCTGCGGGGTCGCGACAAATGTTACCGCAGTAGGTGGAGAGTTATGCCAATGACTGGTACGATTGAAGTGTCTTGTTTCGTTTATATCAGACAGTACACATACATAGACCTGTGCATCATTGCAGAGTATGCTTAACAATGCAACTGTCGGTTCGAAATTTGGCTTTTGTCACTTTCAATGCCTCAGATATCAGGCGTGAACGAGTGCAATGAATGGAATCTTGATTTGTTCATATGTCGGAATGACGCATCTTCTGATTCTTATTTCAACCTACCCAACAGCACCACACTATATCTTCTCTGTTCTGACCTATCCACTCAGATCCTTCTCAACCCTACCAGGCGGGATTTGTCCATACCATAGCCTTTTCTTTCTGCCACTCGTTATCGAGCTTCTCAATAAGATTCTGGAAGCTGGCGAGATTCGTGTCCCCAGTTCTTCGCTTTGCCCCACTCATCATCCAAAGCGTCCAAGTAGTTCTTCATATCATTATCGAGTCTTGATTTTGCAATGTCAAATCTCTCATTTATCCCTTGACCCTGACAGGGAGCGTGGTGAGTCTGAGACGCTTGTTGGCTTGCTGAAGCTGCTCGAAGCCGTCGTTGTCCTTGAGACCAATTAGCCTTGAGCGTTTGACTGAGATGATTATAGGTAGATGAGCTTCCAAACGCGTCCGTGATCTCGTTTGTGCTGGATCGTTTGGGTCCCATGTTGGGAAGGTCTCCAGGGGCTGAAGCTGTGAACAAGGCGTCGAGCTGTAAGGCAAAGATGCGAGTCTCGTTCAAACTCAAAGCGCGTCCTAGATACGCGTGTGACGAAGTTCTCGCAGATTGACGCGGAAATGTAAAGAACAAAGGTGGGATGTTTGTTTTCTGGTTTTGACAAACGTGCAAACGACTGAGAGCTGCGCCAAAAAGATGGAAGGTGAAGGCAGATCAAGGGCGACAGCGCAAAGAGTGATGACCCATGCTGTTTGGGTGCATCCGACAATGTATTTATAAAAGATCCAGTACCGTTCCATATGAACTTGCAGCCCAGAATTTAGGGTCAAGACGAGGTATCATAGGTATGGAGAAGGCACAGTGTCTCGCGTGGCTCTCGTTCCAACGTGCGTTCGCTGTACAAGCAAGCTTGAGCTCCAATGCATAACATCTCGAAGACATGTTTTCGCGTACAGTTCTAGTGGGCTTGTACGCAAGTGACATTGCAGCATATATGCTGATCATGTACTGTCATCAGCTTCCGCCGTCCTCATCCTCTTGTAAACCTCGTAGTGCTCCTTCATGCGTACCCTTAACAACGCCGGCTCTTTGACAGCATAGTGCAAGGCCAGTGCCCTCTTCTGTGGCGCTGTCTCATCGAGCAAGCCTCTCAATATATCTTGGCCCCACGTTTCCAGATTCCCGGAAAGATTCTCTTGCACGTACGCAGTGTCCTCCTCCGTAGGTGGTTCGATCAACTCTGTCACATCGACGAACCCCATCGGATCGTATGGCTCCTCAACTACGTTGCCAGGTTCCGTGTTGTTCTCCCAAATCGCGTCAGACCAGAATTCTTCAAGCATTGTGTCAAAGGAAATGCTGAGTGCTATTTGAAGCTTGGGTAACCTTTCGCGTAAACGAATAAGGATTGGGCTGAAATCGCCCCAACAGAAGTGTTCATTCGCCCGTTTTTGCAGCCGAATGTTCAATTGCTCCAGGCGTGGTAGCTTTAAAAGACGCTCCCAATGAACCCTTATGGGACGCCATTCTTTCGAACACTCAGATTCAAGGGCCTCTAGGGAAATCGTTTCGTCCAGATTGGCCTCCTCTGCGTGGACGACAAGCTTTCGGATGTATTTCCCGTAATGTGGATGCAGATTCCAGTCGGCAGGCCGAGAGTGTATGACATCGCATGGGTCTGGCAAAATGATGCTGCATGGCGGGAAAGTGACGCTGAATGTGCTGTGGGTGAAGAAGGCCTCCAAAATCTCTGGTGCAAGGATTGGATCCAATTTTTGATTTTCTGTTGCAAGCAGTGCCGGACCTGCCAGACCTACTTGCACATCCTCTAGAGGTATCAGCGACGAGTCGCTGTAGAGTTCGACGTAAATCAAGTCACGCATCTCTCTTGGAAGCCTTAGAAAGTTATCCTTGAAGGTCTGGCGCGCGGCCATGTGTTCGGCAGTCATTGCGCGACCGAGTGTGAGGAAATCGTCCCTAGCAGGAGCAATGTAAACACTTCACTTGCACGGTTGCCTAGAGACGCGTAACGACTCCGTCGAATGCCCACTTGATTAACACGAACTGGGATACAGCCTCAGTCCATCGGGTTTGAGGGCCGAGCTGTATTCGATGTCAAGCCGTGCTTGCGAGGGGGAGGCTAGAGGCACAGCTCGCGTCAGCAGTCGCTTCGCGTGGTGAAGGTCTGTGCTATGAGCTAGCGGTGGAGAAAGGTGTCAGCCCCTTGCAGTCCACCTTCTTGTCGCAGCAGGTATGGCGAAACAAAGTGAAGATTCGATGAGCTCTCACGCAATCGGTGCGTTTATAAGCAGGCCCATCACGTCGTCGAGTCTCGACGAATCATGGTGGCAGTTCGTTCGGGCCGAGCCGGCATTTTGGCAAACAACGTCATCGCTCGACATTGCTCATGAGGGTACTAAGAGCAGCACAGCACCCAAGTAACCGAAGATCAAGTTGAACTGTATTGCGACGAGTTCAATTAAACCACTCAAAGCTTCAGGACCCCAACTGCAACGCAAGAACCTACAGCTAACACAAGATGTCTCACCACGTCCTACTCATCGGCGGTCACGGCAAGGTCTCCCAACTCCTCACCCCTCTCCTCCTTTCAAGATCCTGGAATGTCACATCCGTCATCCGAACAGCAGACCAGAAGCCTACAATCGAAGCTCTTGGCAAGAATCAGCCCGGCAAGCTCGATGTACTCATCAGCAGCGTCGCCGACGTCAAGACCGAATCCGATGCAAAGCAAATCATCGAGCGCGTGAAGCCTGACTGGGTGGTCTGGAGTGCTGGCGCTGGCGGCAAGGGTGGTGCCTCGAACACAATTGCTGTTGATCACGATGCGGCTATTGCATTCACCAAGGCTAGCATTCACACGCCCAGCGTCAAGAAGTTCCTCACAGTTTCATACCTGTCCAGCCGAAGGGGCAAGCCAAGCTGGTGGAGCGATTCGGATTGGGAGACCGCGCAAAAGACCAACAATGAGATCCTACCGACGTACTACAAGGCCAAGGTTGCGGCGGATGAGGTCTTGACCGTACTATCACGCGAGCGATTGGAAAAGGAAGCCAGAGATGGTGTACCTGAGAAGGAGCTTTTCGCTGGCATCAGTCTAAGGCCCGGTGGCTTGACGGAGGAGAAGGCTGGTGGGGTCAAGGTTGGCAAGATCGGGGTAGGGGCCAAGACTAGCCGTCACACCACAGCACATGCTATCGTTGCGGCGCTGGAGACTGGCTTCAAAGGTTGGCTTGATGTCATTGACGGCGATGAGGATCCGAAGACTGCCATTCAGAAGCTGGCAGACCAACGCATCGACACCTCTGAGGAAGAGAACTGGGAGGCGGCAAAGGAGAGGGTATCGAAGTTGTAGATCACGAACAGGCTTCAGTTATTGTCGCAAGCGATCACCTTGAAGAATGTGAAGGAATGAAACAAATTGTTCACCACCTTATCTATGTGTTCGGTCTTTGAGTGCACCTTTTTGAACGCTGAGATCTGGGGTAGTCGCGAGCACGGACGTAAACACGCAACGTCATCCCTTCGGAAAGGCGGCAGCAGCTGAACTTCACAACACCAGTATGTGTCTCAAGAGAACATGGAGTGCTACTGGCTTCATCCAAATTGCAAAATCGCTATGATAAACAGACGCTCACTTGGCCTTGTATAATATATCTGCAGCATTTGCAAAAGGAACAATGGCCCCCTCATCGAAACGCCGAATGCACGACCGAGCCTCCGGTAGTACCACGGATTCAACCTCACCCTTTCCCACACCTTCGCGCTCTTCAGGATCAGGGTCCCCTGACGGCTTGCCGTTGCTGAACGAGCCCAACGCGTACGAACTGCAACCTATCAGCCATTCCGTACCTGCATCTCCGATCGACGGGGACGACAAAGACCAGCACAATGCGCGCCGCCTATCATTCGACTCGGTGCAAAGCTATGAGCTATACACACCAGATGAAGACAAAACAGTGCTTCGGAAGTTGGACAGGAGGCTCGTAGGCTTTATGGCATTGCTGTATTGCTTGAGCTTTCTGGATCGGACGAGTGAGTGATGTTCATTTGTATGTCTATGTTAGAGAGGGCAATAATAGGGGTTGGGACGTTGATTGACGAGCCTGATAGATATTGGCAATGCTCGTATCGCAGGGATGCAAGAGGATCTCAAGCTCAGTTCCAATCAGTTCGAGTGGCTGATATGGGTCTTCTATATCACGTACATTGGGTTTGAGTGGATGACATTGATGTGGGTATCCACCGAGCTCCTTCGAAGCTATCGCTGAGTTCAGCAGGTACCGCATAGTACCGCCACACATCTACATATCCATATGTATCTTTTCTTGGGGCATCATAGCGTGCCTCCAATCAGTCGCGCCATCCTTCGGTGTCCTTCTGATCCTCCGCGCCCTGCTCGGCATTGGGGAAGCCGCATTCAGTCCTGGCGTACCCTTCTATCTGTCGTTCTTCTTCAGACGACGCGAGCTAGCATTACGAACGGGTCTGTTTATCTCGGCTAGTCCCTTGTCGTCCGCCTTCGCCGGAGTGCTCGCCTGGCTCATCACCAAGCTAGCGGGCCATAGTCCATTCAGCCCTTGGAGACTCTTGTTCCTGCTCGAGGGTTTTCCAAGCATGCTGGTAGCCGTCTGGGCGTGGAGCCTTGTTCCCGATGGACCGGGAGTAGTGAAGTGGCTGACTCCGCGACAGCGGAAAGTTGCTATCCTGCGCCTCAGGCAAGAGATGGAAGATGACGAAAACGAAGACGTCGACCAACCTATAGGGACAACCGGCATCAATCTGGCGGAAATCCTCCAGGCCCTCAAAGACCCAAAATGCTACCTCACAGCCTTCATGATGTTCAACTGCAACGTCGCATTTGGTAGCATTCCGGTGTTCTTGCCCACGATTGTTAAAGACATGGGGTTCGAAAGCATCACTGCACAAGGCCTCACCGCACCGCCATACCTCGTCGCGTTCTTCATCGTCATCGCTACGGCGTATTACTCCGATCGCTTGCAGACACGCTCAACATTCATAATTGCACATGCACTCCTGGCCGCGTCAGGCTATACCGTGATTGCAGTCCTCGGTTACTTGAGGTCTCCACATACACTTCTCCGATACTTCGCCCTCTACCCAGCTATAGCAGGCTTCTTCAGTAGCATTGCAGTGATTATCACGTGGACGATCAACAACCAGGAGAGCGATAGTAAGAAAGGTACGGGCATGGCGATATTGAACATCATCGGGCAATTTGGGCCTCTTGTCGGGACGAGTATCTTCCCTGATGAAGAGGGCCCATGGTATGTTGGGGGGATGGCGATATGTGCTGGGTGTATGGTGATGGTTGCTGTACTGGCTGGGGTGTTGCGGTGGGTGTTGATTAGGGAGAAGGAGAAGGCAAGACAGGGTAAAGAGGGTGGAGCGTACGCCGGCATACCACTCGACGAAGATGGCCGAGCAGGAGGACGGAAGGTATTCGACTTCATGCTGTAGGAAATCTCACCCGAATCACTTCACCTCCTGTGCAACTCAGATGAAGTGAACAAAAGGGTATCCATACTCCGTAAATGCAGTCTACCACCAGCGACCGCCCGACCTCTATTTCGCCGCAGGCAGCTCCCAGTCCTTGTAACTCCACTTCTCCGAAACAGTGTACTTCTTTTGCTTGGCGTAAGGAATGTGTCGCCTCGGCTCGACGACGCCGCGCAGCATCATGCTCCTGAAGCGGTCCTTTAGCAGGTTGCCCTCGGGCTTGAGGGCGCGCAGCGAGTCGCGGAGTTCGTCCGGGAGCACGACTTCGAGGGGTGCTTCCATGATACTGATCGTCTGTTAGTGAGAGGACAGAGGGCTGTGTGGGGGTAGTGAGAGGGGACGTACGGAATCTTGCCGAACTGCTTCTTACGAAGCTCCAGCTCCTCGCCGTCTTCGACGTCCAGTGTGCCTTCCGCCTCGGCCTGGATAGCGAGCGCCATGCTCTTCGCCGCGTCTCGTGACCTCTCCTTTTCTTCTACGCTCTTGGCTAGCGCCTTGATCATCTGGACTTGCTGCTCCTTCGCCTTCATCTTCGCCTCGTGCTTGGCTTGCCTCTCGGCTTCCTTTCTCCGCTTAATCTTGTTCCTCTGTGTCGCCGACTTGCGCTCCGGCCGCTTCGCTTTTGTCTTGCCCTCTTCTTCGCTGAAACCCTCCCATTCGCTTTCCCACACGCTTTCCTCGCCAGAGTCGGATTCTGTGTCCGCCGCGGCGCGCTCCATGCGCTCGGCCTCCTCCTGCGCCTCCTGCAAGCGCTTCTTCTCGTCTGCAACAGCTTTCTCGGACTCCTTGATGAGCAGGGCCTGCCACTCGTCGAAGTTGGGGTTGTACGATTTCCCAGCGGCGGGTTTGCGGACGGCGGGGATCGTCTTGCCGTCCTTTGCGAGAGAGACGGGTGCGCGCTTCAGCGTGACGGGCTCAACTTTGGGCTTCTTCTTCTCCAGGAACGAAAACTGCGGGTCCTCCTTGACTTTCTGCACAGCCCAGGGATCGTAGTCGGCGGTGGTGCCGGACTGCACGACATCCTTCTTGACTTGCTCGCCGCCGTATGCGATGGCGCGCAGCCTGTCGTACTCTTTACCGGAGACCTTGGCCTTTTTCCTCTGGCCCTCATTGTCGATGTCGGAGAGGCGTTTGCGGGAGGAGACGGCGGGGACGGCGGAGCGCTGGGCGAGGATCTGGTCGACTTTGAGGGGCTTGTGGCGCGACTGGACCTTTTTCTGGACGGCGGCGTCGCCGGCGGTGTCGACTGCGAAGAGTTCGTCGGACGGCTTTTCGGCGATCACACCACTGCGCGAGTATTAGAGAGCTGACCAGCGGTAGGAAGGGTAGGAAGGGCAGGAAGGGTAGGAAGGAGTGCAACATACCCTGCGATAATCTGGTCCCGCACTTCGTCGAGGCCGGCAGAAACTTGCGTAACGTCGACATTCTTCCGCCAGGCCTTCTTGCCCTTTCGGCTCTTCTGCTTGTACTGTGCCGGCGCTGCTTCTGACATGTTCGCGGTATGTTGTCGCGATTCTCAAAAGTAATCCTGTCTGCGCGGTCCTGGACTTTTCCAAAATTTAGTCGGCTCGCGCTAATGAGATCCCTGCACGCCGGCCGGCGGTGTGGGGACTCGTCTGCCGGAAGGGAAGAGCAACCGCTCTCCTATTCAAACACGCCCCACGCCAACTCCCAGGACCCTGCATCTCTACTAGAAGAACACGAGATCTCTCGGATCGACACCCTCTTTCACACGAATCCAAGATGGCGCAATCGGGGTACTCGAATCCGCTGAAGAAGTTCAAGTGAGTGCCTAGTACCCCCCCCCCCCCAATCCCCTCCCAGATATGCGGGAGCTGTGCTAATGCGCGTGCAGGCTGGTCTTCTTGGGCGAGCAGAGCGGTATGCATATTCATTGTTGGGGAAGAGAAGGGTGGAGGCAGCGCTGACGGTAGCAGTGGGCAAGACATCGCTCATCACACGCTTCATGTACGACTCCTTCGACAACACCTACCAAGCAACAATCGGCATCGACTTCCTCTCCAAGGTGCGCCTTACCGCCCTCCACCACCCCTCCTCACCCTGACTCTGTAGACAATGTACCTCGAGGACCGCACCGTGCGCCTCCAGCTCTGGGATACGGCTGGCCAGGAGCGCTTCCGCTCTTTGATCCCCTCGTACATCCGCGACTCGTCTGTCGCCGTTGTCGTCTACGATATCACAAACAAGAAGACGTTTGAGAACACACGCAAATGGGTTGACGACGTGCGGGGCGAGCGCGGCAACGACGTCATTATCGTGCTGGTGGGCAACAAGACCGACTTGAACGATAAGAGGGAGGTCACGACGGCACAGGGAGAGGAGGAGGCGAAGAAGAACAACCTCATGTTCATTGAGACGAGCGCGAAGGTCGGGCATAACGTCAAGGCGCTGTTCAAGAGGATTGCACAGGCGTTGCCGGGGATGGAGGGCGAGGGACAGCAGGGGCAGAGCCAGAGTACGTTGCCACTCGCTTTGACAACCTCCAAGAGTCCATGCACTAACGACTGCAGTGATCGACGTAAACATAAACCCCAGCCAGCCGCAAGAGCAGAACTCGTGCGCGTGCTGAGTTGTTGTCGGGAGGCTCCGCGTTGGATTGCTTAGAGCGTGTTGTAATTATTTGCGTTGTATTCACTCACATCGAGCAAGGCGTTTCACGGGCATGGGCTGGCTGCAAAACCCGGGCGTGCTGCCATCTGTAGTATAGTAGCTTCATCAGCCTATCCACCGCTACCACAAAATCCATCGTTCCATGTCATCGTCGGCCCATGACGTAATGACTCAGATCTGCGTATATGGCGGTTGTGGTGAAGTTGGTGTTGGTGTTTACATTGCCAATCTATGCTGCTGCTGCTGCTGCTGCTGCTGCTGCTCTGCGCCGCCCAGGCTTCTGTCAAACAAGGGCTCTGTCAAACAAAGACCATGCTAAACCGGAACGCCGGCGTGTGAGTCGGCCAGCGCTAGTAGAAAGCGTGCAAGCCATTTACATATACAAGAATATTACAGTGGGCTGTCGCTCGCCGGGATGTGTGGGCGGGTCCCACCCCCTGATGGGGTGTGGTGGAGAAGTGCCAGATGCTACATGTGAAGAGACGGGGGGTTTACTCGAGGTCGCCGGCGGAGCCGGACTCGGAGGGTGTCTTGCTGCCGCCGACGGGGATGGACGTGTCGACTGCGATCATTTCGGCGAGGATGTCGAGGACGGGCTGGGGGTGTTAGGCGTACGTCAATGTTTGCTCTGCATGTTGGAACGTACCTTGGGAACGGTCTTGTCGTAGATGTTGATCAGTTCGCGTGGGTTGGGATAGACCTTCAGCGCGCGGTAGAAGCACAGCGCGGCCTCGATGTTGTCTGCGCCTGCTGGACGTTAGCCTCCACTCCATCGCACGTTGCAGTCATGTGACCCACCCTTCTGTACCATGCCCTCGCCCTGCGCGACCTCCTGCATGAAGTAGGCCTCGACCTCCTCGGGGTCCTTGGGGAAGCCCTCCTCGTTCGCCTGCGCGACGGCGTCGCGGATGGCCTTCTTCTGCTCTGCGCCCTGGTGCTCGGCCTCCTCCTTTGCGGCGCGCTGGGTGCGCTTGCTCTCCTTCTTCAGCGCCTTGCGGAACTCGGGGTCATTCCGGCGCTTGTTGTCGAAGTAGACGGCGTATGCGAGCAGGCCTGCGACGACGGTGCCGACGCTGATGGCGACGATGGCCGACGGTTTTATCGACGACTGCTGGGACATGGCGGGGATGTGCGGCGGGGTCGTCGGCGGGGTCGTCGGCGGGGAGGTGACGGGCGGCGGAGGAGCGAATGGGTGGGAGAAGAGGCGATGGAGTGATGATGGTCTTGCAGATGACTTTTTAGAAACTTGGGACGCCGCCGGACGGGAAGCGGTTCCCGACCGGTGGACGTCAGTGCGCAAGCTGTCCCGTGCAGGCGCCCGATGTCATCCACCACCTGTCACATTCACGCTGCAGCATTGAGAGACTGCATGGACACCTGCCAGACACCCGCCAGACACCCACCCGCCCGCCCGCCCACACGAACCCGGACTGCCGGCCATGTCTGAGAAGCAGAAGGGCATCTCGCTGCGCAAGAAGCGCGGCAACAAGAACAAGGAGAATGCGCCGACCATCAGCGCACCGCGCCAGATCAGTGCGCCCATGCCGGCTGGCCAGGGCATAGGAGCAGCAACACTGTCCTCCTCGGCGCGCCCCTCGCAGGACTCGAGCCGGTCGCGCAGCAGAGGCCCCGCGGACGATGGCCGCGGTCCCCAGCAGAGGCAGCGGGCGGACAAGACGGCCGACCTGGTCAAGAGGCGGTACTCGCAAAAGATCATGCAGCTGCCGAGCGACTTCCCTGGAAACGGGGCGTCCATGCCGGACTTGCCGCAGATCCCCAGCCAGTTCCAGGACAAGAGCCAGTTCGGAGACAAGAGCCAGCCCCGAGACCGAAGGCCGGACAGGAGCGCGGACGGGCGCGGGCTCAAGGCCGACATGCGGGCATTGCGCGACCCCAACCTGCAGGCCGAGCAGTATGTGGCCTCCATGCTCGCCGATGCGTCTGAGGAGGACGTCCGCCGCTACCAGGACGAGCTGCGCAAGGCCAAGCACCGCGCATCGGTCGACCTGCAGACCAACGTCTACCAGAACAGGACGCAGTTCATCAAGATCAGTAAAGAGGCAGAGAAGCTCAAGGGCGAGATGCGCACCCTGCGCCAGCTCATGTCCGACCTGACCACCACCCTGGAACAGACGGCGTCGGCCACCGCCAACGGTGACGCTGTAAGCGCACGGCGAGCCAACAGGAGCTCCATTGGCGACCTGAACCAGATCCGCGCCGGCCAACTGCAGCAGCTCTACCGCGACGTCGAGGGATCCCAAAAGTACCTGCCCCCAATACCCGGACGCTACATCGTCTGGAAGTCGCGACGATGGTTCGAGCTGGACTCGGCCACGCTCAAAGCTCGCCGTCGAGTCCGCCTCCTCCTGCTGAACGACCACCTCCTCATCGCGGCCGAGAAGAAAGCCCGCAACGACGTCGCCAGCCAACGCGACCGCAACCGGTCCGCCGTCGAATACGTCGCCCAACGCTGTTTCCCGCTGCAGGACGTCCAGGTCTCCCGCGCCCCAGAAGAACGCGTCATCGTCCGCGCCGGCAACGAGTCCTTCACGTACGACACCAAGCAGGAAGACACCGGCGACAAAATCACCTTTCTTTCCACCTTCCGCAAGGCCAAAGACGACCTGCGCAAGAGCCAGGAGGCTGAGGTCGAGGAAAAGGATCGTGCGCAGGATAGCTACAACCACATGCTCTCCCGCGACCCCGGGCTACGCAGCCAGACCGAGCTGCTGGAGAACTTGAGTGAGGGTGTGAGCCACAACAACGTGAGCACGTTCGTCGACATCGACGGCCAGACACGGAACATCCGTTGGGTAGAAACGCAGCTCGACGAACTGGACATCGACGTCGCGCTTCAGCGCTTCGAGGAAGCAGTCGCCAAGGTCGAGAAACTCAAGATCCTGAGCCAGAACATGCGAGCCAACGAGACGGCAAAGACGATAGTCACTTTCAAAGTCAACGAGCGCGCAGCGAAACTCGCGAATGTACTTGTCCGCCAGCTGAGCGAGGGGAATACATGGAACGGCCCAATCGGGCAACACGTAACATGGGTGAACCGACTCGGCTTTGAAGATCGCGCGAGAGAGGCGTATCTAGAGGCACGCAGCAGCTTGATAAAAGCGCGCTCACGGTACGTTTGCTACCACCACCACCACCACCACTACCCCTCTTTCAGCACGTATCGTCGTTCGCTAACGAGTTACTTCTTTAGGCAATGCACATTCGAAGGCAACCTCCCCGACTACATCTTCCAAATCTCCTACATCTACTTCCTCATCATCAAAAACACCGTCTCCACGTTCCAGACCTGCTTCCCGCAACCCCTCATGTCAGCGTGCGTCAAGTGGGCGAAAGAACACGTCGATCACTTCAACATCATTCTCAAACGACAACTCAGCAGTGTTGAGAAGGAAGGCGAGATGTGGAAGCAGTGTCTGGACTTGGCGCAGGAGCATGCGGGCATGCTAAGGGATGTGGGCTTGGGCTTTTCGGAGCTGGTGGGGAGTGGGGTGGGTGAGGAGGGGGATGCGAGGGAGTTGCTGCCGCAAGGTCCTGTGGGATTGGGTGTGTCGTGATGTGGAGTTGGGTGTGTCGTGATTCGAGCGAGTTTGATGAATCAACGTGCTTGCCTGAGAGGTGAAAGTGCCTTCCCATCTTCCAATGCCAATTCACAGCTCCTCCAGAGCTCTTGCACCTTTCTTGCTTATAGGTCCCACTTCGATGCTGCTCTACTGTCTTGTCTCTGTCTAGTCTAACAACGTTGTTCTCAATCTGTCCAGTTGTTTAACTCATCCGCTGTCTGCCTTGTCAGCCTGTGCTGTCCCCTCTCAGCGCTGCACTTCACGTTCACCTAGACTATCAGAGACCTGACCCACCGCTGGCACCTCTGCGCCCGCGCAAAATCACGCTAACAATGTTAGTGTGTCCTTATCTGTCTGTTGTGCGTGCAGATTCACGGTGAAGGCAGCTTGAGAGGATAAAAGCGCAGACTGGTGCCTACCTCAAGCTCTTGACCTTCCTCTTCGCAACACCAACCTTTGGACAAGCTCAATCTATCCATTTCGAACAGCGATACTCACAACACAGCATCAACAAACAGCAATCACAACTGCCCACATGTCTACCAAGGACCAAAACATCCAATACCTCTACCTGGTTCTCACCCACGGTGGCACGCCCACGGTAAGCCCACCTTCCCTACTCCGCCTCCTTCCTCATGTGCTTACAATCTGTCCAGGTCGACTGGGAACCAATCTGCGCTGCTCTACAGCTGGATAAGACTGCTGTCACCAAGCGCTGGAGCCGTCTTAAGCAGGTCATGGAGGAGGGCGAGAAGCCAACCGCGCCGAACCAGGAGTTCCTCTGGCTCATGATCAAGCACTCGAGCCGCGACAAGGTGCGGGCACATATCTATACCTCGTTCTGTGCTTGAGTCCGAGACATGATCCTGACAGTGTTTGTAGCCGTTCGATTGGGAGGCCATCGCTCAACAGTGCGGGAGCACGAAGGGCGCTTGCTCGAAGCGTTACTCTCGTATGAAGATCGCTTTTGAGAGAGGAGATGCTCCACCCAGCACCCCAAGCAAGACCGCTCCGGGTACGCCGAAGAAGACTCCCCAGAAGTCCACGGTCAAGACCGAAGATGACGGTGAGGGCACGCCGACTACCACACCTAAGCGCAAGCGAACTCCCGCTAAGAAGAACAAGGCCGTCGACCAAGAGGAAGCTCAAGCTGAGGACGATGAGGATGAGGAGGGCGCAGAACCGAAGCGCGCAAAGTCCACTCCCAAGGCGAGGGCGAAGCCGAAACCCAAGAACGCTTTCCGCGCCAGCGACCAGAAGAAGGAGACTGAGGAGGCACAGACAATCGTCAAGGGCCAGCCCGTCGACAATGATGGCGATGTGTTCCTCGACGCTCTAGAGCAAGTTGCTTCTGACGTTGATGCTGAAGGCGAGGTCGACGAAGTCTGTATGTTCATTCCGACTCCTCTTCTACCCTGCGCCATTTCTACTCGACAAGAATGGTGCTGACTCCCTCAGTACCTACCTCTACCTTCTCGGAGGCATATACTCACGCTAGGGAAATAGCTAACGTGCTGCTGTACAGGAAGACCGGCCTGACCAAGGAACATCGAGAGGAGTTGGTGGGCATGCTGGATGTGTTTGATGAGCAGGTATAATACACTAGAAGCACACGGAAGGGATACAGCCTTGTTGCCGCTTGACGCGTGATTCTGGTTCTTGGACACATCGCACCGTGCTCTCAGAAGATCGTCTCCAAGGTGCTTTGTTTATGGCTGCCCGATTTACTTTTTACGAAACGCTTGCATTTCCTGGCGAGGCTGGGTTAGACACGTTGGGTGCTTTGCGATCACCGCAACCGTACATAGCCCACAGAACGGTTCTTGGCCGGTCTGTGCCACGGATCGAACGCTACTACTCATTTGTGTTCTGAACTCCCAATATCGAAGTAAGGCCAAGGATACCTGCGTCATTGACATATGTCAGTTCCCGTAAGTAATGATGCCTGGACCTTACGTCTACTGGCCGGTCGCTCTGTAAGGTCTGTCAATGCGACATGAACTCCCTCTCATAAGTAACAGAGGGGTCGAGTTGTCAAGGTACGTACATTCCATCAGTCCTTGAGGACTCTGTCAGCAACTGGAATGCTTTCTGAAACAGTACATTATACAGAATCTATCCGCCTTGCGCCTAGAATCGGGAAAGGGGTAAAGTCTGATCGTTCTGTAAGCGTCTGAGGAGCCTATAAATCCCTCTTACTCAGGGAACAACATCGGCCATTCGCACTCCTCTTACAGACTCTAGGATGTATACCTCCCTCCTCACCGTTCTACTCTTGAGTTCCACCGGCAATGCAGCCGCCGTGGCCACATCGGACAGTCAGCATGATACGAAACTCAAGAAGGGACTCGTCGAGGCGCTGATAGCTGCTGCCGCTACTGAGAAAGTTTCTGGGGCTAGAGAAGTCATTGGTGCGAAGGGCGGTGGGTGTACTGGGTGCCCGTAAGTGCGATTCAATGGTCTTTGGGCGAGAGACTAATATAAGGTAGATTCACGCCCACGAAGAGCACTTTCTACAACATGCCTGCTTTTATCCGTATTTCACATAAGGTCGACTGGAGTGCAGATGATGCCCCCGACGCCATTGCACTCACTGTCGCAAACCCCGGTGATGATGGCGGTAAGGGCCTCTGCAAGGTTGCGATAGGCATTGGAGCTGCTATGGCTGGGGTTGTCAATGGAGCTGCTGGCGGGGCTTTCAAGCTGGGTAGACTGGCTTGCAGCCTCATCTGATCCTCTGGACGGACGGATGCTGGCGTTTCTTCTCTCTGTTTGGTATTCTCCACTTTGTTGATGAGTACGATCTGAAGGTTTGCCCGATGCCCTATGCAACATAGGCCTGAGACTTGCTTCAAGGATAGTCGACAATAAATTTATCCCTAGACTCAGTCTCTTTGGTTTTGGAACGTTGAAGGACTTGCGTGGTTGTGGTTGAGAAGCCTGCCACTATAGTGATGTCGGAGCCGAGGTGGAATTCGGATTTCGTATGTCCTCCGAGTAGTCATCAGGAGCTTTGCAATGCTTATATCGTCTTTGTCGTGGCATATCGTCTCATCAATGGGAAGCCTGAGTAGATTTCAGATCTACCATCGTCAGTGGAGAGTGGAATGTAGACATGTCATAGCATCGCGCCTTCCATATTCGCGGAATGACGTGCGCAGATAGCGGGGCTCACTCGGATATAACGCCATGTATTTATCACCGACCTCACCTACTACGACGCCGGATAAGTATCCACGTCTCCTCTACATTTCGACTCCAATTGCTTCATAATCAGCTTCGATCCTATGTTCTTAGCTTCTCACGCTGCTCGTGCCTTCAGATTGTCTACTCCTTCCTCAATTGCATCTACAAGACTAGCTTCCCTTGGCAACCAGCTAGGTCCAAGAGCTATATACATCAGGAACATGTCGTCCCTTCCCAAGACTATGAAGGCGGTTGTCATCGAGAAGACTGGTGGGACCGATGTTCTGCAGTACAAGACCGATGTGCCTGTCCCTGAACCCAAGGGTGACGAGGTTCTCATCAAGAACGAGTACATTGGCATCAACTACATCGACACGTGAGTATCAGCCTTCCTGCTTCTCACCTCCTCGCATATGGTTCAATCTCCCCATGGTTTAATTTCCCCATGGACGTATCTCTGACCTACCTTAGCTACTTCCGCTCCGGTGTCTACGCACCCCCCTCATTCCCCTACATCCTGGGACGCGAGGGCTCTGGTACCATCGCCGCAGTCGGTCCCAATGCGCCGTCTGACCTAACAGTCGGAGCTCGTGTAGCCTTCATGGGCCAGAGTGCGTACGCTGAGTACACCGCAGCAACCTCCAAGTACGTAGTCACTATCCCGAATTCTATCAGCACCAAGATTGGCGCCGCCGTTCCCCTCCAGGCCCTTACTGCTCTTACCTTGATCCGTGAAGCGTACGCTGTGCAGAAGGGCGACTGGATACTGGTTACTGCCGCTGCGGGAGGTGTCGGGCTGTGGCTGTGCCAGTTGTTGAAGGCTGTTGGTGCGAGGACGATTGCTACTGCGTCGACGCCTGAGAAGAGGGAGCTCGCGAAGCAAAATGGTGCTGAGGTGTTGCTTGAGTACCATGCGGATGACCGAGATGTGTTTGTCAAGAAGGTGCTTGAGATTACCGGCGGTGAGGGTGTGCATGCAGTGTTTGACTCTGTGGGTAAGGACACGTTTGACAGCAGTTTGGCGGTTGTCAGGAGGAAGGGAACGATGGTCAGCTTCGGAAATGCGTCAGGGCCGGTCACGGGTTTTGCTCTTGCGTAAGTTACCCTTCATCTGGACTGAACTTCAAATTGCTAATGCGTTGCAGACGCCTTTCGGCGAAGAATGTCAAGCTGCTGCGTACCACGCTGTTCAACTACATCGCTACCCGCGAGGAGTTCCAGCAGTATGCTAAGGAGCTGTGGGGCTTCATCGAGAAAGACGGGTTGAACGTCAAGATCCACGACGTCTACCCATTGGAGGACATCAAGCGTGCGACTGAGGATATTGAGGGAAGGAAGACGACTGGAAAGCTGCTGTTGAAGCCGTAGACGGCATCAGTACCTCATGCAACATTAATCTGTTAATGTCCAGTCTCTCTCAATTGCGTGTCTGGGCCTTGGGAAACGGCCTGGTTTGAGGTGAAGATGTGTGTCATACCACTCAGTAAGCAGAAAAATCGCGCTTGCGACCCACCATCGAGCTTTCAACATCTTTCGCAACACCTGTCATCGGTCATTTCTACATCAAACCAGTGATCAACTTTCAGTATGGCTGACACGGGGAAAAGCCTGCAACTTTGTCGACACGTGGGCGCAAGCTCTATTTCCCAAAGACTACGAAGGCCAATAACCTCGTCAAGCTCGGCGGTCTTAGCACCATCAGCTTCGTTGAGATGTTCATGTACGGTTATTCCATCAACGGAAAGACAGTATTGTGTCCTCAGATAGCTGTGGTTCTCCCAGTAGGTTCCACCACGGACGAGAATGTTGGCCCACTCTCTGATCAGCGAAGCCGAGCAAGATATCGCCGAATACATCTACAAGATTAGTACTCTCAGCGATCAGTTGGCGACGAAAGAAGAGGAAGCAGATATCGCTCAGGAGAACATCAAGACGCTGGAGAAAGAGGTCGTAAAGTGGAAGCAAAAGTACGAGGAGAAGTGCATGTAGAGTTGGGTAACATTGACGAAGGTGGCAAGAGGGGACGGGAGGAACAACAGGATTGGAACGAGAACGAGTTGAGGCTCACATACGAGTAGGCTTGGAAGTTTCGCGGATGTCTCGGGCGCAGAGACGCTTGCGAAGCTCTTCACTAGATTCGGCTCCTATAGCACTGTCGCCTTGGCTGTTAGTGACCGCTCGATTGCATTCAACGCTGGATTGACCACGCAAAGCAAGAGTTAGAACATTGGAAGAATCATACATGATGATAGTATTTTCCTTCCGTCCCGTTGACGAATCCTTCAGCACCTTCCTCGCGTTTGTTTACTCGACGGGTTGGGCCGTCCACCGTACCCACCACCTCCCAAATTCTATACTCACAATCGCGTACTTAACAACAGCATTTGCGATGATCTATCATACAAACGTTTTGCTTAATAGCTCACATGTGCAGAGTCTTCTATACCGAACGCCGACAATGTCGTCATTCCTTTACCGTCGCGCGAGGTGGGGTCGCAGTGAAGTGAAAGCGCCTGCTGCTTTGTTTATGCGTGCGTTTGGCGCTTCCATCATCCAAATCACCCGCATCTCATTTTTCCGACCAATCGATCCATTCCGCGGCTACTTCGCCATCTGACACGCGCATCTTATCGACCTCCACATTCCGCCAGTTAGCATGTCCTTCGAAGCCGGCTCGCTCGAAGACGTCGAAGCTTGGGCGAATCATGAGTTTCCGGCGTATTTTGCGGAAGTAATTCGCACTGGAACGTCGACGCCTTTCAACATGCTCGATTTCGACGGAGAGTATGTGGATGCAAAGGTCGTCCTGCAGCCCATGCTCGTTTCCGTACTGGAAGTCGGTACTACCACCAGCGACCAGACCGTATACGCTCGCGTCTGCGGAAACAACGATGTCGAGCTCTTCAGCGGCCACGAAATTGAGTCCCTAACAGATGCCAGGAAGCTCCTTCGATACATGAAGCCGATTGTAGATCTAGCCGATATCAATCTGAACGCGCCTTTCAGTTACCCCGTCAAAATCGGACATCCAGCTGGCGTTGATCGACTCGAAACTCTCATCCGGTATCTCTACCTCAAAAACGGTGAAGATACCGCAGTGCAACCTAAGCTCGGGTTCTTCAAAATGCACTTCCGAGCTGCTTGCCACGACGTGGCTCGTGGCACTGGCGCTGTAGTCGAGGCTGGTGATATGGACGACAGCGACACCCTGTTTGGTAGGATTGTAGTCAAACAATGATTGAGAAGTGGCAAACCTGATAACCATGATTCAGGCGACTCACCTCCCGATCTCATCGCAGACACCGACATCGCCGGCCTTCGCGACAACCCGGCCGCAACTTCCATCTTCAACCAACATGTACATGCCATGGACGAGAGCTACCACGACTTTAAAACGAGTATGTTGAGACAATTTGGCGCGATGCAGACTGTCGACAGGAACCACATGGCGCAGCTTCAGGCTCAGGTCCAAGATCTTGAGCACAGACTTGCTGTGGCAGAGGAAGGACAGATGAAGTTGGGGAAAGAGCTGGAAGGGGAGAAGACAAAAGCAAAGACTGCATCGGATGAGGCTGCCCGATGGAAGGCGCAATATGAGGGCTTGAGAGGGACACTACAAGGTGCCCTGGGACAGCGCTTCTGACGCTTTCAAGAGCCACAATGTATGCAAGACAATGTTGAGGCTCAGACCATGCTTGCAAACTCGTGTGACTAATAGTTTTCGAAATATATGATTTTCATTTCCAGTGTGCACGGGTCTGCGCTAACGATTACCACAAGACTGTGGTGAGGTGAAACGAGGACGGTGAAGATGAAGTTTGGACAACACTAGTCAAGAGACCTAACCCCGTCAATTTTTCTGTAACTCTCATACATCTATCTACACTCCTTGCTCGTTATTTCTAACGTACCGCCAGCCAACATGCCGAGATCTCAACCACAACAACATATGAGCCTTGGGTCCGTCACCGCCTGGGCCAGCGCCCACTTCAGGGACGACTACCTCAAGATCCCCAAGCGTAAAGACTACACCACGTATCTAATCTGTCTGCCAAAGCAACACTCGAACAAATCGTCGCTGACAGCCATCATCGTGGGAACAGCCTTCGAAGAAATCCGTCCATACTTCGGAGCCACTGTCGACGTCCTGGCTTGGGTGAAGGACGACCGCGTCGAAGTCGGTTACATCACACAGCTCGGCAACAAGACGAATGTTGTGGTGTACGAAGATATCATCAGCAGTCGCATCAGCTTTCAAGAGCCGTTTTGCTGGATCCTTGATGCTGCTGATGAGACAGCAATTCGACGTTTCGAGGCGCTCGTTCACCATGCAGCGATGCTGATGGGGTCTAAGAAGGCTATCAATAGCAACTACTATGATGAGTTCAGAGATCACTTCCCGGGCGCGTGTCGCGATATTGCGGAGGTGGCGGAGAAGAGGATTGATAAGTGGAGGAGGATCACTGCCCCGCTTGAGTCGAACGAGCATGCTGCTTCAACTTCCCTTCTGAATGGCGCAGCAAACGGTGATTCCTTCATTTCTTTGAGTGGTTCTGGAGGCTGACAGTGTTAGAAGACACTACAATGGGAGTGGGTGAACGACACCAACCCAGTCCTAGCTCGTCTCAGCCCGTCACGATCGACCTTACCGACGCCTCCTCTACTACCAATGTAGTTGCACCAAGTCTCGAGCAAAGCAAAATCTCACCCTCTACTGCGGCGACTACACAAGGGAACGAGATCAGCAAAGCCCGGGCTACACTTACAACCAAGATGAACATCACCATGAGGCTACACGCACGTGAGAAGGAGCAGCTGCAAAAGAAGATCCGAGACCTGAAGAAGGCATTGGCCGAATCCATAGAACGTGTCGCCAACGCGGAGGAAGAAGCCAAGAAAGCACAAGACAAGACCAAGGAGGCGCAAGAGAAGGCCGAGCGAGCGCGACTGCGGATGAGTAAGGCACAGGTGCAAGTCGAGAAAGCTGAAGCGGAGACGGCGCGGGTACGAGAAGAGGCGAAGAAAGAGATTGAGAAGGCTCAAAGTGAAGCAGCGACACTGAGAACGCAACACTCTGCCACTGCAAAGGTACACGTACAGGATGAGCTCAAGCTGCGTATCGAGATCCAGCACACATCGACTACTATCACGAGTGGGACCATGAAGGCGACCCAAGATACAGCGAAGACACACGAAGAGTTGAACAAAGAACAACAAGAGATCGCTAGACTGAGGGGTCATCAAACGAACGCCAAATCCCAAGCCAACACGGCGGAGGCATTCAACCTGGCTCATGAGATACGTCCACGTGAGAAACAACAATTGCAAACGCTCATATGGGACATGGAGAAGCAATCAGCTAGGGAAACGTGTTTGATTTCGAGGTTGAGAGAAGATTTAACGAAGGCGCAGAAAGACAACAAGGCAGCCAGAGAGCAGGCAAGAGGATGGGAAGCCAAGTTCACGTCCACTTTCGCTGCACGCGTAGAAGCGCAGAACCAAGCTGTATTTTGGCATGGCCAGTATGATACGATGGTCGGTAAACTCGAAACTATGCGTCAGGTTGCAGAAGCCTGGGAGGCGAGGTACCATATGGTGAAGGCTCTGATGAAGGAAATGCCTGCTCTTCAGCTCCAGGGTGGAGAACAACTCGGAGGCCAGATGGAGGGGCTGATCGGAGCCCAAGATGATACCCAGGATGGCGGTCAAGGTGCAAACCAGGTTGAATACCAGGCTACGCAAATCGAGGAGCATGGGGGTCAAGAGGGCTGGATGGAGCAACTCATGTCAGCAGCGCAAGTGGATTGAGACAGCAAAGTAAAATATATTCAAGAAAGATTGTATGTACAAAGAGTGAGACTCCATCCCACTTCACCAACGTAGCAGCCATCAGCCCTAAGGCGTCCCCTCGGACTGATATCCATTGGTTTTGAATGTTTCTTCTCGAGCAAGCGCTTAGAAGGTGACAACACCAACACCAGCAGACTTGGCAACGATGCTGCAAGCGGAGGCAGCGGCATCAGCAGTGTACTTGTAGCTGGGGGTCCAGGTACCCTATGATGTTTTGTTAGAAGGCTTTTCTTAGGTCTAAGACGGGGATTGTGGTTTCTTACCTTCTGAGTGATTTGAGTAGTAGAAGAGGTGAAGATGTTGTTGCGCTCGTTCGCGAAGCCCTCCTCATCAGAGTCAAGGTTGGTAACGATAGCCTTGTCGACACCAGTGAAGGAGTTGTTCTCAACAAGGACCTGGGCACCCATACGGGAGTTGACACCGGAGATACCGCCGTTGTAGCAGGAGCTATAGACGTGGGCAGTTCCAAAGCGAACCGAGGGGAGACGCGAGTTGACCCTCTGGAAGTCGTTGTGGTGGTAGGTGACGCGCAGCTTGCCCGTGTCCTCCGCGGCGTTGCTGTCGGAGTGGCCGACGAGAGAGCCCTTCCACTGTGTCGATGTTAGATGAGTTAATTGAACCGGGGTTTTGGTGAACTTACGTGGTCGTGGAACTTGTTCCAGGAAAAGGTCAGAGAGTCAGCGCCGTGCTTAGCGTCAAGGAGACCGTCGTAGGTGTCCTTGTCGCCGGTGATACCGACGGAGGAGAAGTCGTTGTGGTCGACCCAGATCCTGGTGGACTCATCAATGTCGATGAGGTCCTTGCCCTCGGGGGCGCGGTAGAACTTGATGTTACGGATGATGACGTTGTCGGCCTTCCTAACCTGGAAGCCACCGTCGGTGATACCAGCGGTGGAGCCAACACCGAGAACGGAGGTGTTGCTGATGATCTTGACGATATCGCAGCCAGTGAGGGTACCCTTGATCTTGATGACACCACCCTTCTTAGCGGCGGCAGTCAGGCCAGCGCAGTCGGAAACAGTGGTACCGGCACCGCTTCCTCCACCGGTGGTGCCAGCAGCGAAACCGACGAGCTCATCGACGGCAGCAGCCCTCTTCTCCATAGGCGCAGCGGAGACGGCACCCGCGGCCGCAAGAGCAGTAGCAATCTCGAAGAAACGCATGTTGATGGTTGGTAAAGAATGTGGTTGAAGAACGAATGGAAGTCTCGAAGAGAATGGAAAGAATGAACAGAGATCAACTCTTAGTGCTTGCTAGATGATTGTTGGTGGTGTCGGATAAAGCTCTTATATAGCGAAGTGCTTGTAATACCAAGAGAATACCAAGAGTAGTTGTTCTGACATGATCTCCATGGACAGCCCCCTTAAATATCGCACGACTAAAACATCTCCTGGCGATCTGGTGTTGCAATTTCTCCGTTGTTTATACTGTACGCTTTTCTAAGCCTCTTGAGCCAGGAGTTCATCCACCATTCGCGAAGAAGGACGACACGCCCGTGCCTGAATGGGATACAATCATCGTGCAAACCTACGCGTGGTGTGTAATTGGGTGCCTAGGACATATGGCCGATGTCAGTGAACCTTGACAGCTGTACCCCAGATCACTAGTCGCATATGCAGCTAGCCTGTTTCTCATATGTGTAAAAGGGAAATAGTAATCTATGTTTCGGCGCCACTGTTTGGGAACGTTGTAAACGAAGCTTGGCGATGAAGATGGAGATTCCCCACCAATGGGAAAATCCTGCAAGCGCAGTGAGTATATTGTCATGGGGGGTAAGAAAGTACACAAAGCAGATGACGCGAAATGATTCTCGATGGTGTACGCATCTTATTCGAAGAAAACGACCTGGTTCTTTGCCTTGGTGAGGAAGGAGCGGTGGAAGGAAACTGTGGAGAAAGACCGCTCGAGTTTTAGACCAGTGCTAGGCAGGATAAGGCTAGCTGGCACGTGCCGCCCCTCGGAACTCTCTACCAGCCCTGCAATCCCGCTCCTCAATACTCCGAAGCCCCAACACTCATGAACAAGCTCAGCTTGCAGCTTCGTGTTGAGCTTGTCTTCCATTCTTGAACTTCGCATCCTAAGAGCGAGGAGCAGGCGAGTGGAGATAGCCGCTTCTTCTATCACACAGCTCGAACAGCTCAATGGCTTCAAGGACTGAAAGCCTTACAAGCAGGACAGAATCACAGAATCCAGACGCATTACGCCAAGAACTATGCCGCCATACCTGGCCTGCTCTGCTGGAGTCATGCTCATCGCGCCAAGATCAGTACATCTACAAAGCGAACCCCTGGGACCCCTTAATGCATCATGTTTCGCAAACATGTTTCGCCCCTGCTGAGTTGCACCGACTCGATAGCATCTAGGTAATGCCTTGATCAGACATTGATATAGCTAAATCTTTCGCACTTGGCTTCGCTCTTCTTTTCTGTCGACTCTCCCAACACCATTGTCTCTCATGGCACCATATCAGACCATCATGGACAATACACGATGAGCTCCGACCACCTCGAGCTGGGGTAGGTCACATCTCGGGTCGATCGCTTTTTAACAAAAGTCACTGTATCGATACAGCGCATTCTGAACCCTCCTGACAAATGTCGCACCGACGACCAAAGCGGACGATTCCACAAGGAGGATCATGGTGCTGAGACGTACCGTTTCGGAGCGGTACACATGTTTGTTGGTCTGGCACGAAAGTAAAGCCTGTAGCCAACCGTATGGAACTCTGCCAGCGAGTTCTACAGGTTAGGTTGTATCGGCGTACTCGTATACAACTTCATCGCTGTTGCCGTGTTCCCTGTGAGCAGAGTTGGCAACAAACAAATCAAATCAAATCAAGTCCTCTCCACGGAGCACCATCTGGTCTGCGTCAGCGTGCACGTCTCAATAGTAGGGTCGTTCCCGAGACTTGATTTGACTTGACCTGTTTGTTGCCAATTCTGCCTGCGAGGGTACACAAGCTGTAGCGCTGTGGCTTTCAATGGTCTTGGAGGCTTAGCAGTGATTACGACACTGGCCTTCTGATAGCTTCTTGAATTATACGTCGTATCTTGAGGCTCAGCCAAATTCACCATCGTTAACGGATGCTTCGTTGAAATCTACACCAGCGCGTCGGTCCGGCGCATCATTGTGGCTCGTGCATACGCGTATCCGGTTCGATTGCCGGAGCTTTATGAACGCCCATATATAGTGCAACGACTGCCGCAAAACCCGGGCAGTATACATCAGTCTTGAGAACTGGCAGAATGGGACGACCAGATAGCACACAAGCGCCAATTCCGGTGTGGGGAGAATACGATGATGGAATGCAGTCAAGCGCGGCTCCACCACCATACAGACTCGAGGCGCCATCAACATCAAGACCTACACCAAGCAGATCAAATTTGAACCAGAAGCGCACTTACGAGATGCCGTCTCCGATTCTCCCGTCAGATCCATATGACAACGCTAGCGTTGCGAGTGCATCAAGTTCACTTAAGCTGGATGCTGGAGAAGGCTCAATACCTCCACCGGGCGACACCGGCGTCACAAGTATATATGCCATTCTAGTACGAATTTTCAATTGAACTAATTCGTCCAGATGACGGTCGTATCAATATCGACCTCAAGTCCAGACTCACCAAGACTCTCGTCAAGCTTGTGCCCGAAAAGAACAAGGAGGCGTTCGAGCCCAGCCGTCGTTTCACTGTATACCGAGGTTGGAGTATACGCATGAATATTGTTATCCAGGTCGTCGGCAGCCGCGGTGATGTCCAGCCCTTTATTGCGCTAGGTCAAGAACTTCAGAAATACGGTCACCGCGTACGACTCGCGACTCACAACACGTTTGAGGAATTCGTCAAAAAGTCAAATTTGGAGTTCTATCCGATTGGGGGCGATCCAAAAGAGCTCATGGCGTATATGGTCAAGAATCCTGGACTGATCCCATCAATGAAGAGTTTGCGAGAGGGCGACATCAAGCGCAAACGTGTCATGATCACGGAAATCCTCGACGGATGCTGGAAGTCATGCGTGGAAGCAGATCTCGACTCACAGGAACCGTTCGTCGCGGATGCGATTATCGCAAACCCACCCAGCTTCGCCCACATCCACTGCGCACAAGCACTCGGTGTTCCGCTTCACATGATGTTTACCATGCCGTGGAGTAGTACAAGGGCGTTCCCACATCCTCTGGCCAACTTCAAAATCGGCGAGATCGATCCCGCACTCATCAACTACGCTTCGTATGGGGTCGTGGAGTTTCTCACATGGCAAGGCCTAGGTGATGTCATCAACAAGTTCAGAGCCACTTTGGACTTGGAACCTGTACCCACGACAGTTGGACCTGCACTTGCGGAGGCACTCGAAGTGCCTTTTACCTATTGCTGGTCACCAGCCCTCGTCCCTAAGCCTGCGGATTGGCCTCCACATATCGATGTATGCGGCTTCTTCTTCCGCGATCCACCTCCGCGCGAGCCGCCAGCCGCAATCGTAAGGTTTCTGGAAGCTGGTCCACCTCCTATCTACATTGGCTTCGGCAGTATCGTCCTAGAGGACCCCGCCAAGATGACCTCGCTCATTTTGGAAGCTGTGCATCTGTGTGGAGTTCGAGCAATCATATCCAGAGGGTGGATCAACCTAGGCGAAGGCCTCCCCGACGAAGCCGACAATGTTTTGTTTATTGGCGATTGTGATCACGAATGGCTGTTTCAACACGTCACGGCTGTAGTTCATCACGGCGGTGCAGGCACGGCCGCCTGTGGACTGAAGAACGCATGTCCAACCCTTGTAGTGCCTTTCTTCGGTGATCAGCCATTCTGGGGAGACATGATTGCCGAAGCTGGTGCTGGACCGAGGCCAATACCACATAAATCGCTGTCTAGTCAGAACTTAGTCGATGCGATTCAGTTTCTTCTTGCACCGGAGACCAAATCAGCAGTACAGAACATATCTTCGCAAATGGCCAACGAACAAGGTGTCAAAGCGGCAGTCCAGTCCTTCCACGCTAATCTACCGTTCGAAGCGATACCCTGCAACATCATGCATGACTTGCCAGCCGCTTGGATCTACAAAAAAGCCCCGATCCGACTGTCTAAGCTCGCGGCGCAGATTCTCATCGACAATGGAGTAATATCGCCGAACGATCTGAGCAAGTAGGTCAATCTACAACAGCTACTAACCGAGCATTCACTGACATCCTCAGCTACGAAACCCAAACAATACAAATTACAAACAACCGTTGGGATCCGGTCACGAGCATAGGAGCTTGGCAAGTGTCCACTGTCACCAAGATGGGCAGAGCTGCGACAGGCATGGTGTACGAACCTTACAAAGAGTTGAATCGGGCAAAGACCGAGGGCACAAGCGATGCAGCACACAACACAGCGACCGCTGGCAGAATGGCTGCTGCAGGAGCAAAAGGCTTTGGCAAGTTCAACATGGCTTTCTTCAAGGGTGCCGTTGTCGATCTGCCACTAGCAGCAGCTGAAGGATTCCGAGCGGTCCCGAAACTGTACGGAGAGGAAGTCAAAGACCATGGTGAAGTGACGAACATCCAGAGTGGATTTAGCAAAGCCGGGAAGAACTTCGCATTTGGCATGGCCGACGGTTTCTCTGACCTCTTCGTACGGCCGATTGAGGATGCGAAAAAGGATGGTGCTCTTGGATTCGCGAAAGGCCTTGGTAAAGGCGTACTAGGGTTCACTTCAAAGACAGCTTCCGCTGCAGTTGGCATTGTGGCTTACCCTGGTGAAGGCATCTGCAAGAGCATACGGCATGCAGTTCACTCGGGCAACAGGAGAGACATCAAGGCACGGAAGATGTACGAAGGCGCGTATCTGGCTCAACGATCAGGGCTGAACGAGGAAGTCGTTGGAATCATCAACGCTTTCGAGCTTCTAAAGAACGAACAGGGTCGAGTCAAGATTGACTTCTGAGAACGGACCATGGATTTGGAAAAGCTTGCATTCCCAAACGGCTTCTATCATCGGCTAGGAGAATTCTAGGATACCGTCCTCCTCCGCTCCATGTTCAATGCTTCACAACATCCAAAATACAGGATACTCGTCTCCTTGCTCGACCAGGATAGCATTGCAGTGCACCTGCGATATCAAAGTCTCGGGCTCAAGCGAAGTGAATGCAAAAGCAGCATTCTTATGCTTTGTATCGACCCAGAATCCTCCAGCAGGAATCTTGACGCTGCGACGTGAGGGGCTTGTAGTCACTGTTATGGCCGCCACGCCCTCGAACTTGGTCGTCGCCAGCGTCGCATTGGTGATGATGAGCGTTTCGACCTCGCCCACGAAGTCCACCTTCAACTCATCGACCTTCACGCCGAGGTAGCGGAGAAGATCAGCTGTTGAGGCCCACGCACAAGAGAATGCGTATGTGGCAGGACGCGAGCGCGAGAGAACGATCTCTGAAGGTGTGTTGTTGCGAAAGAGGACTTGGACGTCTACTAGATTGCCAGAGGATGCTTCAATGAATTTGAATGTCGCGTTCGTGATACGCGAGCGATCTGCTACAACAGTCTTCTTATTGCTTTCTGTGAAGGCTAGTACCGTTGGACCAGGTTCGAGGCACCGAAGCGTTGCTGACGAAAGCTGGCAATAGCAGTTTGACTCCCACCATATCAGGGAAGTTCGCAGCGACTTGCCCTGAGTCGATTACTTGGCGTTTTGGTTGTCGGCATACCGATCGCCCACAGCTAAACCCGTGTAGAATTGAAGGTTCTTCACGTTGAAATCCTGCTTTGAAGCAAAGACTACTTGAGCGCTCCTTCTTAATCCGCAGCATTGAATCATGAGGTGTTGTGGCAATGACGAGCAGCAGTTGCCAAGGAAGGCGCTTTCACGACTTCGGAAGGTGTCAATGTCCGCTCTTGGCACCGACGATCTACAGTCTTGGTGACTGCCTCTCTTGACACAGCAACCGCAAAGAAGCGTCACATGCCGCGATAACAGTGGAACGGAGCGATGTTGTGCGCGTGTACAGTAGTCAGCCACCCGGCTACGGGTATATGAGCTGTTGGCGCCCGTATCTTCAACACTGCACTTCTCGAACTCCCCAGAATAACAACTAGCTGTATTTGTGCCGTCAAAATGAAGTTCAACGCTCTGTTAATGCTGTCATGTACAGCACAGGCTCTCGCTGCGACGGTTGATGATCGAAGGGAGTTGGTTTCGTCGAAGAAGCTCCAGGAGAAGATCACGACTAAGAAGTATAGCTTTTCCAGACGATACTCGAGATCACACGTCTAACCTCACACCAGGCTAATGAGCAATCTCGAGGTTCTTGACTCTATTGCTAAAGCAAATAATGGCAATCGCGCTTTTGGTCTTCCAGGTTACGCTGCAAGCGTCAAGTACATCCTTTCGAAAACCGAGAAATCTAAGAACTTCCATACATGGGTCCAGGACTTCCCTGCTCTGTTCAATCGGGTCGACTCCATCAACTTTAGCGTCAGCAATACGTCGTACCATGTGATTGGCCTGTCCTACTCTCCATCAACGACACCAGAAGGATTGACACTGCCTCTCGTTCTTGGCGCCTCTGGACCTGAGGGATGCACCAACGAATCCTATGATGATCTGGATGTTGAAGGCAAGATCGTACTTGTGCAGCGTGGAACTTGCCCGGACGGGACTACTCTTGCTGGCCGTGTCAAGCCTGCCGTCGCTGCTGGTGCCTCCGCTGTCATCATCTACAGCGATGTGACAACCAATGTGACAGGTGGCACTCTTTCAGCACCAAACCCGGATGCGTACCGTCCAGCTGGATACATTAACAAGGTTGACGGCGAGGCCCTTGTAGCACGCCTCAATGCGGGCGAGGCGATAGAAGCATACTTCCAGCAGACGCAGACCGTCGAGAGCAGGATCACACAGAACGTCTTCACCGAAACCAAGGGCGGTGATCCTACCAACGTCATCATGCTGGGCGCTCATCTCGATAGTGTACAGGCAGGCGCAGGAATCAACGATGACGGCTCAGGCACGACCTTAATCCTTGAGATCAGCAGAGCCCTTGAAAATTTTGGAGTCAAGAACAAGGTCCGCTTCGCCTGGTGGGGCGCTGAAGAGAACGGACTGCTTGGCTCAAAGTTCTACACGCAGAACCTTAACGCCACAGAGGTGAACAACATCCTCACATACCTGAACTTCGACATGGTGTCTCGCGGCTACTTCGGCGTATTCGACGGCGACGGCAGCAGCTTCAACCTCACCGGTGCTCCAGGCTCCGCTGCGATCGAGAACCTCTTCGTTGAGGACTTCACCAAGAAGGGCATCAACGTCACTGCTGCTCGCTTTACCGGCGGCAGTGACTACCAATCGTTCATGAACATTGGAAAGCCTGTGGGAGGTCTGCACACTGGAACCGGTGTTGAGCAGGATCCTTGCTACCACCAGGCCTGCGACACAATTGACAACCCGAACCCGCAGACGCTCACCATCAACGCCAAGGCTGCCGCCCACGTCCTTTCGATTCTTGCCACGAAGGGACACGAGATCATTCCTAAGAGCCCTGTCAACGCGACTATGCTGACAACAAGGAGTTTAGGAGGTATAGAGCTTCCCTGGACCGTACCTACTGACGGTGAGAGGCACTTGTTGACCTGTGGTCAAGAGGTCTAAAAGTTAGCTTGCACATATTCAAAGTCTAACGGAGTTGATATTAGTTATATAAAAACTCAAATGATGATGTCAACGAAGTCGATGGAACGTCCTTGACGGTGTTGTAGTAGTACGAGTAGAGAATCAATGACAAAACAAGCACTGATGTGACCTTGCAAGCCATCTGCTCTAACGCGAATTTTTATTCGCCAACTTTATAGTCCTGAGAGATAACAATGGCCAAATGCCCATATTATGACAGGTCTACTGGACACCTTTCAATTTCGCAAAAGTTCCTTTTTGCCCGCGCTCTGTGAACGCCCGTGCCATCCTCCTCACCCATCCTTTCCTGACCGGCGCATTCGTCAACGGGTGGTAGGCTTGGCCTGTGACGTGTGTGCGTTTGATCTTAAAACTATTTCTAGGTCGATCGTCGAGTAATGTGGAGGAAGACTGAGATGTCAATCTGTTCCGGATAGATCTCGACCAACCAAGGTTCAGCACCGAATTTGATCTTCGAGGCAACATCCTAGACAGTGTCGGTTTCTCTCCAATCCATAGGGGCCGCGTACCCTCTGCCTTACTCAATTCCGTAGACGGAGATGCAAGATTGTCGGCAGTGTCTTGGAATCGCACAGCCTTGATATTGCCACTCATTTGGAAGTGCGGCTCTGCGTACAGAATTGGTGAAGGTTTCTTGTGTTCTACATCAGATGCTTTCTCGTAGCTAGATTTCGAGCTCGTGAACGATCCTGCGGGATTTAAGTGGTGGAAATCTTCGCTTTGGACGGAACTCGAGGTCGACATCTGGCTGCCAGACTCGGAAGGGCTCGCTTCATTATCGTACGAGAAGTCTTTCAGCCATTCTGGAAAAATTCTCGCTCGCTGTGCGGCGATGATCGCTCGATATGGTAGACTCGGGTCCACTTCGCGTCGAGCGCCGCGTGAAGGATCTAGTGAAGAGACGGAAAGAGATCGCTTGAAGAAGTCGTCGTTCATTCCATCTTGTGAGTAGATACTGCTTGCATCGGTCAAGAGATCTTCGTCTTCATTCAGAAAGTCTTGGGCGTGGATTTGCGACACCTCGAGTTTGGGTTCAAAATCATCCGCACTGGTCTTCCCCTTGTCCACTGTGGAGGATTCGGCCGGCAGTGAGTGGTGAACCATGATGGGATGCTGTTTCGAAGCGGCGTATTGCGGTCTTTGGTGAAGATAAGGTTATTTTGTGCGCAGCAATACCTTTGAAGAGATTTGAAAATTCTACAGAAATTTTTAACACAATACATTGTTGTGTGCCCATACAGTGTTGAGAACTCATATCCATGGTTCCGGTCTGCGAGAAACCAGATAACAAGCATCTCGCAACGTCAGCAGACCGTTTTTCTACCTGACCAGCCATAGTGATCTGAGGTGCCAAATCGAAATGGCTCACAGTAGTTCGCAACTTGGTAGCGAAGTGCAAGATGTGGCCACGACCCTTGAAAGCAGAAGCTGCAGGACGGATATCAATCTCACGGTCCAGGGCCTAATTGAGCCTCTGCAAGCCCTCTACGCCTTGGCTCTCTACAAAGTTCTGTTTTAATCTTTTAAAATGACAAGATGCAGATTGACGTGTTGTATGTTGGTAGTAAGAGCCCTGAGCGAGGCGATCACGGAAGCAAAGGGCGACGCGGTACCGTAGTTAGTCAGCACATGCGCGCCATCACCAGATGCGCCGAAGCCCCCCAAGCAGCTTATACAGAATTGAGGCTGTAGAGCCATGTACAAT